ATTCCCACCGCAGAATGTGATCAGTCTGCACCCAGTCAGTCTGGTTCTTCATCAGTGAATACTGGACTGTCAGGAAAGAAGAAAAAAGTTACAGTTTTCTGTTGTTTTTGTGAATGTGAGGTTTTTCATTTTCCACGTCATTTGAAAAGAAACCATACGAATGAAATTGAGGTACAAGAATTTCTAGCTTTACCTGTTTTAAGCCGTAAAAGGCAACAACTGCTTTTTGCTCTAAGGAAAAAGGGTAAATTTATCAACTCTACGCCTTTGAGGGGAGAGGGGATAAAACCTGTTAGAAAAGGTGCGGAAAAAACGGAATATCTTCCATGCATCCACTGTATGGGTTACTATTCTGCAAAGAACTTATGGCGTCATCGCAAACAATGTGATGCAAACCCGGAGAAGGGATCGTCGGGCAAACGATCACAGGCTTTAGGACAAACTCTGTTATTGGGTAATATAAAGGTAGATATTGAGCTCAAAGTAAAAGTATTTCCTCGCATGAGACCTGACAAAGTTTCATTGGTTGCGAAAAATGATAAATTAATATGTGCGTTTGCTTCCCGATATCTGAAACTCCATAGGGAGCTACATTTTGTCCAAGTCGTTTCTAGGAAAATGAGAGAATTGGCTCGACTTCTAATGGAGATAAAAAAATTAGATTTGTCTGTGGTTACCCTATTTGATGCTCTAAAACCACACAAATATGACATACTTGTGAAAGCAACTAAATTAACATCAGGATATGATGACGAAAGCCAAACTTATAAATCCCCCACATATGCTATGAACATGGGTACAACCTTAAAACAATGTTGCGATGTGGCTCTTTTACACGTTCTAAAAAAATCTAAGTCACTGCCAACAGTAGATAATGCAAACGTTGAGGCAGATATAAAAACATGCATCCAACTCATAGAGGCAAATTGGCGATTCGATATTTCAACCAATGCTGCTAATGACCTCAACCTAAAAAAATGGAATAAGGTCACTTTGGTACCGTTAGCTACTGATCTCAAACTATTGAAGGATTACCTCATGAAAGTAGCTGCAAATCAGGTATCAATGCTACAAAAAAATCCAAGCAATGAAAAAGCATACACGTCTTTACTCGAGACAGTTTATTGTAGGTTGCTTTTATTAAATAGGAGGCGGCCTGGAGAACTACAACGACTTCCCATACATGTTTACAAATCCGCTATATCTGAGGAACACAATCAAGCCTATGAGGAGTTTTCAGAAGCAATAACAGAAACCGAGAGAATTCTAATGAGATCTTTCAAACGAATAGTAATCCGTGGAAAAAGAGGCAGAGGTGTTCCAGTTCTTATAAGCAAGGATGTACAGGATCACTTGAATCTAATACTAGAGTGTAGAGATAATATTCAGACGGTGTCGAACATATATCTTTTCGGTAAACCTAACTCCCAAGAACCCATTATTGGTTACAAGGTAATCAAAAAGTATGCGTCGTTATGTCAAGCGAAAAATCCGCATGCTCTGACTAGCACCCGTCTGAGAAAGCACTTGGCAACCTTGACTCAATTGTTCAACATGTCAGAAAATGACATGGAACAACTCGCATCTTTTATGGGACATACACTAGGTATCCACCGTGCATCATACCGATTACCAGATGACGTCTACCAAACGGCTAGACTCTCCAAGATTTTGACGTTGATGGAGAAGGGCGAGGCAGGTCATTTCAAAGGAAAATCCCTGGACGAAATTAATTTGAATCTAGACGAGAATTTGATATCAGAAGCGCAGCAGGATGATAACCACCCAGAGCCTCTATGCCAATATGAAGATATCCAAGAACCGCATCCAGATCCGGAATCTCAGCAAGTGGATATAACGTTACCAAAGAAAAAGTCCAGGGTTCTAGTTCCTTGGACTGAAGATCAGAAAAATTTAGTCTTGGTTCACTTTGGAAATCACATTAAATCTAAGAGGGCCCCAAAAAAGGCTGAATGCGATAACCTCATCGCAAGTCATACTGAATTATTACATAATAAGGACTGGCTAAAAATCAAAGTTTTCATCCAGAACCAGTACCGAAAGAAAAAATGAATACCATCTCAATTTATGAGCGAACCCGTTTTTTTAATAAAGTAGAAATTAAGTATGAACATATGTATCACAAACTAAGTATAAGCATTTTTTAGTAGTTTCATTTTGTCAATGTATAAATTCAGTTTTCTTCTTATGTATTTTCGTAAATAAAATTCATACCGATATTATTTGCGTTTATCCTTCGCTCCTATAACCGCGTGGTTGTCAAAGCACAAAATGTTGAAAAATGTAGGTCATTGTCCGAAAGCGAAGTTTATGCAATTTTCTCTTCGTTTGTTGACCACTCTGCAACCACTGCAGCTAAAGCGAATTTTTTGTGATTACATTAATTCCCTGCCAATAGGCGCGGTAAGTAAAAGCATATTTTTTAAATTGTAAAACTAGGATTAGCATATTTGTTTTTATTTTATTCTATAGGAAATTGGATTTGAGCATCACCTTTATCATATTTGAGAGTGTTTTTTTGTGAACATTTTTCCTTAATACTACACCATCCTTGATTTTCTATTCATGTGGTTGTATTTGCATAATGGTCTATCTATATTACCCTTTTTAATTTAGCTTGAGTAGCTTTACGCTAAACTTTGCTCTTTGTTCATATAATCATGTATTGTACACATCGTGACCCAATATTCCATGGACGTGAGATTACTAGTTATTTTCAGACTGAGAACAAGTCGATTGCACATAAGTTATCTGTATTCGAAGGTGCTTCGTTAGGGGGCATCAAAGTTTTCTTTTAAAAACACGTTTTCCAAGATATTTCAAAAGCCGGTAGGTCGATTTTAATGAAATTTGGAACACATATGCTCTGCTCAGCGTTCTAATATTTGCCTTTTACGAAAAACTCCAGAGCTTTTTGGAAGGGTGAAAACTACCCCCACACCTACATAAATTGTAGCAGAATTTTTCCCAACTTTCCTCATGACCGATTTTTTTATTTATTCCATCCTTTGTCTCTCATTAAAACGAGATATCTTTCATAGTTTTCGAGAAAAAAAAACCTTTTTTGGGGCTGGTTTCTAAAAAAATGTTTTAACACATCAAGCGTAAAAATCTAGTTGGCAAATAAACGAAGCACTTTTGCATAGAGGTGACTTATGTCAAATCGACTTGTTATGAGTCTAAAACCTGATTGGAAAAACATTTTTTTCCGAAAACTAGTAATAATAATCGTAATCATAATCATAATCACAACCATAATCGTAATCATAATTATATTAATAATGATAGTAATCGAACAAATATATTATTGCTGCATTACGGTACTCTCGGTCACGGACGCCCCTATTATAATGCCTGACGGCGAACTGGGCCGCACCAGACATAGAAAGGTGAAAAGCCGATCCTCTAACACAGCAAATATAATAAAATACCTAATACAGCGATGCCAATATTAAGGAGGATCTAAAAGCGATAATCTGGATACTGAATACCCGGCAGATGACCGATCCACTGTAGACCTGACTGGTAATATTTGATAATATACGGGCTGAATACCCAAGCGATCGTGAGTCCACCAAATCGGCGCGGCAAAACCCTGAACTACGGTACCCAAATTCGGCGAAAAACATGATCTAGGTCATCCCTCTGAAATTTTGCCAGGTGACAGAGGGGGGCCTGAGGGGCCGATAGGTGGAATTTGCGATAGGTCCTCCTTATACGGAGGACCTATCAGAGCGGAGGACCTATCGACTCTAAAAAGCCCATGAGTGGAGGACCGATCCATCAGAATCTACATATATATATATATAGCCATATAATATATATATATATATATATTATATGGCTCTTGTTGGTGACATCGTTGTTTTGTTCCTCTCCATCTTCGTTTCCCGAGGTTACACCCGTATCTGGATGTATGGGCATGTGTGTCTACTTTTGTAGTTACATATGTGCACTCATTTCGGGCTTGATGAAGCCAACAAGCAGAAGTACGTATTGCTCGGGCTACCTATCCTATATTCTACTCGAATCCACTTTCCTTCTTTTTGCGGATTTCTTCCATTATTTTTATTTTTGTTATATACCTTTCTCCGCGTGATCCCAACTGTAAGATAATAATCTTTTTGCTTTCCAAAATTACAGCACAATCTCAGAGAAGCAAAAAACTGAATATAGGCAACCAGTTGCACCGAACTGATCTGATGGTTGATGATTGTAGATTACGTCTGTCAGATTCAACTGCTAGAGTATTTCACAAAAAACATATTTTATACCCCAATTTATATTATTATAAATTATAATGGATCACTATGGATAAGTTTAGAGAGGAGAAGATTCATTTAATCGAGATACTAGACAAATTGAAAGGGATCATTGAAAATAAAAGCAGATAGCAGCAGCAGAGCAGTTCGGTGCAACTGGTTGCCTATCTTCAGTTTTTTTTTACTTCTCTGTGGTAGCGCTATAATTCGAGGAAGCAAACACATCATTGTTTTGCATTGCATTGATATTTAGCACAAATAATTCAAATCATCCCAATTTTATCATCAGAATCTGACATCGGTGGCAGCTTGTAATGATAACTGTTACATCCTACTGTGAAATGAAAATTCAAATCTTCCTTTGAACGTTCCTCAGGGAAGCGTCATTGTTTCACTGTTTCCAAAGACAGATTCAAGCCTCAAGAAAGGTCTAAAAGTCTGAGTCTGACATAATTTATCATCTCGGAACTGATATAGTTGATATACGATATCATTAGATATTCTACTTTTTATAGCATGAAACATATTATGGGAAATATACACCACAGAAAACATCACTCAATGATTTTAGGCAGTTCGGTTCACCTGAAAATCCTAGATCCAGTAAACCTGATCTCCTGAACAAGGAACGGTTCTTCCCCCCGCCAATTTTTTTCATGTGGACCGCCTCTGAAAATATTTCCTTTAGATGCAGCTAATTCTGAAATTATTCTTCAGAAATTCTCCACGAAGCGGTGGTTTGACTCCCACCTTATATTCCACGCCGTGGAAAAAGGAAGTGACGAGAAGACCTGTAGACTCTGCTACAAGCAGCTTCTATCAAAACAGGGCGTAGAGATTCATAAGCAGAAATACCATCACATCGTGCCAATGGAATACAGAAAGAGGATCGAATGCGAAGAATGTCACGTCACTTTTCCTACCGAATCGAACAAGGAGAGACACAATGAACTGATGCATAAGGAACAAACCCTGGAGCTGTGCACCCATTGTGGAAAGGTAAGACACCTGGCCTACTGGAGTTGCACTTATTTGGGATAACATCTTCTTCATGCCTAGTCATGTGATTATTAGTAGCATCCTCACGAAGAGGAATAATGAACTAGTTCATTTAGTTTGGTTATAGAATCGCTCATTTGAACTACTTCCTTCGCAAACGACACATCACTATACTATAACTATCTAAAACTGTAATGACTCATCGATGTTCACGTGAACATCACTTAACTACCAGTAGTCGGCTGTTCATAGGCGGGGTATGAATGTTTAACATGGGGGAACTAGACTTGTCACATGCTTAATAAAGAGTGGTTTGAAACATATTGTAAGTCAAAAATTTGGGAATTACCTTTATTCATCGTCGCTTCCACTTACATCTGACAGTAATAAACTGTCGCTATCGCTTTCCTCGTTGAAATTGACTATAACTGGCTCTATGATGGTGTCGATGTGGTGGTCAAGCTGCCACATTTTTGTTTCTTCCTTCACAACATGACGGATAGCATTCTGCCAAGCTTCGGGCGTTACTAGCTGTATGGAAGTCTCAAGTAAAACCTTAACGTCTGGTAATTTGAAGGTTGTGTTATGGCGCGCAATATAACCCTTCCCTTGAGCCCAGATGAGCTCTATTGGGTTCAGTTCACAGTGGTAGGGCGGTAACCGCAGCACAGTGACACCACATTGACGGGTCATCTCATCAGTCACGTAACTAATGTTCGCAGGTTTGTGCTGTTTAATTTTTTCATACAATTCCGCTTTCACACATGAATCGTCAAACGGAATTCCTTTTTCGCGCAACCATTGCTGCATGTCACTTTTTCGAGATCCCATAGTCGGTACACGTTCGGCTTGACGACTATGGTAGGAAGCATTATCCATGACGATCACAGAGTTGGGCTCAACTCGCTGAAGCATCCCTTGAAACCAGCTCTCGAAGCAGCTGGCATTCATTTCGTCATGGTAATCACCTCCTTTCTTAGAGACCAAAATCAAGTCACACTCTTCTAAAAAGCCACTATCGCTACCAATATGAGTTACGATCAATCTTTGACCTTTCCCTGACGGTCCACGAAGACCTGTTGACAAACCTTCAATGCTTGCTTGTCGGTTACTCACTACGTTTTTGTCTATCCAGGTTTTTTTAACTGTGTGACCTGCATTTACCCATGTCTCGTCCAAATAATAGATTTTTCTGCTTTGTCGCCTATATTCAATCATTTCGCGTAGGTATTTTCGACGCCAGGCGACTATTTCAGGTCTCTCTATCAATACTGACTTCCGATTACGCGTTTCGTAACGAAAATTAATTTCGTGCAGGGATTTCCTCATTACCTCGACGCTCATTTGGGGTATAATTTCATTTTCCTTGATCGCTGCATGTACAGCCTTGAGGGTTGGTATCTCATTCCTAAAGAAGAATGAATGTACGGTTCGCCTTAACGCCATTTTGCTATCGTCATCCAATTTAACGGCCTTTCGTCCCTTCAAATTAAACTTTGGATCAGTAGTAGCTCCAGTTTTCTTCTTTTCATGCACCACCCTGCGAATGGTCCACTCTGGAACGCCTGTCATACTTTCACAACGCGCGAGTGCATCTCCCTGCGACATAGTTCTGTTCAGATAATTGAACACGTTGAGCACGATTTCTTTCGCGTCCCTCTTCAGTGCTTTACGAAGCCGTCTACTTGTTCCCTGGCTTTCAGTACTTCCACTCGTGCCATTTGTACTCTCCATGGTTAAGTATAACCAAAACAGTAACCACAAAAACCACAACAATAACAATCACACAACAATTCTTATAAAAACACACAATATGCGATCGCTCAACGAAACACGTTCCAATGCGTTGCCGACGCCTATGAGTCTGCCGGTCGAGGCGCGTCTTTGATTTTATTGGTTCTACCGGCGGAGAACAATCAGCCATTATTTCCATCTCTGTCTGTGCTGTTGACCACCGCAAAGCCACAGAAACGACATATGTCGTACGCTATACGGCTGTACTGGAAGGAAGCCGGGATCGAGCTCTGATCACGTGTTGATCACGCGTATGAGTCATTACGGTTTTAAATAGTTGTAGTATAGTAAGAGCGTAGTTTAGAACACCACAAAATAATAGTATCCTCGTTTTCAGTCATTTAACAAACAGGCCATGTTCGCGCACAGGAAGGTCCACAAGGAAAAGATACCGTGTAAGACGTGTGGAAAGCTGCTCGCCGAGTATCTCATGGCGATCCACGTGCGAACTCACACTGGGGAGAAACCTCACAAGTGTTCGTACTGTGACAAATATTTCACCCAACGTTCATCAGTGAAAATGCACATCAGGTATGATTTTATATCTCAGATTAGACCATATCCAAGTTCAAGATAGATTAAACGTTATGATAGTCATTATTCAAATGGGTGATAGAGGGGGTAAGAAGAAGTAAAAAGTTTCATATAACATGGGGGTCAAAACGGCATTTTTTTAGAGAAAAGCGACTTTAGAGTAAAATCAAATCTGACAACGCCGCAATGCCAGACGCAAATTACGACGGAACGCAGTGTAAACAAAGATGAAGTTTATTACTTTTGGCTCTTAGGTATTATTTCATTATTTGATAATGTACTCGTAAAATGCAAACAATTAAAAACAAACGGACTTACCACTCAGCTTAAAACCCACACCGCACTTTTTTCGTATTTAAAGGTGTTCAAAATGTCGTCCTCCACTTTCCACACAAGCTTCATTACGACGAACCCAGTTTCTTCTTACTCTAGATCGTCGAAGTTGTCCATTTTTTATTTCAGCCGCATTAAAAGTCTTTTCGCGAAGTTGTGCTTCAGTTGTTCTTGGACCAGCCCCATAAACCATCCTTTTAAGTTCTCCCCAATACCAGAAATCCATCGGATTGAGGTCAGGAGATCTTGCTGGCCATTTTCGAGGATCAGGAGCATTTCGAGCGATCCAGCGATTTGGATAATGTTAATTCAAATACTGAATGACGCCTCTAAAAATGTGTGATGGTGCCCCGTCATGAAGAAACCACAAATTCCGTCTCCGTTGTAATGGCATGTTGTCTAAGGTCTGTTCCAAAAGTTCTGGTAGGTTATTGGCTAGAAAGCTAAGGTAACCTTCTCCTGACAACTTTGAGGGTAACTCGAAAGAGCCAATTACCTGATTCGAGAACATTGTAAATAAACACGACAACGTACGCGAACAAAAACAAAACAACACGCCCGATGCCCGATAACTAACCACTGATACCGTTTGCGATCGATTGCCGGTTCGATAACAGTGATGAAAGGCCGACACGCTGTTGTCATGTGTGTTTTAAATATTTAATTTAATGAATCTTACTGACTGACTACAAATTTTGGCTTAACTGGGAAAAACTTAATGCCATTTATTTGTTAATTACCCAATTTAAAAACGTTTTAGATTAGATTATATAAATTAGTAAGATTTTGGTGATTGTGGTCGATATAAGCACTTAAAGTTGTAAACTATAAAGCCATTTAGACAAAAATCTATTGACTTTTGGACCATGGGTAATATGAACTTTTTTACTTGTTGAATAATGACTACCATAACGTTTACACCCTGTATAATAAAGGCGTTCAATTCTTCAAGTCGCTGTTCTAATAAGAGTCATAACATTTTATATTTTTACCATTTGATTTATTGATGAAAATGATTCTCATTTTCAGGTTAATTTTAAAATACTCACAATCAAGTATTTCATCCCACTGAGCATTATTTTTTTCGAATAATGGTTCCCTATACAACTGATTTTCAAGTTATATCATCGTATATAGGTTTGACCTTGACGATGACCTGAGGTCCAAATTTAAAAATGATCAAGAGCATATTTGAACGTAAACATTTCTACTCTTTCCATTTACGGGGTCAAAAATAATGGTTTCCGTTTAAAAAAAAATCAGCTTAACCTCATAGTGACCTTGAAGGTCATTGTCAAGGTCAAATCCAAGGTCACCATTAGATAGCTGGGGAAAACTCCTATCAATCGCGGGGCTTAGTTTATTCATACCATTATTGGTACACAAATTATCGACTTTCATGAATTTTTCTGTTCCGTTTCAGGTCGGCTCATACTGGAGAAAGGCCGTACGAGTGCATGAAGTGTAAGAAAGGATTCATTTCAAAAACTATCAGGGATAGCCATATGAAAAAATGTAAAAAGTGAAGTACGTACCGTTTCTCAATACCGTAACGCCACCTACAAGAATTTGTCACAGCTCTTTTCCTATTTACTGTATATACTTTGAAAAGGCTAGTATCTCATAGATGGCGCTGTAAACTCCATATACTCTAATAAGCGTTGGCTACAGCAACATTTACAAAGTTTAAGCGTATAGTAACCTATATTGGTATTTTTATTACAAGTGTTTGATTTATTTATTATGTGCCTTTTATTTATAGTGTGTGCTCATCGATACCATATAAAGTACAGGGGGGATTATTAATGTCACAAAAAATAACTTTCGAGAAAAGAGCGTTTGTATACAGGGTGGGTCAAAGATCTGACGGGGTACCATAGACTCCTTATAAATGACTGAGAAAAAGTTAAATTATACATAAAAAATATTTTTTGATATACAGGGTAGCCCAAAGAAGAAAGCATCCTTTTTATTTTTGATTTTCGAGATTCTCCTTATGATTTTGAACATGTCTTAAGTGTTAGCATCCATGATTGAATTCAACTTTTTTTGATGTATTGGCGATAGAAATAAGCCTTTCTTCATTATGCGACACCCTGTAAGATTTAAGGAATGATTAACTAGCAAAATGACTATCTAAGGTTTTACGATCTGTTCTAATATGGGAACTACCTTAACAGGAAATTTATTACACAGGGCCTAGAAAGAAAAGAATATAGAACAAACAAAACAAAATTTGGATGCTTGAAAATGATAAAGTTTATTTCTTTCGTCACAGATTGGTGTGTGGTAAATTGTTGTAGTAGCTACTAGTTTCTCTGTGAGGATCAGTTGACATTGATCTTTTTTCCATGCACGGCAAATTTTTAATTGGACATAACTACGAACTGTCATTGGTTTTGCGTGTTGCCGATACCGCGTGGGGTTGTACTGCGTTAAAACTACATGTTGCCGGTTCTAACAACAAAACACCAAATTTGTGACATTCATATTTTTGCCTCTGTACCCTTCGTATATTTAAGTGATATATTTTTTGTATGTCAATGATTTCGAATCTCTTATGATTCATATTTGAATGAATATGTTCAATTGTAATATATATATGTATAATAAATGTTCATGCCCACATTTTGTTGTCTTTTTGTACATGGAATGGTTAACCCCCGGGAAGTAAGGTACATAAATCGCAATTTGCAGTATAATTTCGATTTTTGCCAAGATAGAAATTTTCGTTTTTTCGTTTCATATAATATTTGTCATTTTTCCGGGTCGACAATGGCAAATATTAATTCGCTTACATATCTTGACAACTATCAACTATAAAGTTTACAAAAACCTTTTTATTGTATAGAATGATTCAAAAAGCCTAAAATCAGATTTACCTGGAGCGAAAAAATAAAAATGCACTCTTGTTGTCGTGACTATTTTCTGAAAACGTTTCACAAACTGATATCCTACAATGAGCATCCAGTGCTACCACTTCGACCTTATACAATTATTTTGAGTTCATTGTGAAAAGACTGCAAAGCGTATAAAAATATTATGAGTAAAAAAAATCGAGATGAATATTGAAAGAATTAGGTTGATGGTAAGACGAATGGAAATTCATTTTCGTAGAAATATTGAGTATTCTTCATTGAACACCTGTTTGTACAACAATACCAGTTCCGAGTATGTCATAGTTATCAACACATTTGTCACACAATTTTTCTCTTTTTGTCAACATTTTCAGGACTAGTTTATAAAAAATTTAAGTTGAAAAGGAAACTTATAATTGTTCGTAGGAAGTCAAATGACTTCCAAGAAATATCATGGGTAGTATTTGGCAGGATTCCATACCGTTGGAGTTGATATCGGAGATATTCAAATATTTGCCGAGGAAGGACTTGTACAGCTGCTACCACGTATGCGAGAGGTGGAAAAGGGCATTGGATAATGCCGAGTTATGGACCAAAGTCACAATTTACGTCGATAGGGATTTTGTCGGTAAATATATGTTTATTCAAGATATTCCAAAACCAAAAATGTTGGTGAAATGTACCATGATTTTTTATATTATCAATGTTCCCTCTCAGCTGTTTCTACATATCACTCTATTGTTCTTCTAATTACGGCCTTATACAATACATATCAGAGTATAGAGACACATTTTGTGAAATTATGAATTTTAGATTTATTATGTAAAATACATATGTGTTTATATTTTTCAAAGCTTATCAAATCTTCACGAGATTAAACGAGAAAAAATATATAGTGTGTCCCATTAAAACAACTAAATTTGATTTATAGCTAAAAATTGAGATCTCATAGAAAAAAGCTGACTCCCCACTGGATTTTAAGTGAAAAACTGTTTAAGGGCCAGTTTTAGCTTGCGGTATATTAAAGCAGATAGGAGATACGAGAGGGTCCCAAAAAGCGATATTTTCAATTTCGCCTTGTATCTCAGAAACGAAGCGGGCTGTGAAAATTCTGACAATTTGGTTAAGGCTTTGGCGGCCAGTTCATAAACTGCTGTCTTGATTCGGGTCTAAGAAATTCCAACCGACGACGAATCAAGACAGCAGTTTGTGAAAATTCTGTTTATACCGTATTTCTCTTCATAAGAAAGTAGCCCAGTATTGCAAAAACCGCATTACAATAATTGTAGGACGCCTTTATAGCCTCCTTGATTTTCTCTCCTTCAAAACGGCTGAGGTATTTCTAGATTTCTACTGTTCCGTGTCAACGTCAGCGCTCTCCTATTGTGAGGCTGTTTCCTTTTTGAATTGTAGGAAATCTCAGGCTGATATAACAGATGATAATATAAACCAAAAGCATGAACAATTTGAGATGCAAATAGACATTTGTAACATAACCTCAAAATAGAGCGCTGACACAAACAGTAGAAAACTACGAAAATCAAGGAGGCCAAATTAGACGATACGGCATTAAGTCACATACCCCGTAATAGGGGTCACCACTAAAATTACTATTCTAGTATAATACAGTATAGTGAGCAAAGACGCATTCAATAACTTTTCAGAAAAAACTACTAGTACGCTGACAAGCCACTTCTTTAGGCACATAAAGACTTTAGAATTTGGTTGGCATACACCATTGGTCCACAACAGGTGGTTGCCTCTGAGAGTGCACGATTTGACCAAGAAGGTGGTACATTACATTTTCTGCTTAATCGAAGACAACGTCCAAATTTCATCGTTTAAACTGTTCGACTGGTTCGAACTATATCCTTTTAGAAAGATCATATATCACCTAGCAAGATTTTTGAAGTAAGTCAGAAAGTATTTTAAGTTACAGATTAGGTCATGTTAGCAAAGCAAACCTATTGATTAACGTATTTTACTTGAAAACAAGATCTGAAAGATCTTAGCGCCATCTATAAGAGAGTAACACAACCTCAAACACTCCCAATTTTCATATTAGATATCTAAATTAATATTTGTGTTCTGCTACCTTCTCATAGATGGCAGTAGTGAACTTCACATATGAAGGTGTGGAAGATACCGTAGTCAAAAAAATAATAATTGTTTGATAATCCCATCACTTATCAGGTGAAAGGTTCGACTAGCCTTCCATGCCCGAAGTGCCAGACTCTACGACAAGTTACTCTACCGGTTTCTTTTTGTCTAACTGATTTTACAGATACCAGACCAAGTTAAGGAAATTGACATTACACAATTTGGTATTGCCCAAATCAGAGTACGTAAAGATTTTTGAGTCAAGCATCGGTTTAAACAACTGTCTCACATACTTTGAAGTACACAACTATTTCTATAACTTCGACCCAATATTCGATTCCGACATGTTCGTGACATACCTGTCTCGCTTGAGACGCCTGAAAGTACTCAAACTTGACTACATCATATTGTCGAAGAACGGTGTGATGGATGTAATATTTGAAAGCGAGCAGCAGGAGAAGACATTGGAACTTCTAGAGGTTATTATAGATGACACGGATATTCGTAGTGAAGTTATACCCAGCGTTAAGTGGAGAGAGTTTAAGAAACTTTGTCCTTATGTTCACTTGTCCTTCGTTATAAGTAAGTTGAAGTTATATGTCAAATTAAAAAGATATTGCAGTTCTAATCAAAAATATGCTTCATAGGACTCCTTTGTCTGGCTGAATAGAAACCATATGTATTGTAACGACAACACAATTTTGGCTATTTAACATCTAATGTAGTAGATTCATACATTCTGCGCCGCAGCTGAGGCATCACCCGCTGTCTGTCCACTAACTGATTCTACCTACTTCTGCCCTCTGTTCGGGTATTTATGTACGACTCCGCGAGTTTAGTAGCGTTTCCACGCCTTCCAGATAGAACATCGAGTAGCCTGGCAGATGGCGGTGGATGTTTCGCGACACGTAGGGGGTCAGGTTTTCTATTTACGACGTTTCGATCACCGCTGTAGTCATTTTTTCAAGTACAATTGATCTATCTTCTTGTTTTTCACACTCTATTTATACAGTTTGTTTACAATATTCTGAAATATTTGAAAAAAATTTTCAAATAAAATTGGGTTACGTTTTGACAGCGGGATGGAAAACCTGAGCTTCACTATCGATTAAATATTTCCAATCGGGAAACATTCTTTCTAAATTTTAAGTTTATTTTATGAAAACATTTATTCAAATATAGCTTATTGCTGAAAGCGCAACGAATTCCATTAATCAGTCTGAGTTTCATCGTTTATGGTTCATTTTTCAGAAAATATTTGTTACTATGAACAGCTCGAATTTATATTCATGATGGGAGAAATTCCGCTTAACTCATTTTCATTAGTATCTGGATATAAACATAACCAATCACGGAGCAGAAACTTGCGATTGACCCTGACGAAGATGGTAGAAAAGTGTTATAAAACTTTAGGTGAGATTTAGGAATCAGCTATCTACAAAGGAATCCATAAACAATTGACGTCGTAATGTGGGAGACAAGCGCGGGAAGCGAGGAATACATGTGTTAGAAAGAGATATAATCCTCACGTTGCGTAGCAACCAGAGTGACGAGGCCAGGGATGCAGCTGCGGCTTGCCACGTTGGAACCGGCGCACTCTTTCTAACATACGTTTTGCACTCTTCTCTCTTGTACACATAACCTCTCAGTGATATTTGGTCTCTGTATGTGAAATCAAAAATGGGCGCCGGCAAGAAGTTCACTCAGGGAAAATTAGACATCTATTAGAGGAAAGTTTTTGTATATTCTGACAGTAAATAATCCATGGAAAGTTGTTGAAAAGCTAGAGATGGTAAATTTTTCCTTTGGTGAACAAATCAAAAAAATATCAAAACTGCATTTTTGAGTACCCCCACCTGCAAATGCCCATTAAATCTGAGTATCTGAAGTTTTTATTAAAATACAAAATATACCTACGCCTTCTATAATCTTACGTTCTGGGGGTCTCCGGCTTCAAGAGGCCCTACATGGATGCAGGAATCCCAAAGATAGAAAAATGTTAGAATATCACGATTCTTCTGCTTGTTCTTAGATTTAAAGATACAGTTGTTCTGTTTTTATTTAGAATATGTCAAGCTGGATCTTAGAAATAACAAAGAAAACTTGGAAAGCATCCTACTGAGAATAATATATCAATGCGCGAGATTGAAAAGGCTGGTTTTTGATGGTATCATTCACGAGAACATGGAGCTGTTCTATGAGATTTGCTTATATCATGAAAGCGCACGAGGTAAATAAATCTTTTACTCCACTCTCGTCTCTCACAACACGTTACATTATTTGGAACGAATTGAACGATCGACCCCTAATAAGCGCTCTATTTTGAGGTTATGTTACAAATACCCATTTGCATCAAATTGTCCATGCTTTTGATCTATAGTCAACGCCAAACAAAGTGGCGTGCACGTCATCACGATAAAAATTCCCCGACCTAATGCCTAGGTTTCTATCACAAACAATTGCTCTATTGCAGTTTCATATTAATGTGATATATAAATTGTAAAATGGTCATTACTCTCTTATTATGGTTAATAGTCATATAAACATTGTTATTAAAATATCACATAAGTTGCTTTCTGATAAATTTAGACGCATTATGCGAAATAAAATGTTTTGCAAACGCTCCAATCACTTATCGACATGTAAACGCACTAAACCGATTTCGCAGCGTTGACACATTGTCACCTTGAAACTTATTTAAACTGGGAACTGACATTTGTATTAATTTTGACACTGAATCAATTTGTGGCATTTCAAATCTTTATAAATCCTTTGGCCCCGCATACTGTAAATCAACAACTGTTTGTTTCAAAACAAAATTATTCATTTTACGAGTAGATAAAGGCAATTTTGGTATATAAAGATGCCCAAACAGTTAAATAGTCGGTGTAAGGAACTCGTGGCCTCGTTAATGCACTACTTTGAGCAAGAAAGGGACAACAACGGGCCTTTGTTGCCTTTAAATGCTGTTCAAGAGGTAGGTTACTAATAATTATATGTAATGTATATTAATAATAGTGAAATTTTATTTCATTTTTTGTAGCGTGTTGCTGCTGCTTTAAAAATTAGTTTAAGGACAGTTAGTCGTATTTCCGAGGGTGTGAAAAGTGATGCAAATTTAGAATCGCCCAAGAAAAAGCGGAGTTATATTAAACGTGTAACCAACACAGCGGCATTGGATACAAGTGCCATTCGAGAAGAGATCTATAATATGTATCACAAAAGTAAGATCTTATTATAATAACTTATCAGAAATTTGCATTAATTTGTTAACTAAATTATAATGTCATATTACACATGGTTTCAGAAGAACAAGTTACGATACAAACTTTATGGTCTCGATTAAGAGATAGGGCATTATTTGATGGTAGTGCCACGTCTTTAAGGCGGTTGCTTAGAGATCTTGGATTTAAGTGGCTTAAGGACAATCTGCGACGAGGGCTCATGGAACTACCAAGTATAGCTTTGAAAAGGGTGGAATTTCTAAGGCAATACAATCAAGCCAAGGTTGAGGCCTTATACCAGTTTGTCTTCCTCGATGAAACTTGGATATTTCAAAATGGGACCATAGGTCGCTCTTGGCAAAATGGAAACCAAAAAAGCGTGAAAGCTATTAAAACAGATGGTAAAAGGTATGTACTTTTACACAATTTGCACTATAAAATTTAAAACTAATATATTTTAGATACATTATATTACATGCTGGAAATGAAAATGGGTTTATTGAGGGTAGTGAAGCGATATTTTCTTCGAAAACAAAATTGAGCGATTACCATGGAGAGATGAACCAGGACAATTTTTTGAAATGGTTTCAACATCAGTTATTAGAAAAATTGGAGAGTCCATCTATGATTATAATGGATAACGCCCCTTATCACAGCATGATATTGAACAAAGTGCCCAACAATGCATGGACAAAAAAAAATATCCAAGACTGGTTGACAAATCAAAACATACCATTTTTAAACACAATGTTTAAAACAGAGCTATTGAGTATTGTTGCTCGGTACATAATGCTTCTTAATTATATATATTTTGGTCGACAGTTTATATTTCTTTTGTTTATTCCTATTCTTAAAATAACTGCTTTTTTAGAAACAAACCACCTAAAATATACGTGATTGATGAATTGGCGGAACAACATGGGCACAAAGTTCTTCGTCTGCCTCCTTACCATTGTATATTTAACCCTATTGAGTTAATTTGGGGCATAGCAAAAGGTTACTATAACAGACATATTGGTAGAGATGGTAACAGTGAAAAAGACTGTTTGGATATGTGGAACGAGGCTCTACAAACGGTTACCCCAGACATGTGGAAAAATAGTGTTCGACATACTGAGCAAGAAATTTTTAAATGGTATGAAAGAGAACGAATTTTTGATCGACCAGACATCGAACCTTTAATAATCAACTTTGAGAGTGATGAAGATTCAGATTCAGACAGCGCTGAAGAAAGAAACTCCGACTAACTTTATTGTACAGAAAAAGCTTACACCATTAGCTTACCTAATTTTAGAATGCATTTTTCTGTATGAATTCTGTAAAATAAATACCATGCATAAAATTTGGAGGACCCCATTTGGATTTTTATTCAGTACCTTTAAGCTATCAATTAAATATGGTAGTTTCATAGTGTCATCTGATCAATAATTGTCATACTTAATGATTATGCAAGTACAGATCTATAATTTTATTATACTATTATTTTTGTTCTCATTTGAGGTTAATATTGCTTATAAACCTAGATATGTAAATAATAAATTTTATTATTTTACAAAAAGTTTGGCAACAATGTAAATTTTTCAACACACCCACCTTGATGACGTGCACGCCACTTTGTTTGGCGTTGACTATATATCATGTTATATAGCCTGAAATTTCCTACAATTCAAAAAGAAAACATAGCCTCAAAATATGAGAGTGCTGTATAAATCTAGAAATACCCCTTTCTTTAGGAGAGAAAAGACTTTGAAAATCAAGGAGGCCATAAAGGTGTCCTTCATTTGTAGATACTGACGATACGGCCCTAAAGATCATATTTATAGTTTTAGTAAGTAGTAGAAAGATTGAATTAGCAGAAATGGCTACAGAAATAATTGGAAGTAATATATACAAATTATACTTATGTCTGGTATCATAAAAATTATAGTCCGAATTTACGGAAGTTAGTGCAAATAGGCAAATAAAAAGCACGACTAGGTATCTAATGAAATTTTTTATGTTAAGGCATTTTAACATACTGAGCATTTGATTGATTGTCGTATATTTATTTTTTTTTTTAGTGTTATTCTCATTTTGTTAAATATGTAATCATTGGAAAACAGAATCTGTAGCCGGGTATAAAACATCTGCGCTATACAAAAAAATTGACAGTACAATTGTATTATAAATGATGTTCTTACTATATAGAGTTAAACTGTCGAAAATACGTAATTCACTACCAACTCTACTGATATTTTTTTCATAATATAGTTCAAAATTCAAACTACTACAAAATCAATGTTTTATTTACATATAAACGTGTAACATCATTTATTCCAATAGTTATAGCTTTTGCTTCTGTCTCTATTCAATTTTAATTAGTAACATATTAGTCATTCAGATACAAGTTTTAAGTCGCAATTAATGAGAGATATGTACCTGATTGAAAATTTTGAGTATTTACATGAATTAAAGTACCATCCTAATCGAAACAGATAAAAAGCCAGAGCCCTGAATATTTGAAAAGGGTCATCTTATGGTGACCTTGACTATGACGTTCAAGGTTATTTGAAAGTCAAAACAGTTCTTAATGGAAACTATGTTTGCACCGAAAATGTAAAGAGCAGGAAATTTTACGTTTAAGTATTTGCCCGTAACCCTGACCATGGGTATTTGAGTTCAAAAAGATAGAACAAAATATCTCGAAAAATACATAGTAGAGAAACATGTACCAAAACAAAGTTGTAATGTTTGATTGGAGCAACGAATATTGACCTTGAACGTGACGTTGAAGGTTATTTGGGGTCCAATATTTTATGAAAGAGGTACCAGAACAGTAATTTCGTGGACCATCGAAAAACCTTATGATCGTGGTCAAGATCACTTTTCCAAGGTCGCATGTAAATGACCCTTTTTAAAACTTTGCTCTGCAACATTTTTTCTCTCTAGCTTGGTTTTTTTTAGGAACAGAAATAACAGAGCTGATAGAACACCTTTTGAATGATCCATCTACAATGCTATTTATTATTTTATTTTGCAGGCCTTAGTGTTAAAATACTGCCCCATAAGTATAAATCCCTAATGAATATCGTACACATCTATGCGTAAGGTAGATTATCCTAAGCCAGGGTAAATACTCGAAAAATTTTTGGCGATGGGAAGAATCCTGAATACTTTGTTATGTGGATGTCATTTGGCTTCCATTTGAAGTACAGATAATGTCAAGGGTAAGGGAAATGTCTATCGTGTCTGTAATGATCGTAGAATTAATTCTAGTGGTTTTAAAATAAATCCTCAGTATCATAAATCTTGTTTGATTTGGAGAAGTATCTGTAAAATTTTATTATTGCCATTAACGGAAGCATTTGCTATTGAAAAAAAATACTAAGGGATACCGAGTTAGCGCTATTTCGTTCGTATTTGTCAAATAGGAAGCAGTATGTAAGCTCTGAGGGCGCCGCCACTGGCCTTTTGGCTATTTTGAACGGGGTACCGCAGGGAGCAGTACTCGGCCCTCTGCTATTTCTAATATACAGGGTGTTTATTGTTGCATAACTTTAAGATTCGATAGAACTTTTATAATTAATGCCTAAAGTCTATATAAACATGGGTCGAAAAATGCGTGGCTTCCGAAATACAGGGTGTTTAAATTTACTTTCTAAAATAGTTTTTTTTTAAATATTTCGAACAATATTTGATGTATAACAGTGAAAATTGGTATACAAGAGTTTTTTGGTACGACAAAACCAACCATGGGCATAGTTTTACTGTAGCCGCTAGAGGGCGCTCTCTACTGTACCTGTAGTGTATTAAAATGACCGAACATTTTTTCTTAGTGCAATTTTTTGCTTTTTGGATAAAAAAAACTGATTCTTCGCACTTTTCAACATAAAAAAGCTATCTTGTGAGTTTTCGTTATAGTTAGCCGTTTTTGAGATATTTCGATTTTTAAGGTTCCATGCATTTTTAATTATTTATGGGAAAATAATATTTTTTTTTTACATTTTCGATTTGGGCATTACAAGTAATTAAGATGATCGTTTAGATTGTGTTTTTAAACACAGCAATAATTCCTAACTCCAAATAAACACAAAAAACAGAATATTAATTTGTTTAATTTTCCAATATTATTTTTAACAAATTAAATTAATTATTTACTACTAAAATGCTATTGGATAGTTAGGACAAACATACAAAATCTAAAGTAGTTGCTCGAAATGTAAACCCAATTGTTCAATACACAATTCACATCTACGAATGATCGAACGTGGTATAGCATTATTCAAATAAGGCCATATTTCATCGCATGCATTCCTGATTCTGTCTATTAGCATATCTCTTGTGGTTACGGGAGTCTGGTATACTTTTTCTTTTAGAAATCCCCACACAAAGAAATCTAATGGATTTAGGTCAGGGGATCGTGGAGGCCAGGCGACTGGTCCTCCACGGCCGATCCATCTTTCTGGATAATTTTCGTCCAGCCAGTTTCTAACTCGAATAATGAGCTGGACAACCATCAAGCTGGAACTAGGCCGATCTTCTTAAATCTAACATAACATCATCCCACATATTTGCATGTTCAGCCTTTAAAATTCCAAGAAGGTCGCAGCATTTAACCTTGCAGGCAAAAGGTAGGGTCCAAATAGTCGATTACGGTAGATACCAATCCACACGTTCACACTAAATTCATGCTGAAAATTTCTTTCCCGAACTGCATGCGGATTTTCATGCGACCAAATATGTTGATTATGACAATTTACCACTCCACGTCTAGTGAAGCATGACTCATCGGTCGATAAAACGTTACTTAAAAACTCCCTATTATTATCAGTTCTATCAAGAATCCACTGACAAAATGTGATTCTTCGTTCTCCGTCCCCTGGCTGCAGTCCTTGCACAGGTTGCAAATGGTAAGGACGTCTATGGTCATTTCTAAGAACACGGTAAACATGGCTTGCCAACACTTGTGGTCGGATCTCTATCAAACTCACGCAGAATCATACGGGTAAATCTGCGCTGATGAACATTTATGTTTTGATCCCATTGAAGATTTCCAAAACCATTATTTGGCGATGCACTCTTACAAATACTGAGCGAGTTGGATGTCGTCTGTTTGGAAATCTTCGTATTCTCTGGCTGCTTCTGCTGCGTTTCCATTTACAAAGCCATACACAAAATGAATATCCGCTAACTCTTGATTGGAGAATAAAAATGGCATTTTTATAAAACTTAAAAAAAAAAACAGGTAAAAGAAACTAAATTTCGTGCATTCACAATTGCAAAAAAACGTTTCAGAATTTAATTTGTGACAATTTTCGGATAGTGAAAATTAATTTACTGATTCAGATTTTACCTCCAAAATGACTGCAGCGATGTAAAGAATATCTGCTTCAGTGATGAACGCACATTTTATCTAAATGGATGTGTTAATCAGCATAACTGCAGGTATTGGAGCAACGAAAATCCTCACGCTTTTGTAGAAGGGCATACCCAGTACCCCCAAAAAATTTATGTATGGGCAGGCATTTTAGGAACCAAAGTGATCGGGCCATTGTTTATTAATGGAAATAACGGACAACATTTTGAACACATGTTGAAATAAAGTGATCGGTATTTTCCTGCGTTTTTGTTTTTTATCTGAACGAATCATGGTACATAAAGATTTTTCTAGTTTTCTTGAAAACGAATCGACCGATTTTGAAAAATCAAACGTCAAAATAAAGGGCATCAAAAGACCTTTCAAGCTATTTGTTTGCTTTGCTTAACAACCGTAGCACCCAAGATATGTGGGACACTTTCGCTCAACGAGTCCTTAGCGAAACGGCTGACAATACTGTTGAAAAGAAGGTATACTGTGACCCCTCAAAGCCCTGGATCAACTCTAACATATCGAGGATGCTTCGTCACAAAAGATCGTTGTGGCAACGGTTTAGGAGGAGTGGCCATTCACAAGATTACGTGTCTCATCGATCCTTTTCTAACCTCCTATCTAGAACGTTACATAATGCCAAACATGCTTATGAACGAAAACTCGTTACCTCCAAAAATAAGAAGAAGCTGTTTCGGTATCTAAGAACAAACCTGAATTCCAAAGTTTCATCACCTCAGATCCGCGACGCTGACGGTCATCTCCACATGGATGCCACCGAATCTGCCAACTTACTGGCAGAGTCCTTTAGTGATGACTTCGTCGATGAGCCTAATGGAGACCTTCTACCGACCACTATCTGCCATAGGTGTCCCAACAGCCTTTGCGAAGTTGAGTTCCTGCCTGAAGATGTATTAATGCACCTGCGAAATCTGAAGACCTCTTCCTCCCCTGGTAAAGATGGGATGACGGCTGCTGTACTTAAAAACTGCGCTTCAGCACTGGCCCTACCATTAAGCTTGATATTCACATCGTCTTTTAGATCTCATACCCTACCCTCATGCTGGCTTAGTGCTTCTGTTACCCCTGTATTCAAAAAGGGCGACAAATCCTCCGCTAAAAATTATCGACCAATAAGTCTCGTTCCTATCGCCGCCAAAATAGCTGAAAGAATCATATTAGATAAGCTCCAGTCATTTGCTTTCGAAAATGACCTTATCCCTAAGAATCAGCATGGATTTCTCCCTGGTCGATCAATAATGACCAACCTTCTCCACTCTCTCAACGATTGGACTCAGTATCTGGACACAAAGACTCCTGTTGATATAATCTACTTAGATTTTTCTAGGGCTTTCGATCGCGTACCACATAGAAGGCTTCTGTTTAAGTTGGAATGTATGGGAATAAGAGGCGAGTTGTTACTGTGGATTAAGGCTTTTCTCACCGGGAGAACTTTCTCTGTGAGCGTCAGTGATAGCCAGTCTCACCTTCATCATGTAGCAAGTAGAGTTCCTCAAGGCTCTGTCTTGGGGCCAGTGCTGTTCCTTCTGTATACAAGTGACCTGCCCGCATTGATTTCCTCCACATGTTCAGCTTATGCCGACGACACCAAGATTTACAATACTGTCGTAAATTCTGCTATGCTTCAACGAGATCTTGATATTGTTTGTCAATGGTCAGTCAGTTGGCTTTTACCCTTAAATCTAACTAAGTGTTGTGTCCTTCACCTCGGGAAGACAAATCCGCGATTTACATACAAGATCTCTGACCACAACATCGAAGCAGTTTCGAGCCACACTGATCTGGGCGTTGTAGTCAACGATCGTCTTTCCTGGTCAGAGCATATTCACCACGTTACATCAAAAGCCAAGAAACTTCTATATATGCTGGAGAGGTCTTTCAAAGGATCCGATGGCAACACTTGCGCCTACATTTACAAGGCATTCGTGAGGCCAATTCTTGAATTCGCTGGCCCGGTATGGGACACTGTGCTTCTGCGCGATAGAAATCTCGTCGAATCAGTACAGCGTCGGGCTACTCGTATTCCTTTTGGAGCACGAAGACCAAGCTATGAAGATCGCCTTGAATTATTCAACCTGACCTCATTCTCTGAGCGAAGACTTCGTGGCGATCTTATAGTTACGTTCAGGATACTTCATGGTTTGATGGGCACCAACCTCATGCATCTATACCATCTGTCGCGCAGCAATCTACGCGGACACAGCTTCAAACTGCATAAGGAGCCATTTAAAACAACAGTCCGACAGTGGTTTCTTCCCAACCGCATACTCAACACCTGGAATAGTTTACCTGAAAGTGTGGTTGGTGCTACTTCAGTTAATAGCTTCAAAGTGCAGTATGATAGCTGGAGGAGTGTACAAACTTTATAGCTATGAACTGTATTTTTTTATTTTTTTTCTATTTGATGTATTTGTGCTACGTGTCCGTACACTATATTTACTGCATGAGCTTATAGTACTGTGTACTCTGCTCATCTCATAATAATAATAATAATAATAATAATATTATTCGTTACCTCTTGTCATTTAAAATTTTTAAGGGGAAGACCCTGGGGGGCAGGGGGTGAAGTAGTTTTTTGTTAAAATGTTCACATATCATATGGTACGATGCTCTGGGGAAACTCGGTGGCATCTAGCAAAACTTTCATTTTACAAAAAACGGTTCAACGGATAATTACAAATTCCAGTTATGAAAAATCACTTCAAAGACCAAGCTTCTGTAAAATATTTATTATTAATAATTTTATATAATAACGCTTAACTTTTAGGACACAAGGCAAATAGATCATTATTACTATAATTCATAGACTTGTAACCTTATACTATAAACCACATCTTTTTTAACGCTTTCCTATGCCACAATTCAAACAACTGGTTTCTAAATAGTTTTTCGGAAAAATAATATAATAATATGTATTACGTAATTTGGATAAACGTCATGGTTAATTCTTTTGATAAACATCAGATTTTGTATGCATTAACCTAAGGAAAAACCAGTTGTCTGCACAAAAAAACTCTTGACAATCATTTATCTTTATTATTTTGTACAATAATACATTTTTTCTGTCATGATATTTCCTAAAATTTAATGCTAAATACTTGAAGCCATTACAGTTATACAACAATTTATTTCTTACATTTTTTAAGATTACGTTTTACCGATTTTCGAATCGAAAATTTATCACTGCAGGTGGAAAAGAGTATTTAAAATAGTATGTTAAAAATATATTTCCCATATAAAATATTCTGTAGTGTTTTTTTTTAGCTGCATAAGCAAATTATATATACACTGTAACTCTGAAAGTTGATGTCTTTTTCCTACATACTTGTACAAGGTGGGCCTAATTCAGTAGTTTGAATTAAGCTATCGAAAATCATTTGCCATAATTTTAATAATTTTTGCTCCTCAAGCATAATATACGAACTTTGACACCTTGTACGTAGAGCATTATGTATTTTTTTGAATTCAGTTATATAGTTTGATATAGATAAAAAACATTCAGCCTCTATACTGGAATGGATATATTTCCCGAAAGGTAAATCATATAAAAACTAGTCTTAGTTGAGAAAAGCTCATTCAAAGATGATCTAGTTTTATCAGTCGTGGAAAACAGTCTAAAGTTCAACTAGGTATCCACTAATATGATTTGATATTTATCTAGAATTTTGTATATGATATATTGAATAAAAAATATCACTATTTCAAATGCACTAGTACGTCTATGAATTCTCAAAATTCATAATGCTGTTCCCTGGGGATGAAAGTGATGATTTACACTTAGATGGCAGCTATATTTAGGATAATGACATATATTCAGATCAATAGCGTGTATATGCATCAAAAAAACTAACCGGCAGCATTTTCGATGCAACATATACGCACTACTGATTTACCTACAAGATTTTCTACTACAAAAAAAATACTGACATCAGTAAAAGTGAAAAGATGATATACAGTGGCGAAGAAAATATATCAATTACTGTCAACATTCTCCTAAACGATAAACATTTTCCTAAGGATTGTATGACTCCATATGAAATTTGATATCAAATTTGTATACGACTACTGGCATCTGACAAGTGATGGATTGCTGGCTAAGGAACCAGTAGATGTGGCAAGGTTCGTATGCAGTTAACATAACCTCGCAGTTTTTAGTAAATAATTGTAAGTTTGTGTGTGCATCAATAAAACCAGACTTTACAATTATTTCGCAAACTAGCGGTATTTTCGTCTAATATTGTAGGTAAGAGTTATGTTAGCGTTTTTAGGTAAAAATTAGCAACTGTGGACTAGTTACATATTTAATGTTTGAACTATGAAAATGCCTTCGTTTTTTTTTGTGTTGTCAAGTGCTGCCAAACAACAAAGCTCAATATTTTTCAGGTACTGATAATTATTAAATTACTCGAAGTATGTTGAAAACGCCCAAACAATCTTTAAACACACACAAAATGAACGTCGGCATTACGAAACACTCGAAATATAAGATGACGTTCCAGGTTCCAGCATCTGAACTAAGTGACGTCTTGAGTGGAGATTACCTATACAAATTTGATATCAAATTTAGACGAATGTCATGAGTACAGTATTCACTGTAACCCGTCAGTATTTATCTTGGAATGTTGCATTTATTGACCGTGTAGCCAGGGTTATTGATATATAATGTTACGTAAAAATCCACTGACACTACTACTAAATACTAATGGTCCGAACTACAATAAATACTGATCATCTGACATTCCTCTTAAAACAAATTTGATATTATGTCATGAGGCCCTGAGTGAGCCTTATACAAACTATGTAAAACTGATTATTGGACAATTTATTGCAATTACGTTTGTAACTGTTAGAAAACCAACAAAGTTGTGAATTTTGAGGGATATTATACCTCAGTCGCTGAGCGTACAAAAATTCCTACTCCAACAAATACAAATCTCATTATCCTTAAGAATCCAAAGTTTTTGATTTTATATAGTCTTCCTAGAAAAGAGGAGTTATATTAGAATGCAATACTATAAGAACTGGTAACCTGGCAAAAGTACGTGAAATTATGCATCCAAAATAAATGGAGACAACTGGATAAATGTGTCATGTAACAAATCAGTGTATGGTGAAAATTGACTTTAAACATTTTTTATTGGGAATATACAGGTCCTATGACATTATATCCAATACGAACTCACCCAACGTCCGATGTATTCTAAAATATCCTAATTTACGGCGTATCTTCGGCCTCAGCGTCGACAGCCTCGTTGCCATTTTGCTTGGCGTCAGCTGCTGCATTAGAGGCGGGTTTCTTGTTCTCGGAGATGCTGCGCCTGGAGTTCCGCCTGTTTCTTGGTCGTCTTTTTTGAGGAATATCACACGTACCTTTCGGAATGAACGTCGTCCATTCGTTCGTGGTGGTGTCGAGGTATTCTATCGTGTTCAGGAACGTTTTGCCTGACAGAGAAAGCAGAATTTACTCGTGGAGTAGGTCGATTACACAAGACGTTTTCACCAAATGGAATTTGAATTTGGTTCAATCCACCATTATGTTATTTGGGGGGAAAAAAGGCTACTTTGCAAGATGACTACGTCAAAGAGCCGTTTTACACACAAGAGAATTACTCCGAAAATTGTGGTCATAATTATGCCGAAAATTTGCATGGAAAAAATATTGAAAATTTTCTCTACAACCTGTATGACACAAGCAAACAAAATTTCCGAGTAATTCATATGATACGCCTGCGCATTAGAGTAATATTTTCGAATATTTCGAAAGGACATGAACGGGTATGACGTCCAATATAATCGGAAAGACAACAGACATCGTTGATTTAAATTTATTTTTGTAATCGAGATATTGGTTAATATAAAACTTCTCAATGCTTGGACTATCGCATCCAGCGCCTGACGCAGCAAATTTCTGTTTTTGTAATTAGGTGACTTCACCTTGTACAGGTTTCGCCATTTTTGGTACTCCTCCAATAACAGTGTAACTTCTTCCCGATTCCACGACATTATGAATAAACAATAACAATGAACGCTTCTTCGTACGACTCGAAAGGGCCACACCCATAAATGTTAAGTGAGGTTATGTTGTTGACATTTGATATTGACATGCCCGGAAATAACCCTCTGCGCCGATTCTCGCGCATATTCTATAGAACGGGTCTTATATTTTTACCATGAAAATTTTCACAAGAATTCTTTTACGTGTAATACAACTGCAAAAATTTTCGGCATAATTATGACCATTATTTTCGGAGTAATTCTCTTGTGTGTAAAACGGCTCAAAGTGGGTAACAATACAATTAAGAATGACAAAGTGGCAAAGAACTTACATTTGGAAATGGATAACGAATTAAGTAAGTAAAAAATGCTTCCAAAGGGCATTTGTTCGGTTGAAGTTTTTGTTGTCATACACCAATTAGATTAAAGATTATTCTCGCTGGCCTTCTAGTTTTTCTCCCCATTCAATCAGTGCGACGTCGTGTATGGACCCTGTTTAACGCAAATGGTTTGTGGACGTGTTCAGAAAATCCAAAAGTCGTGTCTCAGGTTCATATTCGGCATCCGCAAGCAATATCCTCCGTCACTGTTTTTGTCTACATTATTTAATCTCAACCATTTTCTCAAAAAAGTGAAAAAGTTATTGAAATAGGCCAATAAATGACACAAATTGATACTTAAATTTGGCACAATACAGCGCGAAATCATCGCTGCCGTTCGTTCGCGTCTGAAGTCACACTTCTCTAGTGCCCAGCGTCTCGTCGCGTAAGTGTTCGACAGCGTCTGTGCGTTTACTGATTAGTCTATAGACAATTCATAAGGCACACCTGTGCGCTCGGACACGTGGTTTCCAGTTGAGTACTGCGTAAATTCATACCATTATGGACGCTGCATGTGAAGGTACGTAGAAAAAATGTTTATTAGGGAATTGTAGTTGTACATTTTGGAACGGTACAGTATTTATAACCTTTTTTTCTCATTTCGCATGTGTCCCACACCGATAATGTGACTCGTATGCGCAAAGTTTTGAACTCAGACCGTCGAATAAGTATTCGTTTAATTGCCCATATGTTAAATTTACCAAAATCTGTGGTTCATGACATTGTGACACAGCATTTGAACATGCGCAAGGTGTGCGCGAAGATGGTCCCAAAAGTGCCGACGACCAGAAATTGCGGCGAGTGGAAGTGTGCCAAGAAAATTTGAACATGTGTAAAAGTGACCCCCAATTTTTGAACAACGTAATCACAGGTGACGAGTCGTGGATCTTTGAGTATGATCCCGAGACAAAGAGACGATCTTCCGAGTGGCACACGACGGCGTCTCCTCGCCCAAAAAAGGGAAGAATGAGCAAATCCAAAGTGAAAACGATGCTCATTGTCTTTTTTGACATCAAAGGCATCGTCCAGCATGAATTTGTTCCTCCTGGACCAACCGTCAACGCCAAGTTTTACGTGGAAGTGCTCAGGAGACTCAAACGAAGGGTCAGTCGGATCCCACAAGACATCGCAGCCGACTGACCAAGGCCGGCATCCCCACGCTTCCGCAGCCGTCCTACAGCTCAAATGTGGCCCTCCGGACTTTTTTTGCACCGCGACTTCTCAAGGCTATTCCGGAGAATGCCTTCCGTGACGCCTTCAATGCTTGGAAATCGCGCTGGCAACGCTGCATCGACGCAGAAGGAGCCTATTTTGAAGTTTTTTAAAGAATTGTAACGATTGGCTCAATAATTTTTTTTAAATCGACTCAGTCCTATTACTTTCCGGACAAACCCTGTATGCATGTATTTAGGAGATTGAGTCGGCTCGCGTCCAGGAATCGGCCGCGGGCGTTGCAACTGGATACTGAAGTGTGACGTCACGCGTAACGTACAGACGGAATAAAAATATTCTCGCGGGGCGCAACTTTGATAGGCTGTAACTTTTTTGTTTTTAGAGATAAATTAATAATTTTTTCACCATCTTGTTTCATTTTTCCTAAACTTTCATTCGAGCCATTATGGCCAGGTTGTTCGGATGGTAAAGGTCAGATGATATAAAGTGTGGACACATGATGGAGTTTCACCACCGGCAGTTTTTCCGCCACGAAGACATTCTTAGGCGCAGCAGTTTCCTTCTAGCTATAGTATACAACTTCCAGCTTAGACCTCCAATAATGCCATGTCACATCATTACCAAACATTGATAGCTGAAGCATAATGACGTTTAGGCAACACGTACAGCTACAGAACGAGTTCATAACAAGTGTACAACAGCTAGTGTGAAGTTCACATCTTGTAGAAAAACTTACGTTATGTGACAAAAAAACCTATAAACTGTTAAAAAAAACGACGCAAGATACGTAGTAGGGATTAAAATGTACTCACCTGAGAATCCCCCGACAGCATACAACCGATCGCCGACCACCGCCACGTCGACGTTGGCCCTGGGCGTGGTCATGCTCGGCCCCACCACCCACGTCTGATTCTCTTCATCGAAAATCTCCGTGGAATTCAGCGAGTGCGACCCGTCCGACCCGCCGACGACGTACAGCTTTCTGTTGAACACCGCAACGCCGCATCCGCGTCGCGCCGATATGATCGGCTTGATCGGTTGCCAGACGTTCTTCGCGGAGTCGTACACCTCGACGGAGTTCAAGCAGTTCCACGCGTCGCAACCGCCTATTGCGTACACCAGTTTGTTGTACGCGGCCACGCCGGCTTGGTATCGACCTGAAAAAAAATTATAAATGCAGTAGAATAACTTCTCCGTTTCGACAGAAGTTGTTCGGGAAATCGGCGCATGATCCGAAATAGCCGCCGGTAGTTCCCCTTTCGGCATTTGCGTCATTAGATTCGCTGCCGGTGATTCTCCGAGCGCGTTTGCGGAATTCACTGGTATGCGTGCGTGTATGTTTGTTTCAGTCAGGTTCATAATCGTTAAAAACGTGGCAAGTGATTTGGGTGTGGGCGTAAGTACCATTTCAGAATAGAAAAAATAACGCGAGAAAATTGAAAAGTTGTCTAGTGTTCTACCATCATCGAAGGCGTCACGGAAAACTATGAAAAAGGTGGAATATCAAAAAGTGGATAATCTGTGGTTTCCACAGAATCGAGAACGTGGAATACCAATTTCCGGACCAATTCCAAAGCAAAAGGCAGTCAACTTAAGTGAAGAATTGCCAGTAATTGAAGCGCCTGATAACAGTACATTGATGCTTGGCTGCATAGATGGAAAAAACGACACTGAATTAAAATTGTAGTGTGCCGAAAATCGGACTTATGGGCCCTAAAAGTTGGACCTGTCAGATCGGGTTCTTACCTGTATGGAGAGGAGCAATGGACGTCCAAGTGCCGGTCTCTGGATTGAAAACGTCGCACTGTTTGATGCCGACTTGACCGTTCCAGCCACCGATCACGTAAATCAGTCCGTCCAGAGCGCATACGCCCATGTTGCTCCTTGCTAGAGGCATGTTAGGAATCTTCACCCATTTGTTGACAGCTAGAAATAAAATATTTCAAGTCAAAATTGATCAGACACTGCAAAGCAGTGGTAGAAATGGCGATTGAAGACATACTTGAGATAACTGTGCTGAAAAAGCAACTCTTTTTGTCAACAGAAGTCAAAACACCAAAATTGGAACTGCATAATCAAGCTCAAAACATATTTCTGTTGGTGTACCAGAAGATAGTAAACTGCGACCACTAGTATTTGTTTTATACATTAATGACATTTGTGATATTTTAGATTATCGCAAAACTCAGATATTTGATGCTAAATTCTGACTTGACAAAATTAAAAATTGGTTAAATGTAAATAAACAAAAATTGAATGCTACTAGGGAAATAAAAATAGTACAGTTAGGATAAATGGCTAAATAATTGAAAAAGTTGAATCTGTTGAATATTTGGGTATATATATTTGGGTATTGGGGTTAGGGAAATAGTATTCGTAACTTTAAGAGGTGATTCCTTGTATTATTCTAAGAAGTTCATTATAATATATATATATATATACAGGGTTATCCAAATTAAGTGTCCACCATTAGTAACTTTGTTATTAGTGAAAATACAAAGTTGTTTGAATTAGCAAACTAGTAGCATTTTTAACGCTGGTAAAAATGAGAAATAAAAAAAAACAATTGAGAGTCGTTATTTTGATTTTTTTCAGTAAAATAACATTTTTTTAAATGGAAACCCCTGTATATTATATTTTTTTCTGTTAAAGCATCAAATTTTAAACAAAAAAGTTCATAATGACTTTTCCGCTAAAGTCAAAAATAAAGTCAAAATAACGATAAATATTTTTAATTATTTGCAGTATTATAATATTAAGACGGCTATGAAAACAACATGGCGTTCGCGATTTGACAGCATTAAGATAAGCGACAAATTGTTAAACTGGACATACTCACAACTAGAAGGCTTTGGAAAACAATGATAAAATCAAATAATATCAAACATTAGTGTAAATACTTGTTTATAAGCTTTATTGTGTCATTAATTTAAAGAAAAATGTTCTCCCATGAAGAAAAGTGTGATATGTTAGAATGCTATTTAGTGTGCAGAAAATCCTCCTTGAGAGCAAGAGAATACTACAGTGAATTATATCCCGCTCGCATTCAACCGTATGAACGATATTTTCTGAGACTGTATCGAAAATTTAGGGGCAACGAAAATGTTTTTGCTAAAACAAGGGCAAAAAAAGAATTCATAATAAGCGAGGCCACGGAAATTGCAGTTATTGGATATTTTGAAGCTTATCGTCAGAATTCAATAGCAGATATTCTCTAATTTCAGTTATGGTACTGTTCAAAGGATTTTAAAAAAATACAAATTTATTCCGTATAAGTACCGACCAGTTCAAACGCTTTTGGCAGGGGATCCAGAGAGAAGACTTGTTTTTTGCCACTGGTATCTTAGCTTCTGTCGCCAAAATGTAAATAACTTTCGTTACCTTTTATGGACAGATGAATCAAATTTTTCAAATTCTGGAATGTTTAATAGAAAAAAACACCATTATTGGTCGAGAGAAAATCTTTTGTTAGTACATCCAAGAGGCCCACAAGTCCGTTTCAGTTTCAACGTTTGGTGCGGTATAATTGGTTCAAAAATTGTTGGCCCGTTCTTTTATGAGGGAACCCTAACTGGTGAAAGATATGTGGAATTTATGTCAGAAATTCTGACTAATTTCTTAGACGAATTGGATCTTATAAGTAGACATCATCTGCATTTTCAGCAAGATGGCGCACCTGCCCACAACTCCAGAGGTACTTATCATTTCCTAAGTACTACTTTTAATGATCAGTGGATAGGAACAAATGGCCCAATACAGTGGCCTCCCAGATCACCAGATCTAAACCCACTTGATTACTTCTTGTGGGGTTACTTAAAGAACCAAATTTACAAGCGAAGGTACGATAACCTTGACGCGTTAAAGACTGCAGTTAGGGAAAAGATAACCCAGATAGATGGTAGGACCATACTTAAGACAGTTCGAGCAGTTGAAAAACGTGCCCAAAAATGTATTGAAGAACAAGGTGGTGTTTTCGAGCATCTTCTTTAAAAAAAATTGTTATTGTATTTTGTAAGATTATAAGTTGATGTTGAAAATAAAGTTTGTCGATACAATTTAATTGTTTCAGATTGGAGGCCATAACTTCAACAATTTGTAACCTAGGAGAAAAGTTATTGTAAGCTTTTTTGTTTAAAATTTGATGCTTTAACAAAAAAAAATATAATATACAGGGGTTTCCATTTAAAAAAATGTTATTTTACTGAAAAAAATCAAAATAACGACTCTCAATTGTTTTTTTTTATTTCTCATTTTTACCAGCGTTAAAAATGCTACTAGTTTGCTAATTCAAACAACTTTGTATTTTCACTAATAACAAAGTTACTAATGGTGGACACTTAATTTGGATAACCCTGTATATATATATATAAAATAAATTAATTTTGCACCTTAATAATTTAAATTCATATGCCTAATAGCGTAAAGTGTATCAATACATCTATTCATTAATTAACTGTATCCAACAAAATAATTTTCTTGTTTATTAAATAGTAAAATTTTCCGAAGAAAAACAGACTAACAAAATCCCTCACACAACTGGCAACGTCGTACACCCCCTGCACTGCATGTATCATCGCGTGTTGTTGTGATTACTAATATATTTAACTGTAACTTTATGTGATTTACGAATGCTGGTTTTTTTCTTTTTTCTCATTTTTTTTTCAAGTAAATGTACTGTACTGAAAGCGTTATGAAATAAAAAATATTAGCCACAAAAAATTGCGTAAAAGTATTCAATAATTCAAGGCATATTTTCAACAAAAATATCATACAAACGTAATCAATTCGATGAATCAGTTGCAGTCGTCGTGCGCTCGTATCGCGGATGCGTTGCAGCGTTGCCAAATGTTTGAGAAAATTTAATTATTTACGACTCGCTTTCCTCGAAAACGATTGATTTTCGGACATAATTTATAATGATATTTTTTGCTTAGAATAATGCAAGGAATCACCTCTTAAAGTTACGAATAATATTTCCCTAACACATTATATAATTATAGGAAACTAAAGGTTGGGGATCACTATGAATTGAAAGAATAAATTACTTTTATAGGGCTTCTTTTAGACTTGGTACATATTCCAAAACGATAGTTGTATTCTCAAAATTCATACAAAATATTAAATAAAAATAAGTCCACTAAAGTAAAATCTATGTTACAAGAATTACAGTGGTTGAATATAAAAATTTCATCTTTTGTCAGAACATTTAGAATATTACATAGAACTAAATAATCATTACCACAGTTATTATACAAGGGAAAGATTTCCATTCAAAAAACTGCAAAAGCAATATAACTGAAAAATCAATATTTCAAAAGGGATGACTTGAATTTAATAAACTAAATAATGGTATGAAGTCTACTTGCAATTTAAAGATGTTTAAAAGACAATTAAATGAAAATTTGATGGACAGTGAAAATCCTTAGAGATGCATTTTTTTTGTTTTTTTAAATACTTGTATGTTATGTAATTATCTTTTTTTAGAAAATGTAATTGCAGCAATCTCAAACAAACAACTAAGGCGCGTTTCTCACTTGCTGTGTATCGCTGCTGGATAAGCAGAGTGGTATTTTTGTCAATTATTCAATGTGATCTTTTTCATTCCTTTTTAATGTCATATTAGCCAATTCACATTAAAAAAACTGACATGTTTCGAAAAGTTGAAGATATCAAATCATTTGGATCTGAACCCAATAGGTAGTAAATTCATCCAGAGTAGTTCACAATACATCATATTTTGGCAACAGTGTAATAACGTAAATAAAAAATCTACGAAATAACAATGATACTGACCCATATCTAGCACTTCAGCTGAATCTAGTTCAGTTGTCCCATTGCTGCCACCAATAGCGTACACCTTATCGTTTATAACGGCTATTTTACAGCGCCCTCTAGCCTCACGCATCGGCGGGAGACTCTTCCATTCGTTTGTTTCCGGGATGTACTGTTCTACAGACTTCAAACACTCTGTCCTGTCGTAACCACCTGTAAATGAAAAAAAAAACTCGGTGGACTTGATACTTCTCAGGATTATTCTAGCGATGTTATAAGCCCAAAGTCAATGTCTTTGGTGTTATTTGAGACACACCACGTAAGTTTTGAAGCGGTGTCATTCCAGAATGGTTCGTCAACGGCTTGCAAGAAAGACTCGGTCGACAAGAATCACGTTCGGATTGATATTTAAAAATGATTTCTTACCGCAAACAACAAGTGTGTTAAGGAAATTCGCACACCCTACAGAACACCTTGGACAAGACATGTTTGCGAGAGCGCAATAAAGGTCCGGTTTTTCTTCGCTAGCATGCCTGCTAGTATCTGGAGTTTGTACAGGTGAGGGGGTGGATGGTGTATTCAGTCTGTAACAAAAATATAACTTTTGGAAAAATATTACCAAATAGGGTCTTTCTTTCTACCACTTCAGGAGATTTTAGCTATCTTTTGAAAACACACTACGATTTAAACAAGAAAATATAGGGAATACGAACGCTCAATTTACCTATGAACTTTTGGGCCGACTATAAAGAATCCGTCTCGCGTCAACCGCTCATCATAACGACTGCCTAATTTTCTTGTACCGATAGGAAAGCCCCGAGAAGAGATTTTCTTACTATAAATCTAGACAACTATTTTTGGGCGAATAGAAAAGAATAATGAAAATATGCTATTTCAAAGTTCATTACTGCCATATTCAAGTAAAAAATCGGTACCAATTGATTAGAACAAAAACGATATAATTGAAGAAACCAGATCTAAAAATGTCTTGATTTTTTAAAACACGACCTAAGAAAGCATTTTCGCTAACATACCTCTAAAATCAAAAGAGCGCAACTATCAATAAAAGCCCCTTCATGGTCGGTTTCATGAAGTAAACTGAATCGTGATCGTGTGAACTGTCCACGATCCTCGCTGGTTCGCTTTCTCTCCAACACAAAAGACAGATCGAAAGCATGCCACACTGTCGTCTTTTTGTCCAGCGAGAAAGTAGCTTAATGTTCTCCATAAACATGTTACCCTAGCCAGCTTTCAAACCCGCAAATATTACATACCTTCTATAGAAAGCTAGCTTTCAAACACTGAACATACGAGCTCTGTAAATTAATTTTATATTGCCACCCTCAAAATAACTTCCTTCCCGGATTCTGTCGATATTTTCATCGGTTCTTGAAGAGAAGGCCTTCGGTTTCTGAAAATGCTCTAAATCGCCTAAAACCCCGGCTCTTGACAAAAATCTGCTGACGTTTAGCAAGAGTTTCCGATTCGCTGTGCCCAAATCTAAGGCAAAACCTGTTGCTCGAAATTGATGTCACTTATTTTTAGAGCACAATAGAAACTGCACAAAAAAAATTTGCTAGGGACAACCAAATTAATGGAGCGAGTTCATACTTGTACTGAAGGCGGATCACATGTTCCCTGTGCCCAGGGTTGCCAAGTCAATGTCTACCAAAATTACCGTAAAATTTCGCACAACTTTACCGAAAACAGATCGACTATTTCTGGCAACACTGGTTTTATTTCTGACCTACCCTTTAAAAAATCTACTTTGAATCAAATTCTTTTTGCAGCGGTTCTGGTTCTGGTTGACCTTAAGTGACATGAAAATGACATAATTCAATTTTGTCATATTTATGTCATTCAATGTCAACCAGAATCAGGACCGCTGCGAAAAGGTCTTGATTCAAGTCAGACGTGTGTTATTCGTAAGCAATATACTATTTTCACGAGTATGTATCGCGGAACAATATCAAAAAACGACAACTGATCATGCATGCGAAAAGCAAATTGTTTTTGAGCGGTTGTGGTTCTGGTTGGCCTTGAGTGAATTTGGGGAAATTTGAATGGAAATTCTGTCCTTTTTATGTCATTCAAGGCCAACCAGAACTATAACCGCTAAAAAATAATTTGCTCAACTGTCACTTTTTGACCTTGATCCGCGATAGATACTCGTGAAAAATACTGTAAATCGAAGGCTGTAGATTTACAGTTTTTCAAATAATATTCTACAGTCATCAGTTTTTTTCAAGCTCATACTCATGTTTCCTCTCGGATGTGGTTGGCAACGCTGCCTGTCCCTCTCCAAGCCCGACGCTTCCAGTGTTGCCGGATCGAACGCTACGTTGCCATTCTCGTCAGACCTCGTAAAATACATACCTTAACTGTATAGATAGCGTGGAGAGCTTGCCGCCCAATGTGACTAACGCCAAAAAGCTGTGTTCTCCAACGCTGCACGTAGCTATCAGGCTCCAATCGGGTTCCATCTCCAGCTCTATTTCTTTGCCTATATCGCTATACACCAACACTCTCGGTTTGGACGGTTGGCCCAACACTTTTCGTTTCCCTTTCGAACCGGCCGGTTTGTCTTTCAGCGACATTTTCTTGTAATCTTGTACCATTTCCGTATCGCTGACGTCGCCTAGTGAAAAAGTCGATCAGCATTTAAACTACCATCGCGCCAAACTGAGTCATACCTGAGGGCAAACTGGAACAGTCTTGCAAAGAATTATCGATGGCGAGATAGAGCATAAAAGTTTTCTCGGATAACATTTGCATGTCTAGGTTATCCCCTTCTACCTCCCTTTTGATCCATTCCAATACAAGACGGCACAGCGAACTTTCGTTGACGTTGATCATCTCCTCTCTGAATTGATGGAGTACCTCGATTCGGATACAGTAGAGGTTCAAGACCTGATTGGATTTGCTGATTTTCGGGAACTACAAATATAGATTATTTGAAGATAGTAAGCATAGAAGTAATAGGTGACATGAAAGTTGTAACTAGGTCAGACAATAATAAGTTTTCATAGTTACACATAAACCAATGCCTTAAGATAACCGACGTATTACGTTCTGAAAAATCTAAATAAGCCATTTCGACTCTGTCTCTTTCCTCGCCTACGTCAAAAGTTTTGTGGTACTATGCCTATGTGAGGCACCTCGAACTGTTTAGGTTAACCTGGTTTATAAACAAACCGTATTTGAAAATCAAAATTGACACATTCCTACAGCAATAAAGTAGTTATCGATTTGATGATAGTTTACTGTGAGCGTCTTCAAGATTTATTGATACTCCGCGAGTGCAATCGAGTATTCAGAACGTCGCCGTCATCCTCTATATTTCCAAGCCGTCTGAAGAAAACCTAGGCAGCCCCAGATATTGCAAATTTAGGAAAAAGTGTTTTTTAATCGAACAGCAGTAATTACAAACAAAACATGTGGCAGGACTACTTGAAATACCAAATTTTGCGTCAATTTATTATTTACGCTTTCGGTGCTAGTTCTACCACAAATTAACTTTGTTATTTCAAACGTAGTTGTTTCCACCTTCCAGGATACCCTGTATATTTTCCAATTTTCACCCAACATTTCTTATGGTGCAAGCAGTCGTCCTGCTTTGTTAAGGTCAACTTTAAATCGAGGCATTTCCCTGCTTAAGATGGATTTTCTAACTTTCCAGTTTGACATTTTTATAATTTCAGACCCACTGTCAGTTTCTTCATAAATTAAAAAACTGTGAATATGGAAAGTTCTTTCTAGTTCTTCATTAATTTCTAAAAAACTTGCTTAATAACATGTTGTAGCAACTTTTTACTTATTGATTCGGCCATACAACAAAGTCCTACGAACATTAAAACCACAGGAGTTACAGAAAAAAACCAAAACAAAAAGTTACTATAATGCAGCACTGCTATCTTAGCTATATAAATGTCCACCAAATGGAAATAATGGAACAAAAAAAGAATTCGACCTTAACATACGGATCACCTTTTCTAAGTGGTAGAACTGTTCATAAGAGATAATAGTGATTTAAACAAGAAGTACCATACCTCTTTTTCGATAAAAGCGTCAACTTGCTGAATGAATTCCTTGTTTTTTGATATGCCTGGCAGAGATCTTATCTCCACGCAATTTTCCACGTTTAAATGTTTTGTGAGGTACTGGGCACAACATTTTGTTACTCTGTCCATCTTTAGGTTGCTAGCTGCCAAAAATACAGCTTTCACCTAGAATAAACACCAGAAAATCAGAAAACAATTCAAACAAAAAAATAACAGGTATCTGGTATCTTTGTTTGTCGGCTATGAAGATGCTTGTAGAATGAATATTCTTGATATGGCAAAAATTGAGGTTATGGGCTTAGAATATACACGATCTAAAATGTCTGAATCAACTCTATGTTCTGGTAGATTTAATATGGCAAACCCTTACAGATAGTGATATAATGAATATGATTGAAGGAAAAGTACTTATTTTAGAATACTTCGTCGTCAGTACGCCTGGAAATAAAAGAAGGTAGCTATACTCACGTCCCCGTAAGCAACGTCTAGCTTCGCAGTATACGCGTAGTCAATCAGAATCTGCAGTGCCGTCTTATCGAAACCCCCATTCAACCTATAAGTAACCACATTTTCTGAACTTTTCTGATCTTCATCGCTGGAGAAAAGCTCGAATAGATACGGCGATGCGCTGGCGAGTACGGCCCTGTGTGCGTGGATCTCGTTGCTGCCGACCTATTTTCCAAAATTGATGCATTGAAAGCCATGCTTAACTTGGGTGAAGTCATTAATATTAACGCAAATTCCGTAAGAGTGAGAAATAAGACTTTTCGTGGGCGCCCGCAGGAAATTTTCTCAGAGGGGCGATCGTCGGCAAGAAATAACTTTTTATGAAAGGCTTTTGGAAGAACAGAAAAAAAATTGCGGAGGCCAAATCATAAAACCCCCAAAATATTACACAAAACCATGTGAAATATGCAAATTTTAAGATCCTCAAGGAGTGGCTCGGCCCCCTCTGGTACACCCCTGCGGACGTCCATTGGAATTTTTTCTATAAACAATGAAGCAGCTGTAAAATGTCGCTGTTATTGATAAACAATACTTTAAATGGCGTTTTTGGGCATACATTCGTATTTTTATTGAGATTTATGGTCGTTAGAGGTTGAAGAAAGAGGTAAAGTAATAAAATTCAGTTTACCCTCACACTAAACACTGGTAGGGTTTCTGTAAAATAGAGAGAATTAAAAAGTTCCCTAGATAAAGAGCAAAATTATGTATCTGCACGCAAACAATGGATCTGGATAGTAATTTGGTAATTTCTTAGGAAAGGGCCAATAGAATATATGAAAAAAAAATGTTATTTTTGTTCTTGTATAACCTCTTTGATTTATTACATATTTAACGAAGTTCTAGATCTTTTTCAGGTGACAAAAAACGTTTCGCTATTTTCGAGTAAGGAGTCACTCTAAACTACTATTTCTCCTTAGATTTGAAAAATATTTGGTTTGAACAAGAAAAGCCGAGTTTTGGAAAATTTCTATCCAGACCCTCAATATATTAAATTATCAATTGTTACCTTATTAGTACAGATATCTAACGAATTGTGCTCTTCACATTCAAAAAAGTGTTTATGCTCATCTCCTCTAGAGAAAAAAATCTGTCAAATATATCGTTAATATTTCATTACACAATTTTTAATATTCTGGCTTTCATAGTTTAACAACTGACTGTAATTCAGTCTGAGATCATGTGCCAAAATATCGTTAACACTAGCTCGCATTTCATTCATTGTCAATTATTATCTATTAGCATCTATTAGTCATATTACGAGTATAACCAGAATTTACCGAATAAATTAATCTATGTTAAATATTTACTCAACTTTAAACCATAAAGAAAACCTCAGTCTATATTTTGAACTATTATACTGATGGAACGAAAATAACGAATGAGAGCATTATTCTAGTCTAGTCATTCAGCAAAAACATGTTTTTGTTATTGTATCTTCACCTATTTTTACGTTATTCCCCTGAAAATACTCGCTTGATCTTATAATAGATTATACTGGATACGGGGTGAATTCCAAAAAAATAGTATAAGTATAATATCCTACCAAGACACAGTCCAATATGCGCCAAGTTTGGTTCCAAGTCAAAAAATCATTCACCAACATATCTCTAAGGAGATTATGTAATCTAATCTCCAGTGCCTTGCCAAGGTCAACTTTATTCTAAGCTGAACCTCAACTTCCATGTTTTTGTTGTACCAGATACACTTAAACCTTAAGTGGAACTTAAACAGACATTTCAGCTGTCAAAAAATGTATCTTCAAAATTTCAACTTGCCAATCAATTTTTATCTCTGACCCATTACTGACCAATGCCTGTCAAGTTCTTGGTAAATTAAAGGCTCCCGATATGGAAGAATTATTTTAAACTGATACGGACGATCCATATGTAATAAAATACTTGATTATGTTGACCAATGCTTAAAGCGAATCGAATTCATAACGAACAAATAATATTTATAAACTAAACAAGGCAAGTAGACATCTACTTTACAGCCAGAATCGTCTACCATCTAGCGGTCACATGGTGACTGGGCTATTAAATGAATAGATAGCAGCTATGCGTTCTCCGCAGTGCTAATATTTATCTTATTCACTGTTGCAATCAAAATCCAATAAATTCGCAGTTATACTTGAAACAACGATAATTAACAATGGTTGATAGATGCAGCTGTCAATGTTCCTAACCCCTCAACTTGTAACTACTCTACTCTAGTACCATACAAAATAACTTAAAAACTACTCACTACTGGTAAATATTATTTTCTATTTGATGAAATTGTTACGAGCTGCCCAGTAGTGTGTAACTGACCGTAAACAATAACAATTCTCACATCGTTTTAGATAATTGCAAAATCCCCCGTGTTTCATTCAATTCAATCAACTTTTTGCGATCACAGCGTGACAAAAACACTGAACCTTGAGCGTTCAGTGTGCTTTGATTCAATCCAGGCCAACGCCGACGGTTCTCGAGATCAATTTGTAAGGTTAGGTTTCGAAAGGGATCGATAATGCCAACGTTTCAAGTGCATGTTGCAGAAAATAAAAGCCTAAGACACTGCTCTCACCGAAAGCAACTCAACAACATCCCGACTTCAACGCGATTTCGGCTTTCGTTTGATTGCAGTCATAAAGCCGTAAATTTTATAAAGCAAACTCTAGACCAACAAATTAAAAGCACAGAACTGAGCAAACTAATTAAAAGTGACTTATTTACAAAGAATGTATAAATTACATTAGTGTTTTCTGTATTGTTTCAGAATTAACAAGAAGCAACTCAATGAAGCGAGACACCTGTGTTTTGCAACGCAACACAACATGAATTTGGAATAAATCTATCTATATTTTCATTTAATACAATTTTAGTATTAGATTTTTATTCTGAAACTCATTCTCAGCAAAACTGCTGAAAGAGATATTACCCTTATTGGGGATATTTTATGAATATCATATAACTAAATATTTCCCTGTCATCATTTGTCAACAATGTCATCACTGTCACCACTGAAGGTACTGACTGTCACTGCCATTTTGTTTTTTCACAAAAAATGTATGCAAAGAGGAAGATCTGAAAGAAACAATACTAGTACCTAGGATTTGGTGGAATTATAAATAAGCAGCAATAATATTTTTGTCGCTACATCGTCTAAACACGCCCAGAAATGTATTCACAATAGTCATAACCATGGAAGAAGCTGGGGCACAAAGTATCTGACACAAATTAATTCTGTTTGAATAGCACAATATAACTGGCACAGTTAAGACGGTCTTTTTATTTATTTCGTATGACATTGTGACGTAACCAGCTAAACCGTCAAAAGAACCGTACATCCTTCAGCTCAGTATAAATGTAGCAGTTTCTAAGCATTTTTCTGTCAGTTTTTCAACACTGTATGCAAACATATTTCCTAAATCTGATAATGACTCCTAACAATATTAGATTATCAAGCTTCCTGTATCTCTCTCTCTCTCCTGGAAAGCTTTCGAGAATGTCACTCACAGAATCGCTTAAAAAAATATAAAATCGCGATGGAAAAATAATGTTATCTAATCATCAATAATAATTATTCAAATGGGGCAACTTGAAGCCGACTGGTGAAGTCAGTGCCAGCAACTCGTCACGTTGCCGTCTTTTTAGAGTGAACGCTCGCATTTGAATACATGTGTCGCATCAGGTTGTGGTAGCCCGTCGCTTTCGTTGAGAACGGTCCCTAAAGGCTTAACATCGGCAATCGGTAAATATCCTCGCAATAACAGGGGATCCGAATTATCTAAAAAGCGTGAAACATGTTGCTTGTACAGTCAGGCACATACGTGGAGAATGACGTCACAGAAATGCCGGTTTTTGCGCATCATGTTCAGCGAGTTGAGGATGTGGCCCTGGTGTACTTCGTCGAAGAACTCCAGGCTGAGGTCCTCTGCCTCCTCCATGGTTAACTCCGGGGAGATTTCGCCGTTCGGGGAGTCCATCTTGCCTAGAAAGAATTTTAAAAAATGACGACAAATAGATTGACTTCCCACACAACGCTGTATTTTGAAATTTGTCCCCAGCCCTAGAGACAGTTTCGACCATCTGGCAACGTTGCTGAACCACGCCAGACGGCCAGCACCAGCAGACAGTGTTGCCGAATCGATTTTTTAAAGTAATTCAGAGGTTTCCGCTTGAAAGAATTGCCAGAATCTGTCGTTCTTTTATCTGAATGTGCCACATTGCACAACCAAACCCTTCGAGAAGAAGATCGATGTAACATACTATAACGTTTTGATGAATTGTTGTCGAGTTATAAGGGATTTAGAACAAAAACGCTCAACTTTGACAGCTTACCAGCCCGCCATTTTGAGAGATCCATGTCAATTGTCAGGCAACTCAAAATACATAATAGCGAATCTCAAAGATGTGTCGATTTTTTTCTTTCTTCCAGTCCCAAAATAATAACGAATTTTACAACGAACCAAAATAAAAAAATGCTCCGATTCTAAAAGCGATCTTAATGTTGAGTATAAAGTATATGCCAGATCCTGAACTATAATTATCTACTACTAGAATATCAACAATATCAAGAGGTTTACACAAGCACTAGTGCGAAATTAACACGAACCACATTGATAAACATATTGCCCACGTTATAAATAAAGTAACAAACGAGTGCCAAAATACAAAAGATATATGAATTGTAATTTAATGCTTGATTTACTGGTACAAGCTCACCTTGTAGTTTCTGCTATATAAGCTAGGGTCGGTGACACTTGGATCACAAAAATTTAAACCCGCTAATCGAGTTAAAGAATGTATTTTTACGAATGTAGGATAAACGATAATTTTAATCTGGCACTGTTATAGGGAAAAAGATTCTCAGCGCAATTTATCTGGGTTAATATACGGGATTTGGGAATTCATTGTTCCGCCAAACAAATTTTGAGAAAATCTGAGGACAGTTTTTTGCTCCAAAAAATCCCGTTTCTCTATTACAGATACGAGGGTGGTCCCAGAAGTACCCTCACTGACCTAGAGGTGGCGATAGTTGTTTGAAAAATATCATTGTATTGAAAGTATGCAACCTATAAAGCATATGTGTCTCTGTTTGAAGACGCCACGTCGTTTAGTATTTGTTTGACAGCCATCAATACTGAACGTTTTCAGTGAATTTGTGAAAATGGAGAAAGTTGGTCATCGTTATGTGGTACAATACTTTTATTTCCAAGGCCTCAGCCCAACCAATATAAAAGCTGAACTGGACTCTACTCTGGGTGAGTCTGCTCCTTCATTGACAACAGTAAAATATTGGGTAGCGGAGATTAAACAAGGCAGTATGAGCTGCCAAGATGAGCATCGCAGTGGTCGACCAAATGAGATGACGACTCCAGAAATGGTGAAGAAAATTCACAAAGCGGTACTGAATGATCGTCGACTGAAAGTGCGCGAGCTAACAGACATAGTAGGCATTTAAAAAAGTGCGGTTCATCGCATATTATCTGAAAATTTGGACATGAAAAAGCTGTGTGCAAGATGGGTGCCGCGATTGCTCACAATCGAGCAAAAACAGTGTCGTGAAGATGTTTCAATTGAGTGTTTAGCGAAGTTTCACAGCAACAAAGCAGAATTTTTGCGTCGTTTCTTAACCATGGATGAAAATTGGTCCATCACTTTACACCCAAGACAAAAGAACAATCATAACAATGGACTCAAAAGGGGTAACCGGTTCCAAAGAAGGCGAAGACCGTTTCATCTGCATGCAAGGTTATGGCGTCGGTTTTTTGGGATGCGCGTGGGATAATTTTCATTGACTATCTTGAAAAAGGTAAAACTATCAACGGCGAGTATTATGCGAACTTATTGCAACGTTTGAGCGATGAAATCAAGCAAAATCGGCCGCATTTGGTTAAGAAGAAAGTGTTGTTTCATCAAGACAATGCACCAGCTCACAAATCCGTTATTGCAATGGCCAAAATTAACGAATTAAAGTTTGAATTGCTACCTCATGCCCCCTATTCACCAGATTTAGCCCCCCCGAATTATTTTCTGTTTCCAAACTTGAAAAAATGGCGCAGTGGCAAAGATTTTCCAACGATGAAGAAGTGATGTCCGCAGGTAATGACAGTTCTTAAAGTGTATAGAACTCAAAAGAGATTATGTTGAAGAATAAATACATTTTTTTTACAAAAATTTGGTGTTTTCTTCGTTGGGTCGGGTACTTCTGGGACCACCCTCGTACGTATTGGCGATTTTTGATCGCGATATCCTATAATCCTCCCAGGGTTTCAAATTGCCGGCTGACGATAATGGAAATTTTTTACTTGATAACTATTTTTTTACAGAACCAGAATGCCTATTTTAGTTTATTCTGCATTTTCTGATCTCACAACCCTCAGGCAATTGAATGATTATTATAGATATAAAACTAAAAGCTCAATCACAAAACATTCATACTTCATAAGCAATAACTGTGCATTATACATATTTAATATTTTGTGTTAATTCTGCATTAACATGCTATTTTAAAGATGACGTAACGCTGCATATGATAATATACAACAAACAACACCTATTTATCAACAGATCATAAGTGCAAAATGACAATGCACACCGAGTAAAAATGTAACGTGATGCTGATGCAAGTATCTAGTAAGAGGATTTCCTTCAATGTAAATTCCTGATTTTTCTGGCTTCAGCAGGCATTGAAAATTAAATTAAATTGACTCAATAGAGGTTGATTATCCTTTCGAGTTCAAGACACCATTATTAGAAAGCAGACGGTTAAATAGGAATATACAGACGTCCCTGAAGTTAGCTTCAAATTCAGATTCGCAAATCATGAAATTACAATCGACCAGTTCAGTAGTGCGTGCAAATCGCCTATATGCTGGGAAACTGCTATTTTCAGACTTTGAGGGCTGTTTTATGTTACGTATTATCAAATATGTAGTACGAAACATCAGGGGACTACAGGGTGATTCTGTACACATACGGGTTGACTCCTCAAAACAGAAAAAAATCCGCAGAACCCAATCGGAGAATTGTGTCACTAACAAACTCATATATGTTGTAGAGACTCCACAGAAGTACACCGCATAGCTTTGCGAAAAACCCGGCGATTACAGGGTGATTCTATGCACATAAGGTTTTTATATGTACTTATTCGTTCGTGTCGGTTATAACCCTGATTTAGTTTAACAGGTATGTGGCCTTAATTTGATGTACATTTCAGGTAGGTACATTTGATTTCATTTCAGACTATTATTTCATGATATTCGAATCTGAATCTGAAGCTAACTTCAGGGTCGTTATGCACAGGGTGACCCTCTCTAACTTCTTTGCATGACCGCTTGAGACCAATCAAGTATTACATAAGCACTAAATGGGGTAAGGGCCGTCGCGTTGCTTATGTTTGATGACATGGCGGATAGGGGGTCTAGATGGCAATTACGTCAGCAATATTTATTTTTCCTTTATCGGATTTTATGCAAAATTTATTCGATTTGGCAACTCTTTCTTTATGCGCAAAAGCGATACGCATCTTCAAAGATTCCCAAATATAGCATACAATATATATTTCGAAACAACGCCATCTATATTTCTCATTCCAACTCGGATAATTTTTTTGACTCGAGAATATAGTATTAGGTTGGCTATCTTTAGGTAGAATATGTTAATGAGCACCACAATTCATCACTTAATTTCACTACACTAACTTGGAACAGAGCAATATTTAATTGCAAACAACATGCTATCCATTTCCTATTTTTCTAGTGAAAAAAAGACGATTTCACTTCAATTTACGAAATCTAATATCCTCTTACAAGCAAACCATAATTCCAATAATAGAACCATAAAATACGTCATACACAGAGACAAAAAATTTATGATTATGTAGCATTTACTTTAAAATGATTGTCTATCATGTGATGTAAAAATTCCAAATTGGTGGCAATATAATCAGATCAAAGTTTAGTACACCTTAGTAATTTAGGGTGAATAAAGTACTGCAATGCCATATTTGATGAAGGAAAGTTTTCTGGGTCCTCCCGTTGATTCCAGTGAACAACTGTCTTTGGATTCGTAATATACATACCAATTTACCTACGGATTGGCTTCCGGTAGAGACTGCAAATATACAAGAAAATTTTCACATATTCCGATTTTCCGGAGGCAATATATCATCATCACTTGTTGCTACAAGCGAACATACAGGAGAGACTTGGGACGGCGATTTGAATACGACCATTAAAAAATGATTGAGTTGTAAAACCCTAACTGGACTAGCAGAATGCAACTTTTTGGACCTTGCTCGGATTCACCGAAAAACTGACATTGGATTTGTGTTCTCGCCCAATTTACCAAAGAAACGGGTTTTTGGTTAGGGCTGCTATATGTTCAGGCAAGCGTTTTAAAAAGTGGCCCGGGGTTCCTAGGCCATTTTTTGTGTCAGAAAAATCTTGCGTAATGTAATGACCAAGAAAAATGCTTTGTGACCCGCGTCACCCTGTACAAGCACATTTGCACCGCCCTGTACAACCAACCAGGCGAAGCCGCCGCAATACGCAGGCGCAGTCAATCAGGTGCGGCGATTTCATCTGGCCCGACAGTGAAGAAGTGAAAGATGTTTTTGTTTTTATCATTAAATAATTCGCAATCTCATCCCGGAAATTTTGAGGATTTTGCCTCGGCGTCGATAATTTAGATGATAGCAGCCCTAGGTTTGGTTGAGAATATTTTATCATTTCGTCGCAATCGTCCCAAATACACCGATGATTGGTCAAATACACACTTTGAAGTAAGGAAACTCAATGAAACCAGAATTTATCTCAAAACCTGTGCATCATCTGGTAGCTATTTCACTTTTAGGACCTTACCCGATTTAGTTTAGCAACAAAAGAGAAATGTGTTCTTGCAATTCAAATATTTTCTAACCTCAAATTGCATATTTAACCAAGCATCAGAGTATTTACACGATTGACAGGTTATTGACAAACTTGCGAGACAGACCCGGGATCATCCTGTATGTATGGTACGGCCATAGATGAAAAGACGTCCTCCTATAGATAAAAATTGACGTCTCCTACTGTTTCTCCTAACATAACCAAGAGAGTCACAAATGAGTGTGCGACCTTTTCTTTGGGCCACCCTGTATAATCCTTCTGCCTGCGCGACTGCTTCGTTATGAAAAAGTTATCTAGACTGCCTCCCCATAAGGCAAAATTAAATATTCATCTAACATTGTCACAAGTGGACAAAATTCGCTGGGCTGCGCTGGGATAATTTGGGACGCTAATTTGAGTATGGCTATGAAAAAATGCCACAGAACTCCATTTGCAGTACGTAAATGGAACTTATATCCTGGTTTACCATACAATCTTCATCATTGTACATCAAAATAGGGCTAAAATGGTTTTTTCCTAGTAATTCCCCATTTGCAAAACCCTTCACCCTGTATATTAGCAACATCATCTACTTTCTCCAAATATACCTATTTACGTTATCACTACCACGAGCTTTTATCAGTATTATAATTATATTTTCAAGGGTTTTATATTTTAGGTAGGTAAACCGCAATTTCTCTATAATTTAATTTACAAAGAAACCACTTAGTTGCTTCTATCCTTAGAAAAGCTCAATACATAAAAAAGCATTTGAAATATCATTTTGTACCGGAAATCGAACTAGGATCTATATTTGGCAAGGAAACTCAGCAAAATCGACGTTACTATCAACGTTGATTACAGAAAGCACATGTTAAAAACGGACGCTCTTGAGGTATAGCGCTTTCTTGGTTCCAGAATTGATCAAACAATTAAGGTACCTATATCGACTTACCGGAGTCTTCAAGGCTGAACGAACCACGCTAAAGGTCCTAGACGCGGTTAACGCTACAACATACGTACAGAAAGATCTCGTTCACTTAAAGAATATGTCGCACCAGACGATTCGGAAACAACACGTCGATGGTCATGTCACAACAAACGAAAAATTTAGAGAAAATTCAGCCAAAACGCGCAACGGTCAGAAGCGGTGACAGTCCGATCATGCGCTTCTTTGATATGACGCTAAAAGCTTTGTTGCCGGCTGTTGCACTGTTTCTGTAGAAATGCTCCAAGACGAAACCGACGAAATTTCATCTTGTAGACTAGGTAGTTTTTAGTGTGCAAATAGTTCATTACACGCTTGCTCGCTAGGTCCCTGTTGACTTTAAACAACACGTACAATCACAAAACGAGTTCAAAACAAGTGTACAACAGCTTGTGCTAAGTTGTTTTGTAGAAAAATCGTATGTCACAACAAACTACGAAACGTCAAAAAACCGGCAAAATGTCACTATTCAAGATACGTAATACCCCTGCCGGAAACATTTTTGAATAAGGTATTTAATTTGACGCGGCGAGGTACCTCGCATGATTTGAATTTTTGAGGTAAAATCCGGATGGAAACCCTCCACCCGTTATACTTCTGAAATTAGAAAATTTTACATTGAAAACTTCTTTTATACACATTGCCAACCGTCGATTCACAGGGTTTCATCAAAACTACTCAGGAACGAAAGCCGGAAAATACCTATAACTTAAAAGTAAAAACTTTTACGTTCTGTTTGATGAGTTGTCAGTCATATGGTATATTATAAACCTGAATAATCGTATACATGAAAAACCAATAAGAAAATAATAAATGAAGATCGAAAGCTGCCAAAATCAATTGGCGACCTTTTCAATATACTATAATATACTGGAAGTTCAAGGCACACTCCACTATAATAGATGTATAATGATATCATTTAACGTATTTTACCTGAGGATAGAAGTATAAATCTGTTCACGGTTCAGATTTTCATACCACATGACATGCATTATAAGTTTTCCGGGATCACTGGAAATTGTAAAAGTAAGTCTGACAACGTTGGCTTACCTTGGGTTAATTAGCTTTGTTCGAGCATCTATCTTCGTTATGTCAACACATCTATCTCTATCATGTAGGGATAGGGATGGGCGGTTATTGATAAAAAAACGGTTATAGGTTAAGCGGTTATTACATCAATAATCAAATCCAAGCGAATAACCAAAATTTCTGTGTTATGTGCCGCGGTTATAATGTAGTTCAAGATGACACACGGGTTGATGACGTCAGTTACACGAATCGCTTGAACGCGTTGGTTTTAACCGCGGTTTTGTTGCAAGTTGTTTATTTTAGAAAAGCGCGTATATAATCTCTGATTATTTTTATTATCATTTAATAATCGGTGCTTTTTCGTCTACAACTGTATATGGAAAGTTTAAATAAGAAACCTTTCATAATATTCATGGGAGAAATATTTTTTTCAGATTTTTTTTTAAATGATGGAACCATGGCTTTGTAGCTATGATATCTTTCAATTCTCTAAATTTTTCCGCATGTCAAAGAAAACATTTATTGATTCAGCAGAAATGATGAAAAAAGAAATTAGCAAAACCGTATACAGGTGGATATCATCTAGTGAATTTATATGGCCATATTTTAATATTCTTGTGGTATATGGCTACACAGGATACTTTGTTAAGCATAGGAACTACATTTAAAGTGTCCCCAACAACCGTAATGAGTATAACTAATAAGGTGCTCCACTTTATGGTAAAACTGAAGTCAGCCTGTATCGTTTTTCTCAAAAATGAAGCTGAAGTACAATAACAATATCCAATACCCGGCAAAATTCTAACTTGTCACATTTCAAATAATAACCAGAAATATAAAACTACTCTTGAGTTGGGTAAATACCACAATTTTGCGGTGATAACTATGACATATAACAGCTGATTCGTGACGTCACGGATCTTATAACCAAACTGATAACTGCACTCGCTTGAACGGATTGGTAAATACCAACCCAAAATGGTAAATACCATTTGGTTATCCGCTTGAATTTGATTAAAAACTTTAACCGGCACAGACCACAGAACATCTATTAGAAGGTACGGCTATCCCAAAGTTTTGGTACAGTTTCTTTTTAATACTCGCATATGGGGCGGGGCGTTAGAGAAGTGGTCAAGGACAACAAAAAAAACAGCCGTAATACTCACTATCACTACGCCCATAATTACTGAAATTTAATTAGGTAGAAAAAACCTTTCTTCTGGTTATTGCATTTTTAACTGATAACCGGTTAAACGTACATTATACAATAACCGGTTACCATTATGAAATAACCGGTTAATGAATTTAAACCATCCTTGTATGTTTGCTCTTGCAGTGTTTTGCACCACGTAGGGTCGACTAAGGCCTGACAAGTGTCACTTCTCTTTCATACGTCTTCTTTCAACGTCACCGCTGTCAAGCTGCCATTTTTCAGTGTATATGTTTTGTGGTTAGAAGTGTACGTCTTTCTATGAATAAAATACTGAAATTGAAGTAGAAATAGGGTCCAAACAAACTCGAAATTCTAGATAGTCCCCTGTACCCCTAGCCAAGCTCAGGTCGTTGTTGTTTCGGATAATAGAATAAGTATATAACTTTGTAGTCATACCTGGTAACAACCCACAGCTGAGCCCTTTTGATGAGGGTAAGTTAGCAGCTTACCTACGTTCTACGAAAACATGGAAACAAAAAGGAAAATCACGTGTGGATCAAATGTGTTAAATAGGTAATTTTTTAGGCTAATTGCAAGGATTTGTTGATATCAGATATCTATATTGTCGAAAGCAAGGGGCTTGTTTGCCCCGCTTCCACTTGAGAAGTAAAATACAATAGGGTACCCGTTTCTCAAGCAACGAGTGGCGTGTACTTTTTTTTTGGTTGAAACACGAAAATGACTTGCTAGATCTGAATTGTTACGATGTGCCTGTTTTACAAGTTTATTTGTAGCTAAGACACTTTGTACATAAAATAGATATTGCTTCAAAACCTGATATTGGACCCCTCACCTTTTATAAATTCAGCTTATAGCAGGACACCCTGTACCAAGACTTATTTGAAAGTGACTGTATTTTATAATCTTTTAGTAAAAGAATTGAATACATCAAGCCTGAAAATATTCCAATAGGTACTGAAGATGTTTATATTAAAGAGGAGATTGGCATAGACTCTAATAGGTAAAAATGACTTACAGAGTGATCCCTATACTCTACCTTTCAGAGTATTGCAGTTGGGAAAAATTTCAAACTGAAGATTCTCTTTTGATGTGTAATCTCCTGCATAGACCCTAAATGCTGTTCAGCAAGGTTCCATGCAGGTTCTTACAAATAACTCTTGTTTTCATAAAGTGATAAAGAGAGATCAGATATGTAACCAAAAACATGGCAGCCACCCATGTGTGATCAATTTGCATGGGAAAATTGTTTCTATTTTTCACTGTGAACATAACACATTCAAAAGTGTAAAGTGCACCTAGTGTCACTGAACCCATAGACTTAAATATGCATCTACATTTGTAATGTCTCATTGCTCTTATGGTCCTTTTTTGAATAACATATTTTTTGCGTCGCCCAACACCATTATTCCAGAATGTAAAATTGGTTAAAAATTTGCACAAAATACAATTTTTTACTGTATGTAGTGAATGTTTTAATCACAAAGGTGGAACAAGTATCTGCAACCAAGTCAGGGGCAGAGCATAGGGATCAACACTTGTATCAATAACTTTGTGAAGAATATTTCATGACTGTTTTTAACTGTTTCAGTATGAATACTGAACAAATCAAGACTGAAAATAATGATGTAGGCAGAAGAGTTGGGGAAACATTTGACACAAAGGGAGAAGAATGTTCGGTCAAAATTGAAGATATGGAAACAGACAGTTATGGTGATGAGAAATTCTTCAAAGATAAAGAATCACTCCAGCTTACAGAAGAACTGGACATCAAGCCTGACATCAATGCAAGTACAGATGTGACAGCTAGGATAGCTTCAGAAATGTATGTGTTTGATAAAAAAACCTAAAACAGAAATATTAGCATGCCATCAAGGAATGCCTTTCATGCACTATCATCCTTTGTTTTTTTTTTCTTTTACCATAAATTCTCAAAAGAGGTGATGCACGTAAAATCAAATACCTTATTCATAAATGCATTCCAATGAAAAGGTTACACCCCTATTTGTGACTCCTGGTATATTTTGGGCAAAACGCGCGGACACGTCAATTTTGGTTTCTAGGGGACTATCTTTTCATCTATAGTCATACAATACAGCGTGATCCAAAAATAAGATATTGCTTTACACTTCAGATGGAATCCCCCATTTTATTTGTTAATTACCGAATTTGAAAACGTTTTAGAATAGATTATAAAAATTAGTAAGATTGTGGTCGATATAAAGCACTTGAATTTGTAAACTATAAAGCCATTTAGACAAAATTCTATTGACTTTTGGATCATGGGTCATATGAACTTTTTGACTTGTTTTCACCCCCCATAACGTTTACACCCTGCATAGCATTATAGGATCTTGACTAATAACGTAGACAATGGGATATACAAGAAAATAACTGCAGCAATTTCTCACGTATTCCAAATATTGCGCCTGAAATCTATAGATTCTATAACAACGTGTAATAACATGCCTCTTTATTTTCCTTTTTCAGGGTTCCAAAGAAACGTCAAGGAGTAATAGATCAGACATCACTTCTGAAGGTATTCAGTTGCTACAAGTGTAATTTTGTCTGTCTTCAAATGACGGATATGTCTCGGCACATGGACAGTCACTTGAAAAATCCTATTCGAAAAGTTCCGTTTATAACGCGCATAACAGATGATAACTACATAATCAAAGATCATGATTATCTGAAAGAGTTTCCGCATGAGATGTGGTCCAGTGGACACGTCAGATGTTTGAAATGTAATTCAACATACAGAAATAAAATCTGGCTCGATGACCATATTATCAAAACGCATCCAGAATATACGAAAACGATTTCTTCAGCACTAATGAAATGTCGCGACTGTCCATATCAAACCACAATTCAAGGCAACCTTTCCAGACATACTTTAACTCATGCGAGCAAACATCGCTCTCCTGAGCATGTTAGTTGTAGTCTGTGTAATTTAATTTATAAAAGTAAATTCTGGCTTGACGACCATATAATTAAAAACCACCCAACGCTTATCGGAACGATCACTTGTAAAATATACGATTGTACAAATTGCAAGTTTCGAACTACTATCAGTACGAAACTTTCAAAGCATATGGGGAAACACTCCGCCAGGCATAAGCAAGGCTCCAAAGATGTATTGCAAAATACCTGAGCATATACAGCATTGAAAGGTTTATGAACGCTACTAGATATAAAATGTCGATGCATGTTACCGATTATCAAACGCCAAAGCGAATGGTATGAAAAAATGTGAGCATCTAAACGAGCAATATTTTTGTAGAAATATTTGGCTATAACTACAACCATCATGACTATATTGCTCTTGAATATAAACTTGGCTGTATTATCTGCAATATACAAGGTGTTAGGGAAATAATATTCGTAACTTTATGAGGTGATTCCTTGCATTATTCTAAGCAAAAAAGTTCATTATAACCTATGTCCGAAAATCAACCATTTCGGAGCAAAAAAAAGTTGAACTTATTTCTTTTTAGTCATGAAGTAAATTGATTTTGCACCTTAAATAGCGTAAAATGTCTCTAACAAAATAATTTTCTTGCATATTAAATACAATTTTCCGAAGAAAAACAGACAAACAAAATCCCTCACACAACTGGCAACGTCGTACTCCGTCTGCACTGCATGTATCATCGCGTGTTGTGATTACTAATACATTTAACTGTAACTTTATGCGATTTATGGATGTTGGTTTTTTCTTTTTTCGTGCATCGCATCCTTTCAAATAATCGTGGGAATTGGTGGTATGTATCGCCACGTACCGGTAACTTTTCTCATTTTTTTTTCAAGTAAATGTACTGTACTAAAAGCGTTATTAAATAAAAAATATGTGCCACAAAAAATTGCGTAAAAGTATTCAATAATTCAAGGCATATTTTCAACAAATAAATCATACAAACGTAAACAGTTCGATGAATCAGTTGCGTGAGCTCGTATCGCGGTTGCGTTGCAGCGTTGCCAAATGTTTGAGAAAATTTAATTATTTAAGACTCACTTTCCTCGAAAACGATTGATTTTCGGACATAATAAACTTTTTTGCTTAGAATAATGCAAGGAATTACCTCTTAAAGTTACGAATATTATTTCCCTAACACGCTGTATACATACATACACCTGTCAGGTTTTCTCATCAGAAGGGCTACAAATTTTGGCAAGAATGGCTGAAGAAATTGCACTCGTCCTGGCAGCTTACATTACTTATATTATTATTAGCATAATTTTTGAATGAACCTTGTTCCTATTTGGACTATACAAGCACTTTTTAGGGAGGATTGTGATATCTGATAACTCACTTTTCAACAAAATCTTCAGAGCATGTTCTTCAAAAATATCATATACAGTGATTGGACGATAAGGAGGTATAAGTATTTCTGGAGTCGTGTCTTTGGAAAGCTCTTACCGGACCGCCAGCAGTCTCATTTTTCTAAGATTTTCCATGCATATGCTTTCATTAATGTCTTCCAATTCACAGCATTATACTTGAAGTTTGTAGCCCTTAAAATAGATATTTCAAAGTTATTTTCCGGGATAAAAGTATCATATGTGCTATCCTATCCCTGTACCAAATTTCATCCAGATCCGTTCAGACATTTTGGCGTGATTGAGCAATAAACATACACACTTTCTAATTTATAATATTAGCAGGGATTAGCTAGGATTCCGAGCGTTCGGCAATGTCAACCATGTGTTACAATATAGTCGGGCCATATAAAAAATATTGCCTTTTAGAAGCGCCATAATGATGTTTTATTAGTTTGTTATTGTACTATAATTCATGATAAAATTATGTGCCTCTTAATACAATTTAAATAATTTTTCACTCTCCAAAACTTTGGCGTAAATCTCGATTATTTTAGAGTTTTATGTTCTCTTCCAGCTTTCCTAAAACTTGTAATGATTTGGACACTGAATGTATAATCATTGATTAACGTATTCTACAGCTAATCTAATGTCATATTCGCGCTTCCGAAAAATTATAAGAAATAAACTGAACAACGGTCGTGTTACTTTCAACTACTACTACTTTGAAAAGACGACTGAGTAGCAGTGCCGCAATTTATGATCTACAGACGTAGCCAACAGTTTTTATTTTAGTTTTTCATTCATGCTAATACAAAAAATTGTTTACTATGGTCACAACACAGAAGAAAAAACATCGTCTAGCATGAAAGCCACTTAGATGGTACATCACATTTAAAAGTTTTGAACAATCACTACACGTTAAAATCAGTATTTAGAAAATCATCAATTTCATAATAGGCATTTTGGATCAAATAATCTCTTATACGAATCTTAAAATCATTTAAGGGCAGTAATCTTATCTTTAGTGGCAATTTGATAAAAAACTTAATTGCCCAGAACTCCGGACCATCTTGACACAGTCGCCAATATATAGGGATCAAATTTCTCTCAATTTTGATTTTCAATTTGGGTGTTTATTTTTCTCGTAGAAAACACAATACAAGAATTGCAACAGTCGTTTTCCTGTTTTCTCTAAAACCATACTGCTTTTCAGAAAAAATTATTAATTGGTAAAAGCGATATTGGCCTGTAATTCTTTGGAGTCTAGGATTATCTTTTTTTTTAAATTTGTTTAACAAGTTCCAACAATATATGGGCGACGGTTTTTCAGTTCATATTTCATAGAGTATAGAATAAGTAAACCAATGGTATAATGTAGCTTGTTATTATGATTCTATCATTTGTATATACCTAATACTTGATCAATCTGTAAATTTCTACGTCTGTCAATATATTTTTGTTAAGATATTCAGGATTTTTTTTATATAAGTCCTCCATGCTTATCGAACAAAGATATAAAAAAGAGAGTAACTCCAGAGGCATTCCAGTAAAGATGAATTTGAGGCAGGGATGTTCCGATACGCGAAAAGCATCGATACGTATCGTTTTAGGAAGTATCGATACCCCAAGTATCAAAACCTTTTGATACGGAACATACACCCAAAAATCGAAGTTGTTTTCTCTACAACCCTCAAAATAATGTTTACTTTTTTCAACTGCATTACTAGATCGTCAAATACGTTGCTTTAAATTATAACCACATAACGTATAATCAATCAGTACTAAAATCATTTTGTGTCGTGTGTCTAATCTCCGAAACGGAATCCAACAGTATTGCCAGGTCGTTCAGCTCAGATTCCCCAGTCGAAATGTAAATTAAAAAACATCCGCAAAAAATACCATCTATTTTTTATTGCCATAGATAATAAATATTTTTTTGAGCGATATAATTTTCATATTTCGTTAATTACCCCAAACGGAAAAAGTATTTTTTCGCAGACAAATAAATATAACAAGTACATTATGAAATTTCGTTAATAAAATTTCACATAATACCAGTAAAATATGTTTCCCCAAAACATATCTTCCTCATTGAAATCGGTATTTACGTACACGAATCTCACTTTCTTGTAATTTTTCATTACATGGCAGTTTGCTATTATGTATTTACATTGACTATAGACGAGGCGAATAAAAAAAATCATGGGTCAAATCGCTCTATTTTTGAATGAATAAAGAGGTTGCCGGGAGGTAACTCGCTATTAAGTTAAAACAATTTCAAACAAACTAGAAAAAATCGTTTTTACAGGCCCGGAAAAATAAAAAAGGTTTTTAGTAGCTCGTTTCGAGTTATGAGCGATTAGATATTTGAAAACCCCAAAAAATGTCAGTGTTCAACCCTCCATTAAATATTATTCAGAGTCTAAATTAAACCTTGGATTGTTTTGGATTTATTTTGAAACACTGCTATTTAAGAAAAAAAGAAGTCAAACGTGACATTATGAGCTCAAAGCTAACACAGAAGTAGATGATGAGCATGCATAACTTACCGTAACTTGCTCTGAAGACATTCAGATTCCCAGAGAGATAGGAAGAAGACACAATATTTTTTATACTATGTCATGTCACCACATTATTACACACAATTACAGTCCACACAGTGAGTCAAATAATCATCACAACACTGGGGAATCGCCGACAAAGACTTCCAAGCACACGACAACTAAAACAACAGAAGCAGACCATCGCACCACTCTCCGCTCTCGCCAACCGACAACTGAAGAGCGCGTCGGGTCGCAGCTTACGGCAGTATGCCGATACGGCGTCGTTAGCCACGCCCCCTTCCACCTCCCTATATTTCTTGTACCCTCTCCAAAGTCACGGCGTGACATCGCGGTGCGAATCCCGACGTTCGCGTCGCGCCTGCTTCACTGTATAGTGCTGTATAGTACTAAGTGACATATAAATCCGAACACCCAGTTTAAAAGGTTTTATTTTAATAAAATTTTGTATAAGTACTTAATGAAGCATAATAAGTAAATGATAAAAATTTCAAAATGATTGCACTGCTTTAAAGCCCTTTGACCTTTAATAATGTGTGGATGCACCCTGATGTGCTACGCATTCTCCAACGCGCCTAGGCATGCTTCTGATCAGGTGGTCAATGTCCTCCTGTAGTATCTCATTCCAGGCAACCACCAACTCCTCTCGAAGTGCTTCTAGAGTCTGAGGAGGACGTTGCAAATTGAGCAATCTCCTACCCATCATATCCCACACGTGCTCAATTGGGGATAAGTCGGGAGATCTTGGTGGCCATGGTAACAATGTGACATCATTATGTTGAAAGAAGTCTATTGTGACTCTTGCAACATGTGGTCGGGCATTATCTTGTTGGAAAGTTGGATCTGCCAGGGTGTCAAGATAGGGTAAAAGATGGAGTTCTAGAACTTCGTGGATATAACGCTGCGCGTTCATGTTACCTCTGATGAAGATTAAAGGTGACCTGGAACCATAAGCTATAGCACCCCAAACCATAACTCCAACAGTGTGATGAACATGTCTTTCAACAAAAAAATTGTGGATTCTTCCTTTCACCACGTCGCCTTCTAACCCTGGCAAGACCATCGTGCATGCCTAAACAAAATCGAGACTCGTCACTAAAGACAATACTGTTCCATTCCTGATCCCAGAGTGACCGTTGTCTGCATCACTCAAGGCGATTACGTCGGTGTTCTCGAGTTAAAGGGAGGACCCAGTGTGGCCGGTATGCAAACAAGCCAAAACTTCTCATTCGTCGGTAAACACTTCGCATGCCAATAGGTCTTCCGTGTTCTGCAAACCATTCATTTGCAATGGACCTGGTAGTGGAGAAACGGTCCCTTAAGGCCAATAATCTTAGGCGGCGATCTTCACGGTCTGTTGTTCTACGGCGGCGTCCAGTGCCCCTTGCTCTTTGCGTACGGCCTTCTCAAAGCCATGCCTGACAACACCTAACCACAGTGTCTACACTTCTTTGCACTCTAACTGCAATTGCCCGAAAAGAAAGTCCAGCTTCCCGAAGTCCCACTATACGCCCCTATCAAACTCACTAAGTTGACGAAATCGTACAGGTCTCCGTACTCTAGGCATCGTGACCGATCGTAAAGGATGTCAAGAACCAAAATCCGCCAACGTTGATTCTTTACTGCGGCTGAAATATTCATTTTTAGAGCGTTAGTGAATTAAAAAAAAAGCAGTATAAAAACCGGAATGTCCAACTGATAAGGCTGAAAATTTTTTCACTTGTTATTTACTGTAAGATAAATACATTCACCAACTTTTATTAAAATAAAACCATTTAAACTGGGTGTTCGGATTTATATGTCACTTAGTATACTTCGCGCTTTTGACGAGTATGGACGGTGAAATTGCTACTGCTGCTGCAGGACTACTTTGCGCTTTGGCAATTTATAATTACGCGTATATAAGTAAAACTAAAAAGGAGTGGAAAAAACACAACCACTCGCTATGAGGCAACTGAGCCACCAGCAAATGAGTAGCCGTCATGTCCGCGCCTTGCAAACCCTTTGTCGCGGGACAACAAACGGAAACAACACGTGAAGCCGTGAATGGGATCCACACTCATGGGCCGCGCGTGAGCCTCGAGAGCGCTTAACATATGTGCTAATATACCTGACCTTGTGAATACTAAATTAAAAAGGTAGGTTTTGTCTACAAATGGATTAAAAGCAAATTAAGAAGTCGGTATTGCTAAAATTCGTAGATGTATTGAAAAACAAGTAAGTCTGTCAACGCTGCGCACGTTATACGTGAGATGGAAAACGTCAAATTCACGTGTACTTAGTGTGATCGTGCCGCGATCAATTTTGTAAACAAATAAAATATACGGTTCATTAGCTATTTTGTGATCAAGTGAAGCAACCAACTGTGCAAATACTTTTTCTGATATTATGCAATCTCACGTTTGATGTAATCCCCATACCATTATATTTGTTTTTAATCGTGGATTTTAACCAGAATGGCTGAGCAAATGCATTTCAAACTACTATCTGGGGACGTTATACCGATGGTTGGATGTAATAACGAGTAGATTTGGTTTCTTCATTGATTTAAATATCTGTTTATTATTCTAGTTGGGACATGGACTGTTACAGGATCCTCTGTCACCCCTATAATAGACCATGCACTTGCAGCGGGTTACAGACTTTTTGGTAAGGGCTATCATATAGTTTTCTCTCTAGTTTGTGGAATTTGATAAAGCTATCGATGCTTTCAGATACTGCTACAATGTATGGCAATGAGGCAGAATTAGGAAGAGCATTTAAAGAATTACTACCTAAACATAATTTGGAGAGAAAGGATATATTCATTGCCACAAAGCTTTGTGAGTGGTGACACTTCCTTTTTTCAATATTAACATGAGAAATTGTGCATTACATATCATGTTTAGAATGTGGGCCATTGTTAGGCAAACTTTTTTTATGACCTGAGGCATATAATGTGCAAGCCCAACAAGGTATGCATAGTTTTTTTCCGTGCTAACTCCTTATGTCACAAAATAGTCAATTTTGCACCATTATCATGTTTCCAACTCATTTTACAAATATTTTAAAGTATCTAGATACCTGATGGTGTATAGATATAATTGACTATTTAATAGTACCACCTATGACAATGTCATCTAGACAAAGTGACTCCAATTTCTTTACATAAAACACTATCTTATAGTGGATACCAAATAAAACCCGATGCACGTCATCGATCTGGAGCTGTGCGCTGTTGCCAGAATTTGCACATTTTCTTTTAAGCAAATAAATTTAATAAAATAAATTGTTTATATATACCTACCATTTACTATAATACCATTATATTAAAAATAAATAAACTTGTTGTAAAATTAAATTCCTTTCTGAATAAAAACAGCTGATTTTGGTAGATATTCAATGATATGAGCTCTTTATACCGATTGTTAAGTTGTTTTGGCATTTTGGATACTTTACACCACTTCACAGTAACTGTTGTTCTGAAAAGAACAATTTTTAATTGGCAAGGCAACGATTCAAAGCTCAAATAGCGCAAAACTCGCAAACTAAACAATAAAGAACTAATAGTAGACAGTCTACGACAAAAGGACAATGGCAACTGATGTCAACAAATGAGAAGTGGCAACCTCACATTTCTCTACACGGCACTACCAACCGAATCGAGACGGGGAAATTTAAACTTCAAGTAGAAATGTCACATTGAATGTAGTCAACTGTTGGTAACCATGATTTTTATGAATGACATCACCTATGACGTGCATCGGATTTTATTTGGTATCCACTATATACAACTGGACCACACAATTTTTGTATAGTGGATACCAAATAAAACCCGATGCACGTCATCCATCTGGAGCTGTGCGCTGTTGCCAGAATTGATATGAGCTCTTTACACCGACTGTTAAGTTGTTTTGGCATTTTGGATACTTTATACCACTTCACAGTAACTTTTGTTCTGAAAAGAACAACTTTTAATTGGCAAGGCAACGATTCAAAGCTCAAATAGCGCAAAACTCACAAACTAAACAATAAAGAACTAATAGTACGACAAAAGGACAATGGCAACTGATGTCAACAAATGAGAAGTGGCAACCTCACATTTCTCTGCACGGCACTACCAACCGAATCGAGACGGGGAAATTTAAACTTCAAGTAGAAATATCACATTGAATGTAGTCAACTGTTGGTAACCATGATTTTTATGAATGACATCACCTATGACGTGCATCGGATTTTATTTGGTATCCACTATATCACACTTGCACCCTCTATTATGAGTATGATGTGATATATACTACCTTTCCTCTTACTTTTGAAGTTTGAACAGGAGTTTTTTTGTTGTTCTAAAATCTCTAGGATAGGCAATTAATTTGAATAAAATAGGAGTCAAGCTTTTATGTTTTTTTCTGCATTGTTTGTTGCCAAAATGGTGTAGTTATAGTGCATAATTTTGACTCATGTGACAACCATTGCCTACCAAAGTGACAATGTTGTATCACCATAATAATAGTACTTACTGGTGGAAAGATATATCTTCATTAAGTTTGTGCTGCTCTGTGCAAATTATGCAAGAAGTATCATATCCTGAAATTGTCTAAATTCACAATTGTTTGCAAGCACTCACACTGTCAAAAAGTAACACTAAAAATACGAATTTATTGACAGGACTCAAAAAACTAACTTCTAGTAGTATGCACTTTCATCCTAACTACAGACTGAGAATTGGAGACAAACAAATTGTAGGCTTCCTGCTACCTAGTCTGAATTTGTTGAGCAGGAAAAATGTTTTATTTGCCCATGATCATGATGTAAAGTCTAATATTTTGTGATGGTGTCAGTAATGGAAAAATTTCAATAAACATGTCATTTAAGACGACTCCTATAGGTCTCACATATATTCTTTGGCACAATGATCCTCAGGTTATAAAAATGTTTCACTTCTTGAACTGGGAATGTTATGTACTAGTTTACTACACATACACATTTTTAAAGAGCTCAATTTTTAAGGGCCGTATCCTCAGTCCTTCCTACAATTGTAGGATGCCTTTAAGGCCTCCTTGATTTTCATAGTTTTCTACTGTTCCGTGTCAGCGCTATATTTTGAGGTTATGTCACAAATATCTATTTGTATCAAATTTTTCATGCTTTTGATTTATATCATGTTATATCAGCCTGAAATTTCCTACAATTCAAAAAGAAAACATAGCCTCCCAATAGAAGAGCGCTGACACTGACACAGAACAGTAGAAATCTAGAAATACCCCAGCCTTTCTTAATGAGAGAAAATACTATGGAAATCAAGGAGGCCACAAAGGCGACCTATAACTGTAGGAACGACTGACGATGCGGCCCTAAGTCTCTAAATTGCACAGATTAAAAATTAAAACATCTAAATAAAATTTTGCAGATCCCGATGATCATGGAGAAAATGCTGCTAAAGCAATAAACGAATCTTTGAAACTCCTTGATTGCGAATACATTGATTTGTATCTCATACATTGGCCAGGCGTCTATGGGGTTAGCCCCAAAAGCCCTGAGAATGCTAGATTAAGGGATATAAGTTGGCAAAAAATGACTGAAGCAGTGAAAAAAGGGCTCGTTAAGAATATCGGTGTGTCAAATTATAATGTGAAACAATTGAAACAGTTATTGCAGAATGACCACGGCATCAAACCAGTTGTAAATCAGGTAGTAAAATGACCGTTGGTAGTAGGCGTTGTTTAATGTAGATACTAGCGCTATCTATGAGACAGTAGCAGAACAAAAATAAACTTATAAGGGTTGGTGTTTGGTTTTGCGACTGCCTAGTAGACGGCGCTAGCACCTCTTACATCTCTTGGATGCAGGAATACAATATACTGGTGGCTATCTTCGGGTGCAATATATTAAGTAATGCAGTATGTAAACTGCGGATACAATTTTACGAGAAATTTGAAAAGACTATTGGAAACTTTCCCATCTTGAATTAGTTTATATTCAACGTCAAAGTCATCACTGGTTATACCTGTCTTCAGACGCATGCGCACTGACGAAACACGTGATTCGTACTGTCACTTGCATGAAAATGAATCAGTTGGATTTTTCATGCAACTTTGGAGCTTGCTGACGATAAGTGAAGAGCGGTGATGAAAGGCGATATTTTACAAGCGTAGGCGAAGGGGGGCGGAGACTGTTAGAGACGTTGAAGCCGTAAAATCGCTACACTTACCAACCCTATTCCTTCAGGTTGGCTAACCTTACTAGTTTGAATCAAGGCTGTCTTGCAACTGCAAGAACTTGCATGCAATGGTCTTGCGGACTGTAAAACGGTTTTTATTGAACTTTTTGAAGGTCAAAAATGGTACCGTTGACCTTGAAGACAAGTATATGAACCACTTTTTCCTAAAATGATGAGATCGCTGAATCCATTTTTGTGTAATGCAACTGGAATTATCTTTCTTAGGTTGAGAGGCATCCGCATTGCCGCCAAAAAGAGATTCTTGAATTATGCAATAAAGAAGAAATTTGCCTGCAGGCATATATGCCACTTGGTGGGACTGGCAACAAAGATTTGCTTGAAAATGCAAAAGTGAAAAAGATAGCTGATAAACTTGGTAAAAGACCAGCACAGGTGAGGACTTTTCATACAGACTTCTCATTCCCTGTAGGCTACATTGTGTTCCTTTACAATTTCTTGCTCACAAGATATGCACTACCAAAACTATAAATTTTTCGCATTTAAGGTTGTCATCATTTCTTTTATCTTTTTTTGTTGATACTTGTTGTTTTAGTCCCGTATCGTCAGTCGTCCCTACAATTATAGGGCGCCTTTATGGCCTCATTGATTGTCATACTTTTCTACTTCTCCGTGTCAGAACTCTATTTTGAGGTTATGTCACAAACATCTATTTGCATCAAATTGTGCTCGCTTTTGAGTTATATCATGTTATATCAGCCTGAAATTTCCTACAATTTAAAAAGAAAACATATCTTCACAATAGGAGAGCGCTGACGCTGACACGAGACAAGTGTAATCTAGAAATTATTGAAGGAGAGAAAGAAGTATGACAATCAAGGAGGCCATAAACGCGCCCTACAATTGTAGGGACGACTGACGATACGGGCCTAAGAGTCGTATCGTCAGTCGTTCCTACAATAATTGTAGGACGCCTTTGTGGCCTCCTTGATTTTCATAGTTTTTTCTGTCCTTCAGAAAGGCAGAGGTAATTCTAGATTTCTACTGTAACATATCAACGATCTATTTTGAGGTTAAGAAATTTCATGCTGATAAAAGTTGATTTTTACCATCTATTTTATCAGCTTGAAATTTCTTGAGACTCATGACGAAATCATAACCTAATAGGAGAGCGCTGATACAGAAGAGTAGAAATCTGTTAATACCCCAGTCTTCCTGAACAAGAAAAAATACTATGAAAATTGAAGGGATGACTGACGAAACTTTATTTCTAGGTTCTGCTTCGATGGAATCTTCAACAGAATGTTGCAGTGATCCCCAAATCTTCTTCAAAAGAACATATTTTCAATAATTTTGACCTGAATTTCATTTTACCCGATGAGGACATGGAAGTGCTGAATACATTCCCACAAACCAAATATGACTGGGATCCTGATTCTATAGCTTAGTGTACTTCAATTTTAATATAATGTAATTGGTAAATAAGTACTTATGTATAAAGGTGTACAGGGTTTACTAAAACGAGAATGTTGATCAATGAAATAAATTATATTTTATTATCCTTTCTTTAATATACTATATCCAGTTTTCCCTTAAATACTATCATCTTATCACATCCTCTGACTAATGAAATCAATGAGAACAGTTAGAGGAAATTATAAGTAAAACACATAGTCAACAGTGAAAAAATTATGTAATCAACTAAATAAAATTAAAATATACAGTTTCAGCTTTTAAATAATAAAATGTTAACAAAATGAGTCTTAAAATTGGATAATCAGAGTGATTTGTTTTACAGTCAAGCGATTTGATGTAAAACTGACTATAACTCTGCATACACATGATATTACATTGTTACTTAAAATCAAATATTGAATATTAAATAAATTACTTTTTGGTATGATTCAATATATTTAAAAATTTACAATATTTACAAAACATGATACAATTGCAAGATCATAATCACATGCGATCTATTTTTTCAAGGTTAGATGTATTAGTATTAGCTCTTAAATTGACACAGGTTCATAAAATTGATATGATAAAAATTATCCAACCTATTAAGGCCAAACCAAAACATGATATCTAAAACAACTTTTATAAATAGGAATTTCATTAATGAATGAAGTTACGATTTGTTTGTCTCCAAAATCTGTCTGTCAGGATAAGAGTGCATACTACAAGTTTACTTGACATATACGTTACTGTTTTGACAGTTCTGTCAATTAATTCACATTTATAGTGTTATTATTTAAAAGTGAGAGTGTCTGCAGATAACTGTGATGTAATCGATTTCTCAACATGGTGCTTCTTGCATATTTTACAAAGAGCAGCACAAGCCAAATGAAGATAGATCTTTCCACTTATAAGTATTATTATCATGTTGATACAATGCTGTCTCTCTGGTAGTCAAATGAGTGAAAAGTATGCACTTTGACGACAAACGATGCAATGTAAATATATTCTAGATGCTCCTTCTAATCTATCGAAATTCATTGGTTTGGTGACTAAGAAGTACTTATGACCTTGCCCTTGCTTCACTATATATTTAAGCATATATGACACAGCCAAAAATGCTGTTTGACTATGTTACACGAAAATACAGAAATCTAACAAGAGTATTTTTAGTTGTAATACTGCCAGCAAGACTGTCAGAAGGGAGAATATTTTCCAAGATGCTTTACAATGTTTGAGAAGAAAAACGATACTTTTCGCTCAGAAAAATGCATATCTATCAATATTTTTTAAACATTTTTCACAAATTTCAGATTATTAAAAGTATCAGTCAGCTAATAATTTCCTTGCTGGAGCTTTCCATGTCAAATATAAGTCTATTATATGAAGTTTGTTAGTCACCATCACTGTAATAAAGTTTTTCGAGTATCCATTACGTCAAATATGACAGCAAATAACAGCTGATCATCTAGTAACATATCAAAACACCCCATATTGACAAGTGACACACAATTATGTCGGAACCGTCAACGCTAGATCTGTAGACAAAGGCTTTAATACAAAGATGTCACTTGCTGATCAGCTGTTCACCACAGTAGACGTCAAAACGTAATGGATACTCGAAACGACCACACATTTTTTACGAACCAAACACAACATTATAAACACCAAATTTGTATATTTTGATATCATAATTTGATCAGAATTTCAACAATCAGTCTACAGCGTTACTCATATACGAAATATTACTACTTGTATGAATTTTTCCGATGCCCTGTTGTTCAACACAAATCGAACGCAAATTTCATCCAAAAATAAAAAACCTAACCACCATTCACGTGGACGCTTTGTAAAATCAGCTCAAGAAATTCACCCTTTGGACAGAAATGAATCAATTAATTGTTTATGACACTTCTTGTATATACAGGGTGACTCGAAGAACAATGGCAGTATTTTTAAAAAGCCCTACAAGCCCTTGAGTAGTAAGATACAAGGCGTTGAAAATTTATACTCCACTGATGAGGCTTAATACGAACAAAACATAGATATTTTCCATAAAACGCTGTGGATTTTTTATAAATCTCCATTTAAAAATGCGAAATGTATTGTCCTAGTATTAACTGTTTCTGGTAAACTTCATTTACCACATTTTTTTAACTACTTAATCGATTCTTTGATTCAATTCTAAAATAATTAGCTATTAAATAGATTTCGCCACTGGTATTGTATTTTTGATATTGTAATTTATTTGTCTATGAAAATCAAGAAAAGACGGTTTATGATTATTATTGAAAAAGGCCACAGAGGTTGTTGAAACGTCAGTAAAATGTAATTTATACATATTTGGTATTATCTGGCCGAAACATCATAAAGTTTTATTGGCAGGAAAATTACAGGATAAATTTCAGGTGTTAACATTAACGAATGATCTGACAAAAATTTTTCAAGAGGCAATTTGAGTGAAACTAAATGAAGGTCCAAATAAAAATTGTAAATTCTTAGTGATCATTTGAAGTGATGTATATCAGTAAAAAATGATCGTATTGAGTTTACCAGCAACTTCAATAAATGTTTGACTAATAGATTCAAAAACCAGACATTTTAAGCTGTATGCTTCTCTTAGAACCTCAATATGACCATTTTCTATTCTTCAAAAAATTACTAAGTTTCCAATTTTTATTTTCACAAGCGTACTTTATTCGAAAATGCAATGTTTCGGAAAAGTCAGTGGCGTAGAAAATATTTCCCTTATGTATTGGTCAGTTTCTGGAGACTCTGGAGATTTCATTTTAGCTTCAACACCCTGTGTAATAATATGACATTTTACGACCCATCTAAAGCATGAACTGATCGTGTTATTTTTGGAGCTATTTTCCGCTCATGAAATATGTCATCGTTTCTGAATCACCCTGTATACTCGTATATTTTTAAAATCTGGCACTAGGTAGCCAGATCGGTAAGCGAACAATTTAACATATTTATATTGTCAATATTTGAACCTCTTAACGTTACTCTGAAATATTTTCTAGATAATTTTGGCCGATTACACTTTGAAACGCATGCACGAACGAATAGTTTTATACATTTGATATTTTTTCAATTTAGCACTCTTTTATCTAAAATATTTCGTAATATCTTCTCTATTTTCTCTTCAAAATAAATAAGACGTATTATATAGTATATAGTAACGATTCATACACGATTCCAAGGAGAAAAATATCTGTTTTATATCAAGGACACCTCGATTTCTGTATCGTTTGCTAACTTATCTAGAAACTATTCTATGGAAATAAGTTAAAAAATTGTGAGTCCTAAGCGAAGCATTTCATTGAGCAGCTGAAAAAAAGAATACATGAATGAAAAAATTCAATTCCACGTCGACGCTTAAGTCCGAAAAAACTGGGATAAGAGTATATTTTAAATTATTTCTTGAATAACAAAATGTTTAAAAAACACTTATCGAACTGCATAATTTACTTACACTTCTTAATAGCTAGCTTCATGGCCTGCCAAGATATATAAATCATGGCCATCTTCGTGTGTCAGTGTTCCGGTACGTACTAGATTACTTTCTAACATGACAACTCTGCAAAATAAATGTTATAAGTGTTTGGGTAATGTCAAATTTTTGACTGTCTTACTTGTCAGAGCCGAGAAGTTTATATGTCCTGGCCGTATCAGTGATTTCTTGCGTTATTTCTCCATTTTTCAAAGATCTACCTTGCATCCCGTGCTTATGGAAAGCTAAAACACTATCTGGTAGGCATACTGCAAAAAAATAATGATTTTGGTTAAATATGCGAGAAAGAAATAAAAGGATAAGGACCTTGAGAAGGACTTGAGGGCCTTTTGAATATTTCTCAAACATATTATGGTCTCAAAAATAACGCAACATTCGAGTTAAATGGAAAACACGATTTATCTTCTTTATATGGGGTTGTCCAAAAGCGACGCAGGAAAGTAAACGCATATCACGTTGGGTACTTTATTTTGAAGGTTCATTTATACCATTTATGTTATGTATGAAAAATAATATCGCTCAAATGTTCACCACGACTGGATTTACAGACGTCCACGCGATGGTCGAAATTTTCAATGACATTTTGCAACATGGTCGGTTCTATGGCATTTATCTCGGCAATGATGTTGCTTTTGAGTTCTTGGAGGGTGGCTGGTTTGTTGACGTAGACTTTGCTTTTAAAATATCCCCATAAAAAGGAGTCCAAGGGAGTCAAATCGCACGATCTTGGTGGCCATGGCACATTTCCTCTGCGCGCAATCACGCGATCACCGAAGAAGGACTGCAATCGATGGATATTGACGTTGGTTGTGTGGCATGTTGCACCGTCTTGATGGAAATAAACATCGTCCGTATCCTCTCCTTCAAGTTGCGGCAAAAAATAGTCCTCTATCATCACGTGATATCGCTCAGAATTGACGGTAACGGCGTCCCCGGCCGCATTTTCGAAAAAGTAAGGTCCCATGATGCCTTTTGACCACAATGCACACCACACAGTCACTTTTTGAGGATGCATCGGCTGCTCTTGATACTCACGGGGATTTTCGTTCGCCCAGATGCGGCAGTTTTGCTTGTTTACCGTCCCATTCAAAGTGAAATGCGCTTCGTCGCTGAACATGATTTTTGATGAAAAATTGGCATCAATTTGGCGGTGTTCAAGGAGCCAATCTGAGAACGTTCGGCGCAAAAAATGGTCGGCCCGACGCAGCTCTTGCGTCAATTGGATCTTGTAGGCGTGTACATTCAGATCCTTGTGGAGAATGCGGAGCAAACTGGTTCTCGAAATGCCCAATTCTTGGGATCGACGCGTTGTTGATTGTTTCGGATCGTCTCTCACACTCTCCTTCACAACAGCAATATTTTCCGGTGTGCGAACGCTCCTTGGCCGGCCAGAGCCTGGCAGATTTGCCACAGAACCTGTTGCCTCGAATTTACGCACCAGACGACCGATGGTTGTTTCGTTTGGGCGGCTGTTGCGACCGAAATGTTCACGAAGCGCGCGAAACGTGTTTTTTATTTTTGCACCATTATTGTAGTGCTCTTGAATAACTTTAATGCGGTCTTAAATCGAATACGACTCCATAACGATCAATGGTAAACATTCAACTAACAAAATGACATGTCGGTGACAGAAAACAACGATGGCGTCTATGTCAAATTAACGTTTACTTTCCTGCGTCCCTATTGGACAACCCATTATTATTTTTCGCCGAATCGAACTAAATACAGGGTTGTCCAGTGGTTAAAGTTCACATTTGAATTACGCGGCAACTGTATACGCGAGGAAGTGAGAAGAGGTCTTAATCGCGCGTTCGGCGTGCGGGTTAAATAGTCACAATGGAACGTTGGACCGGAGCGCAACGTGCTTTTGCTATCGAGGCTTACTTTAAGAGTGGTTATTCATACGCAGCTGCTCTTCGGAAATTTCGTACACGATAAAACATTCGCCGACCAAGAGATGCACCAAGTAAGAACCTATTGAAAAAGTCGATTAGGAGGTTCCACACCTACTGCATCAACTGAAGAAAATGTGCGTCGAGTAAGTGATTTGGTCATTGCAAATTCTCGGCGTTCTGTGTGCTGAACGGATGTTGAATCTTTTTCCTACGCAGCGCAGACTCGACAAGGCCCATTTTTAGAAACATCAACAAAAGCTACATAGTCCAAAGGAGACTGTTTGGTGCGCCATATCCTCTAGCGGTATTACTGGGCCGTATTTCTTTGAAGATGAAAACGGTCATGCATTGACAGTCATTTCCGATCGATACAAGCCCATGGTTTCATGTTTCCTCAAACAGTTATATCGAAGTTTGGAGACATTCACTGGCGCCTCGTTCACCCGACCTCACGCCATGCGATTATTTTTTGTGGGGTTATCTAAAGTCAAAAGTGTATTCCAATAATCCACGAACTCTGGAGGAGCTTAAAGACAACATTTGACGAGAAATAAACAACATCACTCTTGCCTAGTTTGCTGTTTAAGATTTGACTAGTTTTTAACTCCTTGTCTACACTATGCATCAACAGAAAGTAACCTAAATAAAAAAAATATATTTTTAATTCGATTGAAATCTTGCGTGAATTTTGAAACACCCCTTTAAAAGACCGAAAGAGCAATAATTCAATCAGCTAGTTCTCAATTAATAAACGTCAACAGATCTAAAATCAGAAGCAAAAGATTGACTAGTCCGTTTAGCACATTGATTCCCAAAGTGGTCTATATCGACCCTAGAGGTCTATGACAACCTGCAAGGGGTCTACGTCAGCGAAAAAAATTTTGGGGGTCCATGAAATGAATATGGGGGTCCACGCTAGTGGATCTCAACACATACACTGATAGTACCTATTTACTTACATCATACTATCTTATAATATCAAAACGTATACATTATTTATAAAAGTACCTAGGAAGTAAAAGATTTATTATATATGTTTATAAAATTGTGTAAGTTGTAGGATGTTGGTATTCGCTTTGTGGTCGCAATACATTTTGAACTTGTAAAACCTGAGAGTCGCAGTCTCAGAGCTTCGCTACCTTGCACTGACTTGTTCAATTCGTCACTCTATAAATACGAATGTGGGACAAATATGTTTATTCGTTTCCTGAATCTTGAAAAGGAAAGTGCTAAGAAAATATTTTAAAAAATATAAACAGATAGTATATCACACAAATTATAGTGAGTCAGTCTTATTTTGTTTGAGAGTGCTGGAGAAAAGTAAGTACATTATTTTTTATTAAATTTTAGTTTTGTACTCGTAGTTAGCAAAGATAGATAAATTACGCCAATCATGACTTTAGTTATTAGTAGTTAAATATTCAATCATGCAAAATTACACGAGTACTCCTCAATAGTTTCTTTTTGAAAGTTTTAGCAATCGGTAATATAATTACAATGCAATCTCCGTAATTATAATAATAAGATATTCGAATTATGGAATGTTTTCGGAAAAATCAAAAAATATTTTTAATATACAGCTGCTCGATTTTCTGTCTTATTTAAATAATTTAATTTTGCCCACAGATGACTGATGTCATGTCCGAATCTAAAAAGAAATGTAGACAGTACAGTGTTGATTATTTGAAATTTGGCTTCATTCCATCATTGCCGGACAAACAATCGCCTATGTGCCTTTTATGCAACAAAGTTTTGGACAATGACGCTATGAAACCATCTAAACTGCAAGATCTTCTGAGAAGATGCCACCCTGATAAAACAGAGAAAGATTTGAAATACTTTCAAACACTCGAAGATTAATTTCAGAAGAGACCTACACTAGACAGAATGTTCGCTTCGACGTCACAAAGAAATGATGATGGTTTGCGGGCGTCTTACAATATCTCGTTACTTATAGCAAAATCCGGAAAACCGTATACTATCGGAAAGTTAATTTTGCCAGCCGTTGAAGAGGTTTTAAAAACTGTTTTATACAAACCTGTATCTGATATCATTAAAAGAAGCAACAATACTGTTGAAAGACGTATTGATGAAATGAGTTCTGATATTGAAAGCTTCTTATGTAATTATTTGCAAACGACCCATTTCTTTATACAACTGGTCGAGTCAACTTTACCTGATAATGCAGCATTATTATTGGCATATGTTATTTTTATTATGAATCAAGAAATCTACGAAGAACTGCTCTTCGCAAGAATTTTGATAACCGACACTAAATGTGAATCAATATTTCATGTTTTGAAGGATTACTTCATTGAAAAAGCAATTCCTTTATCAAATATAATATCAGTAGCTACAGATGGACCACCTGCCATGGTTGGACGTTATCGTGGATTTATAAGCTATTTAAAACAAATTGTGTCAGGGGTGTTAGCAGTACATTGCGTCATCCATCGACAACATTTAGTTGCTAAAAATTTGAGTGTTAGATTGCATGAATCACTTCATTTAGTCATTAATGCAGTAAACCGAATCCGAAGCAACGCGTTGAATACGCGGTTATTTGCGCAGTTGTGTGAAGAAAATGACGAACAGTTTCATCAATTACTCCTTCATACTGAAGTACGCTGGCTGTCGAAAGGCTTATGTTTGACAAGATTTTTTGCACTTTTTGAGACTATTTTAGAATTTCTGGATACTAAAGATACAATTTTAAAAGAAAATTTAATGAAGATTTAATAGACATCGCCTATTTAACAGATTTGTTTACAAAATTTAATATGGTTAATTTGCAATTACAAGGCGACAGTTTAAATTTGATTAAAACAAAGTCCATCTTATCAGCGTTTCCTGCCAGAGTTAAACTAATAAAGCAAAATATTGGACGAGGCGAATTTTCTCAGTTCCCCAATTTGTCACAGACAAGCTGCCAGGAAGACGACGTTTCAACTTACGTTCAACATTTAAATGCCCTCTATTCAGATTTTGAATCTAGGTTTGAGGATATTTTGACTATGGTAATACCACCCTGGATAATTAATCCATATGGTGACATAGAAGAAACGAATGTCATAATACAAGAGGAACTGACTGAACTGAAGTACAAACGAAGAACTTAAGGTTCAGTTTAAAAACGGATATCAGCAATTCTGGCTGCAAAACAACATATCCGTTACTTATCCCGTATTATGGAATATAGCGAGGAAATTTTTAATTTCCTTTCCATCGTCATACCTAGTGGAAAGGGGGTTCAGAGCGGTTACCAATCTCCTAACGAAAAAAAGAAACAGACTGGACATCATTAGCCGAGGAGATTTCAGATTAACCCTTACAAAATTGACGCCAAATGTTGATAAGTTATTATTAAAGCATCAGGTTCATCCTTCTCACTAAAATATTGACTTATTGCTTATGTTATTTTATTTATAGTTTATTTTATGTTTATTGGTGTCTGACCAATAAATGTCCGCATTGGGAATAAGTGCCCGCATTGATTTTTTTAAAGATAGATAGATATAGAAAATATTTTTTGTTTAAATTATTCTGAAAATTCAAGGATAGGTACACACTAAAATTCGTTAATCTTTTGCCTATTTTTAGATAACTTAAACGTATAAGAAGCGGAATTTAATCAAACTAACAGTGAAATTATTGTATAACATACGTTTATGTTATAATTAATAAACGAACTCGCTTATTGTACTATTTTAAGTAAAACACTTTTTTTTTATTATTTTTTACTTTTTTTTTATTTTATCCGTCTTATTTTTTTTTTTCAATGCGGGCACTTATTCTCAATGCGGGCACTTATTGGTCAGACAACTGTTTATTTAATGTTACGTATATTTTACATAACAGATACAAAATTTTATTTTGAGTAGTTTTAATTTAAATTCAATTAATAAATGTATAAATTATGTATATTAATGTGTTTTTACTTTCAAGTTTTTAACACTAAACTTCACTACAGTTAGAAATTTACAGGAAATGAATATCAGGTAAGTAGGGGGTCTACACAACACGGAAAAACATGGCAAGGGGTCTACGACACAAAAAAGTTTGGGGAACTCTGGTTTAGCATATTTAAAAAGCGGAGGATCATAGAGGAAACCTGAAACGATCAAATACACATTGCTATTCAATTAAAATCAACTTACATATACTTTCGATTTTGAAGTCAAACTGCAGCTCGCAGACTTGTTTCTTGTTAACTTTCAACTTGCCCTGGGGCGTCACAATTTTTATCACGTTGTCGTAGCACATTAAAATAGAGTCTTTGTCCAGCTGAGTAACATTCACAATGCTCAAATTCTCCTTTTTGGGAATTACGGTTGCTGTTCCATCCATGTCTTGGAGCTCGTCTGAATGGAACCAGCTCGCACCTAAAGGAAAAACTTGCTATGAGGAAAGAAAAAGGAAACGGGAGGTAATTTTACCTGAATTCATATTGATAAGATCCAGTTTGAACCTATTTTGCTGATATGCTTGCTTAATTGATACACATACTGTAGGATACTCTAGCTCCGGAGTGATTATCATCTCAAAAACGTTTAAGGGGTTTGGCAGAACGCATTCCACATGCTGAAATCGGGGAAAATAATATTTAGACTAAACTTTCGTACTTTCTGAAAATCTGAAGCTAAATTCAAATAGTGTGGAATATAAGCATCACTAGGTGCACCTGAGGCGAATGCTACACGTTCAGTTCGGATGAACTGTCAGTGCCAGTGTATTTCTACACAGCTGTATACATCAATAAATAACACAATTCATAAAAAAGAGAACATTTTTGTGTTAACAACGCGCTGCTGCAGGATTTTTTGATTTGGCACCCAGACTTAGACCACAGCCGACGTCAACTACGAGCCGTGATGAAAGAAAGGCAACACCGCGCTCGGACGGCATGGTAGTGCTACCTGTGAACGTCGGCCGCCAGCGGCTGTGTGCTCCGTCTCCGTGTAACATTCAAGAACTAAATTTAATTTTGGAAAAGAGGACAGTTCGATTCGATACAAATCGTCTGAATATGAAACAGCTCTAAAAAATTTAAAAATACGAAATAATCGTGATATGTATGAGTCGCTAATGCAGTTAACCTAATTAAAAGTATTTAGTTTACTTTTTTTGGTGTCAGCACACTGTGTTCCAACAGGCCCAGCTTGGAAATGAGGAGTTACCTGTTTGTTTTTAATACATTTACTTTCAGTTTTACTGTTATTTTTCAATTTTACATAATCATTCAAAATTATGTTTGAAAAAATAGACAAAAGCTTAGATAAAATATCTGCATAATTGCGGCCACAGATGCAAGTTGAAGAAAATTCACTGATATAAAGTCAGACTGAATGCTGAGCAAGGTTAACTGACACAAAATAAAATTTTGATTATCGCTTTTCAAGAAGAAAATTTCCAATCTATCTACATTAATAATAGATTCAAAAATGGCATACATATGGTCGAATATGATTGGTACATAACTGGTTGGAATTGACAGTCCTCCTCTTTGCAAATGATCAAAATAAACATTTGTTGTTAATGAACCTTTTTCTTTAACTATTAGCGATTTGCATATCTCGCAGTTTAGGTTTTTAGAGATAGCGTGTGAAGCATATCCAGATATATAAGTCTTAGTACTATCCTCTATGTCACAATTGGCTAAGTAATTTGTCTCAAATACTTCATTGAATATATTCGAAACTTCAGGATTTTGTTTGGTATCCAAGAAATCAAAATTTTCTTGAGTTTCTAAGCAGTTTTGGAACCTTGTTTTAATTTCTGCTAAAGAAAATGACGATTTCTTTTCATTGAAAATATGCTTCAGCCGTATTTTCTTTTCAGCATTTAAAATTTCATCATATGACACATTATAATTGCAGCCACATAAAAGTCTATAATTGCCAAATCGTTTTTCTAAATTATCAGTGGTGAATTTTCCAGGCAATACATACTCAATGTCAAATTGATTAAATTAATATTCAATTATATTAAGTAGAGTCAGCGTGCTTTGATATACAGCTGTATACGTTTCTGGTGTCAGGTGTCCATTATTATTCTCTAGATTATGCCATTTTTCTAACCATATCAGGATTTTTTTAAAAAATTGTACTCTATAATCATATTTATTGGTAATAGGCTTACAAAATTTGTTTCGCTTCAATTCTCCTTTTATTACACTTGTATTACTGACAATATCCCACCAATTCCTGATTATTTCCAAAAAGTGTGCAGCATCATTAAACTTTAATTCTTTCATAGCAGCTATTGTTGAGTGATGGAATAAATTATCTACAAAATTTACATTTTGCCTTTCAAATGAATTTGGATGCAATGTTTTATAATTTAATTTATATGCTTTCTTAACTACAGCTTCTTTTTCCAATTGATATACAGCATGAATGTTTTCAACTTTAGCATACTGAATAATATCATTATTGTCAAAATTAGGATATACAAAAGTTTTGTCTAGGTTTTTTGAATTAATCCAATTATTTCTGATACTCTTGAAAATATGCATAACATCATAAGTTAAATATATGTTCTCATCAGGATTATGTGGATTTGGAATAGAATAATTTTCTGATGAATCCTTTGCTAATTTCCTGAACATTGCTCTATTAATTCGGTGATTATCAGTAACAACACAAATAACTTCAAATCCACATTTTTGAACTAAATTTATCTTTGATCTTATCCATATCATCGAAATTCTGGATAGCTTTTTCATGTTTCTCAATTAATTTGTGTTTTCTTTGCATTGGGTCAGTTCTTTTGGGTGCTTCAGTTTTTGAAAGATATGATGACAAGTTTGGGAAAATGGAGGGAACAGCATTTTCTTTCAATTTTGTATATTTCAAAGGTATATTATTTTGGACTGTTCCATCCGCCAAAACTATATTTTCTGTCCTGATGATATCCGATTCTCTAAAATGACGACTGCACACAGCTTAATATTTTGAAGGTGTCCAATTTTTTCTGGGAATTGCCATAAGCCATTTGTTTTTCAGACTTTCGGTACTTGGGAAGCAAAAAGTTGAAACATAGCTTTCTGTTTTCAAAGCAGAATTATAGTTTGTATTGCATAAAGGAACACAGCAACAACGAGGCATATTGTCTGCGTCAAATACTTGATAAATGAAAAAAGAAAAATACCACCTGAATTTGCACGTTTTCAATAGTTGAAATCCTTAGCGTCCTGAGGCGCGAACAGCCACAGTCACACTTCTTAGTTTATTTTTAAAGCACAGAAGCACTACAACTGGAGTCTATTTCTCATATATTATAGTCACCGATCACTTTGAACACATACACACACTTTGAAGCTTAGAAAACAAGCTTATTTCTTAATTACAGCCTCTGGGATTCCAAAATCACAAATTGAAAAGGTTATGTTTTCTCAGCGTTTTGAGCACGAGTTGCGTCGATGCAGCATGCAGCGGCTTGAGTAACACTACCACCTACGTTGCCAGATTTCTTTGTTCACGGCTCGTAGTTGACGTCGGCTGTGCTTAGACTTCCAATGGTCGAAAGGGATTATGTAAAAAAGTAACCGTTTTTTGCCAGGCCGAGAAATGTTCACCATACCCGAGTATTTATACAGGGTGTAAACGTTATGATAGTCATTATTTAAATGGGTCTCAGAGGGGGTTAGCTTCTCGTCTATACTTCTCCAGTATAATATATTAATTAATTTTTTTAAAACACGGGATATTGTGAAACATCAACAGTTCCAAATTTATCTTACCTTTAGCAGCATGAACTTGTTCAGCGGATCGTACCACTGCATGAGATAAATTCCCGTAGCGGTAGCACCGCAAAGGTACTTGTAGCCATTGTAGGGGTTCCTGGCCACGCAGCATTTAGACGTGCCCCTAGTATCTGGCACTCTGGTGGTCAATGCGAATTTCCTAGGTACTAATCGTTCCGGGATCCGGTTCATATGCAAACTAAACCTATGCGACTGCTTGTTCTGCAACGCCAGCAGATCGTGCCTGTACAACTGTAACGTTTTACCTGTAACGGGGCACAAATAAATACCAAATTAGGTGCAGGCTAGTGGGGCACTAACTTCAGTATGTCGGTGAGCTAAATAATGTAAAAATTTATTTTTGCAAATTAATAGGCTTAACAGGAATATTTTCGATATGCCTCACCCTAGATAGCAAAAATACCGTTTGTAGCCCAGGATCTTCGCTGCTCGGAAAAATATTGTGATTCGTTTTGTTGCATGATCTTAGATGGATAGATAAATGTGCTTTATTGTCAGAAGAATATAAACATTTTTCGGAGTCGCGCACTTTGGCCAAAATATGAAAATAAACTCATGCAATTTTTAAACGAGGCGCTTTCATGAAAAATTATCGGTAATTTTGATCCACTTGTGCAATTACTTCCGAAAATTAAAATGGACATTTCAGTTGAGTGATTTTGTCAATTATATGGGCGCAGCATCTAGTAGGGATGACTTGTTAATTAATGGTCTTTGAATCACGATGTAGTGAGATGCAGTGTATTTTGTAAGTAATAAAATATCCAATTCACCTGAAAGCGTCATCAAAACGTCTTTGATAACATACATCCACAACGTTCGCCTATTGTACAACTGGTCTATACAGGTCTCGTGCAATTCGTTCAGATTCAAATTGTATATGCCTTCTTCGGCGCCAATGAGTATGTGCTGATCCCGCGTCTCTGGGTTTATCCACGATGCCGTACAGTGAATACGCAGCGGACAACCATTGAAAACCTGAAAAACAGACATCACCCCTAAGATTACGCACATTTCCCATAAACATCGTTACACAGTCCGTTAGACAAGAGTTATCGATCAGTCGCACAGCCCTCCTCTTAACAGCGCAGCACACCAAACATGTTAAGAAGCACTTTTCCATCTCCTTACTTATAACAGAAAGCAGAGCTATAGGCTGTCAGGATCGGTCTTAGAAGTATTTTAAAGTTCTGGACACGAGCAAAGCTCCAGGTCTCTTGGTAAGTGCCGGATTCGTACGATATTTGAAAGAGCAGAGTCTTCAGTACAACAGCAAGAATCAAGTCCTGACCATGTGAAACGAAAATTGCAACACTATGTAGGATGTTCCATCAAATAATACCCTGACGCACTTGAAGACATATCTGCATGAAAATAGAAGTAGAATGCTGGTGTGTCATGTTTTCTGAAACCATCATAGTATCCTCTTAGATACGCCATTGAATGAATGAAATGAATTTTAGATCCTACGAGTTGTTACCTTGGAAAAGCAGGCTCCCATGTGGACTTTAGGCGTTGGTGGAAGACCATTGCTGGGAGGTCTGGGAGGCGTGTGGCGCCGTCTGTGTTTCCTTGGAGGTACTGGCGGACTCGTCACTAAATCAGGGACGTTTCCATCCGCAGGTCCAGATTCCGATCCTGAAACGATTACTGTCAAATGTCGTACACCCGAGAAAAGTTTCATTAATCTTGACAAAACAGATGCTAATCATACAGACAATACTTAATCTCAAGATCTAGGGCTTCGATGGTATTAAAAGCGAGCATTTGAAAATTATAGCCGAGGACAACAGAACCACTCACTTACCTAATCAACAAATGCTTTGAATCTGGCATATATCCCTCAATTTTAAAAAAAGGTAATATAATACCGATACATAAATCAGGAACAAAAACAGAGGTTAACAACTATAGACCAATATCAATAATATCCAGTGTAGCAAAGGTTTTTGAAAAAGTTTTATCTACTAGACTGATTCGATACCTCACAAAATTCAAAATTTTAAGTGAAAATCAATATGGATTTACAGAAGGGAAGGCTACATCGGACGCAATAACTAAAATTGTAAATCAAATACATCAAAATATTGATAACAGAATCCCTTCAATCTGCATTTTTGTTGATTTAAAGAAAGCTTTCGACACAGTTAATCACAAATTATTATTAGAAGCATTGGAGAGAATTGGTTTCAGAGGAAACGCGTACTCACTGATCGAAAATTATTTGTCAAATCGCCCACAATCTGTGCAGATATCAGGATCATTTAGTAAAGAAATGTATATTAAGTGTGGTGTCCCACAAGGAACTGTCTTAGGTCCGCTGTTATTCAATATATATTTAAATGATATTTTCCAAATTAATGTGTTGGCAAAATAACTAGTTTTGCAGATGATACTGCAATATTATATGAAGGCACTGACTGGTCTGATCTGAAAAATGTAATTGAAAATGATTTTATCAAAATTATTCGCTGGTTTAACAGTAGAAAATTAAGCATTAACTATTCTAAAACACATTTTTTACCATTTGGATCTTATGCTAAACATCTGCCAAGTTACACAAATTTCTCCTTCAACATTAATGATCAAAAAATGCAAATTAATAGAGTGCCCAACATAAAATACCTTGGAGTGGTCTTGGATCCTCACTTACGACGGGACATCCATGTCAATTATATTTTAAAGAAAGTTAGATTTGTATCCTACAAAATTAAATACCTTGGGAATATATTGACAGAAAAATATCTTCGAACATTATACCATGCACTGATTGAGCCTCATCTCACATATGGAATATTAGCATGGGGAGCTGCATGTTCCTCACATATCTATAATTTAGATGTTTTTCAAAAAAGTATTCTAAAAATGATATTTAAAAAACCGAAACTTTATCCCACTGAAAAATTATACGCAGATGTTCGAATGTATGATATAAGATAGCTTTATTTCTTACACAGTATCACTCACTACCATAAATTTGTAAACACCGACCAAAAAATTAAACATAATCATTATACAAGGTACAAAATTCGTGGCACAGTAGTTCCTCAGCCGCATAAATCTATAATGCAGCGATCATATCTCTATTTAGCGCCTAAATTTTATGAAATTATACCTAAAGACTTAAAAGATTTACGTTTCGGAAATTGTTTCAAAAGAAATTTAAAAAAATGGCTACATTCTATATCTAGGACTGAAATTCATAAACTCATAATATGAACATCAACTAAATACATAATCTACTGTAGCTATTTTTTGTCATTTGCATTCTACAGTTTCAACTTAAATTATTGGTCCATGTACTATTGGGCCTGTTTTGATTTTATATTTATTTACTCATATTGTTTGTTATCTTTGTACATTTAGTGAATAAATATTATTATTATTATTAATACTTACTGTCATATTGGAATGCGGATTAAAACGCTGAAACTCACCGTTCGTCTCCCTCTCCTTGCTCCTATCCCTTCTCCCGCTATCGCTCAACGACCTCTGCCTCCCCCCGATATCCATCGAGTTCATCAGGCCGAATATCTCGTCGACGGACGAGTGCCTTCTGGGAGATCCGCCCGCGAACGCACCGGCGGCCGCCGATTGGTCGGCCGAAACGTTGGAGGAGGGGCTATCGCCGTCCGATCGACGGTGATGGTGGTGGGCGTTGTGCACTTCGCATTTGGCCACGCCCATCGCGCTTGCGGCAACGGTGGCTAGGGATGCCGCCTCGGAATCTTGTACAGGTAAGGTTGCCCTAGGGATAAGTTTGGGATAAAATGGCGATTCTAGTATAAGAGGGGCATAATTTCAAAAATAGTAGGGTAGGGTATTAATAGCATTTTCCACTGGCATGCATTTCAGGAAGGAAATCAGTGACGAATTATATTTATTCTGGTTGGTGTACCAGTACTAATCAGTTACTACAACCTAGCGTTGACGGATCTGTTCAGAATTATGCGTCATTAGTCGATATGACAAATTTTAAAATATTACTAGATTATCAGCAGTTATTCTACCATGATGGATACTCGTGAAAAAGACACTAAATAGCTCAGATGTTGTTTTTGAACTCTAAAGCGAGTCAGGCATTCAGCCTCATCTATATTTGGATTGTCTCACTTTACTTGCAAAACGAAAGCAACTGTAATATTTTGCTTTCATTTTCTGGTCCATAAATTTAAGGAAGGTGTAAAAGAACGATGAGGATAGTGTCCAAAGTGGGAACCCTTATGACGTAATGACTTGAAGATTTTCGGCAATCATAAATACGGCATAATTAAACGTTAATGATAACCTATTTTGACATTTCACTCATAAGAATTCAATGGGTGTGTCTAACAACTGTATATCGCTATATGCGGTTAGAGGCCTTCACTTTACAAAAAGCGCTGCAAAAAGTCGCTTGAAGCGTATTCTGTTGATACCGATCCAGAATACACAATTATGGGTCAAATTAGGTGTATCTTAACGTTTACGTCTGCAGTAGTTGTAATCACTGAAACTTCTTAATAACATGTAATGCACTTAGTGCAAAATGCATTAATAATTTTTGCAGTGGGACACAAGATGTCGGAGAAAAATGCACTGTGATGCTCAGCAGAACACTTTTATAATGTAGTGAGCGTATACAGGGTGTCCGCAGAGTTGGGGTTTTCCTTTTCAGAAACAACTACCCTTGAAATAACAAAGGTAATGTGTAGTGAAACGAGGGCGACCAAGTAAAAAAAAAATAAAGGAAAAAGTACTCTCCAGTTGATGAGAAGGGCTAAGTACGTCTCTGGCCGAAATCATACCGCTCCAACAGAAAATGAAATCAGCTGATGCGCTACCGAGCAGACGCCGGCGGTGGTGCAGACCACGAACAGAGGTAACAAATAAGACGGCGTTGCCGCGTTTTCAGTTTTTAGGTAAACGTACTTTATAGGTATTGTTCGAAGTTATCACCGTTTGATTCAAAAACAAAGGTGCGTGCACGACGTAGCCAAGCATCGGTGCAGGCTTTGAGAATGGAGTCCCTCCCCCGAATGAAAGCACCAGCTTGTTCAATTCTGAGACGAAGTTCGTCAACCGTATGCACTTCAGTTTTGTACACTAAGCGTTTCATTTCTCCCCAAAGAAAAAAATCACATGGTGTTAAGTCTGGAGATCGCGGAGGCCACGCTACGGGTCCATTACGTCCGATCCACCTATTCGGAAATAATTCATTAAAAAAATCACGCACTTCGCGTCTAAAATGGGGCGGTGCACCATCGTGCAGAAACCACATTGATTGTCTTACACTTAATGGCACATCTTCTAACAAGGAAGGCAAAATGTTGCGTAAAAAGTCTAGGTATTGCATCCCGTGCAATCGATTTGGGAGAATAAATGGTCCAATGAGCATACCGTTCACCATGCTAGCCCAAACATTCACCGAAAATGTTTGTTGAAAATGTGCCCGACGGACAGCGTGCGGATTTTCTACTGACCAAACATGAGTGTTGCGAAAGTTATTCACCCCATTACGCGTGAACGTAGATTCGTCTGTCACCAATATGCAGTTCAAAAAGTCCGGATTATTGTCATGTTGATGCAACAACCACTCACAAAACCGCACTCTTGCTGGAAAATCGTCAGGTTGAAGGGCTTGTACACGTTGGACGTGAAACGGATACAGCCCCTCTTCACGCAGCGTTTGCCACACTTTAGTTTTTGATACTTGCACTTCTCTAGCCACGTCTCTAGTGCTTGTTGAGGGATTCTCGTCTACGCGATTCAATAGTTCTTCCTCAACTTGCACCATTCGTGGTTGTCTAGGCCTCCCACTGTGCCCACCTCGAAATTCCTAAAAATGGCCCGTATCCTTGACTCTCTGGACCAGGTACACAAATCTGCGGGGCCTTGGATGATGTCGTCTAGGGAAACGATCTGCTTACACTCGCGAAGCCTCTGTAGCATTTTGAAGACTTTCGCCATAAATTAACAACATATCAACGAGTTCATTATTGGTGTATGAGTGTGCCATTATTTTTTTTTGAAACGCAATCGATTATACGGGTTCGTTTACCTCTACACGCGTGACCGTAACCGTCGGTTGAAGGTTGCATACTGACCTGACACACTGACCCCGACCCAGTTCTGACGTCGGGTTGAGCCAGTGACCTTGTACCACTCGGGGATGTCGCGGGTCGCGGCTACAGGACGGTATTCAGATATTTTTGATGTTGCAGAGCCCTTTATCTCGGTTCCCTTAAGAAATTGGTGTATATGGTACTAAGAAAAATTGCTTATGTTTTCAAGATCTACACGTCTTGTAAAGAAAAACCCCAACTTTGCGGACACCCTGTATATAACAAAAGTGCATACCAGTAGAAAACGCCGTAAAAGTCACTATTTGAAATAGTAATTTTAGTAATTTAGTAGTAAAATTTAAAGAAAGCGGTGCTGGGATAATATTGACATTATTTAGATTATTGGGTATTTTCCAAAGTTTTATATTCCAAGAAGTAACAAAACTTGATGAGATTTCAAACATAAAATTTCACGCCAAAACTGTGATACACATAACGTCTAAAAAAGATACGTAATAACACTGCCGGAATAAAATTCAAATGTACTATAGACTGATTTAACAGATACGAGTATTAAGCTTTCTTATATTTTTTGCGAATAAAATCCAATACTACATTAATAAAAATGTCTTGATAAACAATTCACCAAAACTTTATACCAGTTGCAGTTTAGTTGGTTATTCTGATAGAAAGCAGAAACATCGTTGATACAGTCATTTTTTAAACACCCTGGAAATTGGGGAATCTATATAGTTTTTCTGAAGGAATACAGTAATCGCAGATTTCCATATTTTCTCCTTACCACATTGCGAAGTGTTTTAACGATATTCCTTTTACGTGATTCATACTATAAATATTAGATCCCATCTATACAGGGTGTCCGCAAAGTTGGGGTTTTCCTTTTTAGAAATAACTACCCTTGAAATAACAAAGGTAATGTGTAGTGAAACGAGGGCGACCAAGTAAAACAAATAAAGGAAAAAGTACTCACTCTCCAGTTGACGAGAAGGGCTAAGTACGTCTCTGCCCGAAATCATACCGCTCCAACAGAAAATGAAATCAGCTGATGCGCTACCGAGCAGACGCAGAAACCACATTGATTGTCTTCCACTTAATGGCACATCTTCTAACAAGGAAGGCAAAATGTTGCGTAAAAAGGCTAGGTATTGCATCCCGTCCAATCGATTTGGGAGAATAAATGGTCCAATGAGCATACAGTTCACCATGCCAACCCAAACATTCACCGAAAATGTTTGTTGAAAATGTGCCCGACGGACAGCGTGCGGATTTTCTACTGACCAAACATGAGTGTTGCGAAAGTTATTCACCCCATTACGCGTGAACGTAGATTCGTCTGTTACCAATATGCACTTCAAAAAGTCCGGATTATTGTCATGTTGATGCAACAACCACTCACAAAGCCGCATCCTTGCTGGAAAATCGTCAGGTTGAAGGGCTTGTACACGTTGAACGTGAAACGGATACAGCCCCTCTTCACGCAGCGTTTGTCACACTTTAGTTTTTGATACTTGCACTTCTCTAGCCACGTCTCTAGTGCTTGTTGAGGGATTCTCGTCTACGCGATTACCTCTACACGCGTGACCGTAACCGTCGGTTGAAGGTTGCATACTGACCTGACACACTGACCCAGACCCATTTCTGTCGTCGGGTTGAGCCAGTGACCTTATACCAGTCGGTGATGTCGCGGCTACAGGACGGTATTCAGATATTTTTGATGTTGCAGAGCCCTTTATCTCGGTTCCCTTAAGACATTGGTGTATATGGTACTAAGAAAAATTGCTTATGTTTTCAAGATCTACACGTCGTGTAAAGGAAAACCCCGACTTTGCGGACACCCTGTATAATCAGACTTCAGAGTTTGAACACAAAAACCAAACTAAAATTGTTCACCCTGGACTATGATCACACAAATGGGATGCATTGCATTTTCAGCTTGCTTCAAGTCTCATCAAAACAACCGCTTATTTGGGGACAATATATATAATCTGATTCGTTACAATAAAATTCGCCTGAAAATCTAAAACTTACTGCTGCTCGTAGTCCGTGGGGTGATAGACGTAGGTGCCCCTAAAAAAATCATTAAAAATTCTCTTTCAGGTACTTCATATTTTTTTCAAAGTCAATAGACCTTAAACCAATCCCCCGTGTGTTATTTTGTAAAGGAAGCGAGAAGCGGTGAAAAATAAAACGACACGCAGACAAACGTACAGACAGAGAGTGTTAAGAAGGTAAAAGCGTTACAAAGGAGCTTGGATGAAAAGTCTGAAAATTACCTCATTACCAGCTCTTCATCAATGTACTGCAATAGACTCCTAAATAACATACAACTAATTAAAAAAGGAACTAAAAAATAAATTAGTGATGCATTAGTATTCAAAATATTCTTCACTATCATCTTACACTACTTTAAGGTTAATGTCGTATTACTCTAAGGACATTTCAGTTAATCTACGGATTAATTTTTGTGAGTGTGATTATGCTTAATCAAATCATCTATTAGAATTAGCTACCCACTGCGAAAACTGACGTAAGATCCAGCTAAGTCGTTATGGCTGATCCAAACTTTAGTTTATCATTATCTACCACAGTTTTTTGATGATATGAATGCAAATAGTTAAACTGACAGACACAGCTTATCTTTAGTTTCATCATTAATTAAAGTATTCTAGCCGAAAAAGGGATCTGAAAGATACTAGCGCCATCTACGAGACAATACGAGAATATAAAATTACTTTGACTACAGTTAGTGTTTGGATCTGCTCATAGATGATCTTTAATCCTAGGTACATCCCACCTGAAGATACCCAATTAATTTAGGCATTATGGAGGCGCCAAAGAAGGATGAAGATCTTAACGCCATCTACGAGACGGTAGTAGAATCTAACACTAACTGCTTCTTATGCTTTTTCTACATGTATTTTTGTGTTCTGACATTGTCTCGTAGAGGGCGCTGGCTTTTTCCGATAACTTTTTTTGTAGTATATGGTTGGCTACCTTCTGGTAGAATATCTAAAAATCAATTGTGCAATTTGAAATATTCATTATTCATTTTGTTTTTGAGCACCAATATATATTATACAGGGTCCCAGAAGTACGGAAACGGGGGATAGGCCAAGGCACAATAGTTATAAAAAAAATCCAAGTTGTGTACTTTTCAAATTATAGGTCTAAAAAATAGGAGAAATCATGATAGTTTTAGTTGGCTAATACGAATTTCCATTTTGTTTATAAGCAGTCGAAGAAGACCCCAGTACTGCAGTACGTCAAATAACGGGTGATTTTTTAAGAAGTATAGGATATGATTTAAAAAAAAAACACAAAAAATTTGAAAAAACGATTAAATCTTTATTTGAGTCGATAGAACGGTCGATATAATTTAATGTTTAAAGATTATTTCATGTAAATGTTGGCCGCGGCTCCGCTTTAGATGGCCCATGCGCAAGGTCCAATTTTGGCACACTCTCTCCAACATATCGGCCGGTATCTTACGAATAAATGCTTCAATATTGGCTTCCAGTGCGTCAATCGTTGCTGGTTTATCCCTGTAGACATTAGCCTTAACATGGCCCCACAAGAAATAGTCCAACGGCGTTAAATCACACGATCTAGGCGGCCAGTTGACGGGCCCCAAACGTGAGATAAACTGTTCACCGAACTCGCCTCTCAATAGGGCCATTGTTTCGTGTGCGGTGTGGCATGTGGCACCGTCTTGTTGAAACCACATGTCAGCCAAGTCCAGCTCTTCCATTTTGGGCAAAAAAAAATTTGTTATCATCGCACGGTAGCGCTCGCCATTCACAGTTATGTTCCGGCCATTGTCGCCTTTGAAGAAGTACGGCCCGATGATGCCACCGGCCCATTATCCACATCAAATAGTGATTTTTTCGGGATGCATTGGTAGCTCTTGCAATGCTTCTGGCTGGTTTTCACTCCAGATACGGCAATTTTGCTTGTTAACGTACCCATTCAACCAGAAATGAGCTTCGTCGCTGAACACAATTTTGCGATAAAAATGTGGATCTTCCTCCAACTTTGCCAGCGCCCATTCACCAAATTGGAAACGTTGTGGGAGGTCTTGTGGCTTCAATTCTTGCACCAGCTGTATCTTATAAGGTTTTACACCCAAATCCTGTCGCAAAATTTTCCACGTAGTGGAGTAACAGAGGCCCAATGGCTGAGAACGGCGGCGAATCGACATTTCACGGTCATCACTAACACTGGCGGATACAGCCGCAATATTTTCTTCAGTCCTCACTCTACGTCTGCGTGTTGGTGGTTTAATGTCCAATAATGTAAACTGGGTTCGAAATTTAGTCACAAGCTTCCGAATAGCTCCCTCAGTAGGCCGACCAAATTGCCCATAAATTGGAAGCAGTGCTCGATGCACTCTCTTAACCGGGCATGAATTTTGATAGTAAAATTCAATAATTTGCAAGCGTTGTTCGTTCGTATGTCGATTCATGGTTAAACTATAGACCAAACTGAACAAGTTTGACAATGACACAAGACATGATTCACGCGTCATCTGTCAAAAACAGTGTTGCCAAAAAGATACTAGCAAAAAAATCACCCATTATAAGCAAGCGCGGGAGTGTCCAAGAGTACAGTGACTACAATCTCTACAACCCTGGGATTATCTTTGAAGAGTTGAGTTTTATCAAACAATGTTACAGAGACAACGGGAAGATCGGCAATTTTTAGAGAAAATTTTATAGACTAATGAGTCGACATTTAACGGAAATGGTTACTTATACCCTAACCCCTATTTCCGGCTTGACAATGACTTCTGAGACACCCTGTATATTACTATTGTAAAGCATATGAAATATATTCAAAACGACAAATAATACTATTTTTTCCTCTACAGTGTGACAACCACAGGATAAGTTTCTGCAATTACATAATAATATCTACATCACTTATAAACATAAATGTAAAAATATATTTTGAATCACAATTACAACTTGTATTTTTTGAGTTTCTCAAAATATTCCCATTTTGTGAATCTGCCAAACAGTATATTTTCCTGGATTTTACGGAATTATCAAACCAGCATTTGCAACATGAACATCAGTTGATCAAATTCAAAATAGAAAATTTGCGATCTTGATACATCTTATCATTATTGTAATTTTAGAGCCATTTGAGTCAAGTTATGAGTTCTGCAGTATGTATAAGTGCAAAACGATTTTAAACAAAAACAATAAGCATTAAATTAACTGAACATATAAAAACAAAATATGTGATATAAGCGACAATGGCTGAAATTAAAAAAACAACACACGAAATTTTGCAAATAGTCTAACCTTAACGACATTTTTAGTAACTGAGACCCAGTCATGGCTTTTCTTTCAGAGCTACATGGAAAATAAAAAAGCACATAAAGCACCATATATGAAAGCTTATAGGTTTACCATAGTTTTTATATCATCAAAACTGAAACTTCTACCATCCATTATAGAGTTTAATATTTTTGTCTTAAATCTATGCAGTGACATCCAGTGAAATTCAAAAATCAAATACTGGTGAAATGATCTAGCATACTTTATTTTTTAAATCTACAGCCCCTTTGAAGTCATATTTAGTAGAAATTTCAGATAAAGACAATTTAATTTTTATGTGTCCATGTGTGTATAAAAATGTGAAGAAAGCACTTTTGCACAGAGCATGATCAATAACTCCATCAATATGTGACAGGTCTAACAAGGAACTTAGATTTGTGCTGTCTTCACATTTCTTAAGAGTTGGATTTTATCTCGAGTGTAATACTCACTTTTCCATATCTCTATTCAAAGAGTCAAAAGCTGCTCCAATCCCACATTTTTTATTCTGATGTTCGACGCAATTATGGACACTTGTCACGTTATTCATTAAGTCCATCACATCCCATTGCTTAGTTTTCTGGTCTTCAACTATGATATTTGGAGGACCTGAACAACAAAAATTATATGCAACTGATTTACACTGTTAGAAAGTAAAAAAAAACTTTATGGTTTGCAATAAATAAATATTACCTGGCCTGTGCAATGTGTTATTAGAATCATCAATATCAATATCATTTGTATGCAGAGCATTTTGAGACTTTGGTCTAGTAGTTAGTCTTGATGTTATCCTTTGTGGCACATTCGGTACAGCCTAAAATTTATTCCATATATTTTTTGATGTCTTGATTCTCTCTATGTTCAGAGAGTGAATTCAATTTCACAAAAAAGTCAATATCACAATAACAAATAGTTATGAGTTACCCCATCTTCATCGGCTTCAAATTCTGTGAACATATGAGAAGGATTGTTCACTTTCTGAAGAAGCTCCAATGCCAGTCTTCTACTCATATCTCCTTGGAAAAAGGGATGCTAGAACAATACCAACATTAATTCAACCATTTTACATATTAGTTATTATACCAACCTGCAACAACTTCTCAGCAGTAGGTCTTTTCTTTGGATTTTTTGTAAGTGCTACCTTGACAAAATTGTGGAATGTAGGACTCCTGAAAAACATTGTGATAATTTTTATTTTAAAAACCAAAATAAAATGTATATGTCAATGCAGATTTCAATCCTCAAATAAGTATTGGAGGTTTGAAATAAAGATCAAGAATGTCACATACCATTTCTCCTTATCTTTCAATGTGGGAGGTTTAAACCCACTTTTTGACATTAAAAATAGAGCTCTCATAGGGTGCAGATCAAACATGGGGGGTTGCAATTCTGCCAGCTCTATTGCTGTAATTCCAGTTGCCCATATATCACATAACTGATTGTAGCCCCCTTTCCTTTCTACAGCAGCAACCTACAATAAATTATTAATGAAAAAATACATTAATATAAAAATTAACTAGAGATGAAAAAATTACAGATTATATCAGGAAATCTGGTGAACTACTGTTGTACTCACAAAGCATTGGATAGAGAGGGGTAGTGTAGTAAGTTTTTAATGTTTTAAATTTCAAAGATTCAGTGAAAGGTAATAATAAAAATAACATTATATTAATATAAGATATACAGGGTGTCCAAGAAGTCGACGTCAAGCCGAAACCGGGTGATAGGCAAAGTCATAACAGCTATCAGAAAAATATTTAAAAAAAATTAATGTATGTGTTTTGAAAATTATAGGTCTTTGAAAAAAATATAGAAATTTCACACCCTACGGCAGTCTGTCAACTCCTGTTACTACAAATATTAACTTTTTTTGTATTTTATTTTTACAATGTAATGATGAATAATGCATCTTCAAACTGGTGTCTCAACCTTACTGCCAACTTTTCTCGTTCAGGAAAAATTGCCACTTATTTCCTAACCAAGTATTCCAAAGTAAAACTGTACTACGAGAGTTTGGCAAGTAACCTTAAAAGTTGGCGCATTTAATAAGGATTCCAAAATGGTATAACACTTAGAAGATTATTCGTTAACTTATGCACAATTTTTATTTGAAGAAAAACTGATGAAAATTTTTCAAAATTTCCTAGTTAAACAGCGATTATGAAAACGCACAAGGACCCTTAAGGATAACTGTTTGCACAACAGTGGGCGTCAAAATGCTGCTGATGATGATTTACCTTTACAGCAAATGCTCAAACTGTTTTCCTTCAGCCGCAATACACGCTCGACATCTTAAAAAAGATCGGGTTATTAAACGAGCGAATTCACGGTTATTAACAAACTCAGCTGCTTCCAATCATCTTTGCCGTAGCTCAGCTACATTTTGAATCGGCTTGAAATACACTTTTTCTTTTACAGTTCCCCAGTAAAAAAATCTAAAAGATTCAAATCGGGTGATCGGGCTGGCCACGGTATTGTACCAGACCGCCTTATCCATCTGCCTGGAAAGTTTTGATCGAGATACTCTCTCACTGAGAGTGCATAGTGCGCTGGGCAGCCATCATGCTGAAACCACATGTCCCTGTAAATACTCAGTGGCACGTCCACCAATAAATTTTGTACATGATTTTTCAAAAAATCCAAATAAACTTCAGCAGTCAAAGTCTCTGGGAACTCAAACGGACCGATTATTTTACCATTTAAAATTCCTGTCCAATGGTTTATCTTGAAGCGATATTGAGATTTATCTTCTCTCATCAAATGTGGGTTTGCTACGTGCCACTCGTCTAAGTTATGCAGGTTCATTTAGCCATCTTTCCTAAATGTGGTCTCATCCGACCATAAAATTTTTTCAAAGAACTGTGGATCTTTCCTGTGTCTTTCTAACATTGTGCGACAAAAAGCAACTCGGGGCTCATAATCCCGGGGCAGGAGAGGTTGAACACGCTGTATGTGGTATGGATGAAGCACATCACTTACTTGCTATTGCACACTTTGATACCGATCAGTACTCCTTCGTTTACTGCGCATCTTTACATGTTCGTGCTTGTTGATTTCGTACTGATACTAATTTTGGATTCGTGAACTGGACTGTTGATCGCTTGTGATTTGGATTTGGACTGTTTAATTGCTCTTCAAAACAACATTTGCTTTCCTTAGGCTATCTTTGATAGTGTGATTGTGCAGTGCCGCTATGTCCGTGTACACCGTACAAGAATATGCTAACATGCACCTCATTTATGGGGAATGCAGATGCAACGCTAGTGCTGCAGCGAGACTTTACTGTGAGAGGTACCCGAATGCAGCTCGTCATCCAGATCATCGAGTGTTCACAAATGTGCACCGCTTACTGTTCTCAGAGGGCCAACTACCAAACCAATCACACGGTGAGGGAAGATCTTTCCTTCCTTACGAAGACGTGGTGCTAGGAGCTGTCGAAGAAGACCCGAGTACTTCAGTGCGTGCATAATCACCTGATTTGAATCCTTTAGATTTTTTTACTGGGGAACTGTAAAAAAAAAGTGTATTTCAAGCCGATTCAAAACGTAGCTGAGCTACGGCAAAGACTATTGGAAGCAGCCGAGTTTGTTAATAACCGTGGATTCGCTCGTTTAATAACCCGATCTTTTTTAAGAAGATGTCGAGCGCGTGTTGCGGCTGAAGGAAAACAGTTTGAGCATTTGCTGTAAAGGTAAATCATCATCAGCAGCATTTTGATGCCCACTGTTGTGCAAACAGTTATCCTTAAGGGTCCTTGTGCGTTTTCATAATCGCTGTTTAATTAGGAAATTTTGAAAAATCTTCATCAGTTTTATTTCAAATAAAAATTGTGCATAAGTTAACGAGTAATCTTCTAAGTGTTATACCATTTTGAAATCGTTATTAAATGCGCCAACTTTTAAGGTTACTTGCCAAACTCTCGTAGTACATTTTTTTCCAGTACAGCCAGTTAAAGTTGAGCAAAGTTTTACTTTGGAATACTTGGTTGGGAAATAAGTGGCAATTTTTCCTGAACGAGAAAAGTTGGCAGTAAGGTTGAGACACTACTTTGAAGATGCATTATTCATCATTACATTGTAAAAATAAAATCCAAAAAAAGTTAATATTTGTAGTAACAGGAGTTGACAGACTGCCGTAGGGTGTGAAATTTCTAACCCATAATTTTCAAAACACATACATAAAATGTTTTTAAATATTTTTCTGATAACTGTTATGACTTTGCCTATCACCCGGTTTCGGCTTGACGTCGACTTCTGGGACACCCTGTATAAGGAGTATATGAGAGAAATTCATAATGTGAATATTGACCTTAATTTAAAATGAAGAAATAGATAAAATGCCATGTTAGTCACTAAGGGTTTTTTTCATTTTTTGTAAATGCAGAATAATAAAAATATCTTGTTTTTATATCATTTTGGATTACAAAGTAGATTGAAAAAAGATAGATAGGATAATACATTCATAAAAAGAAACTTTTATAATAAAATGTCTAAAGGATAAACATCATAATCATCAACAACTGCTTGTTTTAGAACAATTAAATATATTTGTAGCCTACTTATGAGTAAACTCTAAAGTAAATAAGAGTACTAGATTAGATATGCAACATATTTTCACAAAATAAAAAAGCTATTCTAAAGATTATAATGTACTTTTACTGCTGATGATGTGATTATATCAAGTCAAAACATTATGAATGTTGCACCTGTTAGTATTGGCACCAAGCCTAATTACTGATACTACAAAGCTATTATACTAGCATTGAAAATTTCCACAAACATATGATAGAAAATTGGTTTATTATCAGCATAACTGTTTCTAAATTCTTAGATAATATGCCTATTATTACTATTAAGTATACAATTTTTATTAACTCTACTCATGCTTCACACACACTAAAATTTGTAAAATTCATGCATCATCTTACCTCAGGCGCCATCCAATAAGGAGTGCCAATAAATGATTTTCTTTTATTTATTGTGGCTGTAATTTGTGCCGACACACCAAAATCAGCTAATTTCACATCTCCTGCTTCAGTGAGCAGAATATTTGCTCCTTTAATATCCCTATGCATCTTCCCCATACTATGAAGGTACTGCAGACCCAACAAGGTTTCTCTACACATATAAGCTATTTGATTTTCTGCTAAAGGACCTGTAACTGTAATTTTATTTGTAAGAAAGGTGTATATTTTTAGTGCCAGTGGTACTTACTATGGTAAATGTCTTGTAGTGAGCCTCCACCACAATATTCCATACATATCCATAGTTTATCCCTCCTTAAATAACTTCCATAGTAAGCTATTATGTTAGGATGTCGGCAGTCTTTCATCATAAGAATTTCTTGTTGGATAATACCAAAGTCATCACCTAGCACATGAAAAAAGCAATGTTTAATTTAAATAACTGTTTTTCGTAATGATTTACTCACCTGGTTCCAGTTTGATGACTTTGATAGCTGCAAAATCATTTGTGGACAGCCTTTTGGCCTAAAAAAAATACATAAAAGGTGATTCAGAGGTACAGCAACAGTTACATATAACATCATGAGATAATTAGATTTAAAACGAACGGGTAGCTCAAAAAAATGATTTGATGATCAATTATTTCAGGAATCTGATAGAAAAATATAGTACCTTGTAGACGTCTCCATAGGTTCCACTCCCAATTCTCTGTATGAGTTCATAATCATCTTGAGGGTTTCGTCGGGATATGTCAGAGCTTAATACCCCCTGTGCCATTTTATTAAGCCACTACAAGTTTACATTTTACAATTACTATAATATTTTGTTTAAAATAAAATAAATGTTTATGTAAATTTGACTTTGACAGTAACTGCAGCTACGCCATCAGCTATCACTGTCATTTGTCAGACAACACATGCAAAGATCGAATTTGGAGGGGGAAGAAAGTGTGTGAACTAGAAGTTAACCTTGCGGCTATAGAAAAACTCTAAGATTAGCGCAATCTTACAGGTTACTAGCGCGTACAATCAAAGTAATCCAAACAAAGGAATTTTTGGTAAAGACGTCAGCGTAACTGGAAAGTGAACCCATCAAAGTATATTGGATCCGAATTCTCTGTGAGATACAAACCAGATTACTATAAGTCTGAATTGATTCGAAAATTTTGACCACCCACTGTATAATAACCTGTCAGATTAACCATTTGCTAATTTTTGCTTGTCATGATCCATTTGACATATCTTGTCATATTGCTCTACTTTAAAAAATAATTTTGAATACTCATCTTTTGTACTGCAGTGAAACTGAAAACTGATAAATCATGACTCAAATTCAGGTAGAGCCAGACCGAGAAAAAGCTCTTCAAGAGTATAGGAAGAAACTACTCGAGCACAAGGAGGTAGAGTCTCGGTTGAAAGAAAGTAAGTACTATTATATTCGCTCTAAAATAAAGACCTCTGATTATCGTGTTCAACTTACAGTGCGAGAACAGTTGAAAGACCTAACTAAACAGTACGACAAGTCCGAGAATGATTTGAAAGCCCTGCAAAGTATGGGACAAATTGTTGGCGAAGTGCTGAAACAACTAACAGAGGAGAAATGTGAGTAGATGAAACATAGCAATATATCAGCCTACCTAACTCAATTTCTGTTTTTTCAGTTATAGTGAAGGCTACCAATGGTCCCAGATATGTGGTGGGATGCAGACGTCAGTTGGATAAACAGAAGCTCAGAGCTGGAACCAGAGTAGCTCTCGATATGACCACATTGACTATAATGAGGTACTTACCCAGAGAGGTGGATCCACTTGTATACAACATGAGCCATGAAGATCCTGGGGATGTCACCTATTCAGCGATTGGTGGACTATCAGAGCAAATAAGAGAGTTGAGAGAAGTTATTGAGCTGCCTTTGTTGAATCCAGAACTGTTCATGCGGGTTGGAATCACCCCTCCCAAAGGTAAATATGATCATTCAAAGTTATGTGAAATTCTCACTGTATTTTTTTAGCAGTTCCCATTTGAAAATTTTTAGATTTTGATAAACATAGAATCATCTTAGAGCTGCAAGATGTGCTAAGATTTTACATAATTTTTTCCTGTTTTCCAAAAGTATCATTTGGATCCACATAGAATTATTCTAAAAGTTTAAAACAAAACTTTTAGGAAGTAAACATTATTTTCTCTCAAAAATATAATCATTGATACCATTGATTGATATATTCTAGCACAAAAAAATCATTTGAAAGATCCTAGTGTTATCTGTGGGACAATAGTAGTAACAAAAATTTTGGAGTGATTTAGAGTGTTTGGTTCTGCTTCTGTCTGATAGATGGTGATAAGCTCTCCAATCCCTGAAGATATTCAATTGAAATAGCCATTAGAGGGGCATCTAAAAGTGATTAAAGATCATAGTGCCATCTTTGAGGTGGTAGCAGTACCAAGCACTAACTCTTTTCAAAGCAGATTTGTATTTTCATTTTTGTGTTCTGCCCCTATCTTATGGATAGATTTTCCAGAACCCTTTTTGGGTGCCAGTATATGGATCTTCAGGTAGAATAACCAATGATGATCACAAAGTTTATTTTTTCTTATATTTCTTTCTGAGTTGATAACAGTGAGAAATTCCAAAGGATTCACTGAAAAATTGTTACCCAAGTATAAATCAGGGAACTGAAAGTCTTACAAGATTAAAAAAAAAATTCAAACCGCATTATATGTTTTTGTGTTATATTTCTCATCCCTGTGCTATGATCATTTTAGCACAAAGCATAACTATTTTTAATTGTCTCATTTCTGAAATGTAATATCAGATTTTGTCTAGTTCTTTCTTTTGAGATAGCAGAATTTAAAGGTGCTGAAAAGTACTCAGATGCCTGCAATATGTACTCAAATCTTACAACATTTAACTATGCATAGAATACATCTATGACATTTTACATTTTTTTTTTTTGAAGATTTATTTAGCATTAATGCTACTATGTCAGTGTTGCATAATTATTTGTGTAATCAATTTTCTGTATTTCTATATATGCTTATCTATTAAAATTACATTACTGTGCATTTTGAGTATTCATAAAGTTTTTAAATTCAAACACTGTTTAATATCATTATTCAATTAATTAAATTCAAATACTCCTTTTTAAATGCAGATTTGCTTGTTCTGCTACTATTACAATTTTGCAGATGAAAATCTATGCATCTAGTTTCTTAGCTATGATAAAATGAGATATTTGTTTTTGTTTAAAATGATTCTCATAGGTTTATTTTGTAGAATTTGTATTTTTTATTGGTTTAGCAATGTAAAAAATGGGGAAGGCTATAGTGTTATATAATTTTTTTTTTTGAATATGTACTGCGATTTTTCTGGTATTTCTGAAATAATATGGCATAACTATAATGGCATTAAATACATTTTGCAAAAGATGCAAAGAAGTACAATTTTTTGAAGCTCTGTAATTTTTAGGTTGTCTATTGTATGGGCCCCCAGGTACAGGAAAGACTCTTTTAGCAAGAGCTGTGGCATCCCAATTGGATGCCAACTTTTTAAAAGTTGTATCCAGTGCTATTGTGGACAAATACATTGGAGAATCTGCTAGACTGATTAGAGAAATGTTCAATTATGCTAAAGATCACCAGCCATGCATTATTTTCATGGACGAGATCGATGCCATAGGTAATATTTAGGAAGACAACAATACTGCTTTCTATCATCTGGTCAACAGAGAGGTCAAACATTTTTTTTTCTAGGTGGGAGAAGGTTTTCAGAAGGTACGTCGGCAGATCGTGAGATTCAGAGAACGTTGATGGAGCTACTCAATCAGATGGACGGATTCGATTCACTGGGACAGGTATATTACATAAAAAAAAATTTCAGATAGTGAGTGGTCATTTATAAAGACTACTCAGTATTTCCAGATATGTTTGTGCTGTTCATAATTTAAAGCGGATAACATTGTGATTGTGAAAAAGCCGAATTTGAGGAAGAAATTATGAGGGGCCTAGCATCAAACTGACATGGGATTTAATAATTCATCACAATGCTCGCAATTAATTACAAATTTATAGCTATGTCGATCGCGTTTCGCGCTGCTAACCCACAATCCTTTGTCTCGCTCCCTGTCCCCTGATCATGTATTTATCTTTGATTCGACGAGTCCAGAAGTGCTTCGGCGTTTTCTACACCGAACTCGAGCCACCATCGAAGCTTGTTAAATGGCGGTCGTTACTTTTCGATGCGTATCGAATGTTCGCGATGAGCGGCCGCGTAATTCTGGTTGCCTAAGACCTACTTACGCGGGCGTCAACGTGTACAACTACACCACCGCGCTGCCTGGTTTATCAAATAAACAAAGTTTTTGGAGTGACCAATCCAATTTCAACTGGAACAAATTGCTGACTTTTGTTTATTCTAGGTGAAAATGATAATGGCTACGAACAGACCCGACACCTTGGATCCTGCCCTGTTGCGTCCAGGACGTCTAGACAGAAAAATCGAGATCCCGCTTCCTAATGAACAAGCTAGACTGGAAATTTTGAAAATTCACGCGTTGCCTATTGCCAAGCATGGTGAAATCGACTATGAGGCTATTGTTAAGCTATCTGATAACTTCAATGGGGCTGACTTAAGGTAAGTTGAAAAAATTGAGGGTCATACTTATAGACGTTCCTTGAGGATTAAGTGCCACTTGGGAATGGACAACAAACAGTAACACTTCAAGGGGCGATTTAATTTTTTCATTTCACAGTAGGCTGTAACAGCTGTCATTACTAGTCCACCAAAATTTGGACTTTTTTCAATTTTCAGTTTTTTGTCTTTTGTACAAAATTTTACTTCTATGAATTCCGGTTTTCCATGAAATATTTTTTCAATTTCGAGTCAACTAAACTCCCAAATTGACTAATCTCAGCCAGTTCAGAAATCAGTCTAACAGAGTTCCTCATGACAGCCGCGGGGCCCTGGTATTTAGGCTTGTGCATACGCGGTAGACTTTTCAATGGAAAATCTAAAGATATCCGAATTTTTTAGGAACGTATGTACGGAGGCTGGCCTGTTTGCTATCAGGGCAGAAAGGGAGTATGTAATCCAAGAAGATTTCATGAAAGCGGTGAGAAAAGTTGCGGATAACAAGAAGTTAGAAAGCAAATTAGACTATAAACCAGTTTAATATCATTTTGTATATTTCATTGCGTGTGTCAAGAACATCATAATAAACTTACAAAATAATGAGCTTCTTTTAGTGAACTTAAAAATAATCAACAAACTAGGTAGTTCTTATAACTACACTTAATATTTACAATAGAGGATATATTGATGAGTCAAACATAATTTGAATAAATAACGAAGATTTCAAAATAAACTAAATTCTATGAAATGCATCATGGAAAATGGAAATCAAAACGGGTATAATTTTCTGACTGGATATTTTTAGACTCTTCAATATATCTAAATAACAGTCTCCTTAAGGTACGTTTGCGTTACAACTTTGCGCCAAAAATTTGCAACATATCGCGAAACCAACGCCGGAGTCAAAAGTGTACCAGGCGACTTTTGCCATGTCTGACACTTTTCGCCGGACAAAATTTTGCAGATATTGAAGTAAATGCGCCAGCCACATGTTGCGCAATATTTGCCAGACATTCTGATGGTCTGCAACATATTGCGACAAGTGTGTCCGGTTAGATGAGTTTCCATTTAAACAAGCTTGCTTGCATTGTTGAGCAAAATCGTCTGCAATTTGTTATATTAAAAACGTACTTCAAGTAAAACAAACAGTTTATGATAGAGAGTTTTCTGTACGACAAAAATAACGAATCGCGCTTTACGCTACGTTATTTTGAACCGTGGTAATTTGACAGTATTGACTACTGACAAGATGCTTTTTTTATTTTTACCCCAAATGTCCAAAAACTTGTTAAAATTTTTCATCAAAAAGTTTTTGTTTTATTCGAGTCCAGATTCATCGCGAGACATAATCGAACAAGTATGTCGAAATTATCGTACGTAGTGTCGTATGGTTACAGGATTCATGGTCAGGCAGAAGATTTTCGTGTCAGGGGACAATTAATTGTTGGTGACAATTGAAAAGCGAGGGGAGGGAGGGGGATAAAAGGACTTATCGTACATTTAGCTATTGTTTGAAACTCATGATTTTTCGAAAACAAGAGTTTCAAGAGAACATAGCTCGCTTAACGACATCGAGAGAACTGTGCGAGGTAAAGGGAACCAACCCGGCGTTCCCAGAGACTGAAACACATGAGGAGACGTTGTAGCACTCCGCAGGTCACGCACAACACATGGCCTACCGAGACGCTGATGAGTCGGGCCACGCGGAGGTTAGAGTTTAGTGGGTATTAGGTGGTCTCCTCAAGACAACCTGAAGTCCCACACACGCTGTAGCTCGGGCTACGGTATGGTGCATAAACGCATTCCCCCTCACCAAAAAAAAAAAATAGCAATCATCGTACACGTACTTGAAATTATCGTACGCCTAGGAGAACTCCAATAAAAGCATACCTTGCCACATTGCTCAGATAACAAAAATAAAGACAATTCAATTTATTCAGAACACTCTGTTTCTTGCATTTATTTTAATCTGCGATCTTAAACTCATACATTTTCATTATATTTAACAAAAATGTTTTTATAACTTGAAATTTTTTCAATAAAGCAAATCCGCCTTTACAAATTCCGGCAAGAGCGCGTAAATAAGAAAAATATAACCTTACGGAATAAGCCCTCCCATATCCTCCGTAATTAACGGAGCTTTCTTATTTCGATAACGCATGTTTGTCTCGCTACTGCGCAAAATCGAAATAAGGAAGAAGCATATATACATGTTACGCTATCCAACTTTTATAAGCGAAGATTCAGACTAGAAATGAACAAGTCCTTGGGTTAAAATGAAATCTGATCGTTATTCTCCAAAATCAGCATTATTTTAAACGCCTTCTTTCAGAATATTTTCCAGTTTCTCGAACTGCAGTCTCAGGTTTCTATCAAAACCAACCCCCCTTTTCCTCTCTACTTCCTTTACTTGATGCCTTATACTCTCCATTACATCCTTGATATCACTTGAGACAAACCTAGCTAGAGCGTACATTAACTGGAAATAATTCACTGTGTTGAAAGCTAAGTGTTTTTGCGTTACAAGCACGATATTCTTTTTGAATTCTGCGCTAACATGGGAGTACAGCTGAGAACTCGTTAATACTTTGATGACATTCAAAGAATTATTGCGTTGATTGTGGAAAATCACAAGCTCAAAAAGACCATACACAATCTTGTGGGTGATGAGTTGTAGCAGGGAAAATGAGGTAGAACTTAAGATTATATTACTGAGTATCCTTAAAACTTTTAGTATATTATCATCAGCTTCTTTGACAGGGTGTTTCATGTAACAAAGATACATTTTTTCTAAAATCACAGACGAGCAAGGCTTTTCTTTCTCCAAACACGATATTATAGGGGAATCACTTGTTGAAAAGTACGGCATATATTTTACTATCATATCCTTGAGAGTTCTATCTATGAAACTATCGCTATCTGTGTTCAATGTGGCCAGCGCTTCAAAAAGTAACCCCCAACTTTTCTTTATAGCATTCAATATAAAAGGATGTGGGGCTTTATTGCCTACAAGAAAGGAATTTGGAAAATAGAGTGTTTGCAACAATCTTACAGCTGGACAGGTACTTTTACTTTTTTGGTACAACAATGTCCCACAATAATGAAAAGCTAATGACATGTACGTATATATTCGAAAGACCAAAGCCTCATTTTCTGGTTCAGTCAGAAAATGATGCAACCAATTGCTTGCATGCCCAAAAGTCATATCACACAATTTATGAATATTTGCGGATTCTGTCTTAAGGTTCAGTTCTCTGCCTAAATATTCTATCAAGCCTCTAACTGGATCATCTGTATTTTCTAAATGTGTTTTCAAAAGTTTCGGGAGTAAGTCTAGCCTCAAAACGTTTGCCGTTAAGTCATCAGTCGACTCTAAAGTCAGTAGACAGATCTTAAACCAGGACTGTATCACCAAGATTTCTTGGTGGGATGTTAAAAGAAAATTATTATTCAACACCACCCTTAAAAACGGAAGACTGATGACAGTAGTTAAAGAATCACTGTTAAAGAATTCTATGATGTCTTTGGACATTTGAGGAGCGAGCAAAGCTATTTTGCCCGCAATTGTTCCCACTATAGAAGGAGGATTTTTTAAATTAGCTAAAGACATAAGCATAGGATAGATGTGCGTTTTAAAAGTAGGTTCCCAATATGGCCAGCTGTCAGGGGTGCCAACTTTTTGTACAGTTGTCAGAATTACATCCAAACCTAATTTCAAATCTGCATAGTAACAAGATTGGAAATACTTTTCTAACCAAAAGTCAAATAATAACCACTGTTTCAAGTGCATACTTTTGCTAAGGCTCAATATGTGTTCAAAATTCACCAAAAAATCTTTGACGAGGTGAAAATGTTTTTGGTTCGAGCAAACTGATTGTCGAAGCATTTGCAAGCAAGGCAGATGAGTCTCTCCAATGTCATGGCCCTCCTTAACTTGTGTCAGAATCTGGAACACAACGAGAAATGGCGTCAGGTAGATTAACTTTATGCTTCCCACGCCTTCGGGAGCAAATTCGGAATTATAAAAAATGAATGGGATAAGTCCGTTCAAAAGAGTCGATAATCACGAAAGATGACTATTACGTCATACCATAAATTGTACTGAAGTAATCAATGGACGTACGTCGATGATAAAATCACGATGTCAGAAACACAATGACAACAAATTTATATTATGATTTTGCGAAATTAGGTTATTTCACTGATTATTTTTATTTTCATTTTATTTCATGGTTTTGGGTGATACCTTAATAATAATTTTAGTGGTGAGTTTTTATTTTGAAAAAAAAAACAGTTATGAGTAGAACCAAAGACCAAAGTATTCGAAAACAACCTAACCTGCTTTAACATAACCTAACTATTCATCTTTCAAATATGATCGATCATGCATCATGGAAACATCGTCTATCTTTGTCGGATACATGCAAGTTAGCAATACAGTCTGTTTAGACAATAAAATTATGGTTGTCTCTGTCTAACATATCTGAAACTTCACTAAAAATATTCACAAATCGCTGTCGTTTGTCTTTACTACAGACTAAAACGATGACGTAATCGTCATCTTTCGTGATTTCGACTATAGTATTGTAGAGGAGCTAGTTGCAAAGAAATCGCTCAAACTTCGACGCTGACGTTTCAGGACCTCCTATAATACCCAAACACAGAAGTGCAGACCTGGCTGTGAGGTAGCGGAGCTAAATCAAGCCTGACATTTTGGAAGACGCGATTTTTTTGCAAAAAATGTCCCAGAAGCATTCCGAATTATTTATACCTTTAAAGTTGACACTTAAATAACGAAAAAACAAATAAGCCAGATCGTTCAGTCGGCACTTACACTTTGCCGGGTGCTTTCAAAATTATTTTCCTAAAAATTTAAAAAAACGTTTTTGAAGCATGCTGAAATTTAGTATCATATTATATATAATTAAAAGTAAATATTTTAAAAAGGACAGGTCATTTCAAAGCGACATTTTACCTGCCAGGTGATCGAGAAAGTGACGTATGCGTATGTGTGAGTAGTGTTATAGATAAGTATTATTCCATACATCATATATTTTCCCAAACATTGAACGATAGAGATATACAGGGTGTCCGCAAAGTTGGGGTTTTCCTTTTCAGAAACAACTACCCTTGAAATAACAAAGGTAATGTGTAGTGAAACGAGGGCGACCAAGTAAAAAAAATAAAGGAAAAAGTACTCACTCTCCAGTTGACGAGAAGGGCTAAGTACGTCTCTGCCCGAAATCATACCGCTCCAACAGAAAATGAAATCAGCTGATGCGCTACCGAGCAGACGCCGGCGGTGGTGCAGACCACGAACAGAGGTAACAAATATGACCATCGTGCAGAAACCACATTGATTGTCTTACACTTAATGGCACATCTTCTAACAAGGAAGGCAAAATGTTGCGTAAAAAGTCTAGGTATTGCATCCCGTCCAATCGATTTGGGAGAATAAATGGTCCAATGAGCATACCGTTCACCATGCCAACCCAAACATTCACCGAAAATGTTTGTTGAAAATGTGCCCGACGGACAGCGTGCGGATTTTCTACTGACCAAACATGAGTGTTGCGAAAGTTATTCACTCCATTACGCGTGAACGTAGATTCGTCTGTCACCAATATGCACTTCAAAAAGTCCGGATTATTGTCATGTTGATGCAACAACCACTCACAAAACCGCACTCTTGCTGGAAAATCGTCAGGTTGAACGGCTTGTACACGTTGGACGTGAAACGGATACAGCCCCTCTTCACGCAGCGTTTGCCACACTTTAGTTTTTGATACTTGCACTTCTCTAGCCACGTCTCTAGTGCTTGTTGTTTTTTGAAACGCAATCGATTATACGGGTTCGTTTACCTCTACACGCGTGACCGTAAACGACGGTTGAAGGTTGCATACTGACCTGACACACTGACCCCGACCCAGTTCTGTCGTCGGGTTGAGCTAGTGTCCTACTACCACTCGGGCATGTCGCGAGTCGCGGCTACAGGACGGTATTCAGATATTTTTGATGTTGCAGAGCCCTTTATCTCGGTTCCCTTAAGACATTGGTGTATATGGTACTAAGAAAAATTGCTTATGTTTTCAAGATCTACACGTCGTGTAAAGGAAAACCCCAACTTTGCGGACACCCTGTATTATCCATATATGTATACAAGGCAACTCAACCAACAGACATAACATACAACCCACTGCCTTGAAAGCTGACCAATATCTGAGCAACGGTGGGTGACGCTATTTTTAGTGTAGACCTCATAAACAAGGAAAACCAAATTTGCGAGAGAGAGCAGTGTGTATCAGTACATGTTAGAAAGAGATAGAAGCCGGCTGAAGAGCGAAGGTCGTTACCACATTGCCTAGCGACGGTGGCGCAGAAGATCGTGTAATCTGCCCCATTGCCAATATGTTACACCAGAAAATGTTCGCACAGAGAAAATTATTGTCAAACCTAAGAAGGTGGTCTGTTCGAATATTTTAATATCTCGTTTTCAATTTGATTAGGCTTATTTATTAAAATGTCGATGCGACTTAGTGTTTTATTTTAGATTTATCTTTGATTTCCACCGATGGTGATAAAATCAACAAATCCTGAATTATTATTACGTGTTGCGACAGCCAGCGATGTGGAAACGTAACAAATACCATCACGCAATACAAATTATCATTGCATGCATGTGCGCAGGTGAAAACCATTTCGAAGCAAAACGGCACTTCCCAATAAGCGCTAGATACGTACTGACCAAAATCGGTCTTCTATTATCACGGAGGTGGAAACATTACCTTGGAATGTACGATATGCAGTGTTGCCAAGCGATGTTGCAGAGTTTGTGGCGATCTTGACCGTTCATTTCGACTCTAAAATGGGAAGCGCCGTTAGGAACGATCCGAAATCGATCCTAAAGAGATACGACTCAATTCACATTTCAAAAATGTGTTCGCTCAGAATAAAACAATTATTTGGGCGTAAAGAATAAATTAACGCATATTCTCAATATGCATCTTAATTCAACGAACTGGTTTAACATGTTGGCAACAGGGCAGATTGCAACGTAGCAGCCTGCTTCTATCTCTTTCTAGCATATGTGCCTATACACACTTCTCTCTCATCCACATTGAACTCAAGCCGTCAGACAAATTTGGTTTTCAGTGTATATTAAATGGATTCAGTATGAGTGTGTTCAATTCCTTTTCCTCAAGGTTTTAATGACAAATTTGAAATTTCTATTCCACTATCACAAATGTTTAAATACAATTGTCTAAAACTTGCCAATCAAATGCTGACTGACAAATGAAAACTAGTGGGCATACTAGTATAACCTTCTGTCAGAGTACTGGCAAAATAGCACCTTTTCATTATTTTTTTTTTTACATTACAGGAATATCTATAAGCAATGTATTTGTTCTTAGCAAAAAATAACAACGTATATTTTATATGATCACCTCCAAAAACATTCGTTTTGTTATCTTGAACAAAAAATTTGTATTTACACTTTGTATTCCATTTTTGTCTTCCTGTAAATTAAAATCTAATAGGAAAAACGAGTTTGGTTAGTATTGTATATGAATAGGTCAAGCTAACACTAAATTTTATCATAAGTTTCATAAAAGGCATAATAGAAAATGTTTACTTACAAATGCTGTATAAACATTCCATACTACAGTCAAATATCTATCTGGTGGGTAGAACTGCATAAAAGTCAGTATTTTCTTCTGTGATTCTGCATATTGCACGCTACTTAAGCAAATGAACAAAAGCATGATGTGAACAAAACCGATTTCATTCATTTCTTTGATCTTATTTGGTCCTAGTTGTGAGTAAATCCGACCTTTCATCTTGCCCCAATGCAATGGGTTGTTTCTAAGGTGACACACCAACATGCCTATGAATATCTCAAAGGACTCGTCACAGTCCTTTGGATTTGACAATATCTTCTCGGCTAGATCAAAAAACTCTCTGGCATTGTATGATTCATAGTTCTTGCTAGATACATTCAGTCTTTTACTGTAGTAATCCCATAGAATTTGGTGGGTTTCTACAGTTGCATCTTTTGCCCATGCCTTATTTGCAAGTGAATATACTGTTTTCAGTACATTTGGTAACGCATCGTACTCTGCATTTATCAAAACATCCTTGAGTTTATTATGAAGCAGTTCATAATTTGATGCATTTACGATGCAAAGCTTATCTTCAACTCCAAAATTGTTTTTCATTGAATCGAGATCAGTTACATTCTTCAGGAATTCCAAAGAAAATGAAGCATCTTCTTTCTGTAATAGCTTATTGCACAATCTCCAAAATTCTTGTACACCATATATATTATTACATAGTAAATTTGTAGCCAATAAAAGTTCTTTCATACAATCACAAACAAATATTGTATCTCTATTGCGTTTAAATTTATTTCTGCCTATTACAATAATATTCCTCATAATTTTTTCCAAGTGTTTCTTAAATGGTTCTTCTGTTTCACCACACTTATAAAGTATGTCCAGGACATGATCGTGAATTTCAAGAAATGTATGAAAATACTGGTAGATTGGACTATCAGAATTGTTATTTGTTACTGCAACCAATTTTTGAATAAAATCATTTTTTAATTTGTTAATATCAATTATACCGTTATAAAATACAGCAAATTCTTCAGTGATTTTTCTTCTATATCTATCTTTCAGTTTGTTACAAACTGTGATATCTAGACAATGAATGATGCTATTGAAAAACTGATTGATCATTGTCCTTGTTCTGGATATTTCTTCTTGCCTGGGCATTATATTGTATGTGGCTATGTTTTGTAGAACACCCCATTCTGATATAATAAGTCTTCTTATTACTTGTATTTCTTCTATAATGTCTCGTACATGATATTTATGATTTCCAATAACTACAACATCTACTAAACTATCTCTATTCAACCTGTCTCGTTCTCGACAATTAAATAATAGATGCTCCATTTTTAAAGTGTCAATAAATCATGTTTAATAAAAAAACTCACGTTACAAAACTACATTTTTTTAAAAAACTTTACTGCTTTTGTATTTCTTTCACTTTCATTCTTGGCGTTTCCCGCCTTTTTCTTTAAAACATGACATGAACGTGACACAAACGTCAATACCTGCTGTGATCTAGAAAGAGTCTTTCAATCGATACTACAACCATCTCTATTCAAGCCTGTCTCGCTGTTCTCGACAATTATATAATAAATGCGCCATTTTTAAAGAGTCAATAAGTCATGTTTAACAAAAAAAATCACGTTACAAAACTGGAAAAGATTTTTTTAAAACTTTACTACTTTTGATTTCTGTTACTTTCATTCTTCACCTTCACGTTTCCCGCCTTTTTCTTTCAAACATGACATGGACGTGACACAAACGTCAGATACCTGCTGTGAACTAGAAAGAGTCTTCAAATCAATACGCAATTTGGAAAACGTACAGAGTATGTCATTTCCTAACGCCAGGTGTAGATTTGCAATGAACTTGTAAAAGGTATCATTACTTAGCAACCTAGTTTATCTCTTTAATTTCTACAGTAAACATAGATTTAAATAAATACACTGAGAACCACAGTTCTCCGTCGGCTTGAGTTCAATGTGTACGACAGAGAAGTGTTTATAGACACATATGTTAGAAATATATATTACCCACTTGCATAGCGAAGCTCATCACCGCGTTACCTAGCAATGCTGACTCAGCAATCTGCTGCGTTGCCAATATGTTACACAAGTTTCTTGAATTAAGATGCATGTTAAAAATATGCAATAGTTTATTCTCTACGTGCAAATAATGATTTTATTGTGAATTGTGTCGATTCTGGATCAGTCCTAACGGCGCTCCATTTTAGGTCGAAATGAAAGATCAGGTCCGCCACAAATTCTGCAACATCGCATAATCGGTTCGCTTGGGAACACCGCATCTCGTACATTCCAAGGCAAGGTTTCCACATCCATGATCATATATGAGCAATTTTGGTCAGTACCTATAGCCTTCAAGCGGAAGTGTCGTCCTGCTTCGAAATGGTTTTCACCTGCGACACACAGGCAGTTATAATTTGTATTGCGTAACGGCATTTGATACATTTTGCGAGAGCAACTCAGGATGTTTTGATTTCATCACCATCGGTGGAAATCAAAGATAACTCTAAGATAAATTAAAACAGTCGCATCAAAATTGAAGCAAATAATTCGGATCGAAATGATTAATGTTCGAACAGACCTCTTTCTTGGGAGTGACAGTAACCTAACCTATTGTAGACGTCTGTGCGAACATTTTCTGGTGTAACTTATTGGCATATTGGCAACGCGGCAGATTGCACGACCTTCTGAGTCACCGTTCCTAGCCAGTGAGGTGATCACCTTCGCTCTTCTGCCAGCTTCTATCTCTTTCTGACACTTCTCGCGCTTCTATGTCGTACTCATACATATTGAACTCAATCATTCAGGCAAATTAATTTTCCCTATAAACACGATTATTCTCTGAAAATTTCAAAGACAAACGTCGTTCAGGTATATGTTGAAATCTGTACATATGATGTTTATATTTTTATTTTGATTTCTTTATCCCTTTTTTTAAGTTCGCGTTCTGTGCTTAGGCGCATGCGATTGTTAGAGATGGGCTAAACATTACATTATAGGATCGTGATTTGCTACTATGGTTCTAAAGTCTACCATATAGCTAATAAAGTACTAGATAGCTTCACAGAGAATAATCTGATGAGTCAAACGTTTTGTTTTGATAGAGGTAACGTTAGACTTCTAAATTTCCAGAATAAAAATTATAATTGGGTGATCAAGTTGCGGTGAATATATCACAGTCTGTGTTTTTTCCCAGCTCTACAATCTCCTTCATTCTTTCCTGCCTCTGCCAAAATTTCTTTGTTCTGTGGTTGGCCGGTCTGGTAGGATAGAAAGGTGAGAAATCTTGGAATTTTTCCTAAAATATGTTGGAAAAACTCATACTTAAACATATGTTTTTCTCGCATATGATTTCTTGTCATTATGTAACACTGCCGTCCAACTTTTTCTTTTTGGATTGTAATTTTATCGTACATTTTATGATTCACTATTGTAACATGGTCCATTTCATTTCGCAGGGATCACGTTGAAAGTTGAAAGACCGTAAAAGGAAATCCGAGAATAGACCGAATTAAATATCGCAGAAATGCAGTTCAACGGCGTATATCACAATAATAATATGTAAGTGCTCGATAACCATATGATTGATGAATTTCGAGAAATTTCTCGTTATATCTACTGATCGACCTCCATTTGCAATTTCGTCCATCTTGTTTCCGACATTTTGTAGCTCTATTTGCCAATTAATTTTTCAGCTGTACGTACGTGATTTGCTGTTATTTTAAATATTTGAAGGTATTTGCCTGTATTCAAACCAAATTGCGCTCAAGAAGAATTTCATAAGATACATTGACGAAACTTATAAAAATGTACTCCTCCCTTTTTTTTTGCAAGATATGCCTTGTGAATGTAATGTAATATGTATGGATGAACATTTAGAAGTAAAGGGAAATGAACGACTAACTTGGTTTTTTTCTGCATTTTAAACAGCATTCATTGCTCTCCTGGCAGATGTCTAAAATATTACATAAAAATGCTTTTTTTAATGTATCCAAGGTATTGATGACCTTTGTAGATAGCAGACATCCTGTTTTGTTGTAACACGTGACTCTTCGTGCACTCTAAAATTAGAAGTAAGAAAAAATAAATTTTTGATACTGTTAGATTAATACAGTTTGTATTTTCCTGTGGTTTAGTATGAAAGTGTCAAAATATATGGTTTTAATATGCATACAATACCTACTTGAAGTTTAACTTCTTGGCATATAATCTTATTTATTTTTTGATATACAGGGTGTTTCAGAACTATGGGATCAAACGAAGGGGTTATACAGTGTAACAGTAGAAAGCATTCGAGTATAGGGACCCAAATCCAGAAAAGTGTAGCTACTGCCCTAAGACGCGTTAAAATTTAGAAAGATGATGTATTGGATTTAATGCATTTAATTTTTGTCTTTTGTACATGATATCATCACAACAGTTGTTCAAAATGTCTTCCTCCAACCTGAATAGACCGCTCCTGTGGGGACATGTCAGGTCTCTGGTTCATGAAACTCCAGTAGAAACAGAGCAAGACTTAATTGGACTAATTACAGCAGCATTTGAAATTATTCAAAACAAATACTTATCAAATTTTTTAAACTTACTTAAATTCAAACACTGTTTAATATCATTACACATTTTATTAAAGTCATATTGAAAACAGATTTGCTGGTTATGCTACTACTATTACAACTTTGCAGATGAAAATCTGTACAACACCCCTTAGGATGTTTCATTTCTGCAATGTAATGATAACTTTGATCTTCAGATTGTATCGAGTAGTAACAATTAAAATTCAAGATTCATACTCAAAAAGTGAGTTAACTTGGACAAAATTGCATTTGGAATATATTAATTGAATTTCAAATGCTTTATCGATCTTGTTAGGTACAGGCAGAGACAAGATCGTTCAGATCAGTATAATAAGCAGTCAAACTACTGGGCCGGCCCACATACGATGGCTCCTGTCCAAGACTTTGGAGGTCCGCAACAGAGGGTTTACAAGAAAAAACCTCAACAACAAAACGAACAGTCGTTATCACCACCATTGTGGGATCAAACAGAATTGAAACCCTTCAGAAAGAACTTTTATGAAGCTGTTAAGTCTAGATCACAGAGTGATGTTGACAGCTATAGGTAAGATACATTATTACAATAAATCATTTTTATTACACCTTTTTTAAAACTCTTAATATATTGGATAAGTTTTATGTGGTTGAAATGTTAGCCTGAAACTAATGTATTTACAGGGAAGTAAGGGATATCATTGTGAGGGGAAACGATATTCCACAACCAAGCTTTTGTTTTGAGGAAGGTAGTTTTCCAGAGTACATCATGCAGGTGCTTATGAAACAAGGGTTCAATGAACCGACTGCTATTCAATCTCAAGGTGAGATGTCACAATAAAATTGCTTATATAACTTGATATATATTTTTGACAATTTCATGCTTATATTAAAATCTAATATTTATCCTCAATGGCCATGAGTAGAGACAATTAGATTTTATACTGGCTGAGGTCATACCCCATTACTTAGATGTAAAAATATGGGAACTCATTTGAAAAGTAATGACCTTGAAATGTACAGCTGATTCTGATATGCCTTTATATATACTTGACCTTGAAATAAATTTGAGAGTAAATTAAAAATACTTGAGATTTACTCACATGAGCTGTGTGAAAGGATTTTAATTTTCAGCTAAACAAATTTTAAAATAATACATTTGTATATGACCTTGAGATTTGTTGAATATTGATAGTTATTGCTTTTCAACTTGGCTAAAATTTGACACAATTTGTAATATGAAGAATTAGGGTTAATAGTGCCTAAAGCCATATTAAACAGTCTCTTTTGTATATCAAGGCAGCCACCAGAATTTTTGACTTTGAGACCAATGTAGTTGAGGCTCCCTTGCAAGGTCAATCCAAGAACTGCTGTCAAATTGTCAGGTTTTTCTTCAGCTGCTCATGTGACTAGCGTGAATGACTTCAAATAGATTAGGAGTCAAGCCAAGTACTAATAATAGGTCTTCCACTAAACTAACCCTTTTAAAACAGTGAAATTTACAACTTACATGTACAATGTGTCTGTGCTAACTTTCACTATAACAATTAAGAGGCAAGTAATAGCAAGGATACAGTCAAAACATTTTAAAAGACTGTTGTTTTTCACGCAAACTGGATAACATAAGGAATGATCATAATGAAAGATTCTCTACAATATAAAATACAGTAAAATGTGTCTGTTCAAGAGGGGTGTCTGTACTGTGCATATAAAAGAAATACAACAAAAATCGTGTTTTTAATGAAAACAATATATTGAAGAAACTGGGACATCGAAAACATATATGTATGGGGTTGTCCAAAACAGACGCAGGAAAGTAAACGCATATTAAAACAAGAAAGATTGATATTCAAGTTGGGTACTTTATTTTGAAGGTTCATTTATACCATTTATGTATGAAAAATAATATCGCTCAAATGGTCACCACGACTGGATTTACAGACGTCCACGCGATGGTCGAAATTTTCAATGACATTTCCAACATGGTCGGTTCTATGGCATTTATCTCGGCAATGATGTTTTTGAGTTCTTGGAGGGTGGCTGGTTTGTTAACATAGACTTTGCTTTTCAAATATCCCCATAAAAAGAAGTCCAAGGGAGTCAAATCGCACGATCTTGGTGGCCATGGCACACTTCCTCTGCGCGAAATCACGCGATCACCGAAGAAGGACTGCAATCGATGGATATTGACGTTGGTTGTGTGGCATGTTGCACCGTCTTGTTGGAAATAAACATCGTCCATATCCATTCCTTCAAGTTGCGGCAAAAAATAGTCCTCTATCATCACGTGATATCGCTCAGAATTGACGGTAACTGCATCCCCGGGCGCATTTTCGAAAAAGTAAGGTCCGATGATGCCTTTTGACCACAATGCACACCACACAGTCACTTTTTGAGGATGCATCGGCTGCTCTTGATACTCACGGGGATTTTCGTTCGCCCAGATGCGGCAGTTTTGCTTGTTTACCGTCCCATTCAAAGTGAAATGCGCTTCGTCGCTGAACATGATTTTTGATGAAAAATTGACATCAATTTGGCGGTGTTTAAGGAGCCAATCTGAGAACGTTCGGCGCGAAAAATGGTCGGCCCGACGCAGCTCTTGCGTCAATTGGATCTTGTAGGCGTGTACACATGAAATCCTTGTGGAGAATGCGGAGCAAACTGGTTCTCGAAATGCCCAATTCTTGGGATCGACGCGTTGTTGATTGTTTCGGATCGTCTCTCACACTCTCCTTCACAACAGCAATATTTTCCGGTGTGCGAACGCTCCTTGGCCGGCCAGAGCCTGGCAGATTTGCCACAGGACCTGTTGCCTCGAATTTACGCACCAGACGACCGATGGTTGTTTCGTTTGGGCGGTTGTTGCGACCGAAATGTTCACGAAGCGCGCGAAACGTGTTTTTTATTTTTGCACCATTTTTGTAGTGCTATTGAATAACTTTAATGCGGTCTTCAATCGAATACGACTCCATAGTGATCAATGGTAAACATTCAACTAACAAAATGACATGTCGGTGACAGAAAACAAAGATGGCGTCTATGTCAAATTGACGTTTACTTTCCTGCGTCCCTATTGTACAACCCTTTATATACGAGGGAGTACCCAAAAAAACCCAGAATTATGTTTTAAAAGTTTATTTTCAGCTTTTTCACAAAGTAACCTTATCTCCTTCAAAATACTGTCCACTACAACTAATACACTTGTCCCACCAGTGCTTCCACTGCTTTTTGTAAGCTATTTTCAACATTAAAACGGTTTAAGCAGCATTTTTACCAATTAGAGAGCAAAATTTCACAGCTGCTTGTTGCACACTGAAGCTTGCCATTGTAAAAAACGAAACAAGCACGAAATAGCTCTAGCAAAAATAACGAAACAAGCCAGATCGACAACTCCGGTGGCACTGAACTGGTAATTAGTGGCGCTGTATGCCTCTAGGGACAGAAATGTGTACTACACAAGCTCCACCCACTGCAATGCTATTCCGGTTATTTTTGGGTACCTCGTAAAGGTTATTAAAATAAACAAAAACTTACTACAAGCAGTTTCATTGTTTACTAGCAGATATTTGTGTATTAGACTTCCCTAATGTTTTAAAACCCTCAATAAATCTTTAGTCAAGTGGTTGACAAGCTGATGTACAATTATGGGCAAAAATAAGATTTAATATTATAAATTCAATCACCAGAAAAAAATAAGGCGTTTCTTTTTGTTTTGTCTCCAGTTAGGAGAACATTTTCTCGTGTCCGCATTCGTGTCTTCGCAAATTTTGCAAGAAGTAACATGTCAATTGCATTTTTAAAAAAAATATTACTAGAAGTACGAATTTTATGACAACTGTGGTATGCACTTTCATCCTGACTACAGATATTTTGGAAAAATGTAGGCTTGCTTCTCTACCTATTCTGAATTCGTTAAAACAAGATTAGTTTGAATCCAGGCTTAGCAGATCTTTTTTTTTTGACATTCATTACCTAGCAAAGTGTTTCCACAGAAAACATAAGCTTTGTTCTGCATCTAACACTTTTGCTACTGCTATCTCATTTATATTCATAAAAAATCTTCTACCAGGCTGGCCGGTTGTAATGTCAGGCCGCGACCTGGTAGGCATCGCCCAGACTGGTTCTGGCAAGACGCTGGCCTACATGCTGCCCGCCGCTGTGCACATCAACAGCCAACAGCGCCCGCAGCGAGGCGAGGGCCCCATCGCCCTCGTTTTGGCCCCAACAAGGGAGCTGGCACAGCAGATTCAGAAAGTGGCGCACGTATTCGGCGACACCGCGATGATCCGGAACACGTGCATCTTTGGCGGATCGCCGAAGGGGCCGCAGGCTAGGGATTTGGAAAGGGGCGTCGAGATTGTCATTGCCACGCCTGGGAGGTTGATTGATTTCCTTGAGAAGGGTGAGTAATGCTAATAGATTACTGGAAAGGCAGGAACATTTGTTGAGAATTACCAGGGAAGTGCGATAGGTTTGTCAGTTTATGGGCAAATTTGATATCAGGTTTTTTTGACGTTTTATAGGTTTGTATAAAAGCTTGTAAAAAATGTACTTTTTGGGTAAGATTAAGAAACCGGATCGGAATGCTTACCTGAGCAGATGCAGAGATGCTTCCTGTACTAATAGCAATGTCAACTTTGTAAGTAACTTGCTTAGATTAAGTTTGTTCTTCTCTTTTCGATGTAGGCACCACCAACCTGCAGAGATGTACATATTTAGTCTTGGATGAAGCCGATCGTATGTTGGATATGGGTTTTGAACCACAGATCAGAAAAATCATTGAACAAGTCAGACCAGACAGGCAGGTACTCATGTGGTCTGCTACATGGCCCAAACAAGTACAAGCGTTGGCCGAAGAATTCTTAGTTGACTATGTACAGGTGAGTGTGTAAATGAAATATTCTAACATTGCTGCCGTTTGTGATGAAAATTATTTTGTGCAAAACAGTATCTAAGGATGTTAAAAAATATGTTTTGTTTCAGGTCAATGTAGGTGGCCTCCAATTGTCTGCGAATCATAATATCAAGCAAATCGTTGATGTTTGTGAGGAAAGTGAGAAAGAAGAGAAACTGATGAAACTGTTGAAAGAAATCTGTTCGGACAGGCAAAATAAGGTCATCATTTTTGTGGAAACAAAGAAAAAGGTAATTCATACCGGATTGTTGTGTAAGACATGTACAAGTTGTATTGTACACATTTTGTCCATCGAACAAACTAAGAGCTTTTTGAGAGTGCTGTCATTATTTTTTTAAAGGTTGATGACATCACCAAGATTATCAAGAGAGATGGACTAGCTGCTATAAGCATGCACGGAGACAAGTCGCAACCCGAACGTGACTACGTTTTGAACGAATTCAGGAGCGGAAAATCATCGATATTGGTCGCAACTGACGTCGCTGCTAGAGGACTGGATGTTGAGGATGTGAAATATGTTGTGAACTATGATTTCCCCAACTCAAGGTAATTCAGTACACGTTTCACATTGGATAATCCATTTTTTATTTACTGCCATTGTATAAATAATACAGTTTATTGAAATTTCTCTGAGTGGAGAGTCATTTATGAATATTATAAAAACAGTGGACCTCCTATGGAACCCTGTGGAACACCCTGCTCTATCTCCAGGTCTTCATTTGTATCTGTCAATTTTACACTGAGTTTGATGTTTTCCTATTCTAAATAGGGCTCTGTGTACAGCATTTTCGGATGGCAATATTCGAAATCAGAATTCCAAATTGTCCAAAATATCTTGTTTCATAGTGACAGGTGATAGACGTGGAAATTTTGCTTTGAGAGACTTTTAAGCTTTAAGGAATGCTGGTGAAGAAATTTTCAGAAATTCTTGTTTATTTGGCAATTTCGACCAACGCTTGGTAAATCCAGTTCATGAACTTGATGTCAATTTTATGCTGAGTTCGATGTGAGGCTCATTTCCCTGCTCCAATTCTTTATTTCGTTCCCATTCCAATTGTTTACCTGCAGCAATAGTGGAGGAAGTATCATCACATCTGATCGGAAAGATATTCTGATAGGTTTTATGCATAACCCTAATAAAGAGAAACAACGGTTGATGCAATGTTAGACATGAAAACCTCCATACTTCAAAAGGGGACCTTTTTGTAAATAAAATTATGCAAAAGAGTAAAATATTTTTCTTAGCAGATGCGAAGATATTTCCTGGACTATAAAGAATGATCCAAGCAAAAAACGAGTACCCTAAACCAGTGTTGCGATTACCACTGATTTTTCGGTATTTATACCCAAAATGGGATACCGATATTTCCAGATTGTTTGCCGAAAAAGAGCTGGAACCAAAAATACAGTTGAAAAAATGGATTTTATTTAGTTTTGTCCCATACCAATCTTACATATGCGTACACTTAGTCGGGTTCACGAGGAACGTAGATTTTTGTATGCATATCAATTACTCCATGTTCCATGTACGTATTGAATTTTGTGCTTTAAATTAGAGATTGGTAAGGAAACCAAAGATGGTCTGTTTTTAATTACAATATTAAATACAATTTCGAGATGACAAAGTTTTAAGTTCAGGTATAAAAGGGAAAAATATTCACAAACTTATAACCAAGAATGGAGGAAGCCGTTTCCACGTTGGTTGCAAACGAGTTTGAAGACCGACAAGTATGGTTATTGCATGATAAATAAGTCAATAGTTTTTTCAGTAAAAGATGGCCTCAAAAAACCTGGTATGTGCGCGCGCAAAACAAAAATATATTTTTCTTCATAAACAGCACTGCCTGACGCAAAGGCCCTTAAACCATCGCTGACCTTGCTACGGTTCTGATTGTTCTTGAATCTACCTAATTTCTATTGGCAGATTTCGTCTTCTTAGGTTCGGCAACACTGCTCTAAACTCTGCACAGGTAGTCGATGGCTGGCATCCGATACAGGACCTGGATCTCTATTCTTGAGTTTGTAGAAATTGTACCACGAAGGCCTAAGGTCTAAACACCCATTGGGTATCGTGGGGCTATAGGGTGATACAGGGGAAAGGGGGAACGCCACACGGACTCTGGTGAGGGAACATGTGCGCATGCAACATGCATACATTCTGGCTCCGCCTACGAGATCCGCCGGGTGGTACCTCCGCGTTCGGCAGGTAGAGACCGTCTACCACCTACGGACAATCACAACATCCATAGCCAAGAGAAAAATTTCTCCTGGGACGGGATTCGAACCCGCACAGCGCACGGCGACTGATCAGGAGACCGCAGAGTCTACTGCGGCCACCGCTTCTACCGAAAAGTGATTGAAATGAATTCACTTTAGGGAATCGCGATTTCTCTTGGTACCGACCAAGAGAAACTGGAAAAATTAGTAGAACATAGCGCTATATAACCTGAAAATTCACGTGTTTGGCATTGTTATTCTCGTTTCTGTTAAACATATTGCGAAAAATGGATAAGATAATTTCAATCATATGATGTATTGGAACGACATTATTAACGAGCATATAGAGGAGGCAGTTGAGGAATAGGAGATTGGGAGAGATATTCTTGGGCACCGACATCCTTTCAAAATTTGGGATCGAAAATTTGTACAGATGTTTAGGATGACCAAAGATTTGGTGTCTGAATTGCTGGAGATATTGACTCCATTCATACATCCATCCACACGAGCTTCGGCACTTTCGATCACAACAAAGTTAAGAGTAGATATTAAGTTTCAGTCATTCTAGAACAGTATCCTTTAACCTATGATTGAATTTTCCCTGGTGCATTAGGGGGTGCTCTCGGAGAAATTCAATCATTTTGTTCATTTGTAATGTGTTTTTTAAAGTTTTCGGCGCCATGGATCAAATTATAAGGAGGAAATCTTGACCAAAATCTTTGGTTACTTTTTGACTGACAAAATTGTATCCATTTTGATTGGTTTAACGTTATCCAAACTTGTAACCCTGTGTCTTGATTTCCTTTCTCCTTTCTTTCGAGTCTTTCAAGAATACAGTATTTTCAAATCGATAGAAAACCGGGGGAGTAGAAAAAGAGAGGGAGTGTGATTTTCTATTGAAGTCAAGAATAGGGGCACTGGATGTAAAACAAAGGAGGCAAATGGAGTGCCGATGTTTGGTTGCCCTATACTAATGATGTTAGGCAAGTCTTGTTATTCCATTGGAATCCGTTTTTCCATAGAGGAGCTCAGGTCGAGAACAGGGGTGACAGGACTGACCTTACATAGCGTCTTCAGGATAAACTTTTTAATTTGCTTGGTTTATGTAATGCGGAAGTACTTGCATTGTCTGACTGTGTTTTCTTTTTTTTTTTCCAGCGAGGACTACGTACACAGAATCGGTCGTACAGGCCGTTGTCAGCAAGCTGGCACCGCGTACGCTTTCTTCACGTCTGCTAATCAGCGCCAAGCCAAAAACCTGGTCGATCTGCTGGAGGAAGCCGGGCAAACGGTGCCGGACAGGCTGCGGGAGATGTCGCAGCAATGTCACATGCAGCAGAAAATGGGCAGAGGCAACACGTGGAAGAACAACAACAGGATGATTGCTAACAAGCAGAGCGGAATGGACAGATTGTCGCCTAGCTCGCAACATTCCGGTAAGTAATAATAATGATAGTTTTATTGTCCAACAATTTCCCATTTATAAGACATATTGATGGTCCGAAAAAAACTAACATAAAATAGTTAATAAAAGTATTAGCCGTCCTAACCAAGCAATTAACATTAATAGAAAATATATCGCAGTAACAGCCGATTCTGTTCAAATTAGTGCACATAATGTGTCAAGGTGATTAGAATATTTGTCTTTGCCCCAGGAGGCCTGTTGGTATTGAATTAATCGATATGTTTCACCAATTCCTTGAAATGAGAGGCATGTTGAAAATATGCGTTAGTTTATTCTATATGCCCAAATAATGCTTTTATTTTGAGCGTACATTTTTGAATTGTGTCTGTTTAGGATCGATTCCGGATCGGTCCTATCGGCGCTTTCATTTTAGGTCGAAATGAAAGACCAGCATCGCCACAAATTCTGCATCATTGGTTCGCTTGGCAACACCGCATCTCGTACATTCCAAGGCAAGGTTTCCATCTCCGTGAATATACGAGGTTTGTCCGAAAAATACGTATAAAAGTGGAATAACAACTTAATTTTACAATTGTTCATTTATTTCTCCTTCAAAGTGCTCCCCCTGAGACAAGCTGCACTTCCGTCACTGTTGATGCAATCGCTGAAAATCTTCAATTGTGAGGTTCTTTATTTGACGAGTCATTTCTGTCTTGAAGGCTTCCACAGACCCAAGTGCCGCCCCCGAAGCACCATTTTGCATTTTGGGAACAGGATGCATGGGGCTAAATCGGGAGAATAAGGCTTGGGACCACAAACTCACGCACAAGAGATGTGTGAGCAGGCGCGTTGTCGTGATGAAGGATCCACCTGCTCCCTTGTGCCAAATCCGGTCTAACTCAGGCCGCACGAGCTGTGAGACGATGCAAAACTTCAATGTAGAAATTTCCGTTCACTGTCTGGCCGGGAGGGACAAATTCCTGGTGAACAATGCCCCGAAAATCAAAGAAAACAATCAGTATTGGTTTCACATTGGACCTTGATTTTTTCGACTTTTTCGACATCTGTTCCCCTGCTTGTTTCCACTGCATGCTTTGAGATTTTAGCTCCACATCGAATTTGTAGAACCGACTCAACTCCAGTGATGATCTAGTTGAGAAAGTCCCCGCTTTTATCTGCTTCCAACCAATCCTCACAGCAAGCAACCCTCCTTGCTTTTTGTTCTGGAGTCAAGAAATACGGACCGATTTTCGCTCACAATTTTTTCACTCAAAGTTTTTCTGTCAGAATTTCGTGGACGATTATTTTGGGGGTTGACAGTTCCTCAGCTATCATTCTAACTGTCAATCGACGGTTTTTAAGAACACAGCCCCGAATTCGTTCAACATTTGCCTCAGAGCTCGATGTGGAGGGTTGTCCTGAGCGTTGGTCATCTTTCACATATTCTCGGCCTTCCCGAAACATTTTCAACCACTTATTGACGGTTGGTTCCTTCAGAGAATTGTCTTCGTAAGCTTGTTCCAAACACTCAAAAACCTCACGACCATTCTCGCCTAGCTTCCCAGGAAACTTGATGTTGATGCGCTGATCACACTGATCAACAGCCAAAAAATATCCTAAATAAAATCAACAAAATATTACTATTTTTAATGTGCTCAAACAGGAATGAAACTTATTTTTTTTAAATATTAGTTCAAGTTTTAGAGATACGGTAATTATAGGTGTTCCTGCTGTGACAGTGTATACTGTAGTTCACAAGAATGCACTTGCTACATTTTTATATTCGGCAAGGAAAGATGATGTAATCGGCATGATTGTGTTACGTTATACATACGTGTACATTATATTGTTTTATATTAGCCATTTTTTCCTCAGTTGGCTGACAGCGTTCATGCAAGATGTCTCGAAAGTGTGTAAAACAATCCAGATCAGTTTTGTTACGTGTGTGATGATGTGACTTTTGCGTCTTAGAGACGGTCTATTACTCCACTAATAACAAAGGCATATCAGCTTTATTTCGGTTGTAAACTAGGTGATCAAGACAAACAGTGGGCACCCCACATCTGCTGTAATACATATGCTTCAAGTCTGAGGAGCTGGTTAAATGGCAAAAAACGGTCTATGCGCTTTGCTGTCCCAGTGGTTTGGAGAGAGCCTACAAATCATATTAATGATTGTTACTTTTGCATGGTACCTTGTGTTGGACAAGCCACAGGAATGTCCAAGAAAAAAAATCGGTTATTAACTACCCAAACATACCATCTGCGTTGAGACCTGTGCCTCACAGTGACGAAAATCCTATTCCAAAACCCCCAGAATCCTACACTTGCGAATCAGAAAACGAATCAGATCATGGCGATCGAGTGATTCGTCAGGAAGAAGATAAGCCATCAACGTCAAGAGATCCTGATTTTATACCGAGCACGTCATGCCAACAACCGCACAAAATAACACAGTCAGAATTAAATGATCTTGTAAGAGATTTAGAACTTCCAAAATGTAAGGCAGAGTTACTTGGATCAAGACTGCAGCAGTGGAACTTGTTAGAAGACAATGTTTCGGTATATGTTTTTCGTAAACGCCACAAAGACTTAGAACCATTTTTCAATATGGAGAATAACTTGGTTTTCTGCAGTAACATTAACGGCTTACTGGCGGCTTTAAATATAAACTATAACCCAGAAGAATGGAGATTGTTTATAGACAGGTCTACATTGAGTTTAAAGGCAGTGTTATTGCATATTGGAAATATTTTACCATCTCTTCCTGTAGGGTATGCAGTTCACATGAAAGAATCATATGACAATATGAAGTTACTATTGACATGCATAAAATACGATGAGCACCAATGGCATATTTGTGGCGATTTGAAAGTTGTTGCACTTTTACTTGGGCTGCAGCTAGGCTACACAAAGTTTTACTGTTTTTTTGTGTGAATCGGACAGTCGGGCAAAGGCACTTCATTACACCAGACAAAACTGGCCTGTTCGTCAATTCCTAGAGCCAGGTCAAAAAAAATGTACAGCATATGCCATTAGTAAATTCGAAAAAAAATTTATTACCACCACTGCATATCAAGTTGGGCCTAATGAAAAATTTTGTCAAGGCATTAGATAGAGATGGGTCAGCTTTTCAATACCTGCGTCAAAAATTTCCAAGACTAAGTGAGGCAAAGGTTAAAGAAGGTATTTTTGTTGGGCCACAGATTCGAAATATTTTGAAAGATACACAGTTTGAAAACACTTTAACAGGTATTGAAAAAACTGCTTGGAATGATTTCCGTCTGGTGGTCACTAATTTCTTGGGAAATAGAAAAGCTGACAACTATAAAACCCTTGTCAAAAATATGCTGTCATCGTATCAAAAGATGGGCTGTAATATGTCTCTTAAGATACATTTCCTACACTCACACCCGGACTTTTTTCCTGACAATTGCGGAGCCGTAAGTGATGAGCACGGCGAACGTTTTCATCAGGATATTTCAACAATGGAAAAAAGGTACCAGGGAAAGTGGAATCCTTCCATGCTTGCAGACTACTGTTGGACTCTTGGTAGAGATGCTCCAGAAACGATCCATAAAAGAACAGCAAAAAGACAGCGCATATAGTGATTCTTATAAGTATATGAATCTTGTTATTTTTTTTAATATATCCTTAAAAATAAAAAGTTTTTTTTCTAAACCGCAACTAATTTTTTTATTCCATTGTCATTTTTGGATTCAGCGCCCCAAAATTAACAAAGAAGTGCACTTTTCCCACAAGATACAATTAAAAAACTAAAATTTGTTGTCCAGTGTCATCGATCAGAGAGAGCTCCATGCCGATGGCAGGTACTTCCAACAAGCACTCGTAAATCCTCGTACTTACTCGCAGAGCGCACCGGCTCGAACTGAGCATATAGTGGATTGAATAGAGAGAAGGAACCACCGTGCTACCCCTCCGCAAATATTTGTGCGAAATTATTTCCTCATTTTAATTTGCAGGTGGCAAGCCTTGGCAGAGCGGAACGAAAACGTTCACCAACAGCACCGACTTCAGACAGAACGGCACCGGCCCGAGGAATAACTACAACAAATTCAACAATGACGGTACACCACGGCCGCCAAGGAACAACTACAACAACGGATTCCAGTTCCAGAGCAACCAGTACCAGACCCAGGGTTACAGCCAATCGTACAGTCCTCCGATGTACCAACAACAGCAGCAACAGTCCCAGCAGTTGAATGGACAAAGAAACTATGGTGGTACGTATCAACCGTCAATATATGGGGTTGTCCAAAACGCAGGAAAGTAAACGCATATTAAAACAAGAAAGATTGATATTCAAATCAAGTTGGGTACTTTATTTTGAAGGTTCATTTATACCTTTTATGTATGAAAAATAATATCGCTCAAATGTTCACCACGACTGGATTTACAGACGTCCACGCGATGGTCGAAATTTTCAATGACATTTTGCAAGATGGTCGGTTCTATGGCATTTATCTCGGCAATGATGTTGTTTTTGAGTTCTTGGAGGGTGGCTGGCTTGTTGACTTAGACTTTGCTTTTCAAATATCCCCATAAAAAGAAGTCCAAGGGAGTCAAATCGCACGATCTTGGTGCCCATGGCACATTTCCTCTGCGCGAAAGCACGCGATCACCGAAGAAGGACTGCAATCGATGGATATTGACGTTGGTTGTGTGGCATGTTGCACCGTCTTGTTGGAAATAAACATCGTCCATATCCATTCCTTCAAGTTGCGGCAAAAAATAGTCCTCTATCATCACGTGATATCGCTCAGAATTGACGGTAACGGCGTCACCGGCCGCATTTTCGAAAAAGTAAGGACCGATGATGCCTTTTGACCACAATGCACACCACACAGTCACTTTTTGAGGATGCATCGGCTGCTCTTGATACTCACGGGGATTTTCGTTCGCCCAGATGCGGCAGTTTTGCTTGTTTACCGTCCCATTCAAAGTGAAATGCGCTTCGTCGCTGAACATGATTTTTGATGAAAAATTGGCATCAATTTGGCGGTGTTCAAGGAGCCAATCTGAGAACGTTCGGCGCGAAAAATGGTCGGCCCGACGCAGCTCTTGCGTCAATTGGATCTTGTAGGCCTGTACATTCAAATCCTTGTGGAGAATGCGGAGCAAACTGGTTCTCGAAATGCCCAATTCTTGGGATCGACGCGTTGTTGATTGTTTCGGATCGTCTCTCACACTCTCCTTCACAACAGCAATATTTTCCGGTGTGCGAACGCTCCTTGGCCGGCCAGAGCCTGGCAGATTTGCCACAGAACCTGTTGCCTCGAATTTACGCACCAGACGACCGATGGTTGTTTCGTTTGGGCGGTTGTTGCGACCGAAATGTTCACGAAGCGCGCGAAACGTGTTTTTTATTTTTGCACCATTTTTGTAGTGCTCTTGAATAACTTTAATGCGGTCTTCAATCGAATATGTCTCCATAGCGATCAATGGTAAACATTCAACTAACAAAATGACATGTCGGTGACAGAAAACAAAGATGGCGTCTATGTCAAATTGAGGTTTACTTTCCTGCGTCCCTATTGGACAACCCTTTATTTTATCGAAGGTCTCGATGATGGCATAGCTTAAAGAAGTTACTTACCATCACGCGGTAGATGATTTAGATTGGTGTCGAACGAATATACAATTTTTTTTATGTATTGGCTGCCAGTTGTTTTCGTTAATATAGCACCGTAAACATATATTTCATTCATGGAAATGTCCATATTTTTAACTATTGAAAAATATGGCCTTAGGGATCTTGGCTTATTATAGTGATGCTTCTACTTGATTCGTATTACTTTTTTTTTAGGAATGCAAACCCGTCCGTACAATAACCAGCGTTACAACCAACAAAACCATCAGAGACAGCAGCAAGCGTATCACCAGAACACTATGTATCACCAGATGCCTGGCGCACCGTACATGATGCAGTCTGCAGGTGCTGATGGCATGCAGACCCTTGTCAACCATAAGTTCTTCCAGGTAAGACACCCTCCTTCCTAAATATTTTCCAGAATTTAGCTAGGAAAAATCTTAGTTTATACAAATAAAATTTCTGACTTTGGATGAATACTGGCTTATTCTTTAACCCCTGACAGGCATTCAGGGTACAAAACATTCTCCCTATATGACGCGTTCAATTCTCAAGATAATTATATTTTTTGGAAAAATCGAAAAAACCACATACATCACGTTAAAGTATGTATCTCCAGCTATAAAATCCTTTTTTTAATTTATTTTAGAATGCAATAGCTCCATCGACATGAGTAAAAAACAAAAAAGTGATAAAAACGTGTTTTTCAACCGTTAGGTACAATTTTCAACGGTTCAATTTTATTTAAACTATGTAAGTCTATCTTTCTCGGAATTCTTTGAACTTTGATTTGGAATAAAAACGCTTTAGTTTTCTTAGAACGTGAGAAATGAGAGTTCAAAGTTTATACCCTCAATGCCCACGGAATATGGGTACACCCTGTATATTATCATGAGGATTTTTTATGTGAAGGCAAAGCTTAATGAATTTATTCTGCACTTTTTGAGGGTTAGATAATTATTCATATAATGAGGATATCAGATCATTGATCCATATTTCAACAGTGACAATTATGTTGTGTGTTTATATGTTTGTTGAAAAAAAGTATAACAAGATCTTTTATAACATTGCTATATTTAAGGTTATTGTTTTCTATAGTGCAGGGTTGTTATGCTTTAACCATAATGTTTGAAACATGTTTTCAACACTGTTTTTTTGTCGTTTGTGAATTATTAAAGTTTTTTTTTATATTTTTTTAAGTATGATCAAAATTTATTTTATTTTTCAAAACGAAACTAAAAGGGTCATAGTTTAAAACACATACAGTAATGTACAAAAGTATATAGACAAATATGAATATTTACCTAAATACCTTTAGAAAACGAATTCATACTTCATTGCTCCATAAACAAATGCGTTATTCGTAGAAAAACTAAATTCCTTGTTTTTACATTATCTGCAATGAACACAATACAAGTCTGAATATAAGCACTTTTTTATGAAGGATAAAAGTATGTAGACAAATTCTTTTCAACATTAGTTTAGTACAGTTTCGTGTCAGAAGAGGATTAGTTTGTATTCATCAAGTATTGTGGAATATGTCGAGTGATTTTAAGACCATGCCGCGTGGCCCAGAAATTTATTTCGATGTGAAAACTAAGATCGTTGAGTTATACAAAGATCGTCAACGTCAAGTAGACATTGCCAAAAATTTAAAGCTAAATCGTAAAGCAGTTTTCGTAATATTGAACAAATATAAACAAAAATGTATCTTGGGAGCCTCTAAGAGAAGTGGTCGGCCTAGAAAGCTAAATGCTAGATCAGTTAGATTAATAAAAGTATTTTCGTCCAAAGATCCGTTTAAAACCCCAAGACAAATAAAAGCCGAAATCGAGACAAAAGGAATTGACAGTGTTTCTACGAAAATAATAAGTAGAAGATTAAATGATTTGACGTTATTTGCACTATCTCGAGGAAAAACCGTAAGGATCGATTACAATTTGCACGGTTGCATCTTGATTGGAGCATCTGTGACTGGAAGAGGCTATGTTTCAGTGACGAATCCAAGTTCAATATGTTTGGATCAGATGGTGTTCATTACGTCTTAGTGGACAAAAAATGAGCCCCAAGTACACTTTGCCCACTGTCACTGTTATGGTTTGGGGGTGCTTTTCGGGGTTTGGGCTGGGACCTTTACATAGAATAGATGGCATTATGGATAAGTTTGTATACACAGACATACTAAAGCATGTCATGTTACCCTATATGGAAGACAATATGCCCTTAAAATCAAACTTCCAGCAAGATAATGACCCGAAGCACACTTCAAATCTCGCAAAGAAATTCTTCCTGGATGAAAAAATACCAGTTTTCAAATGGCCTTCACAGTCTCCCGATATAAACCCCATTGAAAATCTATGGGAATACTTAGATAAGCAAATACGAGATAAAAATTATTCAAACAAGGATGAACTTCTTTTGCTTTAGATCAAAAGTGGAGACAGATTGATGAATCTTATATCAAGAAACTTCTACAATCTATGCCGAGACGATGCCAGGCGGTGATTGATAATAATGGTTATGCTACAAAATATTAACACATTTTCTATAATTCAATGAACTTTGCTTCTTTTTTCTATAATTGTTTTGCTTTGTCTATATATTTTTGTCCTTCATAGTTCCAGTTTTTTCAATTAATTATTTATTGAAGGCAGTCTAATGAATTTATTTATGTATAAGTGAGTATTATGCTATCACGAATTATGTATACAGGTTGGTGTATTAATAAAACAACTTAAAAAAGAAATTCAGCACAATATTAAGTTTATATACTTTCGTCCATTACTGTATGTTTTCGGTCGTGTACTTTTCAAATTTTAGGTTTAAAAAAAATCGTAAGAAATTACACCTTGTGATGATCGTTTGGTTCCCACTACTACAAATTTCATTTTTTTCTTAGACGGAGTGACAGAAAGTGTCATTCTACATAGTGTCAGCAAACCAGATATTAACAAATTCAGCTGCTTCCGTTATTCTGTCCCGTAGCTCTGCTACATTTTCGATTGGTTTTGAGGACATTTTTTTTTTCTTTCACCGCTCCAAGTAAAAAAATTGAGTGGATTTAAATCGGGTGAACCGGATGGCCACGAAATTGTACCAGACCTCCCTAACAATCTGGTAGGATGTTCCGCATCAAGATATTCTCTAACTGAACGGACAGCCGTCTTGATGCTGCATGTCTCTGTAAATATACTAAGTGACATATAAATCCGAACACCCAGTTTAAACGGTTTTATTTTAATAAAATTTTGTATAAGTACTTAATGAAGCATAATAAGTAAATGACAAAAATTTCAAAATGATTGCACTGCTTTAAAGCCCTTTGACCTTTAATAATGTGTGGATGCACCCTGATGTGCTACGCATTCTCCAACGCGCCTAGGCATGCTTCTGATCAGATGGTCAATGTCCTCCTGTGGTATCTCATTCCAGGCAACCACCAACTCCTCTCGAAGTGCTTCTAGAGTCTGAGGAGGACGTTGCAAATTGAGCAATCTCCTACCTATCATATCCCACACGTGCTCAATTGGGGATAAGTCGGGAGATCTTGGTGGCCATGGTAACAATGTGACATCATTATGTTGAAAGAAGTCTACTGTGACTCTTGCAACATGTGGTCGGGCATTATCTTGTTGGAAAGTTGGATCTGCCAGGGTGTCAAGATAGGGTAAAAGATGGGGTTCTAGAACTTCTTGGATATAACGCTGCGCGTTCATGTTACCTCTGATGAAGATTAAAGGTGACCTGGAACCATAAGCTATAGCACCCCAAACCATAACTCCAACAGTGTGATGAACATGTCTTTCAACAAAAAACTGTGGATTCCTCCTTTCACCACGTCGCCTTCTAACCCTGGCACGACCATCGTGCATGCCTAAACAAAATCGAGACTCGTCACTAAAGACAATACTGTTCCATTCCTGATCCCAGAGTGACCGTTGTCTGCACCACTCAAGGCGATTACGTCGGTGTTCTCGAGTTAAAGGGAGGACCCAGTGTGGCCGGTATGAAAACAAGCCAAAACTTCTCATTCGTCGGTAAACACTTCGCATGCCAATAGGTCTTCCGTGTTCTGCAAACCATTCATTTGCAATGGACCTGGTAGTGGAGAAACGGTCCCTTAAGGCCAATAATCTTAGGCGGCGATCTTCACGGTCTGTCGTTCTACGGCGGCGTCCAGTGCCCCTTGCTCTTTGCGTACGGCCTTCTCGAAGCCATGCCTCACAACACCTAACCACAGTGTCTACACTTCTTTGCACTCTAACTGCAATTGCCCGAAAAGAAAGTCCAGCTTCCCGAAGTCCCACTATACGGCCCCTCTCAAACTCACTAAATTGACGAAATCGTCCAGGTCTCCGTACTCTAGGCATCGTAACCGATCGTAAAGGATGTCAAAAATCAAAATCCGCCAACGTTGATTCTTTACTGCGGCTGAAATATTCATTTTTAGAGCGTTAGTAAATAAAAAAAAGCAGTATAAAAACCGGAATGTCCAACTGATAAGGCTGAACATTTTTTCACTTGTTATTTACAGTAAGATAAATACATTCACCAACTTTTATTAAAATAAAACCATTTAAACTGGGTGTTCGGATTTATATGTCACTTAGTATACTTAGTGGCATGTCTTCCAATAAATTTGGTTAACCTTTCTGTAGAAAGTCTAAATAAATTTCGCTATTCAGGAACTCTAGCAGCTCAAAGGGTACAATGATTCTCCTGGTCCACATGTTTACATTAAAACTACTACTTTTTTTTGTAAAGGCTTTTCTTGAGATATCAGGATCCGAACAATATAAACATGTTTACCTAGTATTCAGTGATTTTTCTGTGTTGGTTCCATTTGTTTCATTGCATTATCATGCCTAGAGTTCGCGGACACAATTCACTCAACTTTCAGAGTTTGAGAGGGTGAATCGAAACGAAGCTATTGTAATCAGATGTTGTCGAGCGTGTTTTCAAGAAGGCCGACATCGAAGAGTTAAAGGTACTGGACGTGAAAGACAGACATTATCTCAGCTATTTTGCGAAATTTCTGATAACTTTTATCACTAGACCTAAAACTTGTAAAAGTATGCTCAAAATTACAGCACTCTTAGTCGGTGTTGCATGTTGGTCAGAAAATATGAATTTTGAGTGATTGTATTTCGTCTTTCAGAATCGAGGACTGGGCTCGAACCCTTGCGCGTACCAGTCCGCCACGGCTGGGGCCAGTCAGGGCCAACAATATCAACAGTACGCTAACGTTCAGTACGCCCCAGCGGCGTTCTCGTACGCCCAACCACCTACCGCCACTGTCCAGCAGTAGATCATCTGAGCAGTGGTTCATCTGCTCCTTCTTCTTTACGGTGATGTGACATGTTGGAATTTTGTATAACCGTTTTAGTACTATAAATCTTACTTTATATTAACGTCTACTTTCTGGGTTAGTTTAGGATTAGGAGGGTGTCTGTATAGGATTTCTCTGACCATTGACCAGTTATTTAAAATTTGGAATATCCCCAGGGTTGTTCATAGATTCCCAAGAAGAGAAATCCCCCATAAAGTAAGAAAATCTTTTCTACAACTACTATTCAAGTTTTCAAATATTTGTAGGTGCTTTTCTATAATCATGAATAGAGCATTTCAAACTCGATATATTCTCAAATTCTTAATGTCCGGTTCTATATAGACACTCTTTGGTTAGGATTAGTACGAATGGAGACAGTTTTTTGTTTGATCAGAGGTGCTAGTAGGTAAGTTAGAGAAAAGAATCGTTATTTCGTTTTTTAATTTTTATTCCCTTTCAAAAAGGGGCAATGTACCTAACTGCAAATATTTATTTACAAAATTGCAAAGGTTCTTGAGAATACTGCGATGCGTGAAAAATGAATTAGTGCATATTCCAGCATGTCTCGAATATATACATTTTTGTACTTTTCGTGTAACTTGAAAAAAATGTGTTTGATGTTACATGTTTATATTTGCAAGTCTAGCAAAGCTTACCATTCGACCTATTAGGATTAGTAGTAGTCATGCTTTAACAATGCACAAGTATTTATTTAAAATTGGTAATTTGGAAATGTCTATGTCATGTGATGTTTTTTCTGAACAACATCCATAAACATTCTCAAAATTAGTACAAATTCCCTGTTACCAAAATGCGGCTGGATATAAATTACCGTTTCGAAAAAATGTATTTAAAGAAACTGGAAAAGGGATCTGTGAATGTTTTTTCGTTTATGGTTTTCTTAGCGCTTTTCAGCCCTGCTTGTCACCTCTATACGTTATTTCTCCATGTTAAATGTATAAGATTTTGTGAAATTGCAACGAACTACTCCATCCATCTAACAAGAATTTCACAAAATCGACGTGTACTTTGATGCTTAGGCGACCGTCTGACGCTAAGGTCGTCACTATTAGCTTTCTGTGTGTGAACTAGAATGTAAGTTATAAGTAACCAGCTGTATGATATGAAATGCACGAAACATATAGAAGGGCGGACAACTATATAAAGGATTACGATTTTATTTTGATCAATGATTGATGAAAAAATGACAAACGAAGAAAACTATGCATTAGATTTGATACCAGTGATTTGGACCATTTACCACCACCGCTAACAACACTACTAGCATTAAGTCGCCTGCAAATAGAGGAAAAAGCGTACGTTTTTGCACTCATTTGATTTGAAAATCAATTTACTTCCTATTTGCTGAAAAAAAAGATTTAATAACCTCTTACAAAGTTTGATTTTTTCACTTGGAAATATATACCTATCGGATTTATCACAAACCAGGTAACAAAAAACGTTTTCAAGTTTGGGAATCTCTGAGATGGGTTCTATAATCACACTGTTTACTTGCGCTATTTGATAGAGGATACTTTTTTTAATACTAGATGCAATCTTTGAAAGTCATGTACCTAGATGGCAAATTGAAATTTCGCGAGACTGCAGTTTTGTAACAGGGCCTGGTGCTTCGTTGTTCAAATAGATTGAGGTAAATATTTCGAAGGAATTTAGCCCTCGTCAATTTTTCGGTGTATAACCCAAAAACACGTGCTTAATGCCACTAGAAAACTGAAGGTCTTTCGAATTTCGTTTAGGTTGTTGCTGTGTAATCCCACATGCATTTTTATTTCTTCGCTAACCATTCAGGGTATATAAATTGAATAGAACTAAGTAAAGCCGAAAAGAACACTATAATTAAGGTATATGTATTTCAATCGACTCTGTGAGTGACACCACGCGCGAAAATAAGGACCGCCCACCATACGCAACAACCTACTTTTAGTGTATTGCACTAACGCAAAAAATGGCGCGAAGTTCCCATTTATCATTACCACGTTTACATCTGGGATTCCGTTCGATTTTGGATACTGCACGTAAGCGTTTGGATCGAGTTTCAAGGTCGATTCTGGATCGTATCGGATTGAAATCCATATAAAGGAGAATCGGAACAGAATCGGCGCCTGTGCAGGATTGAGATTGAACTGAAAACTGCGTGTAGACGCAAGGGAATCTTTGAGCCATATGTGAACGTAGCACAAGTTTGTACATCTGATTCTTTGACAGTTGGATGGGAAAGCTCAGTAATTATTTGGTTCCTGGTTGTGATGTGGCCACATTTGAAAAAGAACTCTGGAGGTTGTTAAATCCGATATTCGATCAGCATTTTTCAAAGCAAAATGGGTGCTTTAGTAGAGATTTGTGATTTGATCAAAATGAAATTAACGTTTTATATTTTTGTTAAAACTGGTCTGAATAGTGTCTGCTGTTATTTTCCCCTTAGATTATATTCATATAATATTCGTAATAAGGTATCGGCATAAGTCATTTTGCAGTATCAAGAAGAAAAAAGTTTTTATACAATGAAGATTATATTGTAAATATGAAGACAGATCGCAACGTTTTGTGGTTTAAAAAACTATGAAACGTTCAAATAGCTGTTCGGTAGAGAAATACAGCTAAAAAATTAAACAGTTTTTGTATACAAAACAGAAGCAAAATCAGTATTATCTGGTGAATTCTATCTTTTGTAGTGTGAATGTACCAACCAGAACGAGTGTAACTTATATAATTTACTGCTTGTGTCGTGTACATATGTACGTAGTATTAAGAATTAAACTTCGTTTGTCGTTTAGCGTGAGGCATTCCAGTGCTCACGACATCATCTGTGATATTTTAGTGAGTAAACAAAAAGGGTAGCAAAAGAATAATGTTGACTTTTCCGAATCAAGGGAAACGCTGAAAGTTCGTTAGACCAGTGTAACACGCATTGAAATAGGGGCCAGTCTCTTAAGGGCCCTACAAACTATGTATCTTTTTCCAGAAACAGTTGCTTTTAAATCCATAGATCTAGACATATAAACTAGTATTATTGCTAATTGACGTGTAATGAAGGGGTTCAGTAGCCTTGGTTAGTTTATTTTGAAATCCATGACATTACAGGGCCCTTGCATAAATTGACATTTTTCACTATCAATGTAATCTGTAAATGTTCAATAGCAACATGTCTTTCATATTTTCTATAACCTGGTCACCAAGTACAATTGCGTTAACTCGAGATTTAAAAAAAACAATGTATTTACATTGATAGGATGTGATATTTTCTATTAAGACTGAAATGACTAGATGTATTTTTTTTATACTTGACTATGACATAGTCAAAAAATGAAAGTCAGCTGTTTCGTTTTTCCTCATTTGAAAAAAAAAGCGATTCTCTGAAATCGGAACAGGTGCATAACTAAAAAAAAAGTGCACAAGAAAGTTTATTATTCTGCGACGTTATCAAAAAAAAATGCCACTGCGTAACGATTGACGACCGTTATTTTTTGGTTATTCACGAATCAAGGTTGGCGAAAATAAGTTTTTATATCAAAGTAACTGGCATAGATATACCTAGGATCTATACAAAAGGTCAAATACATATACTTGATGTTGACATTTAACGTATTCTACATGAAGATAGAAAACCTTATAAAGCGTACATACAGTTATTTTGTTGTGGATGAAGTGATTTACCTTGAAGCACACGAGGTTTTCACCTGATCAATAACGCACATTCTGTTTGTTCACGAAGCCGTTTAACCATAAATGCCTCTCATCACTGAAGGTGATTTTGCGATGAAATTATTCATTTTCTTGCAACATATTTCTAGAGCCCAATTCGAGAACGTATGTCGCAATCACCGAATTTCGGTAGTAAATTTTATTTGTAAGCGTTGTTCGTTCATGATGAAAATGTTTTCTTTACTGAATGTTTGACATTGACAGTTCGGTAATCGATTTAAAGGTGCGTTCAAAGTTTTCAAGTCCCTATTGGAAAACCCGATAGTATATTCGCGAGTTCAGAGACGAACACTGCAGGGTCATCTATGAGAATTTGTTTATTTCTTGATTCTGGACAAAAAACATTGTATCGGGTCATATATTTTCAACTTAAATCTAAATATCTACCAAACAAAAAACATTCAAATAGTGAAAAATTTGATTTAACGGCATAATTATGAGATTCTTAAATGTCTTTAAATTGTGACAATTCTTTATTTACACAGGCAACAGGTTAAACATTTTGTGACAAATTCTCACAAACGATGCTACAGTATCATTTCTAATATTTTTCAAACGTGCGAATATGTATTTTGACAATCTTCATGTAGAATACGCGAATGATATTGACAGCTTTCTATCGGTGACACCGAACATGCAAAAACAATTCTTTGAATAAAACTGTTTACAGCCTTTTTTACGGCTAAATTTACATGAACCAGGCATTTGCGAAAAAAGTTCGAAAATGAAAAGATGAGGCTATGACGTGAAGTTTCCACATCTCTGTCGAAAATATTAGAATTTTATAATTACACTGTTCACACTTGTAAAATATTTATCAAACGTAACGTTGTAAAGCAACCAAATGCAGCGTCTTGCAAACTCTGACTTATGAAAATGCTCCCCAAATGATGCCTCAACGTAGGAAAACACTCGAGTATATTTTTTCAAAATTGCAGTTCACGCGTCCGCATTTCGACACACCTTTCGAGCGAGCTGTCCAGAAATCAAGTATCGAGGTCTAATCTATGTTCCGTTATAATATTTGTTCATCGTGCCAACCTTGTCATTGAGTTGATGACATCTTTTGGGTAAGGTATTTATAAAATAAGCAGCGCAGTTCGATATTCTAACTCGATAATATCAATAATAAAAAATGACTGCAGTTAGACCCAATGATTTGAATTAAAAAAAAAGCTTTACCTAAAGCTTTATTGAGTACTAACTATACTCTTCTGTAAGTTTCTAAAGAGTGCATTTCTTGTATGTAATACAGTATTATAGTTGTAACATGTTATTCATTATTATTTTTAACTATCCTTAAATTCGATGTATATGGGATTTATTGGCAAATTGAATAAAATTCAAATGCATTTTGTGGTTTTTTATTTTACGATTCCAGGTATGTATAAAATTTAAAAAATCGCACAAACATCATAGATATAAAAAATTGAATATAAAGAAATATCTTATTTTGATCCTAGTGTCCCATAAGTCGACGTCAATTATGAGCTTAAAAAAAATCGGAAAAATCTACAGGGTAGAGTTCCCATTACGTCGAATTTCAATTTTTTCTTAGATGGTGTCATTCTACGTAGTAACGCCACTTTTATAAAATCATGATTGTGATTTAGATTTTTTTTTATATTTTTCTGATAACCATTCTTTCCGCCTTGACGTCGACTTTTGGAATACCCTGTATACAGTACTTGTCTCTCATTTTTTGAGTGGGCCAGGTTGATAAGCTGAAATTCGGAGTGATGAAAAGGATGCACGATCGTCTATTCTGACCTAAAAACTGCACTTGTAATTTTCAAGATGGTACCTAGGCGCCATTTAGAACTTCTTTAAATTGTACGAGAGGTGATGTGATATCTCATTTCGAAGCTTCTTATGCGTACCTTATAATCGTAAAATATAAATTGGCTATCGTTCAAAATAAAATGGCGGATTGTAAAACTTGTCTTTCTACGGGGGTGGCCACCTAAGAACGCGAGGTGTACTGTATCTCGAAACATTTATTACTATACTACAACTATTTAAAACTGTAATGACTCATACGCGTGATCAACACGTGATCAGAGCTCGATCCCGGCTTCCTTCCAGTACAGCCGTATAGCGTACGACATATGTCGTTTCTGTGGCTTTGCGGTGGTCAACAGCACAGACAGAGATGGAAATAATGGCTGATTGTTCTCCGCCGGTAGAACCAATGAAATCAAAGACGCGCCTCGACCGGCAGACTCATAGGCGTCGGCAAAGCATTGGAACGTGTTTCGTTGAGCGATCGCATATTGTGTGTATTTATAAGAATTGTTGTGTGATTCTTATTGTTGTGGTTTCTGTGGTTACTGTTTTGGTTATACTTAACCATGGAGAGTACAAATGGCACGAGTGGAAGTACTGAAAGCCAGGGAACAAGTAGACGGCGTCGTAAAACACTGAAGAGGGACGCGAAAGAAATCGTGCTCAACGTGTTCAATTATCTGAACCGAACTATGTCGCAGGGAGATGCACTCGCGCGTTGTGAAAGTATGACAGGCGTTCCAGAGTGGACCATTCGCAGGGTGGTGCATGAAAAGAAGAAAACTGGAGCTACTACTGATCCAAAGTTTAATTTGAAGGGACGAAAGGCCGTTAAATTGGATGACGATAGCAAAATGGCGTTAAGGCGAACCGTACATTCATTCTTCTTTAGGAATGAGATACCAACCCTCAAGGCTGTACATGCAGCGATCAAGGAAAATGAAATTATACCCCAAATGAGCGTCGAGGTAATGAGGAAATCCCTGCACGAAATTAATTTTCGTTACGAAACGCGTAATCGGAAGTCAGTATTGATAGAGAGACCTGAAATAGTCGCCTGGCGTCGAAAATACCTACGCGAAATGATTGAATTTAGGCGACAAAACAGAATAATCTATTATTTGGACGAGACATGGATAAATGCAGGTCACACAGTTAAAAAAACCTGGATAGACAAAAACGTAGTGAGTCACCGACAAGCAAGCATTGAAGGTTTGTCAACAGGTCTCCGTGGACCGTCAGGGAAAGGTCAAAGATTGATCGTAACTCATATTGGTAGCGGTAGTGGCTTTTTAGAAGAGTGTGACTTGATTTTCGTCTCTAAGAAAGGAGGTGATTACCATGACGAAATGAATGCCAGCTGCTTCGAGAGCTGGTTTCAAGGGGTGCTTCAGCGAGTTGAGCCCAACTCTGTGATCGTCATGGATAATGCTTCCTACCATAGTCGTCGAGCCGAAGGTGTACCGACTATGGAATCTCGAAAAAGTGACATGCAGCAATGGTTGCGCGAAAAAGGAATCCCGTTTGACAATTCATGTGTGAAAGCGGAATTGTATGAAAAAATTAAACAGCACAAACCTGCTAACATTAGTTACGTGACTGATGAGATGGCCCGTCACTGTGCTGCGGTTACCGCCCTACCACTGTGAACTGAACCCAATAGAGCTCATCTGGGCTCAAGTGAAGGGTTATATTGCGCGCCATAACACAACCTTCAAATTACCAGACGTTAAGGTTTTACTTGAGACTTCCATACAGCTAGTAACGCCCGAAGCTTGGCAGAATGCTATCCGTCATGTTGTGAAGGAAGAAACAAAAATGTGGCAGCTTGACCACCACATCGACACCATCATAGAGCCAGTTATAGTCAATTTCAACGAGGAAAGCGATAGCGACAGTTTGTTACTGTCAGATGTAAGTGGAAGCGACGATGAATAAAGGTAATTCCCAAATTTTTGACTTACAATATGTTTCAAACCACTCTTTATTAAGCATGTGACAAATCTAGTTCACCCCTGTTAAACATTCATACCTCGCCTATGAACAGCCAACTACTGGTAGTTAAGTGATGTTCACGTGAACATCGATGAGTCATTACAGTTTTAGATAGTTATAGTATAAAACGGCCAAGATAAAGCCTGGAAAATAGTTTCAAGTTCCTGAAATGGCTGTTAGGGGACGTAACTGCAATCTTGAATCTAAAAAAGTGATGTTTCTATGAATTCAGCTATAGTAAACCTAACAAAAAAATACCTGATCTATAGTCTAGGATAAGCTAAACTTTTTCTGTTTGATAATTTCTGCTGCATCTCTAAAAAGAGTCGTGGGGGGTATTTAAAGGTGGCTTCCGTAAAAACACCCTGTATCAGTGGCGGCTCGTGGCAAAATAAAACGGCTGTTCGGCAAATCCGAACTTGCCTATTTTTTATGTCAGTTCGATCCTGCGCTCCTTGGCAGCAAATTTGTCGATCACCTTCCCGTTGAAATTTTCCATGGTCGAAATAAGTTTCTTTTCAATGGACAACATCGGCAACGCTATAAGGCGTTCCTGGGTCATAGTATTTCGAAGAAAGGTCTTGATTCTTTTCAATGTTGAGAAATTTCGCTCAGCCTCTGATGTTGACATAGGAGTTGTAACAATAATTTCTAATAGCTTTTTTGTTTCTTTTAGTGTTTCTTCCAAACTATTTTGTATAAAAACTTTCAAAAGAGACAGAGTTCCATGTAAATATCGGCAATCATTCCGAGCATAAATAACGGACAACTCTGTCTTTAAACGACTTTTTTCTAATTCGGGATAAGCCAAGCAGGTAGTTTCCAACTTGTCATCAGGAAACTTACCACTATTCTCCAAAGTGTTCGGGAATCTGTCATTTGCAGAATTCACTATATTGTCGCATACTTCTAATGCGGCAACTCGGTGATCGTGACTGCTATTATTACGTCGCCTCCTTTTGTTGCCTTGGGGTTCAGTGCAAATACTTTTGGCTTCATTTATTATGTCATCAGTTTTAACTTGCGTTGGCTCGGTTTTTCTCTTCTGCAACTGGTTGAACAAGATGTCGACGTGAGGCATGACATGATAAAAAAATGTCAACCAAAATACGAAAACAGAATCGTTTAACATACGGCGAATACCACAAGCTGTTTTGCAAACGGTTTCATTAGTGAAATTTTCTTCTATTTCTTCCATGCATTTAATGAGTGTTTCTCTGTTCTCAAACACTACATTTATTGTCCGAATATCAAAATTCCAACGAGTTGTTGCTCCTTGGGGAATTTTTTCCCCACAATTCTGTTCAGCACCTCTACGCGTTGAGAATTATAAAAAATCCCGGAATTTCTTTCAAATCCCCAAAGAACACCCGAACTTGAGCATTTGCAGAAGCAGCTTGGGACATAATCAGGTTTAACTGATGCGCATAGCAATGCATATACTGAGCAAATGGATATCTTTGTTTAATTTTTGCCTGTACTCCAGCATTATGTCCGCTCATTACCGCGGCTCTAGCACAGCTTTGTGAAATCAGTTTGTTAGGGAAATTTCCTATTAATGGATCTACGACGCTCAAAATATGTCTTGTGAGAGTATCAGCGTCACATTTTTCGGGATTCATATAATTCCAAAAACGTTCTACTGGTTCGCCGTTAAATACGTATCTGAAAATTGTTACCAGTTGGGTTTTCCCCGAAATGTCCGTTGTTTCATCTGCTATTATCGCCAAATACGAGGCTCTGTTAATCTGTTTTATTATTGCTTCATGACAAACGTCAAGAATACAATCCAGTAGATCGTTTTGCATTTCTTTCGAAGTTCCGTCAGTTCAATTTTTTCTTCAAATGTGTATTTCCAGAATCGTTTCACACTGATAAGTCTGTAAACCTAAAAGTTAGGCCAAACAAGATTATCAGTAATAACTTTTTTCGCCTCAAGCCTCTACGATGGATAGGTTCCCTGATGCAGTACCTCGAATTCTTAGTTGGCCACCCTGTACATTGAATCTCATAACCCAACAACTAATGATAAGGATTTATCCGAATTCATAATAAATTACGGAGCATTCCATTAAAAAAGTCCGTTCGCCATTTTAAAAGATATTGAATTTACATTCTAAGATTATAAAGAATGCATACGAAGTTCCAATTACCATTTTCAAGCTAAAATAATCTATGCATCAATTCTCGGCTTCACTCGTTCTAAAAATAAGTATGGGGTGGACCTTGCTTAAAAAAGTATACCTATAGGGTAAATAAAACTTTAAAATACAAAAAGTTTCAAAATCGACAGTATTTCAACATAACACTGTATAGACTTTTCAATGATTCACAATAAAACTACACGTAACGTCTAACCGATTGATAACATTGCAAATAGATGCACAAAAATGCAAAATTAACGCGTTTCGCGTTTTGTTTAAGCAATGTCAGATTGCGAGATTCATACTTGAAAAGCATTACTTTTCATAGTCAATCCATACATTTTTGTCAAAGAACCCATGAAAGATCTATACATGTAAGTATTGCACTATAAATATATTTATCTAAAATATCTATAACCATCACCTTATATAGTAATAAAATATAACTATTACAACAATTACAAACTCCAATAAAGCTTAAAAAATTCTATACGGTACCAACCATTTTCCCTTTTAGACTTGCATGTGTACGAGAGAAAGAAGCGTGTTAGAAAAAGTGCGCCAAAGTGAAAACCGATCGCGCATCCAATCACGTGACGTTCGCTCAACCTCACATACTCTTGGCCAGCAGTGTTGTCGAACCTACCGATTTTTCGGTATTTCTACCAAAATCAGACATTTAGAGAAAACGTTCTCATTTCCCACGATTTGTTAAAATAATTAAGATATAAGAGATTTTTTACAGAAAAAGAACAGGAGTCAAAAATACATAAGCGTACACTTGAACAAACGGGCACACGAGGAACGTAAATTTTGGTCAGGAGTAAACAGAAAAATGTTCGGAATCTTATAAAAAAAGGAGTTTCAATGATGGTTGCAAAGTAATATGACGAGCGACCAGTATGCTTATTGTATAAGTTGTAATAAAAAACTTGATATTTTTCAAGGAACAGATGCCCCCAAAAAACCTATGCTGTATATGTAATCCAAAAATATATTTTTTTTTTCATATATGGCGCTGTCGAACGCAAAGTCCCTTGATCCATCGCTGATCTTGTAACTGCCGTGTTTTTTTCCGATGTTGTCCTTGAATCTACCGAATTTCAACGACACTGTCTGCCGATATCGTCTTTTTCGGTCCGATAACACGATTGGTCAGTCCCTATTACGTTTCACGTCTCTGTCGGTATTGGTTGTGTGGTTATACTGCTTTATATGTCGCCTCATCAACTAACAAACCCGCTCAGTAATTCGGTGTTTAAATGCAAAAATGGTTTCTCCTGCTGAAATTCACCAGCAGCTTGCTATTCTGCTAATAAAAACCGGCAGCGAAGCGTCGTCTCTAGCGGCGTCGTTCTGCTTCACGACAACGCTCGGCCTCACTTTGCGACAAAAACAGAGACGAAACTGGACAAGTTTCGTTGCGAAATACCGGGTCGTCTATCATACAGCCCTGACTTAGCATCATCAGGCTTTCATCTTATTCCATAACTCAACGAACTTGTTGGTGGAAAGCGCTTGGAAAATGACATGTTGAAAGAAACAGTCACCAACTGGTACAGACGGCAGCGTTCTTTGACAATGGGACCAAAAGCACACAAATGTTCGAATATTTATGGTGACTATGTCAAAAATGGAAAATACTCATATTTTAGATTATGATACAATTTAAATTCATAAATAAAGTTTATTTGACTCAGTTATCTAGAAAATGGTCTTCGTAACGTTACATGACGACGACGCTTATATAGCGCACGCTTTTCTCTCTAAAAGGGAAAACGACTGGTCAGCATTGTTGACTGAAATATCAATAGTTACATTATATGTTAGATAGTGGTCACTTTCTTCTAGGAAGATAGCATAATAAATTTCAATCTTTACATAATAATTATATATGTATGTTGATTTGAATTGCACTTCGGAGGTGAAATAATCTATTCATATAATTCTAATGTAAAAGTTCATGTAAATTATCAACACTTAATTTCTAAGAGTAATGTCACAGTGGATATAGAAGCTTACATTTCATCAATGTTTCTTGTTTGATCACCATTATCAAAATACGAGTATGCTGATTTATTGGTGAAATTCTGTATAAAAATATGTAGTCTTGGAGACAATATATTGTGTTATACTGTGTAACCTGGATATTGTAGCATTAATGCTAAATAAATCTCAAATAAACAAATTAGCTTAATATCGTCACTATCATCTAATGTTACAAATACCCGACATTTGTTATCATCATTGATTAATTCAGTCACGGCCGAGCCAGTGGACATAGAAAGCGGAATTAACATGAAATTATAGTCCAGTCGACTTAGTTATAAATAATATATTATCCAAGAAGGTGGGCCAACCCTAAGCTGTATTTTGAACGTTCGCATGCAATTTTCATCGACACCGCCACGTTGCAGTAGAAGTAATTAAAACAGACCCAATTTTTATTTTTATTTATAAAATTGTTTATCTCCCACATATTGATTGTGAACATTTCTTATTCTCAGAGTTTCTCGACGACGGAAAGTGAAGCTGCGGCTAAAGTCCGAGAGGTGGCAACGCTGGCAGCTAAAGTCGGTGGTAACACGTATATACAACGTGTACACAGACAAGGTGGCACTACACAATAATGAATTAATGAAAGCGGCGTTACTGTGTGTCTTGATGACACTGTCCGTCATTTCGTCTGAGAAAAAATTTAACTTTGTAGTAATGAGTACTAAAAGTTCATCACACCGCGATTTTTTTAAAGCCTATAATTTGGAAAAATGTGACTTACTTTTTGGATCACCATACTACACTATTTTTGAGTCTATATATTCGTTGCTTTCAGTTCTTTCCAACAAATAATTTCTGACCATCAGCATTGATATATGTAATCTATCTGAAGATAGCCAACCATAATGACTGTATCCCCGCGCCCAAAAAGTAATCTGAAAGACACTACCGCCATCTATGAGACCGTAGCTGAACACAAAAATGAATTTAGAAATGCACTTTGAAAACAGCTTGTGTTTGGTTCTGATACTACATCATATATGGCGCTAGGATTTTCTTCTTCTTTTACTTCTCTTCGAGACTATTTTAATTGGGTAACTTCAGGCGGAATACTTGAAACAATGCCTGAAGATATCCAATGAAAACACACATTATAAAGGTCCAAAAGGGAGTGGAGATCATAGCGCCATCTATGAAACGGTAGCAGAACCAAACACTATGTGTATTCGAAAAGGCTCCAAATACATAATACCGCAAAGTTGGGGTTTTCCTTTACACGACGTGTAGATCTTGAAAACAACATCAAAAATATCTGAATACCGTTCTGTAGCCGCGACCCGCGACATCACCGACTGGTACAAGGTCACTGGCTCAACCCGACGACAGAATTGGGTCGGGGTCAGTGTGTCAGGTCAGTATGCAACCTTCAACCGACGGTTACGGTCACGCGTGTAGAGGTAAACGAACCCGTATAATCGATTGCGCTTCAAAAAAAAATAATGGCACACTCATACACCAATAATGAACTCGTTGATATGTTGTTAATTTATGGCGAATGTCTTCAAAATGCTACAGAGGCTTCGCGAGTGTATGCAGATCGTTTCCCTAGACGACATCATCCAAGGCCCCGCAGATTTGTGTACCTGTTCCAGAGAGTCAGGGATACGGGCCATTTGGAGGAATTTTGAGGCGGGCACAGTGGGAGGCCTAGACAACCACGAATGGTGCAACTTGAGGAAGAACTACTGAATCGCGTAGACGAGAATCCCTCAACAAGCACTAGAGACGTGGCTAGAGAAGTGCAAGTATCAAAAACTAAAGTGTGGCAAACGCTGCGTGAAGAGGGGCTGTATCCGTTTCACGTCCAACGTGTACAAGCCCTTCAACCTGACGATTTTCCAGCAGGAGTGCGGTTTTGTGTGTGGTTGTTGCGAATCTACGTTCACGCGTAATGGGGTGAATAACTTTCGCAACACTCATGTTTGGTCAGTAGAAAATCCGCACGCTGTCCGTCGGGCACATTTTCAACAAACATTTTCGGTGAATGTTTGGGCTGGAATGGTGAACGGTATGCTCATTGGACCATTTATTCTCCCAAATCGATTGGACGGGATGCAATACCTAGACTTTTTACGCAACATTTTGCCTTCCTTGTTAGAAGATGTGCCATTAAGTGTAAGACAATCGATGTGGTTTCTGCACGATGGTGCACCGCCCCATTTTAGACGCGAAGTGCGTGAGTTTTTGAATGAATTATTTCCGAATAGGTGGATCGGTAGCGTGGCCTCCGCGATCTCCAGACTTAACACCATGTGATTTTTTCTTTGGGGAGAAATGAAACGCTTAGTGTACAAAACTGAAGTGCATACGGTTGACGAACTTCGTCTCAGAATTGAACAAGCTGGTGCTTTCATTCGGGGGAGGGACTCCATTCTCAAAGCCTGCACCGATGCTTGGCTACGTCGTGCACGCACCTGTGTTTTTGAATCAAATGGCGATAACTTCGAACAATACCTATAAAGTACGTTTACCTAAAAACTGAAAACGCGGCAACGCCGTCATATTTGTTACCTCTGTTCGTGGTCTGCACCACCGCCTGCGTCTGCTCGGTAGCGCATCAGCTGATTTCATGTTCTGTTGGAGCGGTATGATTTCGGGCAGAGACGTACTTAGCCCTTCTCGTCAACTGGAGAGTGAGTACTTTTTCCTTTATTTTTTTTTTACGTGGTCGCCCTCGTTTCACTACACATTACCTTTGTTATTTCAAGGGTAGTTGTTTCTGAAAAGGACAGCCCCAACTTTGCGGACACCCTGTATATTGCACCCAAATCCTTATATTAGACCCTACATCTTTTGTACAAATCATTTTTTCTAATCGGTCATAGAAAATAGTAGGGTGGGGGTCAGAAATTTATTGTTGGAAAGAACAGCCTACATCACGCATCAAAAGCTGCACTTGCTCCACAGCTTTCTGGGATGTTTCGATATAATATGCACGTTCAAGTTACGCTTAGTTCTGACCTTATTACCGCAAATAGCACACTGAAATTTAGGGGGATTATGCATGACCTTCATGTGACTGTTTCTTTGTGCTAATCCCTTGGCACTGTAGCTGCAGAAATTGCAATTGTACCGTTTCAGCTCCGAGGAATCTTTGTGGTTCATCAAGTGCTTGCCTAAATAGCTTTTGATCTTGGCTTTGTAGTTACAATGCGGGCACTGGTATATTTTCCCGTCCAAGTGTAGCTGCAAAAAAAGCTTTCGAGTTTTAGATGGTGATTCATCTCATGATATTTATTCTTAACATTCAATCACGCCATTATTTCCCGTTGCTGAAGCTCGTGATTTCGCCACGAGAGGGATAAGGGCATCTTTTTTACTTGAAGATTTCTGACTTGTCAAATCGACAAGCACAAGCAATTATCAACAAGGATTCGAAAACTTAATTTATCGGTTTGGTATTGTTGAAAAATTCAAATATCAAACCGATGATGAGATTCTACATGAATGTAGAGATGTCGAAACGTGAACCAGAATTTGTCAAAGTTCAAATTCAAAATTCAAAATACATTTATTTGCCAAAACACAAAAAAAAAACATTATATTTACTGTATTATAGAAAATACACACAATATTTTTGGCAAAAAGGACAAATCCTCGATCAAATGACCGTTAACACCCAGCCTTACATAAGTAGGGTGGGTGTGAAAATGCCCTGTGTTACACTAATTTTACACATATAATATACAAACAATATACTGGAATTTAATGATTTTATTTATTACTCTATTGTGCGAAAATCTTACCAGTGTTTTATGCCTAGAAAGCGCTTCTACGTATTTCGTTTGGAATCTGCACGAGTCACATTTATGCATGACTACCCCTTCGTCTTTATGTTTCAACATATGCCCCTTCAGGTTATGTTTTCTTTTTGTCGTGTAACTGCACTGATAGCATTTGAAGGTTTTCACGTCTGCCCCGTTTTTGTGAACCATTTTATGTCTGCTCAAGGATTCTCGGTATTTCGTCTGAAAGTTGTTTATGATCTAACGTTGTGTTCCAGAGTCATTGTAGAGCAATTACATGACACTTTCCACCATTTTTATTTGGATAGAATAACTTTTTTTAGAGTCTAGATACGACCACTTTTTCACCGAAATACGGCCTGTCAAAAATCATCGAAAATTTTGGATTTTTTTCTTGCTCCCTCAATTTTGTTGAGTAGTGTACGTGGGACACCCTTTATACAGGGTGTAAACGTTATGGTAGTCATTATTGAAATGGGTCAAAACAAGTCAAAAAGTTCATATGACCCATGGTCCAAAAGTCGATAGATTTTTGTCTAAATGGCTTTATAGTTTACAACTTTAAGTGCCTTATATCGACCACATTCTTATTAATTTTTATAATCTAATCTAAAACGTTTTTAAATTGGGTAATTAACAAATAAATGGCATTAAGTTTTTCTAAGTTAAGCCAAAATTTGTAGTCAGTAAGTAAGTTCCATTAAATATTTAAAACACACATGAGAACAGCGCGAGGGCTTTTCACCACTATTATCGAACCGGCAATCGATCGCAAACGGTAACAGTGGTTAGTATGTTGTTTTGTTTTTGTTCGCGTACATCGTTGTGTTTAGCAAGACACTGTCAGTGGTTTTTGCATAAAAACATTGAAAATCCGGATTTTTTTGAAAACATTCTAGCGACGGACGAATGTACTTTCACGCGAGACGGGATATTAAATTTCCATAATACTCACACGTCGGCCCAAGAAAATCCTCATACCATTAGTGAAGGTTCCAACAACGTTTTAAAATAAATATTTGGGCGGGTATTCCTGACGATCAGGTAATTGGCCCTTTCGAGTTACCCCCAAAGTTGTCGGGAGAAGGATACCTTAGCCAATAACCTACCAGAACTTTTGGAACAGACCTTAGACAACATACCATTGCAACGGAGACAGAATTTGTGGTTTCTTCATGACGGGGCACCACCACACATTTTTAGAGGCGTCATTCAGTATTTGAATGGACATTATCCAAATCGCTGGATCGGTCGAAATGCTCCTGATCCTCGAAAATGGCCAGCAAGATCTCCTGAACTCAATCCGATGGATTTCTGGTATTGGGAAGAACTTAAAGGGATGGTTTATGGGGCTGGTCCAATAACAACTGAAGCACAACTTCGCGAAAAAAAAATTGAATGCGGCTGAAATAATAAATGGACAACTTCGAGGACCTAGAGTAAGAAGAAACTGGGTTCGTCGTAATGAAGCTTGTGTGGAAAGTGGAGGACGACATTTTGAACACCTTCTTTAAATACAAAAAAAAAAGTGCAGTGTGGGTTTTGAAAAGAAAAACAATGTATCAAAATTGTGTTCCCTATTTATAAGTGGATTTTTTTAATACGTTCAATAAACTTTCACACACCAGGTGAAGCGCTGAGAGTAAGTCCGTTTTTTTTAATTGTTTGCATTTTACGAGCACATTATCAAATAATGAAATAATACCTAAGAGACAAAAATAACAAACTCCATCTTTATTTACACTGCGTTCCGTCGTAATTTGCGTCTGGCATTGCGGCGTTGTCAGATTTTATTTTACTTTAAAGTCGCTTTTCTCTAAAAAATGCCGATTTGACCCCCATGTTATCACGCATTTGAATAATGACTATCATAACGTTTACTAACGCTATCGGCCCCGGAAAAAGATGACATTTCAAAAATGTTCACCAAAAACTGGAAATTTACACAAAAATCTATAAGCACCTACCTCAAAGTTGCATTCTGTACATTTCAACATTGCCAATTTGTGCATTCTTTGATGACTGATTACTTGAGATTTTATTTTAGCTTGATAATCGCACTCGCCGCACTTGTACATTTTCAATTCAGAAGGGTCCTTATGCAACTTATTGTGGGTGTATACCGCTGCTTTATGTCTTGATTCAAATGGACAAAATCCGCATTTGTACAAGAGCACCTTGAATATATCTTTATGGACTTTTTGATGATCTTTAACGGAACTCTTGAATTTGTGCGAAAAATCACATTTGGAACATTTGTGCTTATTTAGTACAGAGTTTCTCTTGGCTCTTTTTTTGCAGTGTTCTCCGTCAAGCATTACGACCTCTAATCTGGAAAATGATATTGTTATTGAAAAACATTTTTAAAATATATCCCATAGATTTTTTCCATAGGAAAATGGCCTCAAGTAGGTGGTTTTCATATTTCACGAATATGTATAACAAAAAAAAAATAGTCAGTCAAACAGGCCAATACAATAGTCCATAGAAATTGCTCCCCCACCCTACCGTTGCTATGACTAAGCTCGCCGCTCGCCACCACCACCACCGGAATTTTACATTCCAAGTTTTAAGGACAAATATATCCAACTGAGATGCACCCCCAACAACCACACACCTGCAAATGTTTAACGTTTCAATTTAAAAAGCATCTAAAACGACAACAAACGCAGTTTGAGTGTCTTCATTTTTTTTGCAATTTGCACGGTTGCATCTTGATTGGACCATCTGTGACTGGAAGAGGGTATGTTTCAGTGACGAATCCAAGTTCAATATGTTTGGATCAGATGGTGTTCATTACGTTAGACGTCCTAGTGGACAAAGATTGAACCCCAAGTACACTTTGCCCACTCTCAAACATGGAGGCGGGTCTGTTATGATTTGGGGGTGCTTTTCGGGGTTTGGGATGGGACCTTTACATAGAATAGATGGCATTATGGATAAGTTTGTATACACAGACATACTAAAGCATGACATGTTACACAATATGGAAGACAATATGCCCTTAAGATCAATCTTCCAGCAAGATAATGACCCGAAGCACACTTCGAATTTCGCTAAGAAATTCTTTCTGGATGAAAAAATACCAGTTCTCAAATGGCCTTCACAGTCTCCCGATATAAATCCCATTGAAAATTTATGGGAATACTTAGATAAGCAAATACGAGATAAAAATTATTCAAACACGGATGAACTTTTTGCCGCTTTAGAGCAAAAGTGGAGACAGATTGATGAATCTCATATCAAGAAAGTTCTACAATCTATGCCGAGATGATGCCAGGCGGTGATTGATAATAATGGTTATGCTACAAAATATTAACACAAACACGGTTGGTTTTCTATAATGCAATGACCTTGCTTCTTTTTTCTATAATTGTTTTGCTTTGTCTATATATTTTTGTCCTTCATAGTTCCAGTTTTTTCAATTAATTTTTTATTGAAGGGAGTCTAATGTATTTATGTATAAGTGAGTATTATGCTATAGCGAATTATGAATACAGATTGGTGTATTAATAAAACAAGTTAAAAAAGAAATACAGCACAATATTAATTTGTCTATATACATTTGTCCATTACTGTTGATATTTGTGACATAACCTTAAAATAGAGCGCTGACACGGAACAGTAGAAAACTATGGAAATCAAGGAGGCTATAAAGGCGTTCTACAACATTGTGGCTGTAAATTTGGTGCATTTTAGGGTCATCACTGCATAATCAAATCGATAAGTGAGTATTATGCTATAGCGAATTATGAATACAGGTTGGTGTATTAATAAAACAAGTTAAAAAAGAAATACAGCACAATATTAATTTGTCTATATACATTTGTCCATTACTGTAGATATTTGTGACATAACCTTAAAATAGAGCGCTGACACGGAACAGTAGAAAACTATGGAAATCAAGGAGGCTATAAAGGCGTTCTACAACACTGTGGCTGTAAATTTGGTGCATTTTAGGGTCATCGCTGCATAATCAAATCGATAAAAATACTAACCCTTCTGTTGAATTCCTATCAACTGGTTCTTTTTTTAAGCAATCCTCCTGGAAAGGTTGTGGCATTTGGCTGAAATTGAATATTCAATAAATGGCTTGTGACAAAACAATTATGCCACTTAGTTTGACTGCATGAAAATATATTTTAAAGATCAGACAATTTGCAGCATTATATTTGTTTGTTACCTCTTACAAATCTTGTTAGGTGTTTCTATAGGTTTTCTCCGCGCGTTGCCTTCTGTGTCAATCATGGCTCTAAAAAGTATCATAATCTGTAGATATCATTTTATTATGTAAATAATTCATGCAATTGAATTACCCAGTATTAAGTTTGGTATTCGAGGATTCCTCGTCTTTTTCAGTATTGCATTTCTCAACGGGATTATGCTCCTTTTTAACGAGCCCATTGACCCAATCTCCGTTAAAATTGTTATTGCTCCATGCTGCAGTGAATTGCCCAAAGTTATATATATTTTGACTGCATGGTTTACATATGAAACTATCTTTCACTGCATATATATCCTGAAATAAAACGGCATCATTTTTTGTACAATTTAGGGAATTTTCCATGCCCCACCCCCCTCTGGGAAAATATGCTAGCCTCCACACTTCAAAAAGTGAAATAAGTGACATGGTTTTCATTATATATACAGGGTGTTTCAGTTTATTGTTGCATAACTTTAAGATTCGATAGAACTTTTAAAATTAATGCATAAAGTCTATATAAACATGGGTCGAAAAATGCGTGGCTTCCGAAATACAGGGTGTTTAAATTTACTTTCTAAAATAGTTTTTTTTTAAATATTTCGAACAATATTTGATGTATAACAGTGAAAATTGGTACACAAGGGTTTTTTAGTACGACAAAACAAACCATGGGCATAGTTTTACTGTAGCCGCTAGAGGGCGCTCTCTACTATACCTGTAGTGTATTAAAATGACCGAAAAATTTTTCTTATTGCAATTTTTTGCTTTTTGAATAAAAAAACTGATTCTTCGCACTTTTCAACATAAAAAAGCTCTCTTGTGAATTTTCGTTATAGTTAGCCGTTTTTGAGATATTTCGATTTTTAAGGTTCGATGCATTTTTAATTATTTATTATAAAATAACGTTAAAAAGTCAGTATCTCGATAATTTTTAGAAGTAGGCTGTGCCTGCAAATATTTTTGAAATTGAAAGCAGAATAAGGTTAAACGTCAATTAGTTGACAGTTAGTTTTGTTGTCTGTTGAAACCTGAAACTTTTTTTGCAATTGTGAATGCACGAAATTTAGTTTCTTTTACCTGTTTTTTTTGTAAGTTTTATAAAAATGCCATTTTTATTCTCCAATCAAGAGTTAGCCGATATTCATTTTGTGTATGGCTTTGTAAATGGAAACGTAGCAGAAGCAGCTAGAGAATATGCACCAAGACTTCCAAACATACGACATCCAACTCGCTCAGTATTTGTAAGAGTGCATCGCCAAATAATTGAAAATGGTTTTGGAAATCTCCAAAGGGATCAAAACATAAATGTTCGTCAGCGCAGATTTACCCGTATGATTCTGCGTGAGTTGGGAATTTCAGCAAGCCATGTTCACCGTGTCCTTAGAAATGACCATAGACGTCCTTACCATTTGCCACCTGTGCAAGGACTACAGCCAGGGGACGGAGAACGAAGAATCACATTTTGTCAGTGGATTCTTGATAGAACTGATAATAATAGGGAGTTTTTAAGTAACGTTTTATGGACCGATGAATCATGCTTCACTAGACGTGGAGTGGTAAATTTTCATAATCAACATATTTGGTCGCATGAAAATCCGCATGCAGTTCGGGAAAGAAATTTTCAGCATGAATTTAGTGTGAACGTGTGGATTGGAATCTACCGTAATCGACTATTTGGACCCTACCTTTTGCCTGCAAGGTTAAATGCTGCGACCTTCTTGGAATTTTTAAAGGCTGAACATGCAAATATGTGGGATGATGTCATGTTAGATTTAAGAAGATTGGCCTGGTTCCAGCTTGATGGTTGTCCAGCTCATTATTCGAGAATAGTTAGAAACTGGCTGGACGGAAATTATCCAGAAAGATGGATCGGCCCTGGAGGACCAGACTCCCGTAACCACAAGATATATGCTAATAGACAGAATCAGGAATGCATGTGATGAAATAAGGCCTTATTTGAATAATGCTATACCACGTTCGATCATTCGTAGATATGAATTGTGCATTAAACAATTGGGTTTACATTTCGAGCAACTACTTTAGATTTGGTAGGTTTGTCCTAACTATCCAATAGCATTTTAGTTGTAAATAATTAATTTAATTTGTTAAAAATAATACTGGAAAATTAAACAAATTAATATTCTGTTTTTTGTGTTTATTTGGAGTTAGGAATTATTGCTGAGTTTAAAAACACAATGTAAACGATCATCTTAATTACTTGTAATGCCCAAATCGAAAATGTAAAAAAAAATATTATTTTCCCATAAATAATTAAAAATGCATCGAACCTTAAAAATCGAAATATCTCAAAAACGGCTAACTATAACGAAAACTCACAGGAGAGCTTTTTTATGCAGAAAAGTGCGAAGAATCAGTTTTTTTATTCAAAAAGCAAAAAATTGCACTAAGAAAATTTGTTCGGTCATTTTAATACATTACAGGTACAGTAGAGAGCGCCCTCTAGCACCTACAGTAAAACTATGCCCATGGTTCGTTTTGTCGTACCAAAAAACCCTTGTATACCAATTTTCACTGTTATACATCAAATATTGTTCGAAATATTTAAAAAAAACTATTTTAAAAAGTAAATTTAAACACCCTGTATTTCGGAAGCCACGCATTTTTCGACCCATGTTTATATAGACTTTATGCATTAATTTTAAAAGTTCTATCGAATCTTAAAGTTATGCAACAATAAACTGAAACACCCTGTATGTCGCCAGTAGACATGGGAAGTAAAAATGGAAAAATAATAAATTATTGCAAGTAACACCTTTGGAATGTAATATAAAATCATTTTTTAGCTGGTGTCCATCTTATTGTATATTATAATAAATTATATGATTTATATTTATAGTACTTTGCTACTCACAATTTCTGGAAAATGTGCCTCAACGATTTCTTGTAAACCATCCTTTAACCATTCCATAAGTGGCTTAATAGACATTTCTGTGATGTCTTCTTTACAAAATCGACATATATACCTATCTGCTTTATCACCACTATGACGCCTTTCTAATACTTTAAATTTCTTTATTTTTTCTTCAGTAATTAAACATTTGAACTTGAATTCACAAAATTCTTCCATTTTGGCAATGCATGTATTACATATTATGTTATTTACCGATGATTTATCCTGCAAGTTGATATAAATTATGTTATAGTCACAAATTAAAATGTTTCCAATACTGCATACATAATTTAGTTTTCATATTATACTAGAAAAATCTCTACAAAACTACTCCAACAGGGCAACATGCTTTAAAGCTAATACTAGTTTATACCAATCCATAAAATAATAAAATTCATGCTATAAAATTAGTCGAGAGAGTATTTAACCAACAATCTTAAACCTTCAAATCGACGTCAATATCAAGGTTAACTTGAAAAGTTTAGGTGAAAGTGTATCCAATGAAAATAGCGGAAATCCTTCCGTTTCCGAAATGACTTTGACCATGACCTTGAAGTGATTCAGAAGTCCAAGGTCACATACAAAAAACTTTTCCGTCCTTTGGGATCATAAATTAAAGTTCTATTTTGAATTTTCAACTTGACCTCTAAATAACCTAAAGGTCAAAATAAGAGTCAATGTACCATATGTGTGATCAAAGAGATACTATTCTTTATTATGAAATTTTCGATTTGACCTCCAAAATGACCTTGATGGCAAGGTACCTAATTTCTGTACATAAAAATTTCACTCTTTCCATTGGGGTGTCAAGGATATGGCTTTATTTCAAAATTTTCGAGTTAACTTCCAATTGAAAGTAATGCTCAAGGTCATCATTAGATTGTAACTTTTGACTTGACCATCTTTTGTGCCTGTTTTCTCCTGGTATTTGCTCTAAGATATGTGAAGCTATAAAAGCTGTGCATGCATTAAATAATCATACACACATACATATTTTACTATTTTTCATGATATTTCATTATGCTTTGATGATTACTGAGGTGAACAGCTGATGAGCAAATTACATCTTTGGTATTACAGTCTGTACTGTTGACAATAATGAATTTGGTGAAACTCAGGACTTATTTATTTCTGTTTTTGTATTTCACTTGATTTGATATATAGTCCGGATCATTAACAAGCATAAATATTGCTTGTGTTGTTTTTCTCCTGTGTAGGAATTTTTCTAAGTGAACCACTGTTACAATGTACTCGTATGAAGTCTAGTGTTGACTGATCTGCCGGAGTTGTGTGTCGCCTATACATATGGGGTATTTTAATGTTGCTAGATTTCCAGCTATTATTTGTCATAATAAAGTATCTTGAAAAATAGTATAAACGACCCTACTTGTAGTTTGTTGTTGTCATCCACTTACATCTTTTAATACTGCATCTGAGGCCTTATAATTTAATATTTGCAAAAATTATATTATTAGACTGTCATTCTGGTATTAGTTCAGAAAAATATTTTGTTAGTTTTAGAACTCGTAAATGATTTTAACATACCCATTTCAAAAATAGCACATTTGCCAAATCATTTATAGAAGTAGACTGATTTTTGTATTCATTGTCTGGCAGCTTTTGCTGGCAAAGTTGGCAAACACGGCTTGCTATACACTCCATAGTGAAATCTAGGCTGACCTACCTACAGCTCCGGAGAGACAATTTTGGATTTGAAAGCATGCGAATACTTGTTGCAGTATAAAGCCTACAGCTACAAAAACCTTAACAAAATAATAAATTGAACCAGGCCACACTATACCTATGCGTCTAATCAGTTTTTATATGTTACCTACTTCTTGTTTTGGAGTCTTGAATTGATTTCTACAATTAGGGCCTGATTTTCAACTATTTACATTCCATTAAAAAGCATATGGTAATGCACGTGTCATTATAAGTAATTCATGTAAAACATAAACAATAAAAAAGAAAATAAAAACTTAGCCCAAATAAAAATAAGAAAGCTTATAAACTAAAATGTCACAAAATGACAATTGATTAAGCCTTTAGCCTTTTTTCGCCAGTCCACGGTGCACTACTGGGAACCGATACTCAAAAGTTTCTGCCGCATTGACGTTTTAAATGACTCCGTCGTTACCCCGGGATAGACACGTTTTGAAAATTGGTCATTCTTGTCACATGGATTGCGGCGTTGCCAGCTCATCGGACGATTTTGCTACCTCTGCTATCACCAATTCCTTGGACCTTTTGGTCGAGGCCTTGCTAATAGTACATAGGAATACTTACAAAAACATTAGATTAGTGAACGTTTCTGTAAATTTCTTTTTTATAATAATGTATTACAGGGTGGCCAAGATAAGGATCAGACTAGGTTCAACACAGCAATCTTACAACAAACATTTGTTTGCAACGCCTACTTAAATATAATGAAAATGTAGAAAAGACACGTTTGTTTATAACTAAAACATAAATGTAACGATGTATCGTTGAAGTTGTAGAAAAATCTGCTATTAGATACGCTGTATCACTTTTTTAGAAGCACCATCATGTAGTGCCATTAGTTTTTTGACATTTCTTAAAATGAAGTCAGGCAAAAATAAAAACGATTTGGTAAAATTTTAGTTTTTTCCAAATACCTCAGTATAAAAAAACATGGGATGTCAACCCTTACACACAAGTATCCTTTCCCTCAGAAGAGTTGGAAGTAGACCTAATGTCCACTTTGGAGACACTTGACACCCACGTCACAACACCAAGGCGCCACTGAGAGACAATCGAGAACCCTATAGTGAACACCACTACTGGAAAGAAGTAGCTAAACCGAATAGAGCTCTGTACAGAGCTGTGACGCGTAGACATTCCGCTGCGCCGACGGTTGCCGATAGACTGAAACGTGAAGCGTGCGAGTGCTGTACCTCGCTGCGGCGATACGGTACGGCCGGGTAGTACGGGCACGCCCCTCTCCAGCTCCCACTCCGCGCGTCTGCTCCCGAAGCGACTCGACGTTTACGTTGACCAGTAGCACTCACCACTCACACGCTTCAGTTTCTCGGCATCCGTTGGCGCAACGAAATGTCTAGGTGTACAGAGCTCTATTCGGTCGGTTTAGCTACTTTTTTTAGGTAGTGGTGTTCACTATAGGTTTCTCGATTATCTCTCAGTATTGCTTTGGTGTTTTAGTGTTGTGACGTGGGTGTTAGGGTTGACATCCTATGTTTTTTTAAGTAAATTGGGCACATTGCATACACTGAGAGATTAGTCAAAGAATCACATCCAAAGCGCCTTATTTTCACTACATAAGCTGTCTAGCACTGTTTAAAAACAATATTACAAAATTTAGCTTAGTTAGGACGCCATAATTACTTGTTGTCAAAGGTATTGTATTTTTTTGTGACAGCTGTCAAATTTTGTCGCGGGTAAACTGGAAAAAATGCTGACAGGTACTGTCATACAATTTTTCCATCTATAGAAGCCATTTGTAATTCAAAATTCCGCGTTTGTGATTGGTAGAAATTAAGACGAGGGAAATAGTCGTCATGGAAACCGCAGGATAAGTTTCAGATTAACACAAAAACTGGTGCCACGGCTTGACTTGTGTTTGAATATTTATGGTGGCTATGTTGAAAATTGTTTGTTTGTGATATAATTTACATTTATAAATAAAATTTCTCTGACTGGATTACAAAACGGTTCTTACTTAAAGAATGACCCTCGTATAAACCGTTACTTCACTGCTACTTTTTTTTAGGTTAATAACTGTGTACGCTGGCGATTTTCGATTGTAAAAATGAAGCCAGAATTGTGGAACGACTTGATTTTTCTTCAGCTGACACAATTAATCTTAGCAGTGACGGTTGAGGTTTTCCTCGCTCAAGTGCGAATGCAGTCACTAAAAACCATATCCCCCTACTAAATAGTAGAGAAAATGAAAATCGAAATCGTACTTCTCCTATTAATGATCATGTATTTTAGATCAAATACTTAATAAATATATTTATATAATAAAAAAATGTTTGCTTTTTCCAATTATTATTCAAAAAGTATTTTATCCTATAAAACTGGACATTTATAAAAGTGTTCAGAGACATTAACGTTCCGTCGCATAAACGCCAGGCGACGCAAAATGTAGATAACAGCTTTTTTTAGTTTTTTGGCAAATATTGCTCCCTCAATCTTTTATTCAAAGTTTCTTTTTTATATAAAATTCTAGTAAAATATCAGATGTAGCTAAATTGTCCGATAAACTGGCAGCGCAACAATTTAGGTGACAAGGTCAACTGCTAAAACGTATGTTTATCCCGGAGTAACGACAGAGTCATATAGTACGTCGAAGCGGCAGTTTTCCAATCTTCATTTGCATTTTTTAAGCGGTGTGCAACGATATCGAGAAAAAATTCGCTACGGATAGTCTTCTAGAGTCTAGTAAAGTATATTTCAATACTTGTCTTGCGTGGCCATGTTATCTTTACTCGGACCAGTTCAGATTCTAACAAGACAGCTATGTTTATCAAGGATCTTAAAGCTAGCATTTTGCGCAGCATGCGCCATATAACCATTCCAGATGTAACTGGAATTTGTAAAAACTTCGAGAGGTAGGAAATTCCATCTGTTCCCACTCCTGTTCACATCGAGATCTCGCGAAAAAATAATCAAATTCAAGCGGATAACCAAATGGAAATGGTATTTACCATTTTGGATTGGTATTTACCGATCCGTTCAAGCGAGTGTGGTTATCATTTTGGTTATAACATCCGTGACGTCATGAATCAGCTGTTATATGTCATAGTTATCACCGCAAAATTGTGGTATTTACCCAACTCCGGAGTAGTTTTATATTTCTGGTTATTATTTGACATGTGACAAGTTAGAATTTTGCCGGGTATTGGATATTTTTATTGTACTTCAGCTTCATTTTTGGGAAACTTGATACAGGCTGACTTCAGTTTTAGCATAAGAGAGCACCTTATTATTTATAATCATCACTGTTGTTGTAGACACTTTAAATCTAGTTCCTACACTTAAAAAATTATCCTGTATAGCCATATAGCATAAGAATATTAAAATATGGCCGTATAAACTCGCTGGATGATGTCCACCTGTATACGGTTTTGTTAATATCTTTTTTCATCGCTTTTTCATCATTTCTGCTAGATCAAAAAATATTTTCTTTGACATGCGGAAAAGTTTAGATAATTGAAAGTTATCATAGCTACAAAGCCATGGTTCCATCATTAAAAAAAAATCTGAAAAAAACATTTCTCCCATGAATATTATGAAAGGTTTCTTATTTAAACTTTCCATATACAGCTGTAGACGAAAAAGCACCGATTATTAAGTGATAATAAAAATAATCAGAGATTATATACGCGCTTTTCTAAAATAAACAACTTGCAACAAAACCGCGGTTAAAACCAACGCGTTCAAGCGATTCGTGTAACTAACGTCATCAACCCGTGTGTCATCTTGAACCATATTATAACCGCGGCACATAACACAGAAATTTTGGTTATTCGCTTGGATTTGATTAATCTCTATTGATGCAGCTAACGAATCTTGAGACAAATGACGCATAATTCGGTGTTGTGGATGAACGTACTCCTAATTCTCTGTTCTGTGTTCTGTCGTTTTTCACAGCTCTCAATGTTGCCAGATCTAGTGAGGAGGCTCTGAAATCTATAATAGGAGGTAGTTCAATTTGTTGATCCGACCTCCAACAATTATAATTCATTCTCAAATAAATCGATCATCACGAAAGTAATGAAGTTTTCCTTGTTTTGACCTTAGGAATATGATAAACTCAGAAACAATACTTCTTGATGCATAGGGAGATCTATCGATTGAGAAATTCTCTTTCTCGATCCGGCAACGTTACATATTCTGTCTCACTCTACTTCCGTTTTCTCTCTCTAACCAGCAGAGCTTTCTACCCCGATTTTCCCAATTCGTTCTCTTTCACTTTGGACTTCAAGGAGGTAAGACGTGTTTTCAATTTTCTCCAGATTTTCTATTTTTGCATGCGTAGCTTAGCCTCTGTTTATATTTTTATTTTATAGCTCCCAAGCTTAGCGAGCATCTAATTTTTATTTCCTTTATTGCAGATCTTGTAAGTCCACCTTGTAAGAATAAAACTTTTTATCTGACTTTTGAAGCTCAGCCATTTTGTTGAAACATCCTTGTTGAAGATGTAAGTATAGTTTTCATGTAATTTTGTTGATATTTGCGTTGTTTTAATGGCATCATAGGTATTTATCATAAATTCTTTATAATTTCGCTTGTCGTTCTCGGCCAACGCCCAGATGCCCAACGTTGCATTATTGATTTTCTTTGTTCGATAACTGGGGCATCTGGGAGCTGCGAACGTTGACCTGCAATTTGCAAATGGCGGCGATCGTATAACGTCAACTTTACGTTATTATTCTTTGGTACTTGGAGAATTTTCTATTGTTTATTTGGATGTTAATCTAAATAGATAATTTATCTCTTCTGATTTCTTTTCATTTATTGATTTATCATTAGTACATAAGTACTTCATCGGGATTGGGACCTATTGGGTATATTTTTTGATGACGTGTTTTCTCTGCGATCGATAGCGTTTGGTAAACGTAATAATAGAGTTCCGTAATATATCGGAACCCCGTTCCACTAAATGGATATTCATGAAACCTTTTCGAATGGATTGTTCACCCATCAAAATTAAACTTATACATAATATTTTTAGTAACGTAAAATTGAAAAAAAATTATTTAGAAAACGGCAGCAATACTAAGGCGTAAAGTAAATTAATTAGTAATACGAAATGTTCGTATAAACGGTGGCCCCAAAATGACCCGTTGATATTATACAGGGTTGATGTTATAATTTTGAAATGAAAAATATCTTTGAGATTTATTTTGGGTAATTCTTGGCAACACCAGCCTTATTTGTTTCTAACACTAGTTTTGGGTTGTAAAAAGTACTGGCAAATGGGTTAGTTGCAGAATATTGTCGATATTATCCAGGTTTTAGAAGGTATAAACACCATTTCAAGCATCACACATTTGCAGAATGGAAGAATCCTGTATGTACCGCGACGTTGCCATATTGAAGAAATATAATGGCATTAACGAAGATACGCATTTCTACGCGTAGCAGCTATCTTTTTACTATAGAATTTCGTGTCTTTTGAGTCGCTCACGCGCTGCTTTTGCATTTGACGTTATGGAGGACTGTAATTTGTTGAAGCTATACAGTAATGGACAAAAGTATATATACAAATTGATATTGTGCTGTATTTCTTTATTAACTTGTTTTATTAATACTCCAACCTGTCTCCACTTTTGCTCTAAAGTGGCAAAAAGTTCATCCTTGTTTGAATAATTTTTATCGCGTATTTGCTTATCTAAGTATTTCCATTGATTTTCAATGGGGTTTATTTCGGGAGACTGTGAAGGCCGAGAACTGGTATTTTTTCATCCAGAGAGAATTTCTTTGTGAGATTTGAAGTGTGCTTCGGGTCATTATCTTGCTGGAAGATTGATCTTAAGGCCCAAACTGCTTTACGCTTCAGCTTCAAATTTTTGCCAATGTAAACTTGATGACCATCTTTGTATAGCTCAATGATCTTAGTCTTCACATCGAAAGAAATTTCTGGACCACGTGGCATGGTCTTAAAATCACTCAACTTATTCCACAATACTTGATGAATACAAACTAATCCTCTTCTGACACGAAACTGTACTAAACTATTGTTGAAAAAAATTTGTCTTACTATAAAAAAATTTAAGTATTGAAAAATATTGATCATGAAAATTGATGAATGAAGTATGGCAACATTGCATAACATATGGAAACAAACACTAAATATTTTAGAACTTTCATATTATTTGCCCTCATTTTCGCTCCCGTTTCTGTCTTCTACACCCAAAAACTAGGATCTGAGACTGTTTTTTGGTGGAAATGACTTTTTTTAGCTGAGCGAAACATAAGAACATGCATAGCCAAAACTTACTCTTTTACTCCTGAAATATGCTGCAACTAGAAAAGTTTAACCCTGGAAGCCGTTTTTGTGACGTTTCTTGTTTCATAAAAGCACTGGGAAATTAATTGTACCAGTATGTGATTAAGGTTTTCAGCCTATGTTGCCATTTAAACTATCATATCGATCAGCTCTTTTGAATATCAACGAATGCTCACCGTTTCAGGTCTTATTATCAACAAAATAGCACCGGCGGCAGCTATCAGGCGCGTTCTGGAACTCAGAGCCGCTTCGGCGGTCAGCGCAACTTCCGCGACGGGGGTTCCCAGCAAAGGGGCAACGATGGCAGCGGGTACCGCAGCAACTCCTACCAAGGTGGTAATGGAGGCAGCGGGGGCTTCAGAAGCAGCAGCTATGGCGGCAACTCTGGCTACGGTAACCAGGGTGGTCTCAAGAAAGTCGAATGGGGCAACAAGAGTCTCAGACCGCACACCAAGCATTTCTATGTGCCCCATGCCGCCATAGTAGAGAGGTCAGAGTTTGAAGTTGATCAGTATCGCAAATCGAAGGAGATCGTCATTGAGGGGGATGCTCCCAAACCGATCCAGAATTTCGATGAGGCCAACTTCCCTGAATACATCATGGAGGAGATCTTTAAACAGGGGTAAGTCAGATTTTTAATCCTACAGTGCTGAATGTAACTGTTTTTCTAGTTCTTACAATTTTTTCCTTAATTCTTGTTCTTTAGGCCAGTTATTATATTGATCAACCTTCTCTAAGATACTCAAACCATTGCAGTTTTTAATAGCCATGTTTAATTGTTCTTGAATGGACATCAAAAGTATTATCCATTCAAAATGATGAGAAACGTGTCTGAAAGATCATTGATTACTTTTTCGCACACCCTTTACCTCTAAGAAGACCTGATTTAGCCCATTTCATGATCTGAACCTCCCATTCTCTTTCGCAAAATTAATCTTATTTTGTTTGTTACAGGTATGAAGCACCAACCCCAATCCAGGCTCAAGGTTGGCCAATAGCCTTGAGCGGTAAGGACATGGTCGGCATTGCTCAGACCGGCTCTGGAAAAACTCTTGCCTATACATTACCTGCCACTGTGCACGTGAACAACCAAGATGATATCAGCCGTGGCGATGGGCCAATTGTTTTAATATTGGCGCCAACAAGAGAACTTGCGCAGCAGATTCAGAAAGTGGCCACAGATTTTGGTCAGTCCACCCGCATCAGGAACACCTGCGTATTTGGAGGTGCCCCGAAAGGGCCCCAGGCCAGAGATTTGGAGAGAGGCGTGGAAATTTGCATCGCTACTCCCGGTAGATTGATCGATTTCCTTGAGAAGGGAACCACTAATTTGGAACGTTGCACGTACCTTGTTTTGGATGAAGCTGACAGAATGCTGGACATGGGATTCGAACCCCAGATCAGGAAGATTTTAGGTAGGTGGAAGCTGAAAGAAATGTGAATATTGGCTTGGTCACATTCACATTAAATAAAAAAACATTACTGTATGTTATTTCATACTAAAATCGCATTTTTCTTTTCAGGACAAGTTAGACCAGACAGGCAAACTCTTATGTGGTCTGCGACATGGCCAAAGGAGGTTAAGAAGCTCGCCGCTGACTTTATGAAAAATCCAATTCAGCTCAATGTTGGTTCAATGAACCTTTCTGCTAACAATAACATCTTGCAGATTGTTGATGTTTGCCAGGAACACGAGAAGGAACAAAAGTAAGTTCCATTTAAACATACAATTTTTTTTAATCGAATTATGAATTTAACATGATGAGACGTGTAGCTGAAAAATCGATGATTACTTTTATCGCACACCCTTTACCTCTAAGAAGACCTGATTTTGACATTACTTTGATTTTTTGCATTATGTCCTTTTTTCTGTTTGTAACAATGTTTTTTTCTTGTTACAGATTGGGCAATTTGCTACAAGAAATCGCTGGCGTTTCTGATCCAGGCCAGAAAATCATCATTTTCGTCGAGACTAAGCGTAAGGTATGTATCATTGTGATCAACAAAGAATTGTTTTTCATGTTAAATTATATCTTATTTTGATTACAATCAGTTCATGCACATTTTGTGAAAACTCATTTTTAATCATAAAATTGTATCAGAAGTGGGATGATCATTTTCAGAAAAATCTGTTTGTCATATGTTTGGTATACTTTTAAGGTAAACTTTGGAAAAAGTCTTTTTCGGAAACAAAACGATCCGAATTTACCTGCAAAGCATCAGCAGCATCTTGACACAGCAAACTAACATCAAATATATTTTATTATGGTGTTTATAAACAAACGGCATTGTTTACCTACTTGAGCCGCAACTCCTCTGTTGGATACTGGCGAACTCGTATCTTTTCACCTAATGCGTTTCTGCAGGCTGGGCCGGATTTGATATCGCAGTTTATTTTGGGACACTAATCTCTGATGTCTTTGCAAAGTTTGCTTACTTTGATTTATAACGGGTGGGCCATCTATCGGTTTCGATTTGAACCACGTGTTAATTTGACGCTGACAATACTTATGTCAATCTGATTTGTCATAAAATTCAGTATATTATCTCCGCTGAACGAAATGAATCGATTTACGCTTGAGCAACGTTGGGTAATATTGGAAATTTATTTCCAAAACAAAGACAATTGGGCAGAAATTGCACGAAAATGCCGTTCAAAATTCGGTCGCAACGAAGCACCAACAGCGCCCGGTATACGCAAGTTTATTAATAAAGTGCGTGAAACTGGTTTCATTGTTGATGCTCCAACACGTCAGCGTGCTCGTACAGTGCGTACACCCGAAGGTATCGATGCTGTGGCTGCGAGTGTGCGTGAAAATCCATCAACGTCAACACGTCATCGTTCCCAAGAATTGAACATTTCCCGCACCAGTTTACGACGAATTTTGCGGAAAGATCTCGGTATGACGCCTTACAAAGTTCAATTGGTTCAAGAGTTGAAGCCGCGTGACCATCCACTTCGTTCTGCCTTCGCTACATGGGCCAACGAGCAACTAATCAATGATGTCGATTTTGCGAAAAAAATAATCTTTTCAGACGAAGCTCATTTTCATATTGGTGGCTACGTCAATAAGCAAAATTGCCGTATCTGGGGCTCGGAAAACCCACACGAGGTCTTAGAGAAGCCAATGCATCCCTTGCGAGTGACTGTTTGGTGTGGATTGTGGAGCGGAGGCATCATTGGCCCATATTTCTTTGAAGACGGGGACGGCGCAACCGTTTCTGTCAATGGAAACACCTATCGCACCATGATAACTGATTTTTTTGTTCCTGCTCTTGATGGTATTGATGTGGAGAATGTTTGGTTTCAGCAGGATGGTGCAACTTGTCACACATCGCATGCCACAATCAACTTATTGCGCGAAACCTTCGATGGCCGTTTAATCAGTCGAAATGGTGATGTCAATTGGCCGCCAAGAAGCTGCGATTTGACACCATTGGACTATTTCCTGTGGGGCGTTGTTAAAGACAAGTGTTATGTCGACCATCCAGAGACAATTGACCATTTGAAGGCCAACATTCGTGATGCCATTGACGAGATACGGCCCCAAACACTCGAAAAAGTGCTCGAAAATTGGTCCGATCGAATGGGCTACTGTGAGGCCAGCCGCGGCAGCCATTTGAATGAAGTAATATTTCATTTCTGAGCGGAACAATTGTACTTCAAAACAAAAAAATAAATTTGGCAATATCTCAAACCGTTTTTGTTTTATTTTATTTTTAAATCGAAACTTTTAAATGGCCCACCCAATACATTGTGAACTCATCATAAATAACATTGTATCATAGTCTTAATTTATTTATTTCAGAAGTGGGATGAACATGTCCTTTTAAACTCAATTAATTTCTTCTGTTATATTCTTCTGTTATACAGTGGAGGGCAAAAAAAGTTTGTAAACATTTTTAGTAATTTTTAAAAAGTGCACTAATTTTTTATTCTTTATTATTAAGGATTTTTTTTCTCATATAGTTTGCTTACAGTCTTGAGGATACAGATGAAAATTTGTGTTTGCTGTGGTACTACAGACTAGCATTAAAATATCTTCATATTATTTTATGACCGAAAATCAGACGACAAAAGTATGGAAACATTTTTATTACAAAATTAAATACAATAACTCTACAAAAAGATTTCAAAAATATTGTTTAGCTAATATTTGGTAGCATAGCCTTTAGCATTCAATACTGCCTGACCTCTGCTCATAAAAGATAACCAATTTTTTACAGATGCTAAATATCTTACATAATCAAATAAATGGTTACTAAAAGTTTTTTTAGTCAGTTGTCTTTTAACATGCTCCCAGAGGTGTTCTATTTAGTTCCAGGGATTGCGAAGGCCTTGTAAGAACATTAAATGTTTTTTAGTCTTAACAAGTCCTTTACGAATTTTGAGGTATGCTTGTAGTCATTATCTTGCTGGAATGACCATCATAAAGGCATTTCTTCTTCAACAAAAGGGAGCATGTGTTCGTTAAGAATAAAGTTTTTGATCCATTTTCCCAACGATTCCTACAATTGGTCCCGTTCCAGAACTAGAAAAACGACCCCAAACCATGATGTTACCTCCACCGTGCTTAACTGTTGGCAGCTGATATTTTTTATCGAATCTTTTTCGTATTGGAAGTCTCACATATGCTGTACCGTCTGATCCAAACCAGTTAAATTTGCTTTCATCGATCCATAAAACTGTTATTCCATTGTTGTTCTGTCCAAGTTAGATGAGTTTCAGGAAATTCAAGCCGAGCAATACGATTTTTTTTAATCTGCACTGTTCTGACAGAAATATTATCGGCACCCTCTTCTACAATTCTTTTGAAAATCTGTTTGGCTGGCATTCGAGGATCTTTTTGGTCCAAACGTTTAATGTAGAGATCCAAAACATAATCGGTTTTTTCGGGCCGCGTTGCTGTTGATCCGTATTCTTGATATTTACTAATAATTTTTGAGACTGTTCATTCTTAATTTTTGAGAAATGTCAACATTTCTGACACCACTTCTAAATAATTCAATTACCTTGTCTCTTAAATCTTTTGAAAACTCTTTTATTTTTGCCATTCTTACTGATGTTAATATTTATCGCACGCAATATCAGAGTATCGCAGAACGAATAAATACGACAAAACTGAACTGTTTCCATACCTATGTCATTAAAAAACTGGTATTTAGGAAAAAACGCGTATTTTTATTTTCAGAGAATTTGAATATTGATTGAAACTTTTTATTAGTACCGGAGACAACGGTAGACTCTATTTATATTATCGGTTCCGTCACAATTTTAATTTAGGTATATGAAATACTTCATAATGTTAATATTTGTTTCCAAACTTTTGTCCGCTACTGTACGTTTTCTCAGAGGGTCTTAACTTGCGCTGAACATTGTTGTTTATGAATTATGACAGCGCTGAGTCAACCTACTTGACGCCATTTTTCTTTTGTTACAGGTCGAAGGTATCACTCAGCAAATCAGACGCGTTGGTTGGCCAGCGGTGTGCATGCACGGAGACAAGAGCCAACAGGAGCGTGATTACGTTTTGCGCGAGTTTCGTGCTGGAAAGTCGACGATTCTCGTTGCGACCGACGTCGCCGCTAGAGGGCTCGGTGAGTCGCGACTGTCATGTCGCGGAGTCGGTTAGACGACACTAGCGCCATCAGTGGGATCGTTTCCATAACAACGCGCAACGATTTTTGCCTTCTATTCAGTTGAGGGATTTGTTCCAGTTTATGCAATTTGAGTTGCATTTCGGTGATTGCGAGATTGATACGTTGGTTTCATCGCTGTGCTGGGTACATTTTTCTAACTTTGACGTTGTAGAATGCAAGCTTCTCGCGATCTTTGGAGGATTGATTTGAAAACTATAAATTGTTCTACATTAGGCATTCGGTTAGCAGGATTTTCTTTCACAGTGGTTTTAACATACATTCATATGGTAAATAACGAAAAACAGTTTGCCGCTAATGAAAAAACTGCAAAATTGAAATGTTCTAGATGGTTATAAGATTAATTTGGAAACGACCTCACATAGAAAATCGGTTTGCTCTGGAATATAGCCATGGTATATTGTGATCAAAAGGGTAAATGTGCTCTTTTTAGAGCATAGAAAGCTGTAGTAGCAAGTTTGTTTGGTTTTCAGACTGGTTTTGTAGTGAAAGATCAATATTTTTCTATCCCCATGATACAGTTTCTCTGAATAGTTTTACCATATATCCATTCATGACTTTCTCGAACATCATTTCATTTTTCACACTCGCATTATATGCAACTTTCATTCATATCCTTACACTTATTTCATCTTTATTTTTCCTTGATTCACGTTCACGCTCAAAAACCGTCGATAATCCTTCAATCTCCCATTATTTTTTTAAACGTTGTGAAATTGGAGATAGGGTGAAGAAATTTGGGGATTGTGTCAAAAGAAATGGGGTACACCTTGTAGTCTTGTGATTAACAAGACATTTAATTTTTGAATGGTATTTGTATTTTACAGATACCGCATGTTTTGAAATTTTAATCAGTCTGGGTGCCTTTTTTTCTGTTTCAGAGGTATGTGCAGGATGAAAAAATATGGAGAACTTTTTCATTGTTCCCTATATGATTCTAGGATACAAATTCTTGTGCTGCCTCTTAATAATAGAAATCAAAAAAATTAAAAAGGAAGATGTTTTTTGATTAGTTTTTCAGTCACAGTATTTAATCCATTTTTGCAATATTCAAATTATCTTCAAACATATTCTGAACTTAGCGATAAATGTGTAACTATAACTTTTATCAGATTGTCTTTCATTATTAGATAAAAAGTTGTTTTTTTTTTAATTGAATCATCGAAATTTTGGAGCACTTCCTTTGATACCTAAATGTTTGAGTAGACTTGTATTCTTATTGAGATAAGAGGTCCACTGAAGCACTGTAGGTGTACAGTTTGCTACTATTGTATAAATATTCTTAAACGTCACAACTTCATGGATTTTCCTTTGAAACTGGTTTGCAGGTAGATGGTAAGATTCATTTTTGAAAAAGCTTCAAGTGAAAATCTTAACAAATCACTAAAAAAGATTTTCATATTGTTCTCTAAAAGTTCAAACTGACAATAGATTCTCAAATATAAATATGGCAGCACTTGTGGTCTATATAATTTAAAAAATATATGAACATTAATTACTGAAAGCAAGTTATTAACATCAATAGCTCAAATTAACAAAAAAAAAATACTGAACTTTTAGAGTTAAGCTTAACAGAGAACAGGGATAACATGTTTTTTTGCTGAACAGATGTCGAAGGGATCAAATACGTAGTAAATTATGATTATCCCAATTCGTCTGAGGACTACATCCACAGAATTGGCAGAACTGGACGTTCTGATACAACTGGAACATCATATGCTTTCTTCACTCCTTCCAACTTTAAACAAGCAAAGGATCTCGTCTCAGTCCTGAACGAAAACAATCAGGTAAATACAAAAATACGATACTAACTTTAGATGTACAAGTTGTTTATGATTGAACCCTTTCAATTTGGCATGCCTGGGCTCAGTCACATCAGCCTTGCATGAGTGCTTTTGAAAGGGATATCAATTTTGGGTGATATGCCTTCGGTGTTCACACGTTTCTTGTCTGGATCCCATCCTCAAGTCACCCTACATGTGTTTTCTTTTTGAATACTTGGAAATATGGCAGCACAAAGCAGATACATTTTCAGTTCTGTCCTACAGCTGTTAGACACTGTCGTGGTCGATTTTGGTAATCACGTTTTTCATTGAGTCTGAAATTTAAAATTGAATACAACTAGTTGTGTGCGCCATATGATGGAAAGTTTAATTGCGTATTAAAGTACATGCAATACCAGTACGTTGTAAAAATTACATCATTCAAATGGCATCCGCGGCTCTGTTTACAGGACTTATGATCGCTGACTAATTTTTAACCACATTTTCTTAAACCGTTTTATTACAAGAATATATACCGCCAGTTTTATGCAATTTTTGGTAACCAAATGAACAATGAACCATAAGAATAAGTGACAACACTCTTAAGTTCCAAAAGAACTACCTTGTTAAATTTCCGAAAGCATGGAACAAGTACGTCAAACAAAATCATCACGCAAAGATTGACGTTTATTCCTTTCTTAACGGAAACACTATTTTGAATATTTGTGGTTTTTTTGTCGATATTTTACATGCATTTTGTTTTGTTGCAGGTCGTGAACCCGAAACTGGCCGAAATCGCGAGTAAGTTGGGCTTCAACAGGGGTGGTTCGAGGTTCGGTAACGGCGGCGGATTCCGCGGTCAGAAACCGTTCAACAAGTTCGGTGGGGGCGGATTCAAAAGTGGTGGCGGATTCCAAGCTAACAGCTACCAGCAGCAAGGTGGATTCAGCTCTGGTGAGATTATTTTTTATAACGTTTTTTGTTAGCAATTTTGTCCAAAAAAGTGCATGATTTGATATAAATGGTTAGAAGAATATGTTGATTCCGTTCTATTCATAGCATATTTTTAAAATCTTCGGGGTGTACATTTCTCAGTTCAGCATCTGCCAAATTTGTCTAACAGAGCTTCTTTTGTCTGTCCACATGACTTTCTCAGCCTTTTCGCTAGCATATCACTAAAATTGAACTCAAATTGCAAAACTTCCAACCAAGAGTTCTCTGTGGTTAGATCCAAGGAATAAACTGAATCGTGACCGTGTGAACCGTTAACAACCCTCACTTTCCATCGTTCACTCACGAGTCACGACAGAGAGATCGAAAGCGTGCCGCGCTGTCGTTCTTTGCTCCGTGAGAACGCGACTCTAGAAATCATGAAAGAAAACTGCAGATGATTGTATAACGTGCGAATCATTTGCGATTGAGATCGGCCTACTTTCAGTGTGTGCGAAACGGGATGATATATTTGTGAGCGCACTCTTTCTAACATACGTGTGTCGTACACATTGAAACCCGGACGACCTCAACCTTAGATGATTCGCACGGTATGGTCTAAGCTTAGTAATGAAAGCATTCTTTGGTAGCAATGTCGAATTTTGTTCCCGCTAGATGGCAGTATTGTGGTTGCAAGTCAAACTTAAAAGTAGATGGTAAACACAGATTTGATAGTTATTATTAGTAATTAACATTGTCTCGTTTGCAACCTTCGGGCCGTATCGTCAGTCGTACCTACAATTGTAGGACACTTTTATGGCCTCTCCTTGATTTTCATATCCTTTCTCTCCTTCATAAAGGTTGGGGTATTTCTTGGTTTCTACTTGTTCCGGGTCAGCGTCTCTCCTATAGTGAGGTTGTTTTCTTTTTGAGTCTTAAGCAATTTCAGGCTAATTAAAATCGTTTTATAAGCCTGAAATTGCTTGGAATTCAAAAAGAAAATATAATCTCCAAATAGAGTGCTTACAAGGAATAGTAGATCTACAAGTATCCCTCCTCCTTTCAGAATGAGAGGAAAAACTATGCAAAACAAGGAGGCGGTAATACCTTCAGCTTACCAGATTACCCTCATTCCGCAGTTGGCGAGTTTTTTTTTTTCAGTGTAAAATTTTTCGACACGACTGCATTGAGGCTTCATTTATAGCCTACTACCAAAACGGAAGAAATTAACAAAAAAAAAAACATCGTAAGCGTAAATGGGGGCGAGCGCTTTGACTTCGCCGGTACAAAGGCATGTAGCGCTAGCAGTGGCGTACGATTGTCTTCCGTTTTGGCACCCGATTACCTAATTATTTTTGAGAGTAAAAAAAAAGTTTCTAACCCATTTTTTTATTGTTTCAGGCTATTGAAGATCTGACATGATGATGTGGGTGAGTGTGTGGCGAATGAATGTGCGCGTGTTATAACTTACAGTATTTCCTTTTTGTATTTAAAATGTATTTGTAATAATACATGATTGTTTAAGTTGTCGAGACATCAATGTACCTAAATGTACGTTACTTTCAAATGTAGTAGAATACAATGTTTTCAAATTAATTTCACATGCAGTCTCACATGTAAACTGTGTAAATACAGATTTTATATCATTGACCTTGATATCAACTTTTTGGATTCCATCAAGCATAGGAAATTTTGTGTTTACAAAAACATTTAGATCTGGAGTTTAATTTTTTATAAAGATGAATTGATATATAAACTTACTTCAATCACATGCTTGTGACCTGTGATAGAAAATTGATTTATGTTCAATTTCACGTGATATTTAAATGTTTATTTTGTTCCTAAGTATTGGGAAGATATGAAATCTGTTCATTGACACTGAATAGTTCAATACAGTCCTAATAAAGCAAACTTGTGTTTTTATTGTACCCTATATCCTATCCTACAATGGGTCCTAAGCTAGGAGCAGCATATAAAAAAAAATAGGAATTCTAGGGATGTTGAAAAATAATCGATTAATTTTTCCTGATCTGTTTTTATTAATCGATTTTTAATAAATCGATTATACAGGGTGTCCCAGAAGTCGACGTCAAGCCGAAACCGGGTGATAGGCAAAGTCATAAAAGCTATCAGAAAAATATTTAAAAAAATTTTATGTATGTGTTTTGAAAATTATAGGTCTTTGAAAAAGATATAGAAATTTCACACCCTACGGCAGTCTGTCAACTCCTGTTACTACAAATATTAACTTTTTTTGGATTTTATTTTTACAATGTAATGATGAATAATGCATCTTCAAACTGGTGTCTCAACCTTACTGCCAACTTTTCTCGTTCAGGAAAAATTGCCACTTATTTCCCAACCAAGTATTCCAAAGTAAAACTGCTCAACTTTAACTGGCTGTACTGGGAAAAAATGTATTACGAGAGTTTGGCAAGTAACCTTAAAAGTTGGCGCATTTAATAAGGATTCCAAAATGGTATAACACTTAGAAGATTACTCGTTAACTTATGCACAATTTTTATTTGAAGAAAAACTGATGAAAATTTTTCAAAATTTCCTAATTAAACAGCGATTATGAAAACGCACAGGGACCCTTAAGGATAACTGTTTGCACAACAGTGGACGTCAAAATGCTGCTGATGATGATTTACCTTTACAGCAAATGCTCAAACTGTTTTCCTTCAGCCGCAATACACGCTCGACATCTTAAAAAAGATCGGGTTATTAAACGAGCGAATCCACGGTTATTAACAAACTCGGCTGCTTCCAATAGTCTTTGCCGTAGCTCAGCTACATTTTGAATCGGCTTGAAATATACTTTTTCTTTTACAGTTCCCCAGTAAAAAAAATCTAACGGATTCAAATCTGGTGACCGGGCTGGCCACGCTATTGTACCAGACCGCCCTATCCATCTGCCTGGAAAGTTTTGATCGAGATACTCTCTCACTGAGAGTGCATTGTGCGCTTGGCAGCCATCATGCTGAAACCACATGTCCCTGTAAATACTCGGTGGCACGTCCTCCAATAAATTTTCTAAATGATTTTGCAAAAAACCTAAATAAACCTCGGCAGAGACTCTGGGAACTCAAACGGACCGATTATTTTACCATTTAAAATTCCTGTCCAATGGTTTATCTTGAAGCGATATTGAGATTTATCTTCTCTCATCAAATGTGGGTTTGCTACGTGCCACTCGTGTAAGTTATGCAGGTTTATGTACCCATCTTTCTTAAATGTGGTCTCATCTGACCATAAAATTTTTTCAAAGAACCGTGGATCTTCCCTGTGTCTTTCTAACATTGTGCGACAAAAAGCAACCCGGGGCTCATAATCCCGGGGCACGCTGTACGTGGTATGGATGGAGCACGTTTTTTTTGCAAGATTCTATGGGCTGTACTTTTGGGCACACCTGTTTTTCGTTCTATTGCACGCACTGAAGTACTCTGGTCTTCTTCGACAGCTCCTAGCACCACGTCTTCGTAAGGAAGGAAAGATCTTCCCTCACCGTGTGATTGGTTTGGTAGTTGGCCCTCTGAGAACAGTAAGCGGTGCACATTTGTGAACACTCGATGATCTGGATGACGAGCTGCATTCGGGTACCTCTCACAGTGAAGTCTCGCTGCAGCACTAGCGTTGTATCTGCATTCCCCATAAATGTGGTGCATGTTAGCATATTCTTGTACGGTGTACACGGTCATAGCGGCACTGCACAATCACACTATCAAAGATAGTTTAAGGAAAGCAAATGTTGTTTTGAAGAGCAATTAAACAGTCCAAATCCAAATCACAAGCGATCAACAGTCCAGTTCACGAATCCAAAATTAGTAACAGTACGAAATCAACAAGCACGAACATGTAAAGATGCGCAGTAAACGAAGGAGTACTGATCGGTATCAAAGTGTGCAATAGCAAGTATAATCGCTGTTTAATTAGGAAATTTTGAAAAATATTCATCAGTTTTTTTCAAATAAAAATTGTGCATAAGTTAACGAGTAATCTTCTAAGTGTTATACCATTTTGGAATCGTTATTAAATGCGCCAACTTTTAAGGTTACTTGCCAAACTCTCGTAGTACATTTTTTTCCAGTACAGCCAGTTAAAGTTGAGCAAAGTTTTACTTTGGAATACTTGGTTGGGAAATAAGTGGCAATTTTTCCTGAACGAGAAAAGTTGGCAGTAATGGCTCGTTTACACAGTGCGAGCTAGCGTACGAGTCAGCCTGCCGAGTAGCTGCAGTGCAATAATTCGCATAAATACGGACGTACCTACGAGTAACTCGTACGTGCGAGTTGGACAGTAGCTCGCATCCGAGTTACTTCAACAATTTTTGTTTTCACTCGCCTACTGGCCCGACAGCAACGCGCATATAGCAACAGCTCGGACGTCATTCGCAGCGTACGGATATGTTCGGCAGTAGCTCGCCAGTGTCAGCCCGCAATTACGAAGCAGAAGCTGCATTTTATGTGTGCTGCGCCAAAAGCGTTTACCCAATTCAAAATGGGCTCAGAAAGGTGGTCTTCTGAGAATAATATCACATTCATGAATCTCTACAGAGAACAAGAAAACCTATGGAATTGTTTTGATAAAAATTATAAAAATAGAGATATGAGAAAAGCATCTTTGGAATACATTGCAAACGAAATGAGTCTAGTTAACACCAGTCAGGTAACTAAGAAAATAAAAAAATTACGATCTACCTATAACTAAGAACGCGCGAAAAACGAAAAAAGTAAAAAGAGTGGATCTAGGTCGGAAGATGTTTACAAGTCTTCCTTAAAATGGTTCGATATAATGGATTATATAATGAAAACAATTAATTTGAAAGAAAAGGAAACAACAAGCAATCTGGTGAGTACCTCATATTTTATTCAACTGAGATAGTTCATTACATTTAATTATTATTAATCATATAATTTTGCCAGGTGACAGCACCCTCATTACAAAAAAAATGTATTTTTCTCTCAATTTTTCAGCTGCGATCTTTGATCTGTTATTGATCCGCGAACAGGCGATACTTGGTAACGCATTTATTTCTGATCTCCACGTTCCTAGGTTCGTAGTGAAATTTAGAATATCTTCATAATCTATGCTACCAGGTGGTGTGTAGGTGTGAAGTGAAGATTTGCGCAACCAGTTGCGCAGTACACATGTAGTTCGAATCATTTTTATTGAGGTTTCCTCTTGCAACTGGATAGGTTTTGCCAAAACACGGAATCGATATACTAAAATACCAAATGCGTCTTGCCCTAGTGAATCTGTAATTGTAAATTTTTTCGGCAATCGTGGGCTCATTGGGATATCGCTTCAATAAGTATGTCTTAAGAGGGAAAGCATCATCTCCCACTAGGAATCCACCTTTTGGCAGTAATGACCCATTTTCCAACACTGGATACAATGAGGAAGCTTGGAAAACACCACCGTCGGAATTTCGCACATATTTAAAACAGTAGTCATGATCCACGACTGCTAAGAGCACCAAGCTGTTTGTTCCTTTATAATTTATTATAGTATTCACTACCACAATTGCGAGGAGCTTGAATTACCACATGTTTGCCGTTGATGGCTCCACAACATCCTGGAAAATTCCACCTGTGCTGAAATCCTACTTGTATGTCTTCCCATTCCCTTTTGCCTGGTACCTGAAAAAATATTAATTTAGTATTTTCATTTCAGCCTAACGATACACCGTCGGGGTCCAAAATTTTGGAAGATGATGTTAGTCGGGACATTGATGATAAAACTGATAATAAATCAATCGAATCCAGCGACACCTCGTTGATCAAAAATAAAAATCCAGTTCAAGTTAAAAATAAATTAAAGCATAACATTACCCAAGAAACGAGTGGAATTGCAGCAGTTATTAATGAGCTTAAACAACTGAATAGTACTATACAAACTTCTAGTTGTTCTCAGCAATGTGATGAGTACGATGTTATTGGAAAACATGTCGCTATTCAACTGAGACAGCTCCCATTACTCGATTTTATAGACGCCAAAGATGAAATCCAACAAGTACTTTCCCGATACCGAAAAAAGCTATATATGCCAGAAACATCTGCGTTTTCCTCATACAATACATCGTCGCCAACGTCCTACATATCGCTGACATCACCAGGATCCAGTGTACCAAGTGATTAATTCCCAGGACCTGTCCCAATATCTGCTCGGCCCGCAGAAACAGTTTCTCGGCAGCCAGTTCAAACAGTTGTTGGACAACCATCAAATGCATCATACGAGGCTATCCACTTTAGTGATCCACTAGTCAGAGCAATGATAGATGCTAATATGAACAATATGCAATAACTTTTATCCTCTGTGTTACTTTTGTGTTAATTTTGTATGACATGGTTTGTCTTTAATAAATGAATGAATTTATGTATGATCCACACATGTGTCATTGAATAAGATAACTGAACCTTTGAAGTATCAACTCATGAAGCATTTGCCACATTTCTACTTACCTGCAAATATTCGTCCAAAGCTTCATACATAACGTCACGAACTTCTGGTATAAATTTTGATATGGAGGATTTTGAAATCCTGAATAATATTGCTAACAGCCTGTATGATATTCCTGAGCTTAGAAAACACAGGGTTACTTCTAACTTTACCCTTGCTGGTATGGCATCTCACATAAAAGTATCTTGACTCTCTATTTACATTTTTATTAAATTTAAAAGTTTGTTAACTTGTTCGGGTGTCACTCTCAGCACTGCTTTATATTCTCGGGGGTCTTCATGATAAAGCTCCTTGAAAATCGCACATGTTGCCCCTATAGATCGTCTTGCCATCCAATCTCTAATCCAAACCTTTTTCTTCCTCTCCTTTTTTTGAAGTTTTTTGTAGGATTTTTCACATAATATTACTGTCATAGACCTTATCACCGTTTTTTTAATCACAGCAAGTTGACTCGACATCGCGACAACTCGGAATATCCTGGGCAGCTACTATCATTGTGGAAACAACTAAGGCGAGTCGAGCTACTGGCATACGAGTAGACCATCCGGGTAGCTGTCTACTGTCTAGTCAGCAGCTCGCACTGTATAAACGAGCCATAAGGTTGAGATACCAGTTTGAAGATGCATTATTCATCATTACATTGTAAAAATAAAATCCAAAAAAAGTTAATATTTGTAGTAACAGGAGTTGACAGACTGCCGTAGGGTGTGAAATTTCTATATCTTTTTCAAAGACCTATAATTTTCAAAACACATACATAAAATTTTTTTAAATATTTTTCTGATAGCTGTTATGACTTTGCCTATCACCCGGTTTCGGCTTGACGTCGACTTCTGGGACACCCTGTATAAATTACTAATATTATAAATGAGATTTTTGTAAACAGCGTCATCTGTATGAAACACTCAAGAAAGCACAAAACCCTATTTCAGGAAAAATATTTCAAAAATCATTTTTAAACTCGTTACCTGAAAATTGCAAATTCTTTTTATTTCAATTTATGTAGTTTATTTTTTATTTGTTGTTCTCGTTTTTTTTTTAGTTTTGAAACAATGTTTTGGTTATTTTCATAATTTTTTTTTTCGGGAGAATTGTTGATGTCCATCTCGATTTTATTACTGCTAGATAGAAAAACATGCAGTTCGTCAAATGATAGAAAAATGTATTTTTCCAGGAAAAGCGATTTTTCCTTCCAACATCGATATTTCGAAAACGCTTTTCCATTATCGATTTTTTTTAACTATGACATTCCTAGGAATTCTACGTACCGAAAATATATTTTAAAATTCTGAAAGTTCAGATTTATACCTCGAGACATTGAGGTGGTTGGTTATGCTCAAAAAAATAGCAAAATGCTCATTAACCTATACAGGGAAAACCACATTTGTCTGGCGGCTTAAGCTCAATGTGTATGGGAGAGGTCTGGATCAACACATGTTGGAAAGAGATTGAAGTCATCACATCGCTTAGCAATGGTGGAGGTGGAAACCTTGCCTTAGAATGTAGTAGATGCGGTGTCGCCAAGCCAACTAATGATGCAATGTCGCAGAGTTTGTGGCGATAATAACCTTTCATTGCGACCTAAAATGGAGCGCGATTAGGACCGAACCTATATAGACTCGGAAAAAAATACGGTCAAAAAAACACGCATCTTAACTCGAGGAACTGGTGTAATATTTTGCCGCGTCAGCGTTGCTAGGCAACGGGGTGATGAGCTTCGCTATCCAACCGGCTTCTATCTCTCTAACATTGCTGCTTCTCAAGAATAGCGACACTATAAAAAGAAAACGACACAAATTAGTTAAAATTGCAGATCCACTCGAAATGTGACTATTTTATCAGGAATAAAGACATTTGCAATTTTTTAAAAGGGAGATGATGCTAGTCGTTGTTCGTTAATATTGAATGTTTTGGGAGTTCTGTCATGGATGTCATATTGCAGTTGCGGCTTGACTTTTAAAGTGTATACTTACATTTTTCTCAATACTAACGTCATATTAGAGCAAAGTACGCTAATAACCGATCGTGCTTTAATCAGAATAGTGACAAAGTGCATTGAGACTACCTTCATATGGGGTTGTCCAAAAAGGACGCAGGAAAGTTATCGCATATTAAAACAATAAAGATTGATATTCAAATCAAGTTGGGTACTTTATTTGGAAGGTTCATTTATACCATTTATGTATGAAAAATAATATCGCTCAAATGTTCACCACGACTGGATTTACAGACGTCGACGCGATGGTCGAAATTTTCAATGACATTTTGCAACATGTTCGGTTCTATGGCATTTATCTCGGCAATGATGTTGTTTTTGAGTTCTTGGAGGGTGGCTGGTTTGTTGACGTAGACTTTGCTTTTCAAATATCCCCATAAAAAGAAGTCCAAGGGAGTCAAATCGCACGATCCTGGTGGCCATGGCACATTTCATGATACTACTATGTATACCTGAAATTGATGTGTACTTAACGCATATCATAAACTGCTGTTTAGAGAGGGGATATTTCCCCAATCAGTGGAAACGCGCTATAGTTATTCCGCTACCTAAGTGTTCTGATGCTACTAACTATGGTCAACTGAGACCGATCAGTCTACTGCCAATTTTTTCTAAAGTATTGGAACGCGTTGTTTACGAGCTGCTCTGCGCCTACTTATATTCTTACAAAATTATTCCATCTAAACAATCTGGATTTCGACAAGGTCATAATACAGCTTCGGCACTCTGTGATTTAACAGACAATATAACAATGGCACTTGATAACCAAAAAGCAGTAGCTCTCATACTTGTTGACTTTACTAAAGCATTTGACACCATTAATCACTCACTTCTTGTATCTAAATGCAGTTACTATGGATTTTCTGAAACACCTCTTTCGTTTATTCAAACCTACCTTGAAAATCGGTATCAAAAAGTCCGTCTAAATCAACAGTACTGTACGGAACAAAAAATTTGTTCTGGTGTACCACAGGGATCAGTCTTAGGACCGCTATTATTTTCATTATATATCTCAGATTTAGAAACAGGTAAAATCATGCAGCATACAATTTTTTGCAGATGATACTCAAATTTTCTATTCATTTAGGAGTAATGACTTGGAAACGGCAAATAATAAAATTAATCAAGATCTTGCCCAAATTGAAAAGTTCAATAGTAGTCATCTTCGTTTGAACCCTTTGAAGACAAATATGTTGGTATACGCAAATAGAACAAAAAAGAATACCTTAAAAAAGGGCATAGACATACATTTAAAAGGTAATAAATTAATTCCTGTGGATCTTTCGAAAAACCTAGGTATTATAATGGATGATGACTTAAAATTTGTTGCACACGTGAACTATCTAATTACTCAGTGCTACGCTATTCTCAGAGTTTTATTTGCAAATAAGGCTATATTACATAAATCTGCGAGAAAACAATTGTGTGAATATTTCGTATTTTCAAAGATATCGTTTTGCTTAGTGGTTTACCATCCCTATTTAGATATTATAACAAGAAATCGTATTGAAAGTATTATGAATACATGTTGCAGGCTTGTAAATGATCTCAGAAAATATGATCATATATCGAATGCCATTAATGAACTCAAATGGATGAAAATTGATAAAATGTATAAGTACCAGCTCCTAAATTTGACTCATAAGGTTCTTTATTCAAAAACACCGTCATATTTAGTAAACAAATTCATACGTAGAGGTAATATGCATCGTATTAATATTAGATATAGAGAGACTTTTTCAATTCCACGCCACAGCACGTCTCTATTTCAGAATACATACATTTACAATGCGTTCAAATCATATAATTCTTTAGACCACAGTTTAAATGAAACCAATCCATTATCCAAATTCAAGAAAAAAGTAAAAGTTCTTCTTGATCAGCAGCGAAATCGGTTGTAACCCATAAGAGAACGTTCGGCGCTCTTGCGTCAATTGGATCTTGTAGGCGTGTACATTCAAATCCTTGTGGAGAATGCGGAGCAAACTGGTTCTCGAAATGCCCAATTCTTGGGATCGACGCGTTGTTGATTGTTTCGGATCGTCTCTCACACTCTCCTTCACAACAGCAATATTTTCCGGTGTGCGAACGCTCCTTGGCCGGCCAGAGCCTGGCAGATTTGCCACAGAACCTGTTGCCTCCAATTTACGCACCAGACGACCGATGGTTGTTTCGTTTGGGCGGTTGTTGCGACCGAAATGTTCACGAAGCGCGCGAAACGTGTTTTTTATTTTTGCACCATTTTTGTAGTGCTCTTGAATAACTTTAATGTGGTCTTCAATCGAATACGACTCCATAGCGATCAATGGTAAACATTCAACTAACAAAATGACATGTCGGTGACAGAAAACAAAGATGGCGTCTATGTCAAATTGACGTTTACTTTCCTGCGTCACTATTGGACAACCCTTTACAATATGAAAATTCGGAAAACGAGTCATTCAAACTACCCGATGTTAAAATAATAAGGGTAACTCGAGCCGTCAGACAAATTTGGTCTTCAGTGTATGCGTAAACTAGCGTATAGAGTAAACAAATATGTGATACCTAGAAACAGAAATTTGACCTTTATAAGAATAATCGCAAAACTTCAATACCTGTAACTGTCTAATTTGGAAATGTTCATTGTTAGACTATGTTACATAATCGAAATTGTCAATAACTCTATAAGGAAAAATATCAAAAGCATTTTAGTTATCTATCCATATTTATACAACGAATTAAATATGGAATGATACAAAACAAACATTTCATCGTTAAGTTCAGCTCGCACAAACATGATTATACACATATCTTTTTGCGTAGCATTTACGAGGGTGGTCCGGTAAGTACTTAGCCTACAAATGAAAAACGAAAGTTTTGGAAAAGTGGCGATTTATTTCTCAACATGGTCTATTTTTATACATTGAACCCAGTGACCCTGCAACTTCTTTAACTAGTCTGAAAAATACGTATTTTTGAGGTTTGCAAGGTAAGCCTCTATGGTTTAGATAACCTCGTCAAATTTCTTCGTTTCCTCAGGTTACACCCGTATCCGGATGTGTGGGCTTGTGTATCTACTTTTCGAAGTTGGATATGTGCATTCATTGCGGGCCTGATGAAGCCAACCAGCAGAAATACGTATCGCTCGGGTTACTTATCCTATTTTCTGCTCGAATCCACTCTCCTCCTTTTTGGCAGATTTTTCCCATTATTTTCCTACTTTTTGTTATATACCTTCTTCCGCACGATCATTTTCTTTATATATATACAGGGTGACTTCGAAGTTGAGTCATTTATTTTAACAGTGAGTAGATCTGATCAAAAGAAATGTTTTTTCCTTTACCATTTTTCTGGTAAAATTAAAGTAACAAAGTTATAGCCCTTTGGAAGTTTGAGTACCGCCTTATCGGTTCATCGCATCGGAAACAAAAAAGCGAAAGAATTTGGAACGATGTTTTTACAATTATTTTATTCAGTTGTATACAGTCAGTGTCAGTCGGTAACGCGTGAGTGAATAGTGGTGTCTGTTGCGTGGCTCAAACGAAATCAAAAATGGCACATGTTTACGAAAATGCTGAACTTGTGGACATGATTCTTATTTACGCGGCATCACGGATTTATGCGGATCGGTTTCCCAATCGAGTGCAACCAACCCCTCGTGCCTTTGTTAATGTAGTACAACGGGCTCGTGAATCAGGTGACTTAAGACCTGACAGGGGAGTTCATGCCGGTGCTCCAAGACCGCACGATCAAATACAGGTCCGCACTGAAATACTGGAGGATACTTTATCAAACAAGGTAACATTTTTTTTTTAATTTTTTTTTTATTTTTACACATATTTTTGTTTATCTTCCTTCTACAATCATTATCTGAAAATTAATGACTCAACTTCAAAGTATAGAGTTAAAAAATATGGTTTTTACAAATTTCACGTGATACCTAGAAACAGAAATTTGACCTTTATAAGAATGATCGCAAAACTTCAATACCTGTAACTGTCTAATTTGGAAATGTTTATTGTTAGACTATGTTACATAATCGAAATTGTCAATAACTCTATAAGGAAAAATATCAAAATCATTTTAGTTATCTATCCATATTTATACAACGAATTAAATATGGAATGATACAAAACAAACATTTCATCGTTAAGTTTAGCTCGCACAAACATGATTATACACATATCTTCTTGCGTACCATTTAAGAGGGTGGTCCGGTAAGTACTTAGCCTACAAAAGAAAAACGAAAGTTTTGGAAAAGTGGCGATTTATTTCTCAACATAGTCTACTTTTATACATTGAACCCAGCGACCCTGCAACTTCGTTAACTAGTCTGAAAAATACGTATTTTTGAGGTCTGCAAGATGGATACTCGTTAAATAGAGTCTAAGGTGCTAGCCAAAATTATTTTTCCAATTATATGGCCATGTGTTAGAAAGAGTGCGCCATATAAGTGTTGTCAACACGTTGCTCGGCAACGAGGTGGATAAATTAAACCGCCTAACCTCGCTCTCTAGTACATAGGAGAATCTAAAATGGAAAATGGCCAGTATGTAGAAAAATAGCTTAAAGATCAACGTTTCCAATGGTGAAATTGTTTTATCAAATAAAAAATTACTGGTGCCTCAAAAAAATGTGTAAAATATTTTTGGAACAACCCTCGTAGGTGAACTCGACCTCAGTCCGTTGGCGACTCTGCTCAAACGGGCGTGGAAAATTCCAAGAGGATAAAAACATATAAACCAACCTTGGCACTGCGTTGGGGTGCAGCGGGGGCAGGGATGATTTCCATGACACGTGTGACAGCTGTAGAATCAGCATATCCAAAAGATGACAAATTCAGCGTGGGTTTTTGCCAATTTGTCGTCAATTTTGCGTACTTTTCGAGCGGATCTTGTTTTGTGTTACTCGGTAAACTATAATAAACACGTCCGTTATCAACTTCGATTTGAATCCGTGATATAATAAATAAACATATTATGTGAACTTGGCCTCAGTGCGTTACCGACTGCACAAACGCGCGTGGAAATTTCCAAGAGAATAAAAAAATACAAATCAGCCATGGCACTGCGTTGGGGTGTTGCCGGCGCGGGGAGGATATCCCACGACTTTGTGACAGCCGTACAATCAGCATATCCCAAAGATCACAAATTCACAGCAGTCGCAGCAAGGTCACAAGAAAGTGCCAGCAAGTTCGCTGAGGAACATGATATACCAAAGGGATACGAGGGGTACGCGAAATTAGCTTCCGATCCTGAAGTAGGTAGGTAAATCGATAGTTTCTAACCGAAATTTTCATTTTTAAAACTTTTCACTTCCTACATCACAGGCGAGGAAGTACTGTAGTGGCGGAAAATTTCGAAAATGAGATTATGTTTTGAGAGGGTGCTACAAGTTATCGTTGAATGAAAACAACTCGATACCAGACTAAACTCGAAATTCTAGGCTGTTCCATAGTCACACTACATATGGCACAGTGCTCTGGGTAAATTCAGTAGCATCTATTAAAATCTTCATTTCACAAAAAACGGCTTTGAGGATAATTGGAAATTCCAGTTATGGATCATTTCAAAAATTTGCAAATATTACCACTTCCATCAATTTATATTTTAGAAGCCCTATGTTATGTGCACATAAATATAAACAGTCATCAAACTTCTACAGAATTACACAGGTAAGACTATACTTTAGCGCATATCGCATATATACTAAGTGACATATAAATCCGAACACCCAGTTTAAATGGTTTTATTTTAAAAAAATTTTGTATAAGTACTTAATGAAGCATAATAAGTGAATGATAAAAATTTCAAAATGATTGCACTGCTTTAAAGCCCTTTGACCTTTAATAATGTGTGGATGCACCCTGATGTGCTACGCATTCTCCAACGCGCCTAGGCATGCTTCTGATCAGGTGGCCAATGTCCTCCTGTGGTATCTCATTCCAGGCAACCACCAACTCCTCTCGAAGTGCTTCTAGAGTCTGAGGAGGACGTTGCAAATTGAGCAATCTCCTACCCATCATATCCCACACGTGCTCAATTGGAGATGAGTCGGGAGATCTTGGTGGCCATGGTAACAATGTGACATCATTATGTTGAAAGAAGTCTATTGTGACTCTTGCAACATGTGGTCGGGCATCATCTTGTTGGAAAGTTGGATCTGCCAGGGTGTCAAGATAGGGTAAAAGATGGGGTTCTAGAACTTCGTGGATATAACGCTGCGCGTTCATGTTACCTCTGATGAAGATTAAAAGTGACCTGGAACCATAAGCTATAGCACCCCAAACCATAACTCCAACAGTGTGATGAACATGTCTTTCAACAAAAAACTGTGGATTCCTCCTTTCACCACGTCGAATTCTAACCCTGGCACGACCATCGTGCATGCCTAAACAAAATCGAGACTCGTCACTAAGGACAATACTGGTCCATTCCTGATCCCAGAGTGACCGTTGTCTGCACCACTCAAGGCGATTACGTCGGTGTTAAAGGGAGGACCCAGTGTGGCCGGTATGAAAACAAGCCAAAACTTCTCATTCGTCGGTAAACACTTCGCATGCCAATAGGTCTTCCGTGTTCTGCAAACCATTCATTTGCAATGGACCTGGTAGTGGAGAAACGGTCCCTTAAGGCCAATAATCTTAGGCGGCGATCTTCACGGTCTGTTGATCTACGGCGGCGTCCAGTGTCCCTTGCTCTTTGCGTACGGCCTTCTCGAAGCCATGCCTGACAACACCTAACCACAGTGTCTACACTTCTTTGCACTCTAACTGCAATTGCCTGAAAAGAAAGTCCAGCTTCCCGAGGTCCCACTATACGGCCCCTATCAAACTCACTAAATTGACGAAATCGTACAGGTCTCCGTACTCTAGGCATCGTAACCGATCGTAAAGGATGTCAAGAACCAAAATCCGCCAACGTTGATTCTTTACTGCGGCTGAAATATTCATTTTTAGAGCGTTAGTGAATTCAAAAAAGCAGTATAAAAACCGGAATGTAAAACTGATAAGGCTGAACATTTTTTCACTTGTTATTTACAGTAAGATAAATACATTCACCAACTTTTATTCACTTCACTTAGTATACTTCATTTCTTACTTTAAAATGACAGATAAGGATGTAACTTGCACGAAAATATAATTTTTTCTTTAAGGAACCCTCTGCGTGCTATTTTATAGAACTTCACAGTTGCATTTTTGGTGGTAATACTCTAGAATAGAATACTGTTTTATACGCTTTTTTTGGCTTTTTGCATAAAATTATAAGAATATAACACACACTCTATTGTACTAAGGAAAATCGATGAGAAACTGTAAAAAATCGTTTTTTGCAAAAAAGGTTCAAAATCAGCCGTGTCATTACACATTAGCCTATTAGCTAAAATAACAGTTCAAAATAAATAATGGTATTTTCCTTAACCATTTTTTTTTCGCGTATTTTCAATGAGATCAAAGTTTTTGCGTTTATAAGAAATATTTGAAAGTACAAACAATTCTGAATGGCCATTTTATAACGTTCATTTCTTGACAGATAAGATAAATTATGTCCATTGTTGCCAAGTTGTACCCTTTTTGGGAGAAACGTGATAAAAAATGAGGTTATTTGCATTTTGCTTGCTTGTTTAATCAGAAGTTGACCCAAAATTTACCGAAAACTAGATCAAATTTTGAACAGTATGTGTCTAAACAGTGGTAAATGCACCAGCGGCTCGCGTTACAGAAAATACAAAAGGCACCAGTGGTCATTGCATATAAAAAAATCCAACTTCGATTCGTCGATTTGGACCACCTCGCTAGGTCCACCCAACATATCATCGCCCAACATTATAGTTAAATAAAGATCAACGATCATTTCATCAAATCATCAAAAAACTTGCAATGTTCTTTGTTATGTTTTCATTGTTTAGTGATTGACAACAGCTACTTTTTCAGTTATTTCTCATATATGTCACATTTAATTAGGTATATTTTGTGACATCAGCTTCACTTTAAATAATTCTTCAAATACATATATACAAAAAGTAAATATATTATAAATGTAATATAGGGAAAACAATAACCGAAGTACTTTTGTGGAGGGCATAAGACATACTTCAAAAAAGTGTCTTTAGCTAACGCTATCGTAGAGGGCACGAGGTGGATTTAGTACAGTAAAAACTGCCGGCCAAACCTCCAAATCGCATTTTCATGACAATCCTGTGCCGATTGCACATTTTTGCGCTAGTATATAAGTAAGAATTTGACAAACCAAATTAGGGTATATAACTGTCCATGATTTGGCAACATAGCAACTAGATGGAGAGAGTAGGATAGTGATGGTGGTGTAGTGATGGGAATATTTATCTGAAATAAAAGAAATTACTTCTTATCAACGAACTATTTTCATCATCCCAATAATGCAAAATTGTGACACAGTAATTTACATTGTATGTTATATTCATATAATTTTGAGCGATCTTTTGTGTAAACAAGAAAAAAACAGCTTATAAAGCAGTATTCTATACCACAGTATTACCACACAAAATGCAACTTTGAAATTCTATAAAATAGCAAGCAGAGGGTTCCTTAAAGAAAAAATGTCATTTTCGTGCAAGTTACATCCTAATCCTTCATTTTAAAATAAGAAATGTAATATTTGCGATATGCTAAAGTATAGTTCAGCCCCCAAGCTCCCCGTAATGTTAATTACCTAAGGAATCCGTACTCGTGATCGAATATGACAAAAATAACAGACCAGCGTTAAATTATACAGGGTGTCCGCAAAGTTGGGGTTTTCCTTTTCAGAAACAACTACCCTTGAAATAACAAAGGTAATGTGTACTGAAACGAGGGCGACCAAGTAAAAAAAAATAAAGGAAAAAGTACTCACTCTCCAGTTGACGAGAAGGGCTAAGTACGTCTCTGCCCGAAATCATACCGCTCCAACAGAAAATGAAATCAGCTGATGCGCTACCGAGCAGACGTCGGCGGTGGTGCAGACCACGAACAGAGGTAACAAATATGACGGCGTTGCCGCGTTTTCAGTTTTTAGGTAAACGTACTTTATAGGTATTGTTCGAAGTTATCGCCGTTTGATTCAAAAACACAGGTGCGTGCACGACGTAGCCAAGCATCGGTGCAGGCTTTGGGAATGGAGTCCCTCCCCCGAGTGAAAGCATTAGCTTGTTCAATTCTGAGACGAAGTTCGTCAACCGTATGCACAGTTTTGTACACTAAGCGTTTCATTTCTCCCCAAAGAAAAAAATCACATGGTGTTAAGTCTGGAGATCGCGGAGGCCACGCTACGGGTCCATTACGTCCGATCCACCTATTCGGAAATAATTCATTCAAATACTCACGCACGCGTCTAAAATGGGGCGGTGCACCATCGTGAAGAAACCACATTGATTGTCTTACACTTAATGGCACATCTTCTAACAAGGAAGGCAAAATGTTGCGTAAAAAGTCTAGGTATTGCAACCCGTCCAATCGATTTGGGAGAATAAATGGTCCAATGAGCATACCGTTCACCATGCCAGCCCAAACATTCACCGAGAATGTTTCTTGAAAATGTGCCCGACGGACAGCGTGCGGATTTTCTACTGACCAAACATGAGTGTTGCGAAAGTTATTCACCCCATTACGCGTGAACGTAGATTCGTCTGTCACCAATATGCACTTCAAAAAGTCCGGATTATTGTCATGTTGATGCAACAACCACTCTGAAAACCGCACTCTTGTTGGAAAATCGTCAGGTTGAAGGGTTTGTACACGTTGGACGTGAAACGGATACAGCCCCTCTTCACGCAGCGTTTGCCACACTTGAGTTTTTGATACTTGCACGTCTCTAGCCACGTCTCTAGTGCTTGTTGCGGGATTTTCGTCTACGCGATTACCTCTACACGCGTGACCGTAACCGTCGGTTGAAGGTTGCATACTGACCTGACACACTGACCCCGACCCAGTTCTGTCGTCGGGTTGAGAACTTGTAACAGTCGGGGATATCGCGGCGGGTCGCGGCTACAGGACGGTATTCAGATATTTTTGATGTTGCAGAGCCCTTTATCTCGGTTCCCTTAAGACATTGGTGTATATAGTACTAAGAAAAATTGCTTATGTTTTCGAGATCTACACGTCGTGTAAAGGAAAACCCCAACTTTGCGGACACCCTGTATAATTTATTCGTCAATGCAAATAAAGAACAAAATTTCGAAAATATGTCTAACAGCTGTTTCTTGCTTAACCACCGCTTCTATTCAGTTCATGAGTACGTTGATGCTATGACTTCACTCGGATAGATAATAAATTAGTTTGTAGACCTCACATACAAGTACATAACGTGGTCAATAAATTAATGGCACGGTAAAATGGGATTTGTATTTTGGGCACTTTCCTTTATTACGTGGCGAGTAAACCCCGAACGGAGAAGTCCTAAGTCAATTTACTCGACCGAGGTTTTTAATCCAGACATCGTATACGTGGGCAACCTGAACACGCAGCACTTCTCCACGTGCAAACTAATGTTGGAGCATGGCAAGCACGTCCTATGCGAGAAACCGTTCACTCTAAACGAAAAGCAAACAAGGAGGTTGATAGAGATCGCCAGGTCCAAGAAGTTGTTCATCATGGAGGCCGTTTGGTCGAGGTGCTTCCCCGCCTATATGGAAGCGAAGAGGATCATGGACAGTGGAGAAATCGGAGACGTGATGTTTGCTTCGGTACATTTTGGGCATGCGTTGCAGCATGTTGAGAGACTGACGTAAGTTTTTACAATAACGTCTAAACCTGTGTCTAGACCATAGATTTGGAAATTTGATCATATACAAGGTGGGCGATTTAAAGTGGAAGCATCAAGCAACCCTATATGTTTGACATTAGTTGTCAGATCGATAATGTCGTACCGCGTTTTAAGCGTCATTTCAGTACAATTTTAGCCACGGAACAGTACACACCAAAACAACGCGCTGAAATTATTCAAATGTACATTCAAAATAACTTCTCAATCGTGAAAACTAAACGTGCGTTTAGTAAAAAAAAATAAAGTTAAAAGTGCTCCAGCTGATAACACTATCATACGTTTATACGCAAAATTTGTGAACATCGGTAGTCTTAGTAATGCCCGTTACCTATCCAGACAACGAACAAGACGTTCCGATGAAAATATCGAAGCCGTACGAACTGTAGACACGCTTTGCACAATTGAACGAGTCATATGTAACAAAAGAGTCGTTGAATCACTTACCTAGACGAGTCGTTCATTTTGAACGACTCGTTCGCGAACGACACATGACTAATACGAGCCAGCATCATCTCTCTTCAGTGAAGAAGCTGACGAGAGAGTATTGTGTGTTGCCTATACTACATACTATGAAAATGAAATGAAGGGTTAGGGTTGCCGATGTTATTGCATTTATTTAAGTATTAATATTTTTGGTTGAAATTGAATGTAACGAATGTATACATTCTTCCGAAAAAAGAAGGGATATGTGGTTCCGTCTTGAGGAATTACCGAATTCTGAATCAAAATGCAATTTTTGCTCTCAAATCGCTTCATTTCAACGTATAATTAAAGAGATATCTCAAAACAAAACAACCGGGTTCCTAGATTGTGTCTGTTGTCAGTTCACAGTTCAGTTGCTGGATACTGCACACGTGCAGACACGCTTTTCACAATTGAACGGGTCATGTATAACAAAAGAGTCGTTCAATCATCGCTCACATAGATCAGTCGTTCATTTTGAACGACTCGTTCGCGAACGACACATGACTACGAGCCAGTGTTGAAGAGACTCCATCACCATCCGGTCGTCATCGTTCTCAAGAGTTAGGCATCGCTCGAACCACTCTCCGACGCATAATTCGTAAGGATTTGAAGATGTTTCCATACAAAACTCAAATGGCTCGTCAATTAAACCCACCTGATTATCCGTGTCGCTTTGATTTTGCTAAATGGAGCATTGAAATGGCCGAAAATGAAGATGACGTCCGACGGCACATTTTTTCTTACATGGAGGCGTAAGTAAATAAAATTGTTGGTTTTATGCTCTTTATGACCAAAAAGTTACTGTTTGGTGCGGTATGTGCGCGAATATGGTCATTCTTTTGAAGACAATGATGGAGCTGCGGTAACCGTCAATGCTGAGCATTATCGAGCCATGATAACGAATTTTTTGAGGCTGGACGAATGGCGATTTTGACTGGCCACCGAGATCACCTGATTTGACGCCACCAGACTTTTATTTGTGGGGCTATACAGGGTGACTTCGAAGTTGAGTCATTTATTTTAACAGTGAGTAGATCTGATCAAAAGAAATGTTTTTTTCCTTTACCATTTTTCTGGTAAAATTAAAGTAACAAAGTTATAGCCCTTTGGAAGTTTGAGTGCCGCCCTGTCTCAATAATAATATCATGTGCTCCTGTTTGGCAACAACGGATATAATCCGCCTTATCGGTTCATCGCATCGGAAACAAAAAAGCGAAAGAATTTGGAACGATGTTTTTACAATTACTTTATTCAGTTGTATACAGTCGGTAACGCGTGAGTGAATAGTGGTGTCTGTTGCGTGGCTCAAACGAAATAAAAAATGGCACATGTTTATGCGGATCGGTTTCCCAATCGAGTGCAACCAACCTCTCGTGCCTTTGTTAATGTAGTACAACGGGCTCGTGAATCAGGTGACTTAAGACCTCACAGGGGACCTCACGATCAAATACAGGTCCGCACTGAAATACTTGTCGGGAGGATACTTTATAAAATAAGGTAAAATTTTTTTTTTATTTTTTTTTTATTTTTACACACATATTTTGGTTTATCTTCCTTCTACAATCATTATCTGAAAATTAATGACTCAACTTCACCCTGTATACGCTAACAAGCCAAGGACTCTAGCTGCCCTCAAGAACAATATTTGTCAAGAAATTGCTGCCATATCCGCGGAAACATTGGCCAACGGGATGGAAAACGCCGAAAAATGGCACATTTAGTTATCAAGGCCAGAGGTGGCCATTTGCGCGATAGCATTTTTGAAAAGTAATTACAACAAATCTTCTTGGATCAAAATAAAAGACTTTACAAATGAACAACAACAAATATTTGTTTAATGTACTTTTTTTATAAACAAATGCTTCCACTTTAAATGGCCCACCATGTATGTTTGACAAAATTTTACAATGTAAAATTTCTGCTAATCCCCGCGAATTTGATCACCTTTATGTTGAGAAAAGTTGCACGTTGTATAATTAGAATTACATTGTCCAGAGCCGTACAAATGGGAGGAGGAGCTATTTTGGACCTTGGCGTATACATGCTGCAGTTCCAACAGTACGTCTTCAGGAACTTGAGGCCTTCGAAAGTATCCGTAAATGGGCATCTGAACAGTGCCGGAACAGACGAATCTTGTGGAGCTGTCATCACCTATCCAGATGGGAAAATGGCTGTTGTCAGTACCTCTGCTAGAGTCTCATTGCCTAATGAAGGCGTTATTGTAGGTAAGGTCGCGTTGAAGAACGGTTTGTAAGTCTAATAAGAAAAAAAAAAGTAAAAAAACTTGCTACACTTGGGTTTCGAACCTACGACTCCTCGCACTGAAACCGCATGCTGAAAAGCACCGTGGTAGAGTACAAATAAAATAAGTTTTATTTGCTGTTCTATTTTATTTATCACTGAACTGAGGGTAGATAGGGCTTGACCTGCCAACTTATTCCTTAGCCTCATTTCGACCAATGTGCTTTAATTCGAGAAAAAGTGGCCAATGAAAAACGTCAAAATGATTTGATTACGTTCAGAAATACTGGTGAAGTGTCTGCTTTATTTTAATGTTTTCCACGTTCTATTATATTGTTTTTATATATTTTTCACATTTGCGTTTTGTTATGTTTTATATAGTACTTTTCAAAACTCCACTGGATCATGTTAGCTCAGACGAAATTGATGCATAAATACTATATTTTAACATGGAAATAACGGACTAACATGTTTTTGAATGGGACGAGAGGTCATCTGATACCTCATTTTGAAACTCCCTACAAGTACTTGCAAGTAAATTTGAACGAAAAATGCTTTCACTAGTGATGGTCAATGAATTCATAAAAATGAGATTATAACCGAATTTATCAGCTGTTCTCTGGGCGCCATGTTTTGGGTTACATCTCTTATCTCTCGTATGCATTTGCCTTGTCTAACCACTGTCTACTCCTACTCACGATTTTTTTTCGACGAAATCCATGTTCCGGTCTTTGAGACTTTCTTATGAGTATAAGATGATCATTGTTTCTATTCTCATAATTTTAGCTAAATTTTAATGTATAGGAACTAAAGGGACATTGAAGTTGCCTGATTTCTGGTGCCCTACGAAACTGATCACCCCAAATGGAGTAAAAGAATATCCACTTCCAAGGTCTAAAGTGCCTTACTTGCATCACAACAGCGCTGGTCTGTGTTACCAAGCTGAAGAAGCGCGAAAATGCATTCAATCAGGTAAAATATATTTTTCATGCTGTAACTGGTGACGGTGTTGCGAAGGAAGTGCAAAGTCAACCTACTTGACGGCATTATTTTACATTTTCAATAGTAAGCTACTACGGTACGAGGGATGTCTTTTAAGTTTTGCATATAGAAACATAGTAGGCCGCGCGGATCGAACGTCAGTACTGAATCTTAACCTCACTCTTTAGTAAACTTAAATTCAAAGTTTCACAACAATACGTGCAGTGTTCTCACTACAGTGAATTTTTAAGTGTCACCAAGTCATTAGAAAAATGGAACTCAACCGAGAACATTTTCGCGCCATAATTTATTACAACTTTCAGAGACAATTATCGCAACAAGAACGCCTTGCTGAGTTACTGTCTGTTTTCGGCAACGCAGCGCCACATCAGTCGACAATTTCCCGTTAGTATGGAGAAGTCAAACGTGGACGGGTGAGACTTAGCGACGATCCCAGGATGGGTGCACTAAAAACGGCAGTCACCCAGGAAAATGTCGATGCTGTGCGCAAACTCATCATTGAAGATAGACATGTGACATGTCGCGAGATTGAGGCGTCCTTGAAGATCTCAAAGACCTCAATTCAAAAAAAATTACTTGAAGAATTGGGAGTAAGACCATCCTCCATATAGTCCCAATCTAAGTCCTAACGATTTCTTTACTTTCCCGAAAATTAAAAACAGACTGCGTGGTCAAAGGTTCCAGTCACCAGAAGAAGCAGTTGATGCATTCAAAAATGCCGTTTTGGATCTGCCAGCAAACGAGTGGAATAAGTGCTTCGAAAATTGGATCGAGCGCATGCAGATGTGTATTAATCTTCGTGGAGAATACTTCGAAATACAATAAAGTCATTTAAAACTACCTACCGCGTTGTTTTATTTCCATATGCAAAACTTAAAGGACATCCCTCGTAGTAGCTGTTCCCGATATCGCGATATCAAAGTTTGTATAACTACTATTTAATGCAGCATTATAATTGAAGTTAAAAGAGCGTGAATATGTTTGCCAACTCTCTGTATAACTTTGAATTTTATTCTTCAAGGTCAGATTGAATGTGAACATATGACACATGCGGAAACAATAGAACTGGCAATGCTCATGGATCTGCTGCGAAACGAGATGGGCGTCGTTTTTCCAGAAGACTCACAAGAATTTTAAAGTGTTTATAATTATTTTCGAATAAATTTTATTTTGAAATGTAATTTTTTAGTATCTCAAATTCAAATCAAAGGTAAACGTATGGTTATACAATCAATGTGATTTCGACATCGTTTATGTTTTTATCTGTTATAATTTTAAACGTTTTCACCAACAGCGTTGCCAGATGGATCAGAATTCCCCCAGAACAAGCACAAAAATCCCCCAGATTTGAAATTATAAAAAAACTCCCCCAAATCGTATTTCAGTAGTCGAGGGGGGAGGGGTAGGGGTTGCCAGTTGAAAGATCACGTTGGGTATAAAAAAATTAAATGAACGCGGAGAGAAGACCAGTAATGGTCTATTTGTTTCTCCCGAAGCATGCGTGTAAGACAAAAATAGATAAATCAAACGTCCAGTTTACAACTTGTTGATTATTTCTGTATTCTATGACTATGGATGCATGCTTACCAATCTACAATTGACATACAGGTGTAGAGATGGGTTAGCGTAAGCCTTTTGTGGAGATGGGTGCGATTTGGGAAAAGAAAAACCGCAGAATTGTTAGTTAAAAATCACCTAAAAAATCCCCCAGAACATTTTATCCCCCAAAAATTCCTCAAGAGACGTAAATATCCCCCAATATGGCAACCCTGTTCACAAGACTATGTATGACCATCCGAAACGACTTAAGAACTGCTACCAATTCTTAGAAATCTGCAAAATCTGCTGAAGATTTTTGTGGTTTCTAAGATACTTGCACAAACATATACTAAGTTACATATAAATCCGAACACCCAGTTTAAATGGTTTTATTTTAATAAAAGTTGGTGAATGTATTTATCTTACTGTAAATAACAAGTGAAAAAATTTTCAGCCTTATCAGTTGGACATTCCGGTTTTTATACTGCTTTTTTTTAATTCACTAACGCTCTAAAAATGAATATTTCAGCCGCAGTAAAGAATCAACGTTGGCGGATTTTGGTTCTTGACATCCTTCACGATCGGTTACGATGCCTAGAGTACGGAGACCTGTACGATTTCGTCAACTTAGTGAGTTTGATAGGGGCCGTTTAGTGGGACTTCGGGAAGCTGGACTTTCTTTTCGGGCAATTGCAGTTAGAGTGCAAAGAAGTGTAGACACTATGGTTAGGTGTTGTCAGGCATGGCTTCGAGAAGGCCGTACGCAAAGAGCAAGGGGCACTGGACGCCGCCGTAGAACAACAGACCGTGAAGATCGCCGCCTAAGATTATTGGCCTTAAGGGACCGTTTCTCCACCACCAGGTCCATTGCAAAGGAATGGTTTGCAGAACACGGAAGACCTATTGGCATGCGAAGTGTTTACCGACGAATGAGAAGTTTTGGCTTGTTTTCATACCGGCCACACTGGGTCCTCCCTTTAACTCGAGAACACCGACGTAATCGCCTTGAGTGGTGCAGACAACGGTCACTCTGGGATCAGGAATGGAACAGTATTGTCTTTAGTGACGAGTCTCGATTTTGTTTAGGCATGCACGATGGTCGTGCCAGGGTTAGAAGGCGACGTGGTGAAAGGAGGAATCCACAGTTTTTTGTTGAAAGACATGTTCATCACACTGTTGGAGTTATGGTTTGGGGTGCTATAGCTTATGGTTCCAGGTCACCATTAATCTTCATCAGAGGTAACATGAACGCGCAACGTTATATCCACGAAGTTCTAGAACCCCATCTTTTACCCTATCTTGACACCCTGGCAGATCCAACTTTCCAACAAGATAATGCCCGACCACATGTTGTAAGAGTCACAATAGACTTCTTTCAACATAATGATGTCACATTGTTACCATGGCCACCAAGATATCCCGACTTATCCCCAATTGAGCACGTGTGGGATATGATGGGTAGGAGATTACTCAATTTGCAACGGCCTCCTCAGACTCTAGAAGCACTTCGAGAGGAGTTGTTGGTTGCCTGGAATGAGATACCACAGGAGGACATTGACCACCTGATCAGAAGCATGCCTAGGCGCGTTGGAGAATGCGTACCACATCAGGGTGCATACACACATTATTAAAGCTCAAAGGGCTTTAGAGCAGTGCAATCATTTTGAAATTTTTATCATTTACTTATTATGCTTCATTAAGTACTTATACAAAATTTTATTAAAATAAAACCATTTAAACTGGGTGTTCGGATTTATATGTCACTTAGTATAGTAACAGTACGAAATCAACAAGCACGAACATGTAAAGATGCGCAGTAAACGAAGGAGTACTGATCGGTATCAAAGTGTGCAATAGCAAGTAAGTGATGTGCTTCATCCATACCACATACAGCGTGTTCAACCTCTCCTGCCCCGGGATTATGAGCCCCGAGTTGCTTTTTGTCGCACAATGTTAGAAAGACACAGGAAAGATCCACAGTTCTTTGAAAAAATTTTATGGTAGGATGAGACCACATTTAAGAAAGATGGGTACATGAACCTGCATAACTTAAACGAGTGGCACGTAGCAAACCCATATTTGATGAGAGAAGATAAATCTCAATATCGCTTCAAGATAAAACATTGGACAGGAATTTTAAATGGTAAAATAATCGGTCCGTTTGAGTTCCCGGAGACTTTGACTGCTGAAGTTTATTTGGATTTTTTGAAAAATCATGTACAAAATTTATTGGTGGACGTGCCACTAAGTATTTACAGGGAGATGTGGTTTCAGCATGATGGCTGCCCAGCGCACTATGCACTCTCAGTGAGAGAGTATCTCGATCAAAACTTTCCAGGCAGATGGATAAGGCGGTCTGGTACAATACCGTGGCCAGCCCGATCACCTGATTTGAATCCTTTAGATTTTTTTACTGGGGAACTGTAAAAGAAAAAGTGTATTTCAAGCCGATTCAAAATGTAGCTGAGCTACGGCAAAGACTATTGGAAGCAGCTGAGTTTGTTAATAACCGTGGATTCGCTCGTTTAATAACCCGATCTTTTTTAAGAAGATGTCGAGCGTGTATTGCGGCTGAAGGAAAACAGTTTCAGCATTTGCTGTAAAGGTAAATCATCATCAGCAGCATTTTGATGCCCACTGTTGTGCAAACAGTTATCCTTAAGGGTCCTTGTGCGTTTTCATAATCGCTGTTTAATTAGGAAATTTTGAAAAATTTTCATCAGTTTTTCTTTCAAATACATGCGCCAACTTTTAAGGTTACTTGCCAAACTCTCGTAGTACATTTTTTTCCAGTACAGCCAGTTAAAGTTGAGCAAAGTTTTACTTTGGAATACTTGGTTGGGAAATAAGTGGCAATTTTTCCTCAACGAGAAAAGTTGGCAGTAAGGTTGAGACACCAGTTTGAAGATGCATTATTCATCATTACATTGTAAAAATAAAATCCAAAAAAAGTTAATATTTGTAGTAACAGGAGTTGACAGACTGCCGTAGGGTGTGAAATTACTATATCTTTTTCAAAGACCTATAATTTTCAAAACACATACATAAAATTGTTTTAAATATTTTTCTGATAGCTGTTATGACTTTGCCTATCACCGGGTTTCGGCTTGACGTCGACTTCTGGGACACCTCGTATATTAACTTGATATGTGGCTATATGCGAAAAACTTGTAACTATCTTATAGGTCAATCCTACAGCAAGGTCTACGACAGCAATGCCAAAACCTCTCATACATCATAGCTAAATATGTCCAAGAATATTATTATTCACTGTATACTGTCGCTATCGTACTTTTTGCAAAATAATCCACATTTTTCCTACAAGAAGTAGGTCATTACAAACGTGTTTCCATCCCAGCATGCAAGTTCAGAAACAGAGTCTCGAAGGTTTCATAAACAATTGCTATGCATCAGCTAAGACGTGATATATGACAGACTCTGTTGATAACTTAAATTTTATTAAAAATTTATTTTGAGGTTATTAACTATGATTGATTATTCGACCATCCACTACTGTCATATAAACTCTTTGTAATTAAACATTATTTTCTAATTTTTAGTTCGACTAGCTATAAAAGCGTGTTTTTTTCAAACTATTATATATTTTTCATTTCATGGTAATTAGCTTTGAAATATCCAATCTTCAAAGAAATACTTCATAAGTTGTAGGAGCTAGGACGGGAAGCTCTTTTGGATTAATTTATTGAGAAGGCCCTTGTGCCACACCTTATCAAAAATGTCTTCTAGAGGTCCAGAAACAACATGCAAGTACTTTCGTTAAGGGTGAAGCCTCTGGTTACTCGCCTACCAGCCTAATCGCCTGTAACTCCGTACTATGGTCCATACGATTTTATATTTCGTAATGGTGTTACGACGTCAGCTGAAAAGATTATACCTATTTTGTTGTTGTATGATTTGGACAACGCCCGATTAACGAAAACGAGTCAAAGTGGCGCCGCTGAAGAAACAAGTCAGCGAAAAACGGATTACATGATACGACCATATGCTGTTCAACCCACATTCGAGACTGAAAACACTTTCGATGACCAAATATGGACCATCCGACAGCCTTCGTTAAGGACAACAACGCTTACCGAGACTCAACTGTATATGTGCTATTTACACGTAACACGCGGAGCTATAGTCTGGTTGTAGTAGTAGTAGTATTTATTGGCCATGTCGATACATAAGTCAGGTCATTACAAAGAAAAAAATAAATAAGCAAATAAATAAACAAATAAAACATCACAGCAAAAACCTTATTGATAGAAAGTAGCTTTAAGATGCTAAGACATGCACATATATTAGGTAACTGATATTTAATTATACTAAGTGACATATAAATCCGAACACCCAGTTTAAATGGTTTTATTTTAATAAAAGTTGGTGAATATATTTATCTTACTGTAAATAACAAGTGAAAAAATTTTCAGCCTTATCAGTCGGACATTCCGGTTTTTATACTGCTTTTTTTTAATTCACTAACGCTCTAAAAATGAGTATTTCAGCCGCAGAAAAGAATCAACGTTGGCGAATTTTGGTTCTTGACATCCTTTACGATCGGTTACGATGCCTAGAGTACGGAGACCTGGACGATTTCGTCAACTTAGTGAGTTTGATAGGGGCCGTATAGTGGGACTTCGGGAAGCTGGACTTTCTTTTCGGGCAATTGCAGTT